TCGATTTAGATTTCCATTCCTCACTACGTTCAATCTTTCTATTGGTTGAAACATTCAGTACTAAAAATTTGTAACATGATATACATCTTTTCATTTCTGCAATCTTCTCTTTTTGTTCTAAAATGTTATTCTAAATTTCTCTTAATTGTCTTACACCTTCTGTTTATTATTTAATAACTTGAATTTTTTAAATAAGTATCAACTTTTCTCCATTTTCAAACTAAATTTAACGATCAATTTACCTAATATTTTTTTTCTGCCAATATTTCCTTTTTGCATTATTGTAAAGTAGAATAAATATTTTCTGACCACCCTTCAATTGTAGATTTTAGACTTGATATAGTCAAATTGTCTTTAAAAAATGGATTAAGTTCAGTTTTATCAAAAATTGGGTGAACTAATGGTTCGTCCCCATCTTTTAAACTTTCTAATTTAGTTTTATCAACTTCTCTTTCTTCAAAGTTTTTCATCTTAATTACCCCTCCTAACTTTATCTTTGGCTGATATACAACTGATACTAATTTAAGATTATCACGTTGAATGGCAGCCATTTCTCGGGTGACTTCCAATGCTAAATAGTACATTGCAGAGCAAATTGATTAGATATTTTAGCGATGTTATAAATTGGCTTTTTTTAAAGTTGCAGATGAAGATGCTGGAATTGGTTCCCATAGATCATTTAAAAATTGTAAATACATTCTAATTATAATTATTGTAATTATCATCATTTAACTCTATCTTTAATTAAGTCTTGGGTTATAATTAAAATTAATACATGGTTCCTCCTTATGGAGTAAATGATAATCTGTTTATCTCAAATTTCAAAAGGAAGTTTGCAGGTGTACAAAAAAAATTATATGTAAAGTATAAAAGATATTCCTTACAAAATTTAGGGATGCTAGCTGAATTATCAAATAAAGCATCAATAAAATTTTTCACATAAGTTTTTAACTAATCCATTCGCTTCTAAGCCTCCTTAGGATTGACTTTAATGTCCAAATACAATGTAACATTTGAATTTTGCTATTTTAATTTATCAACAATTATATTAGTAAAATCCTTCATCCATTTAAAACACTCATTCTGGAATTATAAAATATTTTCTGGAAATTTATCTTAAAATTATGTACTCTTCAATTCTATCAATTACTTTGTCTTTCGAATAAATGAAAGCATAAGTGTCAATCTTTTGCACCTTATTTTAAGTTCAGCAATAGCTCTTTTTGATAATAATTATTCTAAATATCTTATCTCTTTTTGGTAATCTTCTTGTGTTGGCCCCAAATTTCTTTTCTATTATTTATACTATTTTTCGCTTTTTTTACTTGATTGTTGCTGACTTTAGCTATTTGAATATGACTCAAATGATTTTTCAAGCTAATCTCCTCTTTCAGATAATTTCATTTTAAGAGAGAAATTTTCTTCTTTTAATTTTTTCATTAATAACAGCATTCTTAATTTTTCTTGTTATTATCTCTCTGCTTGTTATCGTTGCATAAAAGAAAAGTTTGAAGGCATAAATATTGGAGGAGGAGGAAGAGGTAGGGGTTACGTGAATTGAATTTAAGGAAAATTTTAATATTTATCCTTAGCTTGCTCTTAGTATTATTATCGTCCATTTTTAGTAAACTCTATAGGGTTGTTAAATCTTGCTGATTCTTGTTTTTCCATAAGCAGATTTATAATTTAGTTCTATTTCTCAATCTAAAAAGCTAAGCGATTTTCGGATGCTTGTTTAAAAAATGAACCAGACCTATAATTATTGAGTAATTCTAAAGTTAATTAATCTTATATATCTTTATTTTCTTGTAAGATTTATTTACCCAATTATGAGAATGAAAATGCTGAATAATTCATAATAATAATATCAAATAAAAATGAGTTAATGAATAAGCAAAAAACAACTTAGAAGAACATTTCAAACTTTGAGAATGATAAAATTATTGATTTTGGCTTAACACAGAGAATAAATGTGTATAAAAATAAAGAAAATATATTCCTCATCAGGATATAAGTATTATCAATAAAATTATTTTTTATTATGAAATTAACCAATCCCTTTTTAATCCTTCCCAAATTATTCTAATTCTCTTTTTTTCCTTAATTCTTTTTTTTCTTCCATTTTTTCTAATTCTTTTAAGGTTTGATAAATAGACAAACTATCTATTTAATCTAATTATCTATATTGATCCTTCATATCAAATCCTAAACGCGTTTTATTATTATCGTGTTAAGTAACTGATCTAAACCGAGTTGTTTTTTTTATTGGCAATGCATACCTTACTAATTATTAAAATAATAGGTACATTTTGGTAACTCTGCTTCAACTTAATCTATTAAAGATTAAGTTTTTGTTTTAAATTATGAGATAGTTACGAAATTTTAGGGTTGATTCTATCCTTACTTTAAAATTAATAACAGTTTCCCAGCATTATTCCAAAACTTTACTTGCATATCAAGAGATAGTGATGTTATTAAACCATCTTAGAATTCAAAGCTTATTATAATCTATTTTATTTAGGTTTTATGAGCCTTCCATACTGTTACTTAATAAGCAGTCCTTTCACTTAATAATGGATTTAAAGGCTCCAATTAAACATCATACTCCTAGTAATTAAGTTAAAAAAATCTATGGGGATTTTTATTTTAAGCTATATCTTAATGTTTAATTTTTTTTATTTGACAATTTTTTATAATTTGAGTAATTGATAAAATTCGAATATCTCCATTTTCATCACCAATCAGTAAACATCCATCAATATGATTAAATTCAATTGAATAAACTGGGGATGCTTTCATAATGGTAAACATGTTTTTCCAAATGACAGCACAAGATTTTGATTGACTTGGTGGTAATGCCAAATCATTTGATAACACAATATAAATGACGATATGACCTTAATGATCAGAACAAGCTAATAGAGGATAAGGATCCAAAAATTTAAGAAAAAGTACTTCTCCGCTTGCTTTTAATCTTGAAAATTAGGTTCCTTTTTCAAAATCCCATAAACGGATTTCTGATTGTTTTGAACTGGTAGCTATTAACATTAAATTTTCTGAAAATGCACCACAATAAATTTCAGTTGGGTGAGCATTTTTGATATTCCTTAAAATTATTTCTTTGTTGTCTTCGTCATGATAAATCCTTATTTATTTATCCCATGACGAAGCAATTAAAGTATGGTACTTTTCGCTATATGACAGATGAGAGATTTCTTTAGTAAAGTTATTTTTCATTTCTTTAATTATTTTTCCTGTGAATAGGTCTAAACAACTAAATATAAACAAAAAAATGTTACAAAATATTTCCTTAATGTGTTCCTATAAATCCTCTTCTTTGTGTGTAATCTAAACAAAAAGTGTAAATGTCGTGATTTAGAAAATTCCCACTTAGTCTTTTAATCAATCCGCTTCTCATACACCATGTTTTAATTGTTTTTCTTGTGGCAATATGCAATTCAAGATATTTATTTGAATAGCAAAGACTTTAAATTGGCATATCATCTGTAACATTTGGATCAAATGATTATTAAAATTCATAGATTAAAAAATTCCTACATCCAACAATGACAATATCTTTTTATTTCAAGTAAATTATTGATTTGATATTGTTGTTAGTTTCATCAAGTTTAATGTGCTAAATAGATTAAAAGGTTTTAGGATCCCAAACTCTTATTACACCTTTGATATCGCAGGATACAATTATTGGGATTCTTTTACTTATACTCAAAACAGAAACTAAGGATGCCTCATGTCCCAATAATTTAGCTACTGGATGTTCCAAATAAATATTCCAAATAACTACATCATAATCATACGAGCATGAAATTAAATACTTAAATTCAGGGCAATAAGAAAATTGTTTGATTCTTTTTTTATGACCTTACAAGATTTTATGATCCCCAGACAATGTTTTTTTAATCCCAAATTTAGTTTTAATAGTTTCTGCTATTTTTAATTTTTATGTTGCTTTGATTTTATTTTCATATAATCTTATTAAAGTATCGTTTGATCCTACAGCTAGAATCTCTAAGCAATCTATGCATAGCATACAAGTAATGCCTTTTTTAACTACACCATCTTATTTTTCTTATTCTTCTATCATTAAAGGTTAATCAACAATAACTAATTTAAAGCAATCTGATAATTTTGGTCCGGATTTTATAAACTCCAAGAATTCTTTAGAAAAAATTTTTTCTACATCCCACGAATAGATAGTTCCGTTATCGGTTGCAGTATATAAAACCTAATAAAATTATATGATACTTTGTTCTCTTAACTATATTATAGATGACTTTGCAATTCAGGCACTTAAAATCTACTCTATAATTTATTAGCTTTTAAATCATAAAAATTTAAAAATTTATCATTGCTACTCATTACCAAGGTTTAAAAATCCTCGATATAAAGAATATTTAAAATGCTAATATTGCTTATTGATATTTAAGCAATTTCTAAGAAATTATTAGGATTTAAGATGCATAATTTCTTTTAATTTTACTCTAAATATGCAAATTACCCATCTATTTCAAACATTTTATCTATTGGATTAGTTTTTTGACCTTCTATCTCTTTTTACTTTAATTTTATTGTATATAATGAATGTTCTCTATTTATCCAATCATGCATTTCGACTAAAAAATTTGAAAATTATTCAAAATTTACAAGGTTTTTTTCTAATGTATCAATAAGTTGATAAAAGTACACTAAAGTTTAAACGTCAGCTTTTTTAATCTCTTGCAAAATAAAAACAAACTAAGAAACATTTATGTATTAATCTTAAAATTCATTTCGAATTTATTCAAATTCTTCCTTTGTGAAATCTATAATCTTTTTCAACTTCCTTAATTCTTATTATTCTGGGTTTAGATATTAATTAGACTCATCATCAGAAGATAGATGATTTGATTAAGGATTATATGTCTCTATTTATGTTATCATAAATTAATATTAAAAAAACAGGGTATCTTAAAATGAAAATATCATTTTTTTTTCATTAAATTTAATGAGTTAATCAGCTGCAGAAATTAGGAACGTCATCAAATCTTTAGAGAAGATTGCCTAATAATTAGAAGGTGGTACTCCAACTTAATAGTAAAGTCCACAATCATTAGCTGAATTACAGCCATTTAAGGATAAGCTTAATCTCTTTGTTGAGGCTTCAAAGGGCTTATCTGATTAATCACTTAAGGACATTGTAATATAGTATTTTCAACATCTAGACACCAATAGTAACGAAAATATTTTCAATAATGGAGAATGCAATTTTACATTCTACAAACACTAAAAAGCCAACTCCAGACTAAATGAAATAAATCTAAAAGGTTATTACTGAATAGGTGAATAAAATTGCTAAGTTTTAAACACCTGCTCTATAATATTAAGTAAAGGCAATCATTGAAGGTTGCTAAGCAGCTTTTTGGGTGACTTTAGATGGACCTAAGATTTAAGTTGAGAGTGCCATCGAATCTGCTGAGTTTAATGGATTTAAACTTAAATAATAGAAGGTAGCAGAGGTGTCTAAATGGTATGATGCTTTTATTGGGGCATTAAAGTGGTTGCCAGGTACTATGTATTTCTTAAAAAGATTTTGTAATAACAAACTATAAAATGGGGTTAGAGTGGAATGGTAAAGGAGCTCTAACTTTCGAATAATATTTTGCAGCTCTTACTTAAGAAAAAACTCATGGTGCTCCTCCTCCTCCTCCAAAAGGTCCACCTCCTCCTCCTCCTCCTCAATTTGCAGCTCCTGCTCATCAAGCTGACAGTGGTGATTCTAGAGGAGCCTTATTTGCAGAATTGAATGTTGGAGCAGACATCACTAAAAGTAATTTTCAATGTTATAATCAGGATTAAAACCAGTATAGAAAAATGTTGAAAAATAAGACCCTTTATAGCCTACAACAGCAAAATAATAGCAGTCAACTTAATAAGCAGCAGCTCAGTAACCAAAGGAGCCTAAAAGATATTGTAAGGAAAATTGGTTTTTGGAAAACTTTTAAAATGAAAAGCTAATTGAATTCAAAGATGATGAAATAGAGATGAAATAATCTCTTTTTGTTGAAAATTGCAAGAATTGTGGAATACTGGTTAAAGCAAAAGTGAAGTCAATTTTTTTGTAAAAATGTGAAAAAGTAGAATTGGTTTTTGATGTAAATTTATAAGAAAACTTTAGCAAACTATTTCAGGAGTCGATGTTGTGAATTGTAAGAAAGTGAAAGTAACTTGTTTAACAAAGTATAAAAATTAACTAAATTAGATGTCCAAGCCTAATGATAAATAATTCTGAATCTGTACTTATGGCATTCAATGCAGATAAGCAATGCGAAATAATTTCTTCAAAGACCATGGATTTCAATATTACATACTTATAGGAGGATGGAGATTATGCAGTAACAAATCAAAATTATTAATTAGAAAGACACTAATATAGCCGAACAATTCTTAACTGTTTGGGACAATGATTCAGGAAAGTTTATTACAAAGGCCTTAGACATATCCTTTGGATGAGTATAATCAGATAAATAATAATAAAAATATCATTCATCGTTCTTTCATGATTTCCTTTTCAAGTTGATTTTCATAATTATGATATTTAATTTTTTTAATGTCAGAGACAATTAGCATTAAATTGTTAGTGGTTGGAGATGGATCAGTTGGAAAAACATGTATATTGTTAAGGTAATCAAAAAATACTCATAGGAATCAGCTATACAACCGATAAATTCCCTACTGAGTATGTCCCAACTGTTTTTGATAATTACCAAACAAAAGTAAAAGTAGACGAAAGGGAAGTTGATTTAAGTTTATGGTATGAGGTTTTTGTAATCTTAGGGACACCGCTGGACAAGAGGGTTATAATAATGTAAGATAGTTAAGCTACGATAATACAGATGTTTTCCTAATAGTTTATTCTGTTGTGGAGAGCAATTCATTTTCGAATGCATTACATAAAGTATTCTTCATGCTATTCTTTAGTGGCATCCAGAATTGAACAAAGATAAATTTGAGTAGATACCAAAAATTTTTGTAGGCAATAAAATTGATATGAGAAATGAAGGAAATTCAAATCATGTAAAAAAAACAGCAGTATTAATGATTATAATAATCTTAGGCTGAATAATTAGTAAAAAATCTAAACTGCGATTTATTTGAAGTCTCAGCATTAACCCAAGAAGGTCTTAGACCGCTATTTGATACAGCTATTTAAATTGCACTAAAAAAGAAACTAAAAGCTATTAATGATGCTTAAAAGCCGAGTCAACCAGCCAATGATTCATAATGTTGCCAATTAATTTGAATATTAATGTTAACAATATTTGATATAATTTAAATTTACTATTAATGGATCCAGAAGAATAGCTGGAAAAGTTGTTAGAGGTTTTTTATGATGAAAAGATTGAGCCTAAAAAGGAGGCGGCAAAATAAATTCTAGGGTTAGCAACTTAATAATAAAATTTGGAATACCTGATATCACATGGTAATTACTTGAATTAATAATATATCATTAGAATAATTATTATCTACTCTATCAAGGACCTTAAGAGATGAGCATAAGAAATCAACTGAACTTACTCTTTATTTACTTTGTGTGTTTTATATTTTATCCAATTATTTGGAATTCCATCAAATCCTTTCGGAGCACTAAATTGGAGATATCACCATGAAAATTATCGAATCACAAATTCAGAGGTTTGATTTGCGATATGCTGAATTGATGGAAAAATAAGGTTAGCCTTAATAGTTGTAGGAATTGAGAAAATTAAATTTGATGATTGCGAAATAGGAAAAATTGTTTTATGTAGGCTTCACAATATTGATGAATATGGCAGAAGATCCAATTATTGAAAATAAAATGAGAAAAAGAAAAATAATAACATTTCTATTAAGAATGTTGGAAAGGAATAACTTTTATTTACTAATTGTTACTTTATTATTTCTCAAGAAATTAAGCATAGTAAATGAATGCAAACTGTAAATGATTGAGGAGAATTGTATAAGAAAATTAAAAAGATTTTTCAGTGCTGATAATAATGTATTATTACAATTAAGTTTGGGTAAAATAAATTTCTAACCTAGGATTATTAAAAAATTTATGCTTTGATACTGAAGCTAGATAATAAATTGAATAAAATGGATTCATTCCAGATATTGTAAAGTTATTAAAAATCCCAAACTATAGATTTGTCTCAATCGTGTTATTGTATTTACTCACTTTGGATGATAAATTGAGATTAACCTTTGGGTTCACAGAATGTATGAGCCTAGTTGTTAAATTAATGTTGCATTTCCCTGAACCTATTATAGGCAAAGAATTAATTGCTTTGGCAACTAACTTATCAACAAGTTCAAGAAATGTCGATCATATTACAGAACAAGAATTTCAATAAATAGTGTAAAGGTCCCTTACAAATGGAGATACATTACTGTTTCGATTTATTAAGGGAATCATTGAAAATTCAACTAACCCTGAAATACAAACTTGTGCTAAAAGCTTTGTAAGGCATTTCATGAAATTACTTGTAACTCAAGGAAAAGAAGAAGACTTGAAATTTGAAATTATAGGAATAGTAAGTGTCATTTAATTAAATGAAAATTGGGTTAAATTATTAACAGAACCATTTATTGAATTCTTGCATAATAATCTAGCTATAGGAGTGATTGATGATGATATAGTATTAGAAACTATGATGCTTGTGTCATAAATTGCTTCTAATGCTAAAGCTGCAGAAATCTTAGTTAACAGCAATATTTTAAATGCATTAACCTAAGTCTTTACAGAGAAAGTAGATGATGATGAATTTATTGTTCAATACCTCTATTGCTTACATTAATTCCTATTTCATAAAATAGGAATATCATAAATCTTAGCATAGTAAGCTTTTATTGTTAATTTAGGGATGATATACTATTGTAATTGATTTAGTAATTAAATGATAAAAACCTAAAAGTTAGGTAGATGTCTTAGGAAGTTTTGGATATTTTACGAGAATATGATTAGGAATTATGCGAGAAAATAAAAGAGACAAAATTCTGCGAATATAATTAATTGTGGGTAGAACATATTAATGAACAAGAGATGATGTAGTTTATTATATAGACATAGGTTGCAAGAAGGAGTTGATATGGGGTTCGAAGATGAATACGGAGGCAATGAGCTTGATCCTAAAATGTGGGACTCAGATAATGATTGATATATTTTGCATTAAATTTCAATAAAATGAAATGTTTTTTTATCTAAAATCTAAGCCACAGTTATAGAGCATATTCTAAATCATTGAAAATTTAATGAGAAAATATATTAAAATATTTTAATTTCAATTATGAATGAAGAAACAGCCTAAGTAAAATAAAAAGGGAAAAAAGGAGCAAAAAAAAAGGCAGAGTCAAAAACTACTTAAAATTCAGATCCACCCATAGTCACTTAAGTAGATGATAAAAAAAAGGCAAAACCTTCAAAAAAGGTGTAATAGGCAAGTCCACCTAAAAAAAAAGATGAAAAAAAATAACCAGAAAAAAAGGGGAAATAGCCTTTAATTAAGGAGGATGTAGACTCTTTGCTTGAATATTTCAAATCATCAAATCGTCCCTTCACAGTGAACTATTTAAAAGACACTTTATTTTTAAAATTAAGCACACTTCAAAAAAATATTGATACCTTGGTTTCTAAAGGTGACGTAGTAATGAAAGAAGTAGGTTCTACAAAAGTATTTCTAATTAATCAGGGCTTAATGCCTACTGTTAATTAACAAGATTTAGAATTGCTTGGAAGTGAATTAGAATAAAAAACAGAAGAATACAAATAACTTGCTTAATAAAATTCAAAACTCAGCGAACAATTAAAAAATTTATCTAAAATACCAACCTTATAAGAGTTGATAGACATGAAAACAGAATTAAAAACCAAAATTGATGAACTTGAAAATAAACTATTGTTGTATGAAGACAAAAATTTTAAAATGGCAACAGCTGAAGAAACTTTACAAGTCGAAAATGAGTACTAAAATATGCTAAATATCTGTAAGAAGAGAAAAAACATCTATAATGAAGCAATCGGATCATTGCTTTCAGAGAGCGATTTGACAATAAAGTAATTTGAGAAAATTGTTGGTATTTTTAGAGATTGAATATTTATAATTAATAATATACTTAATGTAAAATGGTACCAATTTCATTCGAATGAATAGAGATTTAAGATTCAATGGGCTACAATAGACAGTTAAAGGAAATATTAAAGTAAAAGATGTGAAATTTTTATTGGCTCAAAAGGCCGATACATTTCCATAATTATTAGTGGCATTTACAAAATTTGGTATATTGGAGGATGAAACTGAATTATTTAAAATATATGATAACATATATGTATATTCAATAGGGTATTTAATTGAAAAGTAAATTTACAATATTCAATATCATACATAGATTAAAAAGTGATGTCTATAATAAGAAATCTAATCCCAATAATAATTCAATATAATTGAGCACAATAATTAGGTCTTTTAAGGATAGGAAGTCATTTAATGAAATTGATCACACATTTGATTAAAGATAATATAATAGCGTAGATACAAATTTTTGTTAGAAAAAATATAAAAATGGCATTGATTATGTTTAAGAATAAATAAAAAAATAAATGTAAAAAGATCAAAATTAGACAAAGGAATGCAATAATACTAGCAACATACATTATTATTGCCAAATCCAGAAAACTGAAGAATCTATAGTATACATAATATTATAATATTAAGAAACCTTACGAAGAAGTAAGAAACTCAAAAAGTTCAATTCCCCATTAATAATAACAAGGCTCAAGGATATATTATAATTTAAATTCACCTGCTAGGGAATTATAGAAATAAATTCAAAAATATCAGGATATAATTGAATAAAAAGAGTACTAGATTAAACAATTAGAGTAAATAAATTAATCTTCTGCTTTAAAATTGTAAATATAGTATTAATAAATTGAAAATCAAGATAAGTATATCATAAGATTAAAACAATAAGAGCTTAAATATGTTAAATTATTAGTAAGAATTTGTTTTATAAAAGGGAACCATCTCTGAGTATTTATAAAAAATAATTGGTTAAATATAATAAAAATTAGAAAGGTAAATTATGATTTAATTTCCATAGAAAATAAAAATAATAATTAGAAAAGGAAAAAAGTTCAACTGATTTTTTAACAAGATAGATTTAATCTGCTAGAGCAGACTATAAGATAAAGATCAAATAATAATAACTTTTCATTTCTAATTAAAAATTAGACTAAATATTTAGTGCAAAATTGATAGATTTGTAAAATTAATTAACAGAAACAATTTTGCTTAATCAATCCATTGATGATTTGGTATAAGATGCAGAATTCTTAGAGTTGGATAGTAGTTTCCGATTTGATTTTGAATGATTTGCAATAATTTTGTAAGCATAATCTAATGACATTTCAATCAATTTCAGATTACAATTCAAATAAGAATAAATTCTAACTTTCTAGTTAGTCACAAAGTTATTAATTTCCATAAAATTAATTCTTTAATCTCCAAGTCCTTCATAATTTACCTGTTGGATAAATTATTTTACATTTATGGGAAAAGTAAGCATTATCAACTGCGAAATAAAAAATCCCAATTACATTTGTTTTCAATTCTATTTCTAAGAATCATTTCCATCTTCATAATTTAATTTTCAATCAATTTATCTTTTTTACTAACATTACTTACTTGAAATTAAATAAAAATATGGAAAAACTATTAAGTTTGTGAAATTCTTATCGAAGATTGCAACAAAGCTCCCCAAATTCAATTATTTTTAAATTGTATATACTCTGCTATATAAATTTCCTATTTTTATAATTAATAATATAATTCACTCCATATGTAACAGAATTATGCAAATTTCATAATCAGAGATGCTTAGATTGAAAAATTCTTTAACACTTTCAAAAAGGAGCCCTTAGGTTCTGGAAGGAATTCTATAGTCTATTTGACTCAGCATAGCGTTTCAAGTGTTTATTTTGCATTGAAAGAACCAAGAAAAGATCAATTGTCCTAATAATCGATTATCGTACAATAATTATGATATGTAGTCTTTGTAATCAGAATGAAATTAATATTTTCATCAAGTTTTGGCAAAATAATAACTAGGAATTTCCGCGGTGTGTGCCATACATGGAAAAATTTTCGGAAACTCATCAAATTTTAATGGAATATATGAAAAATGGTTCATTATTAGATATTTTATTGACAAGTGGAAAATTTGCCGAAAAATTCGCTCGTTTAATCGCAATTAATTTATACAATCAAATAGGGCTTATGCATAGAAATGGAGTAGTACATTTTGATTTAAAACCTGATAATATTATGTTTAATGAAAATATGATGCTAAAGATATGTGATTTCGGATTTGCAAATTAACCTATAGGCTTTACACAAGGATATGCTCCCCCAGAATAAATTTAAAAGAACATTATTGATGCTGAAAAATGCGATGTTTTTGCTTATGGAGTAATACTATTTATAATTGTCATGGGATTTCCTCCCTTTTAACATTATCAAGATAATTGGTACAAAATGATTTCAAATTAATAATGGGATTAATTTTGGAGCAAAATTAAATAAAATGGAAAGACAGAGCCCTCAGACTAGTTTAAAGATTTAATAACAAAAGTCATTGAGGTTGATGTGAATAGAAGATATAATATGCAAAACATTTCCACTGCAGAGTGGTTTTCTTTAGAAAAAGTTTCAGATTAAGAATGTACAATGGAATTAATTAAAAGGATTAACTTGAGGTAGGTAGGGTATTATAAATATTGACTCTTGATTTTAAGTCATTCATATTTCACATTAAGTTTTAGTTATAAAATTAGTTATTGTGTGCTGCATAGTTTAGTCAGCAACAATACAATCATTCCATATTATTTAATGTTTATTATTCAATTAAATTATAAAATATTGTAGTTAATTTATAATTGCTTCTAGTCTATAAAAAATCAAATTTATTTAATCGACATTAAAATATAGAGAGATTTATTTTTAACATCTGGCAACAAACTAATGAAATCAAATTCCTAAATCTATTTAATTTTATTACATCATTGCTTTATAATATTTCAACTTTTCCTGCAATTTCTTAAGAGAGGTTTATTGAATTTAGTTACTGCATTTCTAAAGATATAACATTTAGAGCTTGTATTTATCTTCTACAAGTTTAAAAAAATAGCAAAGCACAATCAGGAAATTATAAAATGGTACAGCAGATAAGATTATCCTACATTCTCTCATTAATTATTTCTTCTAATTAATCTTAACTTACACTATCAACCACTAAAATTTATAGAAAATAAGTACACTGAATTTCAATAGTATTATTCATCGCTTGTCTTGGATTCAATTTCTTATATAAAATTAAAATTTAGTTTCTGTTCTCAAGAATAATCCCAACTATTTTTTTGTCAGGCTATCTAGAATAAGGCAATGTAAATACCCAATAAAATCTTTAATATCCATATACAATTTGTGAAAATTACTGTTACTGATTACCTATTCACTTATTAATGTATCTGTGATGTCATTCTATTCAAAGCATATTATCAATTAATTTGGATTTAAGGGGTTAGTTATGATCTGATCTATTCCCATATGATTTGTTTTTAAAAATTATCTAAGTTCTCCTCTCTATAATAATATAAATTAATTGTTCTAATTGATATGTTAGTAGGATTAGTTGTCACTTCTTATTGATTGATTTCCCTATTTACTAGAGATTTATGAATGTTTCAACAAACTATATCTTGGTTATTAAACCTCAACGTGCTAACTCTTTGTTGATTATGATTAAATTTGCCTTTGATAATTAAATTCATTTGACTGCTTTAGAATAGGCCTTTAAGAATATGATAGTTATTCTAATATTCTTCGTTTATCTCTTTCTCGATCTAAGCACCCACCCATATTGTTATAAAATATAAAGAAATAATTAATGAAACTTGAAATTAAATAATATATATAACTTCATGGGAATAGGGGATAACATTATTATATTTCTAAGCATGAATTGTCATTTTTTTAAATATACATACAAAATTTGTCATCAAACATAGACTTTAATTCTTTAACCAAAAACGTTAAACAAAATTCTGAACTTTTCTTATGCTTGACATAGTTACAGCAGTTTAAAAGGCTTAAGGCTGATAAAATATGAGACTTATTCTGATAAATAAGAACAAATGGTAAGTAATAATTATTAGCTAAAATTTTAAGATTAATAAAATTAAATTTTTGTTTCCATACACAATTCAGGTTATGGATAGTTTATTTAGTTTAGAGTATTTAATCCAATAATTAAATACTAAACCTATCGCTGGAAATACAAGGAGCAGCATTGAGAAATTTTTGGAAATTTTAGACAAACCTAAGATTAATTTAAATGAATTAAAAAAGTTATCTAATTAAGGTGTGCCAGATGATATAAAGGGTTTAAGATCACTTGTTTGGAAATTATTGCTAGGTTACCTACCAACGGATAGAACAAAATGGAACTCGACAATTAAAACTAATATTGAGATTTATGAATAATTTTGCAATGATCTGATTAAGTCAAAATTGCAAAAACAAATGACTGAATCAAATGAATATGAAGATCAAGAAATATAATAATCAAAAAAATAAGATCATCCACTAAGCAAATCTTTGTAATCTATTTGGAAAAGCTTTTTTGATGATCAAGTAATTTGGGAAGAAGTGGAAAAAGACACAGTTAGAACAAGGGCAGAATTGTCATTCTTTGTTTCACCAACATAAATTCCAAATAAGTATCCTGTATACTTCAGGACTTAATGTCGGAGAGAAAGGAGATTGGCAAAAGATTATGAACATCGACATTACGATGTACTCACAAGAATATTGTTTATATATGCAAAGCTGAATCCAGCAATCAGATACGTGGTATCAAATTTATGTATTTAAGCAAGGAATGAATGAATTACTTGCACCTTTATATTATGTTTTCTATAGCGATACAAACGAATTATTTTTATAATCTGTTGAAAGTGACGCATTCTTCTGTTTTACAATATTGATGTCAGATGCTAAAGATAGGTATATGATATTGCTAATTTCAAACATAGTTTTTTACGAGCACTTGATGACTCATAAGACGGAATTAAATCTAAAATGAATAATTTAAACACGTTATTACGAATTCACGAGATTGAAATATGGGATAATTTATAGAAATAAGGGATTCATCCTTAATTTTATAGTTTAAGATGGATTATGCTATATTTAACATAAGAATTTGAATTGCATAGTGTTTTTATTTTATGGGATAGTCTTTTGAGCCATTCAAATAAAAATGAATATTTACTGTTTTTATGTCTGAGCATAATAAAAGAATTAAAACCTTCTTTATTATAAGATGATTTTACAGACATTATGGAGGGTTTGTAATAGGTAGGTAAAATTTAGGTGGAAAAGATTTTATAAATAGCCTCCCAGATTTATCAGCATAATTGAGTAGTTTATAAGTATTTATTTTATTAACAGTAATTTTTTATTATTTATATCAATTCCAATTAAAAGGATTTACAAGTATATGGAAATGGTTCTTCTGAAAGACATTTTACCAATTTAAACTATTTACCTCTCCGTTAATTGAAAAAAAAGTTGAGCAATAATGAATTTTCAAAGGGTTCAATCAAGAGATCATCAAAATTATGAAGCAATTAAATAAATAATAAAGATACATAATCAGCCACTAAAGACTAAGATAAAATAAGAAATAGTCTTGAATTCTATAATTATTTATTAAATACAATAAATTAAAATAATAATAAAGATACAAATTTAGATTTATTATGTTCTTTAAAACGTAAATATATTCTAACAAATGCACTGTGTACATAGATATATAAGATTTTTATTTCATAATTCTAAATTTAATAAGAGTCTTTAAGCAATAAAATATTAATAAGTTATAATTTATAAACGTATTCTATTTTGAATAAGTATTCCAAGTAACAGCGTAAATCCAAAAATTATTAGGGCTTGGAAATAAAAAGTATAAAACTTTTATATGCTTTTTAGTTAAGGGGGTATATTTAATTATAAATTTATTATTAATTAAGTTCTTTATTATTTGATAAAGGTGAATTCATTGACGAATGTGTTAAAATTGATGAAAAATGAAGTGTGTTCCATTGTGCTGCACTATTTTGGAAGCATTTTAGTCATTTTTTATGAAGAACATCCAATCAAATGACAGATATACGATTATCCTTAATCAGCCAATCAAATTGAGAATTTTTATTTAAAAAATAGCGCTTGGGTTTTAAGTTTAAAATATTAATTATAATGGCTCCATCAAAATCACCAAAAGCAGAAGCAAAAAAGACAGTTAAGACAGTTAAGACTAAAAAATCAACCGATGACAAGAAAAAGGCAAGAAGAAGATAAGAAACCTTTGCCTTATATATTTACAAAGTTTTAAGATAAGTACATCCAGAAATTGGTGTATCAAGAAAAGCTATGAACATTATGAATTCATTCATTAATGATATTTTCGATAGAATTGCTCTTGAAGCCAGCAAATTAGTCAGATTCAACAAAAGAAGAACTCTTAGCTCAAGGGAAATTTAAACTGCTGTCAAATTATTACTTCCAGGAGAATTGGCCAGACATGCTATTTCTGAAGGAACAAAAGCTGTTACCAAATACACAAGTGGCTGATTATATAAGTTTAATTAAGTTCAGATATAAAATAGCTTCTTCCTAATTTTAACAATCCTTTTTATTTTTGTTAAATTATTTTAATGATTTTATTTAATAGAATCTACTCCTTATATTAATTCTTACCAAATATCTTCATGAAATACAATAAATTTCTCGGGAAAAGCAGAATCACATCTCAAGCTCAACACATCAATTCTTAATGATAATGTCATATAATTAATTCAAATTTTGAATCATCGAATATTATAGTATTAGAGCTACTTTGTTATTGAGTTAAAACATAGAATAGAAAATACTATTTGGGAAATATGAAGAAATATATTTGAGTGTTAGGGTATGAATGAATTATGAATTGAATTTTATGTAAAATTTATTTCCAAACCTACTAATAGCCATTTCATTCAAAGAAATGGCTACTTACGAATTTGGAATGCAGTTTGCTTTGTAATTAAATCAAGTATTTCATGTCCATGATTTGGTCATCAAATTATCACAAATTTAATTATTTTAATTATTAGAATCTAAATCGATAAAAATGTCAGATTTAATTTTATCATGAATTTAATCTTGATATATTTAATCATCAATCTCATAATCTTATGCAAGCATTACCTTTTATAGAAAATAACATCGACTTTTAGAATCATATAATCAACTTTCAAAACTCAACATAAATTTAAACATAATTTAATATTTGTAATCATTTTCAAATCGCTGATGAGTTTCAACAATATTCAAGCAGAACATAATTATAAAGTTATTTATTTTGTCAATGACAATTTATGTAAGAAAGTCTTTTTTCTATTTTCTATTAATTTTTCATTAAAACTAATGGAAATTTGAATTTTTATTTGTTTATCAATATTTGAAAGTAAAACAATTTATTCTGGCAATAATATATAATTAATATTTTTGTCATGTGACATTTTACTATGTTGTTTAGATTAATATTTAATTAGGATAATTGTAATAGACTTTTAAAGGAAGGATAAAGATATGATTTGAAAGCAGGTAGTTATTAACCTTATTTATCAAGCTTGCATAGTCAAAAATGTTTCAAATGGTAATTATCAAAAAGTATAATGAGTAAGTCAGATGATTTTACATGAGGATATGTTAATTAAAACAAATATAATGTTTATTTATTTATAATTAATTTTCAGTTTAACTAGAACTTTAATTGTTAAGAATGATGTGACCTCCTTCTACTAAGATATGATCCAAAAAAAAATATCATTTTTATGTGAATCTGGAAGGTTGACATTTGATAATGGGTTTTACACATACTAGATATTTTTGAAAGAAAATCACACAGATTACACTAATTTTACAGATGCCGATCAGTTATGGATAATGTTAACTAATAATGGTTGCTCATCTATAATGCATGCTTATGATAAATACGGCCCATTCATTTATTAAAATAAACAGCTTGACTTGCACCCCTACTCTTATAATAAATTTATAAATTTATTATATATAGATCAGCCCTTTGGAGTAGGCATTTCTGAGGGTTTTGGAGAAAGGAATGATAATGCTATAAAGATTTTGGAGTTTATTGAAGAATTCTTAGTGAACAATGGTATACCAAATATGAAAATAATGTTATATGGAAAGGAGTATGTGTCATAGCTATTCTCAAAAATTATTGAGAATTCGATAGGATATAATCTAAATATAGAAGGCATCATCCTTGAAAATGCTTGGGTTAGCCCAATTCATTAGATTGGATATTATGGATCTTTTTTGTATTAATTAGGATTAATAGATGATTAAAGAAGAGATGAAATCTATTATAATACAACACAAATTTAGGTCTAATTATTAAATTAGAATTTTACAAATATAACTTAACTGAAAACTTTAGTAAATCAAAGCCAAAGTGAACTTAAATTAATAGAGGATGATAGAAATAACAATTTAGAGGATATTACTCAATTCATCAATGATCATTCCTTCAAACTATTCGATATCAATAAAGATGATTATTAGTTCTGTAATGATACCCAACATGAGAAGGCTTAACAATAACTGCTAATTTCCACTTTATTTGAAATAGAGATGATATTAAATAGATAAAAAAAAGTAATTGTTCTAGTGAAACAAATATAATTCACAGTAACAACTCCAGGCATAGTAACTTGGGTTAATTAATTAAGATGGCAGCATATAACAAAATGGAGAATGAGTGAGAAGAAATTTATACAAGAAGAATATTATGATAAAGCATAAAATTTCACCAAAAATAAAACAGTTGGATATATCAAGTAATTTGATAAATTAAAATATATTGTGGCTTACGATGAGTTATTCAAATTATTGAATTAAATTATTATTGATAATTGATTATAAAATAAACTATATGGGTCTATGTTCAACTTATTGTTGTAAGAAAGATGATACAAAGACAGTAGAAAAGTAAATAATAACTGAGGTTAACCTTGCCTTAACAACAGAAGATCAAAAAGCAACTGAGATACAAGAGAAAATAACTTCAATTATTAAAATATAAGCTCATTACAGAGGTCATTCTGTTAGGAAAAAAATGAAGAAAACAGCTAATACTCAATAAAATAAGGAAAGTTCGCTTTCTAATAGAATTTGCATTCTCGAAGCTCTAAAAGTAGAGGATTAATTAAGAATTTAAGAAACTGAAAAAAGCTTAGAACCGATATAAATGTCTGAAATAGAAATGGTTGACGGAAGCAAGTACGAAGGATAGTGGATGAAAGGATAAAGATGGGGGTATGGAAGGCATAAATGGGCTGATGGTTCTGTTTATGAAGGTGAGTGGAAGCATAATTTAGCTTGGGGAAGAGGTAAACTAATACATGCAGACGGAGATGAATATGAGGGAGAGTGGTAGAGAGATTAGGCAGATGGTTTTGGTATATATATTCACTCAAATGGGGCTCGTTATGAAGGATAATGGAAAGATGATTAACAGAACGGGAAAGGAGCAGAAATTTGGAAAGATGGATCTAAATACAATGGAGAGTATAAAGGAGGGTAGAAGCATGGATATGGACATATATATTTTGCAGATGGATCATCTTACGTTGGATAATTTTTTGAAAATTAGATACATGGAGAAGGGGAATATGTTTGGTTCGATGGAAAATCCTATAATGGCCAATGGAAGAATAATTAAATGGATGGAAAGGGTACTATGATTTGGGCAGATGGTAAAAAATACGAAGGAGAATATTTAAATGATCAAAAGCACGGATATGGTAAATTCTATTGGGAGGATGGACGTTACTATTCAGGATAATGGTTGAATGGAAAATAGGATGGGGAAGGCGAATACACTGCAGCCACAGGTGAAAATAGAAAAGGGTATTGGGAACAAGGAAAAAGGATAAAATGGTTATGAAATTACCCAATTCTCAAGATAAATTTTGATTTTCTTATTTTTTCTAACTAACTGTTTATAAAATATATTTAATGAAGATAAACTCTGCCAGCCAATAAAAATTAGCTAATCCAAGGCCATAAACTTCAACGCAAAAAACAGGCTCATCTCCAATAAAGAACAATAAGTATGTTGTATCGGGATGATGTTAGATATTTGGTTTCATCAAGTATATCCACAGCACCTAAAATTGATAATAAAATACTAAAGTCAATAGCAATATCTCATGATTTCACTTCGTCAAATAAATCTGGAACTAATTCCTACATCAACAATTAATAATAGGATAAAAAATAAAATTTTCGCAACTAATTCATACTTGATATTAATGAAGCAAATTCGAAAAAAAATAGACCTTCTTCAAGACTATAAGTGCAGCGATTAGTCAAAAATAATAAATTAGATAATAATCTTAAGTATCATGAAAATTTGATTCAAAAGCAATTCCAAAAATTATTAGGCCTCCAAAAACAGAGTTAAAATCTACATAAATCTCCTCCTCAAATACATTATAGAGCTATGAGTAACGGAGATCTTAAACCTACAAGTGATGTTGCAAATAAATTAGTTGAGTATATAAAAAAATAATCTGCTATACAGATTAAGGGTTATAGATCAATATCAAATCCAGATATCATTCAAACAGATAGAAGGCTTATCTCAAAATTTGCAGTTAAGTATGTATTCCAATTAATGTTATTAGAACTCAAGCCGGATTGCTATATACAAAATAAGAGAAGGTAAATCAGGATTCTTATGCAATTCATGAAAGAATAGGAGATATCAATAATTCATATTTGTTATAAGTTTCAGATGGACATGGTGTGAATGGACATGAAGTTGCATAATTCGTTTAAGAAAGATTACCAAATATTATTGATTAATTATTGAAATCTCATAAATTGGGTAAGAAGGATTAAGATATGATGATATAAGTGATATTAAGATAAGCATTTGAAAGAACAACGAAAGAATTATATAAATCAGGAATTGACATCACTTATAGTGGAGCTACAACTGTGTGCTTATTAGTTATTAAGCATACTGGTTGGTGTGCTAATATTGGAGATTCAAGAGCTATTATTGGAAGGCAGAAGGATGGATTACATGTGATTGAACTTTCGCATGATTAAAAGCCTGATTTACCTAAAGAGGAGAAAAGAATAGTGCAAAATGGCGGAAGAGTTTAGGCATATTCCGATGAAGAAGGAAATCCTATTGGTCCTGCAAGAGTTTGGTTAAAAAATGAAAATGTCCCAGGGTTGGCCATGTCTCGAAGTTTTGGAGATTATGTCGCCGCTTAAGTAGGTGTAATCTCGATTCCAGAAATAATTAAACATACATTTTAAAATGACAAATTCCTTATTATTGCATCTGATGGAATTTGGGAGTATCTATAATATATATTCTAGATTTCTCGATAATTAATGGATTATAGACACAGTTTTTGGTTATTATTTGAAAAATGATGCTGAAGGAGCTGTAGATAAATTAGTGAAAGAAGCTACAGAATCATGGAAAAAGGAAGAAGAAATTATAGATGATATCACTTGTATAGTTGCCTTTTTAAATTGATTTAAATCGTAATCTTATTTTCTGATGTTCTATCATTAAATCAAATTCCTTAATATTACGATATAAATTGATCTTAATTTAAATTAATTATTTACAAAATAAATAATTTGATTATGAACAAAAAATATATTTAAAGGAAATCAAAAATTTCAGATGTTATTTAATTAAATAAGTAATAAATGTATGAAAATTTAAAGATAAGATAATCCTAATATATTTATGATAGATCATCACTATGAATCCCTAAATTTATTAACCAACGTCTTAATTTATTCTATTGATTTATCATTTTGTTTTGGCAAAATATCTTTCTTTTCTTTCTTTTCAAATGTTTAAATATTAAAGGTGTTCATATTTCTTAATTATTCAAATAAACGAGAAAATTCATGTAATAATAATTAAACCTCAGTATCTTCTTTGATTAAAATATCATCAGCCTGTATTTTGTTTATTATTCTGATTTAAAATATATTGTTTATGATTTTATCAATTTTATAAGTGACTTACTTGATTGGATTAGTAATATCTCTAGTAAATAAATTGACCCTATTTATTATAATCAAAATATTAATGAAAAATATTACTATTGTTATTAAATAATAGGGCCATGCCAAATTGAATAAATCTAACGCTTAGACCGAATCGTTTATTCTTTATTTGTATATTACTAAATAGATTTAAATCGAGCTATCAGTTGATATGTCTCTAACGTACAATGAATTGCATGAATTACTGGAATAATAGTTATTATCTCCTTTTGGCATGTCACATTCAAAACTGATATTCAAAATTCTATTCGTCTGACACTCACATTGATCATTCATGTTTTAATCATTTGAAACATAAAAGGAATTATCTGTTTTAAATATTTTTATAAAAAAGGATGACTCTAAATTTGACAAAATTTATTTAATTATATTGGTATATCCAATACCTAAAACCATTCCGTAATTTGTTGGATATGAAAATATCACTGTTTCATTACTATATAGGATTTACTATTTTTGTTCAAAATTGAGATAATTTTCATTCAAATTTTCTATAACAGGAAAGTAATGAATAATTTTATTTCGCTTATTTATGAGGTAGAATTGATGAAAAAAGACATAGATATCATCATAATTAAACATCATTTCTAAAATATACTTATCAATTTGAGCTAGTCTTAAAGTTTATAACCATCCTTCTTAATCCATAGGTTCCGTGATTTTGTATAAGGATCTATATAAAGATATATTATTTTAAGCCAATTTATGGGATAGTATGTATTTCTCAGTGAAAGTGTCATTCGAAATAGTAAAATTATTGAAAGTGATAGGAGTATAAACATAATTTGTAGTTGATCTTTCTGATAAATAGGCGAGCAGAATCAATTGTTTATAATACCCATCAACTTTTGATAAAATAGTTTTAGTTAATTTTTGACTGTAATCCAAATCCTCATTCATATTGAATTTTACTTTATTTTCAGAACTTCCAATATAGCCAAATAAAATCCCTAGCATCATCACGACTTAATAGGGTTGTTAAGCTTACAGACAACTGACTTTAACATTATCAATTTAAGCATCAATCTACCATTGATAGAATTGAAGAACTTTATCCACAATTCTTATGAAACTAATTCTCTTAACTTATCTACAATTTTTAACATAATTTAATTATTTCTTATTTAAACATTAACTAATGCATAACAGTTCCTTAAATATAATATAAATCTTCTGACAAATAAGTAATTAAGAACAAATAACCCAAGAATAATACTTATTATTTAAAATATAAATATTAATGTTCTCTGGTATTTAATAGATTTATTAATAAAACTCTATTTATTCCTGTAATGGTTCTTTGAAGTAGAAAGACTTTAATAGATAATAAGAATAAAATTAATAAGAACTACTTTATTCCATTAATATAAAGATTTCTTTAAAGGTTTTTAATGTTATGACTTTTGATCAAAATTAAATATACAATATATGGACTTATAATATGAGGAGGGAGAGATCTTGACACAAAAAGGCGAAAAATTAGAAGGTGTAGATAGCGAATCCTCATTGCGTTCACTTGTAAGAATTTCTTAACAGTTCAGAGCGATACAAATAGAGAGGAAAGAGTGCGCAAGACATTAAAGGATGAATTAAACACTTGTTCCTATGCTTGTCCCCTCTTTAACTTCTTAGGCCATTGTACTTAAGTGGAATGCAAGTAAGATGATATATATTGTTAAAGAAAGAGACACATCTTTATATAAGATGGATTCGATTAATTAATAAACGAGAATCAACCATTACTGGATGTGCTGGTGAGAAATGGAGAAAAACTTAGAGTTCCTTATTAGAAAGGTCTCTCTAAAGAAAGTCACACGGAAAGGCATTAAATTATCAAACCTTGGGTGATAACTAATTATACTCTTGGATTCTGTGAAAAAAACAAAAGAGCATTAATTCATAAATTGAAAAAAGACATTGATAGAATGCAAAACAAACTTAAGATTATAAACTAATTGAAGAAATGGGCTGTGCTTAAAGTAGTAGATGAGAGCGATTTTGCAGAAGTGTACTGCTCGCTCAACCCAACTTAGCAAATACATTTTATGAATATTTTTAGAGTTCTTGAGTTATAACCACCCTCATTTCAATGATCATAAAATTTAGAAATATTTTTCTTTATATTTAGGTCTGTTTTCCATTGGAAAATTAGGGATCGTTGATAATTAGAACAACGTTTCTTTCAATTCTAATTCACACTCATCTCTAAATTTATTAAGCTCTTCCACAAATATATTTTCAGATCTTAATTTCATCTTAATATCTAATTGTTTATCCCATATAAACGTTAGTAATCTAAACTCCTATTATTACTATACCTCTTTTCTTACTCAATGTCTACAAATAAGTCTCTCTCATGTTCTATAACTGTTTTTCTCCCTTGATTCCATTTGACAACCAAAGGAGTTAAGTCGTTATTATTCAGTATGCCATCAACAATCATACATTTTTCCAAAATTGGAAAGGTTATTTTCTTTTATATTTATACAACACTCTAAATAAGCATTTAAAATTCTTACATGTTTTGGTCCCCCTAAGTATTCTAATATTTCTTCATTGCTGAACATTCCCCATTTTTTTAATGGATCCTTTATTGTTTTTACTGAATTTAAACAAGATTTAAAGAATTCTGGATCCTATAATTTCTTAATTAGAAAGTTCTCTAATTTCTTTTAAGGATCCACTTCTTTTTTTTGTAATACTACACATTCTTAACCTGCATAGAAGATTTTTTCTGCTTCGTCTTCGTTAAGGGTATACCAACATTAAAAGGCATTCGTCCAAAATTACTCTAATTATTTTTCAGTTCTCTATATGATTGCTTCAGGTTTTTATTTCTTTGGTTTAGTTGATTGCTTAGCTTGTAATTTATTATTAGCCAGTCTCTCTAGATTGCTCAATTAATTATTAAGCAATTAATCTCTATCTTTTTTTTCCTTTATTTATTCTTTTTCATAATACCTCTTCTATTAAGAAAGCTTTTTAATAAAGTCACTTTCATGTTTGACTCCAATCTAAAATAAATGATTTTCATTACAAAAACTCCATTATAATCAACCATGAACTCTATTTCATTAAATTTTAGTTATTAAACATCCCCTGTGTTTGTGTTATATATATCTACATCTCTTAATTTAAATTCGAATACACCCAATTATTCATTATTTTTCCAAGATAAAATAGAGTTTACATAATTATCAAAAGGTTATGTTACTGCTAACTTTTAGGTTTTGTATTAATAGTTATATTTAAAGGTAACTGAAACCATATATACTTAACCTTAAGCAGGCCAATCAAATGACCTCTTTATTTTTTGTTTTAGTTTCCATATTTTTTGCTCAGCTACTTTTATTTTCTACTCATCAAGTGCCTATTTTTAAGCTCTGATATTATAATACACATACATTCAGTATTGGTTTTATTGATTGGAGACAATTCATCACTCTCTAATTGTCTTTCCAATTCTTTAATATCATTCTGATTTAATCCATTTACAAATTGATCATATGATAGATCCAAACTGTTATTATTTTACTAACTTGATTATATAACAAATTTCTGATATTATTTTTTTGGTTACTCTATCTTTTTTTATGGAAGTGATATTTTCTATTAAGCCTCTATCTTGGAATTTCTTTACTTTTCTGCTTATCTCTTATTTGCTGCCTCCCTATATTAGATTAAACAATTAAACTACCTATCGATATTATCATCAGGTTTGATCCCAACATCTTTTATTTTAGCCTACTCTCCATAATCAGGGGATTTAGGTCTATTATACACTGGTATTTAATCTTCAAGTTAAGCTTCATTTGATTTTGGTGGATCTGGTTTTTTTGAAGGTTTAGAACCCATATAATAATATTAATAAATAGTAATTTTTATTATTAGAAATCAACATTTCGTTTTTTTGAGTATATCTCTGTAACCATATCTCAAATTTAAATAAATGAGATATGCTAAGACCAATTAATTAGTAAAAGATTACATGCTCAATATTTAATTATGCAATCCTAAACTTTCAATTTCATATAATTTTTATTATAAATTGTACTTCTCCTCTTGCTAATAATTATTTTATTAAGAAATCTAAAAAAGCCTTAAATTTCAATTACAGCATAGTGCCTATTAGAACATTTAGTTGAATTTTCAAAAATATATTCTGAATCAAGATTCAATTAAGTTAAGTTAATAATTGATAATCTCATTGCTAAATCGAATTCCTTATCAATTTCTTAATATAAGAGTAGTTTTTAATATCATCCACTTTATTATCAAATTTAGATAATCTTTTTAACATTTCTTATTGAACTTGAAAAATCTTAAATTTCAAATACTTTCTCAAGATTCACAGTTGATTGAGATCGTCTATACAATCATTTTTGTCTATTTTGTTAGATGTTATCTCTCATGGCACAAAATTGAACAATCCATAAGAAACTTAATATTATTTTATTTTATAATTTGAAGTGAAATAAAATTTCAAAATTTGTTTCCATTTAATCCTCTATCATTATTGAAAATTGAATAAATATTGGCTGAAGTACTTCGAAGAGGATGAAAGTTTGTAGAACTCTTTGATATTTAGGATTATTTATCACAGAGTCTAAAATTTGAACTGGTTGTTTGCTATTAAAATATTCTAATTGAAGGTCTTCTTTCAATGACATTGTCATAATTAGTAACATTTTTTTTTTCTGGAAACAACATTAGAGTCTTATTATCAAAAAAATACTCTTACTTTCTTAATTTAACCATTCTCCTCATTTTATCCAGAGGGTAGGTAACATTGTTTTTCTTCGAAATGCTTCCTACCTGTTTATGCTGGTTATTGTGTATTTTCTTTGTTAAACATTTTTTTCTTATGTAACTTCAAATCAGATTAAAGAGTTGTTCTTCTCATTCGTTAATAATTAATATTATTATTAAATTAATCTAGAAAATGAACTAAGATTATAAAAGTTATCCATTATAATATAATTTACATATAAAAATCTTAAGTAAGAACAAAACCTATAATATTTTAATTATTTTAAACGTAATTCGATAAATATTTTTAAGAAAGGCTTACATTTATTATAGATAGTAAGAGGATGATAAATAATGAAATATGTTAAATTTTGTTAATAACTGTTATAATAAGTTTCAGATCTTTAAAGAAGCATTGTCTTATTAAAAAAATATTGTGAATATGAATTCTTCAGTAATATCTACAAAAAGTCAATAGCTTTTATTAACATACCTTTGCAAATTGAGATATATATCATTAGAATTAGTTTAGTTAGGATTGAATTCAAAATAATCTTAATTTTATAGATAAATAATAAGTTGAATTCGTTTCCTTTTACTTAGGTGATTTGTTAAATAAAAATGACTCTAAAATCCTGATCCTGGTTATGTCTATAACAGGTGCTAAGTACTTAAACATCTCATTTATTGGTGATACTTTATGAATTTAAATCATTTTTAACTAAATTATATATATTTATTTAAGATTTTGGATTAAGTCTAAATTAAATTTAAGAGAATAATTATTAATTTCAAAAATTATTCTAACAAATCAATAAACTCAAAAATAGGTGTTAATATCAGCACCTGTAAATTTATTGTAAAAAGAAAGAAAGAAATTATCAGCTAATTTTATTATTATTTTAACTTTATTAGAACAACTATATAAAAAAGAGACAAATAGAGGAGAATAAACAAAAAAGAATACTTAGGATGATGTTTTGAGTTGCTAAGTTGAGAAAGCTAACGTATTCTACAGAAATAAAGTGTTACCTGATATGTGGATCATCAATGAATCAAGTGATAACTCAGGTATATAGAAATATCGATCTACAATTCACATCGAAATGATAGTCCAATGTAGGATAAAAATAATTGGAGATAGAAAATTAAAACTAAGAAATCAAAGAATAAACAGGTTTGTTGAATGATATATTTATAACAATTTCAATTAAATGTATTGTAATTTTTATAAAAATTAAGAAGAATTCTTATTTGAATTTGATAAACATATTATATAAATGAAAGTACCCGTTAATATGATTTCTGATGAGAATTTTTGATTTTGAAGTATCATTATGATTAAATATAATGTGTTTACTATTGAGTTTTTAAATTATAAATAATCTGAAGGTGAAATAAAATTTGTTTCGAGTGATAACTAGGTAATATTTAATCGAAAAGAGAGTTATTAGTATTAAAAAGACCCATAATTTGAAATATCTTAATTTCAAAATACCTAAATATAGTAGATAATTTTTGTATGTTCATGTATTTTAGCTTCGTAATATTTGGATTTAGTTTTGATTCTTGACAACTGCTGATAGCTAATTATTATTTTATTTTAAAGAAGTTTTTGGCGCTTTCTAGAGGTATAATGAATGACTCATAAGTTTGATAGGAAAATGTACAACATAGATCCTGGTATGAAAAGAAGAAAATAAACAAGAGTTCGTAAGCAATTAGTTAAAGCGAATTTGCAGGATGAAAGTGAAGAAAATTCCTTAATTGAGGTATAATAGAAGGTCACAAAAAAATATCAAAATTATTTGCATACCTTGAGAAAAATGGGCGATTATGATTGGACTGATATAGAAAATACAAATAACTCCAAAGTTATTTATCCAAGTATGCATTTTCTTATATCAAAGTTCAATTTTTGCAAGCATCTACACTCTAATTTATGATTGCAGCACTCTATTTCAATTGCGATCAAGAGTATCTCTAATAATGTCTGCATGAAATTGAGAAAATATTGAAGAAAAATGAATCAATATATGGTACTTAAATATAAGAGTAAACATCTTTTGATTTAATTAGTGATTGCAAAAAATAGAAAAATAAAAAAGGGTATGATGTGAATGACGATATCTTCATTTTAGAAATGAGAAACTTAGGTTAAAAAGACTTAGATGAATTAATTACAAACTAAGAGTACTATCAATAAATATGATTAGAATTGAATTAGAACAAATGACAAAATAAAATGAAGAAACTTTGCAATAGTTTATCAATCTAGTGCCAACAGTTAAATAGCATTTAAAAACAGACCAGCAAAATAATCTTTTGAGAGATATTGCAGGACTGACAGAAACAGAAAAGCAATACATAGAAAAAACAGAAATGAAAATCTAAGCAGATGAGTAAAATACAGTTGTTTAGGAGACAGGAAAAAAAACATAAGGAGGAGGAATTCACTTATAACCAAATTTAGATGATGCATTATGTTAAGTTTGTAATGATGGAGATTATACTGATGATAATCTAATAGTCTTTTGTTCTAAATGTAACATATCAGTACACTAAAAATGTTATTTAATTGAAATAATACCAAATGAAGATTGGATATGTGATGTTTGTTAAACATTTGGGCCAAATGGACAATATTTAAGATGTGCCTTATGTCCTAAATTAGGTGGAGCTATGAAAGCAACTCAAATAGATGCATCATGCTTTTCGAATTTAAATTAAACCTATTTTGAATCTTAAGGAGAAACTATGATGAAGAATGACTTTGTGTCTAAATTATGTAATAATATACATTATAATCAAGTTTAATAAATTGATGATGACTAAGAACTCTATTATGATTTTGGGAAATTACCAAATAGAGATATTCGTGATTTAGAAAGTAATAAGGAAATTAAAGAACCATAGCCTTAAAAAGTTTGGATCCATTTATCTTGTTTTTATTGGTCTCCTGAATGTTTCTTAGATGAAAAATAAGACATTTTGAGAGGAGTAGATAATATCAATGCCAAAAGATTTGCTCTTAATTGCAGCATTTGCAATATTAAGAAAGCGGGAATGTGTATATAATGTGCCAGAAGTAGCTGTTCTACTTCTTTTCATGTTGAATGTGCCAGACGATCTGGAATTTTCCTGACTTAAACTGTTGTCAATAACAAACCAGATTACTAGATTTTCTGTTAAAAACATGTTCCCCTTAAGGTTAAGAGAATCCTAGAATCCAAGCAGAGATTATATGAAAGAGAAATAATTGATTTCTTTAGAGCGTATGAAAAGTGTCGACAAGTGCATAAAAAGTCTGTTTAAAAGCCAAAAAAGATAAAAGCAACTAAAGATCAAAAACAAAAATAGGAGAGTCAGGAACACACTGAGAATGAGTTCGATTTAATTGATTTCGCCAATAAATTAAAAGAGTTTATAAATTAGATCACTGATTAATAGCTTATTGTTAATCTAAAATTAGAATAGGGATAATATGCTATTGAATCCATTTCAGGACCAGTTCTCAAACCATAAAAATAGTATAAGCTCACAATTTTACCAGAAGTATATTAAAATAAAGTTGATGCCAATGGCTTACTAGTTACGTAATTTTATAAAAGTACTATTACTGCGACAGATGAATTATGGAAGCATTTCAAGTATAGAGATTATGAAAAAGACATCACATACAAAATGTATGAAAAATTAAGAAGAAGGGCAAGTAAATACATGCAAGAAATAAATCCGCAAAAAAAATAAGCCAAGCTTATCGATATATTGATGTTAAAGAAATATAAAAAGAATAATAAGGCTGAATAAAAAAAGGAAATTATTATCGAATAAGTAGGAGATGAGTATTTTTAGAGGGATGACAATTTATACTGTGTATGCAGAGGGAAGTTTAAAGATGGGGATCCTATGATTTGTTGTGAAACATGTGATGAATGGTTTCATTTTGATTGTCTGGAAATGACAATACCATTCGAAGAAGCTTCTTAAATCGAATTTAAATGTTTCCTATGTGTTGATGATTTGCCTTAACAAGAAAGAGCTGCAGTCCATAATATATAATCAAAAATCTTTAAAGATTCTTCTTTTAAATTACAAAGAGAATTGGCAGAAAAATGCAAATTAGATGAATTAAGAAGGTAAAGGATAAAGGATTTGCAAGAGAACAAATTAAATGAAGAATTAAATGCTGATATTGGTAATCCTTAAACTCAACCAGAAGATAAAATTTTGATTGAAGAGTAAAATAATGAAGTGAAGCAATGCATCTAAGAAGAATTGAATTTATTTGGAAATAATCAATTTCAAACTAAAAACTAGGTCTTTGATTAGGATTAAATTTAAATCGAAATGCAATTAGATGCAAATGAAAAGAACAAAAAGACTGAAGACCATGTTAAAACACCCAGTAAAACAGAATCTGTGGAAGATCAAGACAATCATAAATTAGAAGTTCCAGAAACCTAAGAAAAAGTTAATAATAATAAATTTAAACAAAAATCAATTAAAGACTATTTCTAAAAGGTAAAGTGATTATATTTAATTCACATTATTGCACAACATGTATCTCCTCTTCTCCATTCTACATACGGACGTGTAACAAAGTTTGGCTAACCCTTCAATCTCCAGACATCATTTCTTGATTTTGACAGGATATGATTTCTGATTTCATCTAAAAATTAATCTTTCTTGCTTATCTATAGGTGTGGGCTGCTAAAATCATTAATATTGATATCTTTCCCTTAGTGTGACATTTTATTTAATAATAATATTAAAATATATTATAATAATTTATTAACACAGACGTATTACCTGTTAGGAATTTTAAGAATAAGAAAAGTAGCCTTCTCTTTATCATAAGTCGTTATCAGATAGAAAATAGCAAAAACTAATTTTTGGATATTTAGGAAAATAGAATTTTAGATCTTAATCACTAAATCCCTATAAAAATACTAACATTTCTAAAATCAATAATATAAAATAAACAATTATAGTTTTTTTTTTTGAAAGCAAAGTTCTCTAAATTCAATCATCTAATTTAGCTTAAATTTGTTGAATTTAATGTTGTATTTTTATTTTTAGTATTTTTTAATAATCTTTACTTATCCATTTTTAACTTAAATATTTATAGAAAGTAAATACATGAGGAGCTAAGAAATGTTGAATTAATTGATTATCAAACTTTGTTTAACTGAAAAAAGACGCTGTAGAAAAATCAATGCCCTAGATTTATTTACAATAAAAAAATTTATGGAATTCAAGTCGTATTTATATTGAAAGAGAAACCAATCATCCTTATCTATTGATAATTAAAAGTGATTGGCAATATTCAAAAATTATTTAAATATTGATCCGTTTTTCAATTAAATTTCGTTTTTATACAAAATCCCATTACAAAAGGTTGCTAACCTGTTTTTATGGAGCAAATATTAATTGAAATGAAAGTCACAATTACATTGTTAGTGATCTTGGCCATAGCTAATGCTAGTATGGTTCAAAAGTTCCCACTCAAATATGGTGGCAAAAGAAGCTTAATGAATATCATGGTTGAAGTTGAAAACAAGATCAAATCTCATTCACCCCTAGATACAATCAAAGGAGTTCTTGATAATTTCAAATCAGCTGTCACTGAAGAATAAGGAACCCATGATGCAGTATATGCTGCTCAATAAGCAGAATGCTAAAGTGAAATTGCCTACAGAAGAGCAGAAGTTGATGATGCTAAAGGAACACTAAAAATTGCAAATGAAATCCTCAAGACTTCTAACATTTTGTTGAAGAAAACTGAAGCTACACTTGGAGAAACTGAAAATATCCTTAATTCTGTGTCTCTACATATTGATCTTATTAATGATGTGAGAAAAGAAGATACATAATCTTACAATAGAGGAGCTGTTATATTTAATGATGCTATAAATGCTATAGATGATGCAATTGACCTTGGAACTACTTTGGTTAAAGGAGAGGCCAGCCTAATTCAAGTAGCTGAGATAACAACCAAATTGATGTTGGCTTCTATTTCCACAAAAATGAACAAAGCTTTCAAGATTCCATTGGCTGCTTTAGCTTCTATCAAAAACGAGGAGAATGATGCTGGTGCTGCAGAAAGACTTGTTCAATTATTATAATCTTTAAGAGGTAATGTTGAAGATGCTTGGACCTCCTATACAGCTGAAAATACGAATGCAATAGCTCTATTCATCTAATAAAAAGATTTATACTTAGCTACTTAAGAAAGACTTGAATCTTCAAAATAATAATTGGTTAGTAAATCTGAAAATATTCATGGAGTAATCACAGTATAAACAGCTGTTGTGTAAGCTGCTACTGGTAAGAAATAAAGAAACCAAATCTTATGGGACGATGCAGAAGATTTATGTCATAGTTTTGATGTAGAATATGAAGCTGTTACAGAAGGAAGAAGATAAGAATTAATTTTAGTATAAGAATTAGAAAGAGCTGTCGAGAGAAGAGCTGCAGAATAATAATGAGATATAAATCAATTTAGATATCATATCAATTCTTTATTCAACATTTCTGGCTTAATGCACATACTATGCTTTTTTAATAAAAAGTTAATAAATTTTAAAGTATTAAAATATTAAGACGATTCTTAATTAAAATGGACACATATAATCATATACAAGTTGTATCATTATTGTTATTAAATATCATTTTAGTAACAATAATTTAGTAAGAAAAAGAAAGTTGAAATGTTTAATATATTTCTAAAATCATATTTAATATATAATAGCAAATTAAATAACTGTTTAATAAAACTAAACCTTTATTAATCTGAATTAACTTGAAAAACATATATCTTATTGATATCATATCCTACGTTCTCAAGATCATAATAGCTCCACTGTTTAATCTATAAAGGTTTGCTTGGCATCAACTACTAAATAATAGAGTTTTCCCAAGCTGAATTGAATATTTATCATCTATACTAATTGTAGTGTTTTTCATTGATGTGAATGCATATATTTGTTTTTTATAGTAAGAGCATAGGTTTTAAACAAAGTGACATTTAATGAAGTGATAATGTAGTTAATCAGCTCTGCAGAGAGGATATAGATTGACGTTTTCTGAATCATAAATATAATAAAATATAATTGTTCTTAAATAATGAGTATATTATCAGGAAAATTCTAGACTATCGTTAGTGGTGGATGATAATTTTTAGTCTTCTCTAAGCATTTTCTCTAACTTCATAATTCTCTAAAGAATGACCTCGTTTTTCTAGGGTAGTTATTGCTAAATACTTATTAAGATATCTAAAGCTCCTATCTGGATTTATGAATTTCAATGATCAGCATCATGTTAACATTTTAAATTTCTGCCTGTTATACTTTCATCTATTCTAATTCTTTCTCAAGCCTTTAAATTTATAGACTCTGACTATGTGTGTGTCTTATTGGTTGTTTGTTGGCTTATTGTTATTGGCTACCACATTTTCTGTGTTTTGGCTTGGCATCTTTGGTGGAAGGTGTGGCTAACAGCATAAATACAAGAGATACAGCTGCACTCTGTAATGGTACTAAGATCTAAAGATTATTTTGGTTTAAATTTCATCTAACCAAAATTGAACATCGCATTGAATAACCCATAATTTTGATCATCCAGTTTTTCAACTATCTAATGGTGGAGTATTGGCTGTTGCTAAATTTTTTTAATGATTTCCTTTGTTTCGTTGGTATCATTGTCGTCATCTTAAACTAGAAATTCTGTTTATATGGGAAAGTAGTTGCCACTAGATTTTGTTCTTCGATGATGGTTGTTTTTCATATTATTTAGTATAAATAATTTAAAATTTAATCTGTCAATTTAATAATGCAAATACATTTGTTGGATCCTCAATTAGATCAATGTTTTGATGGTTTGCTTTTAACTTCTTGACACTATTATTACTGAAAAATAATATATATAAATTATATTTAGATAAGGAATGTTATTAAATTAAATATTAAATGATTGATTTCGATCCGTCCACATTTGGCTTAGCTCACACCTATTAAAAGGAAGACAAGGATGAAATCAACACATTAGCTTTGCCATCTGCACCATAAGTAATTTATAAAACTTTGAATGGTCCAACTTAAATCAATGGAGGAAATAAACTAACTAATTTCAAACATGGAACAACAACCTTAGGATTCGTATTTAAAGAGGGAATTTTATTGGCTGTTGATTCAAGAGCCAGCATGGGCAGCTTCTTGAGCAGCGAATAAGTAAGAAAAGTAATTGAAATTAATGAATACTTATTGGGTATTTTAGAAATTTAACATTCTTTAAGGTACAATGGCTGGAGGTGCAGCGGATTGTCAATATTGGCTTGCTTATTTAGCGAATCATTGCAGAACATATGAATTGAAAAATGGTAGTAAATTGAGTGTTGCTGCAGCTTCGAAATTCTTATAAGGAATTTTAATAGGGTACAGAAATTCTGGTCTCTCGATGGGATGTATGATTGCAGGAACTGATACAACTGGGTAGCATTTATATTACATTGACAATGATGGAATGAGATTAAAAGGCGACATCTTTTCTGTGGGTAGTGGTAGCACATATGCTTATGGTGTTTTGGATAATCATTATAGATATGATTTATCTTTGAATGAGGCTGTAGAGTTAGGAATTAGAGCAATATATCATGCTACTCATAGAGACACGGCATCTGGAGGAGTAGTTAGAGGTAATAAGTCTTCATTTACATAGTTTATCATATCCATAAGGATGGGTGGACCAAAGTTCATGATGGCATCGATGTTGTAGATTTACATTACTAATTTGCTAAACAAAAAGGACTTGTAGGAGATGGAGACGAGGCAAAATAGAGATTGTTTTGATATTAAATACATAATATTAATATTAATTTTAAATAATTTATTCAAAAGTGTCAAGTAATCCGATTAAAAAGGGTTTAATACCAAATCAAATAGTTATCTTCTAATATCTTAAATTTCAATACGTTTTTTGCAATTTGAACCTAACATTCATCAATTAAGTAGCAAGATTAGTTTAATAATAGAATCTTAATTTTAATGACCACAATATATTTAATGAATTAACAAATATTAAAAAAAATGGGGATCACAGAATTTGATTTGCAGCCTCTTAAAAAGATCAAAGTGCCAGCTGATTATGAGAATGATGTGTAGTTTTATACAGAGGCAATAACTAGGCAGCATGAAAAAAGGAGACAAAAATTACTAATGGAATATGAAGAATTATTAATTTCAAAATAAGTTGAAAGTTCTCATGCCCCATAATCGATTGTTTAAGAAGATAAATCTGAGAGTGTACAAAGTTCTAAAATAAATGAAAAATTGATGAGGGTGTAAAAGATAAATTAAGAGCAACGAGAATAACAACTACTGCTATATTCTCAGAAACAATAGTTAATAGAATCACGTAGAAAACAAATCAGCAGTGAAAGAGAACTTAAAGCATAATAAAAAGAAGTATTAGACACCTCACGAATGGAATAAGTTTAACGAAACAGAGCTTAGCTTTAGAAACTGACACAAGACAAATTTGAGAAACGCAAATTGAGTTATGATGCCAAGTTATAAAAATATGAACTTTTTAGATAAGCTTAATACATTGCCCCAAGAAAAACAAGGTTTGATGAAACTATGGCTCGATATTAGAGAAGTGTTCAGGAGAGGAAATAACAAGATAAGGAAAGATTAAGAAAATTAGAAGAAAGCTTAGAGAAGGCTAATTCTAAGAAATCTTCAAACATCATAGAAATAAAGAGGAGAGGCTTGCTTGAATAATTAAAAATAGAAGATGTACTTTTCAACAGAGAAAGATCATAACATGCATAATAAATTCGATTGCTAGATAAATTACAAGTGAGAACAGAGATATTGAGACCTAATAAGAACGAACCCAAAGCTAAACCTTATCCATTCCCCAAGTTCCTCTGTCAAAAAGAGTAAAGAAAAGAAAACTCATCAGCAATATTCCACTTTGCTTCAGAAATTGCAGAGTAACTAGATTAAGTTAGTATCCATGACTTAGAGAGTAAACTACTAGAGTTGAGCTCGGCTTAAGACAAAGTACAAAGAGATTAATTTGTTAAAACTAATTATTTGTTTTTATATAACTGATATGGATTATCTCACATAAGATGAAGTAGGCGGTATTGTTGCCAAAGGTCTAGCTGCTCTCTATTTAGAAAGGCCATAATTTCCGATTGATTATCTTGCCAAATGGCTGCTCACTTACTCGGAATTGCTTAAGAAATAAAAGACAAGGGAAGAAAGAGTAATGAATAAAAATTCATAATCATTAGTAACAAGTTAAAGAAACAAAAATTAAGGAATTCAAAGTTCTAACTGAACAATTAGCATATCTGTAAGAAGAGAGTCTAAGACTTGAAAATTAGTAAAAGGAGAAACATGAATAATTTTTGGAATCAATTAAATAGGCTAAATATCATGATGAATTCTTAGGTGATGTATTTTGTGATTATGTGACAAAGCGATTTGTAATTATCATATCTAATTAAAGAGAGTGAATTCTTATGTTTGTGAACTTGATTTTCCAAAAAAGGAGATTGATTTAAATTAGGAAGATGATGAAAATGCTCACATCAATTTAGAAGGAACAAAACTATTGACATATATTTACGCTGATCAAAATTCGAAATTCCTTATTGGTCAAAATTTGCTACCAGAAACAGGAGTTACATATGATGCATTGAAAGAACCACAACCAGATGAAAATGGTGAAGTAGTTTAAACTAATGGCATCTATATCCAAAATGTTGTCAAAGAGCCTAGAATCGTATATCACAAATGGCCTAAATTGGGTGCTTATTATGCAATCCCCCTTATCTATTAGAGTTGTCTTTATGAACAATCATTTGATTAAGGTATTGAGCAGAGATCACAGTATTTAATACTAAAAGAGAATCAAGACAAGGAAAGATCAGCAAAAGAAGCAGAATTTGAGGAAAGACTTGAATCAGAAGATCCAGCTGTTATTGAATAGGAAAAACAAGCATATTTAGCTAGTTTAGAACCGCTTTTGGAGCCATCATTTGCATAATAAAAAAAGGAGTATGTATTTTGCATTGATACTTTGGGTTAAGACAGAGAAATACCTGAAAACCATAGACAAGAAATTTTCGATTTAGTTAATTTGTTAATTAAGTAATGGGAACTCTAAGAAATACAATCGATGAAGGCTGATGTTGAATTACAATTGCATTATCAATCTAATTTGGGTGCTCCATTCAAAGAAATATTAGAAAATTGGGCATTAGAGGAGGAATAATACATTGATAGTCACTCAGAGAAGTTAGCAGAATTCAAGGAGAATGAAAAATTATTATCATATGAGACTGATTGTTTGAGATTAGAAAGATTAAGGGAGAAATTAAGTGATAAGGAATTTATTTAGCCACTCCTAAATCTGAGTAATTGTAGAATTATCAAATTCAATACAATCATCTAAGCAGGTCTATATTTAATTGGAGCAAATAAATTAGACATTAATTTACCAGAATCCAATAGATTAAACATAAGAAAATTGGTTCTAGATGAGAATCTCATTCAATAGATAGTGGCCTACAATCATAAGGGACCTAAGCCAGAACCACAATACAAGTGGTGTTATGTTGATAGAGTTTAGAAGAGAGTTGAAAAAATTGAATAAGAATAAGTTGATGCTTACAATGTAATTTTGGGAAGATTGCTGAAATTTTTATAATTGACCTGTAAGTTAAGAAAACTAGATATTGAAATCAGAAGAGAAAATATTGCTAATAAGAGGAAGTAAATTGAATAATTGAAGGAAGAGGCATCAAAATTGCTAGAACAAAAAGAGTTAGCATTAAAGGAACATAAAGAATAGGTAAATGAATTATTTATAAAAGTTATCTCCTGAAGAATTAGAAGAGTTCAATTAAGAAGAATGGGAAGCTAATTTTGATAGTGAACATCCAATGCCAGAAATACCTGAAAATCCAGCAGATGAGATTGATGATGATTATATTATTGAGCCACCTTAACAATGAAAGAATATTCAAAATAATATCAATTCAATTAATTTACAATTGTAATATTATGTAACAAATGTATATATGTTAAAATTTGTTTGTTGTTTATAATATGAATTATTAGACCTATATAGTAGAAACAAGAATTCAAAACATATTTAATAAATATTAATGACATCAATCGATTTGTAATCTTAGACTCAATTCTTTGGAAAGAACTATTGGAGAAAATTAAGATAAATACAATTTGGAATATAAGAAGAATAAAAAATGACTGAAACAGTAATGCTTAATGAAAAACGTGAAGCAGATTTTCAATTCTCTCATATGAAAAGTGTAGTTTGTGTTAAATTTTGTAAGTCCAAAGAACTTTTGGCAACAGCTTGTTTGGATAAAAGCGTGAGAATTTTTTCAATTGATGGAGAATTAAAACATCAATTCTAAAACTAATTCGACTCGGACAAAACACTGTCATTTAGCTAAAACGGAGAATTTCTAGCTAGTGCAGGTTCGTATGATAAGATAATAAGAGTCTGGAATGTCGATAGTAAAGAACTAGAATTCGAACTTAAAGGCCTTAAAAGCAAAATTTTGAAAATCGCTTTCTTTAATAACAGAGATGACAGACTAATTTCTATTACTTAGGATAACTAAATTTAGATTTGGGATATTGAATCCAAAACAATCATACATACTCTAAATGGCCATAGAAATTGCATCACTTCAATTTAAATATTTCATGACGATTCTCGTTGCGTAACTGGATCTTTGGATGGCATGATAATGGAATGGGATTTGAAGAAGTTTCAATTAATAAAATAATGGAATGGACATCAAAAGGGATGTTTTGCGTTGAAATATGCAAGTGGAGGACACACCTTAGTTAGCGGTGGAGGAGATAAAAAAATAAAATTGTGGAATACGGATAAATATAAACTATTCAAATAATTTAATGGTCATAGTAGTTTCATATATGCAATTGAGGTTCATAAAGATACTGTTATCAGTTGTCAATTTAATTCAACATTAATGTGGAATTTGAAGACCTTAAAAAAAGTTCAGCAGATACCAAGCACTTAATTAGATTATTGCTTTGTTGAAATGATGAAAGATTAGTTCATTATAGGATAGAATAGTGTTGGAATCAAAGTTTTCGATTTTTTGTGATTTAATTTTACTACTTAAAAAACGTATATAATTATTATTATATAATGTTTGGTAAGGTAATAGTCTTGATTGTTTCCATATTAAGTCTGTTACTTACTTATAATTTCATAAGGACATCCCTTGTATATAAAAACAAGCAAGAGGTTGATCAAATATTGAGTTACTTGAACAAGTACTTGACTCAAACCTATTTTGCTCCAGTAGCAATTAAAACCTAAGTAAGAGCTAGATATTGATTAAGTACTGTAGTATAACTCAATATTGGTCAGACCAGAAGCAGATTATTGTAAGAGATCAGATTTATACAAATTTTATCATCCTGATATTGTGATGAAAGATACTTACACTTTTAGAGAAGCAAGAGGAGTCATAAGAGAGACGTTGAGATCCTCTTATTATGATTGCATACCTTAGATGACATACAAATTAAAAAATACTTAATGTAATAGCAAATATTAGATTATGCTAGATTTACCAAGACACGTGTTACCTGTTTAATTGACTCTTCCTTTTACTTACTATGATTAATTGGTGCATAAATTTTAAGTAGGCTAAGGTATTATCATTGAATAACTAGTTAGAATCATTATGCTTATTCCAAAAGTACAATCACTTAATTACTAGACATGTACTCTCTCATAAGGATAATCTGATGAATAATTAATACTTGTATTTGGACAGCCTAAAAAAGAGTGGAGTTGATTAAGATTGCATAAACAATGCTACTTTTATTCCTAAGACTTATAGATTATTTAATAAGCAAGATTGCGAAGAGTTTTTCACTTATTTGGATTCAGCTGAATATAAAAGTGTAATAGAAAGAGATGGTCCATAATTTATAACCAAGGTTGGCCTGGAAGTTCATAGAGGACGAGGAATTAAGGTTCTCTTTCCAGATGAAACTCGTATTTTATAAGATACTTACAAACACGGCAAAAGATGTGGAATTGATAAATCATTGCTGGTAGCCTAAAAATATATCGGAAATCCTATGTTATTTAATGATCATAAAATAGAATTTAGAGTTTATTGGGTCCTTGCATCCACTAATCCCATTATTGCCTATGCATATGATAAGACTTTGATTAGAAGGTGCATAGCTACCTTCGATAAGTTTTCTTTGGATAAGGAAGCTCATGTTTGCAATACTGCTGTTGTACAAAGCACTTTGCAAAAGAAGGGATCTGACTTATATATGAGGGAAGATAATTCTGATGAATCAGAGTTGTACATAGATTGGAAATTAGATTATTTGTAGGATCTTTTATTAAAGCAAGGGAAAATCAAAGACACCAAGTGGCTCTAAAATTATTTGTATCCCACAATTGACCGAATGATCATACATGCAATTAGATCTACATAACAAAAATTTAATAGAGATAGTAGATTAGCTGAGTTTTTTGCTGCTGATTTTATTCTAACAGATGATTTATAAATATACATTATGGAAATGAACTACAACCCATAAACCTTAAAGACAACCTTGGCCAGAGAAAAATAACATGCCAAAATGACCCAAGATATGATTGAAATACAAAATGCCTATCTAAGAAGCAAATATTTAAGATTTAGAAAAATTATTACTAAATTGGCAAGTAGAATGAACAAAGAGAAAAGACCTCTCGATTAATTGTTAACTAACAAAACAATTGATGAGATCAATTCAGCTTACGTTGATAAACTTGATCAAGGAATTGAGATAAGTGAAGGCAATCTATTTAGATTGGTGATGGATGAAAATTTACCAGGAACTAAAAAATACAAAGATCTGATTTAATAAAAGTGTATTTGATAGATTTGTTTAGTATACATGTTCTTCTTAAATATTTGATTTCATTTTCCACATATCCAAACACTTTCTTTGAGACTAATATTAATTAATTTTTGAGGTATTCCAATAAAAAAGTCTTATAATTGATTATGAATTGCCAAATCATTTTAACTAGTGACACTGAGATGTTAATTAAAATGTAAATACAATCAAAATTTTTTGAATACTTTTATATTCATTATTAATTTTTAATAAGAATTAATTAAGTAACATGTTTATAATTGTATTGATTCTTCTTGTGTTAACATAAGCAAAATAGATAACGCAAACCTTTACGATAAAGTAGCTTTAGAAATAATAGTACATTCCGATTAACAGATTTGGCAGCAAAGGAATAGTCAATTATAAAATTTAGTAATTGAATTCTATTATTCTAGATCTCGAATCATCAAACCCCCCAAGGATTATGACTATAGATCATTTGATATTGCTTTTGACTTTTTTCAATAAGATAGTTGGTAGGCTGCCTTGAAAAGAGATGAATGTGATAGGTAATAAGAAGCGAACAAAATTGTGCACTAATCCATAGAAGCAAGTTAAGACCAAAAAGTCTCAACACAAGAGGGGGAATTGAAATTTGGCAAATATCACAATGTTTGGATTGCAGTCTTTAACAATTGCTAGCATACCATTGATAAAGTTATAAAACTAAACAATAAAAACACAAAATTAGAAATCACAATTTGGTTTTTTGAAGAGGGAGGTCAAGAATTCTCATTGGAAGAACAAGGACTATTAAATGTGGTGACCATTTTAACTGTTGTTACGATTATAGGATTTATTTATAATTATAGAATTTTTAAATCTGAATTATAAAAACATGGAGAATGGGATTATGCGTATTTATTTGTTCTTGTTGTAATGGGTTTAGAGGCAACTCAAAACTTAATCAATTTTTTTCACTTAATAGTCTATAATATGAATGGCAAAGGAATTAGTGCATTTTCAACTATTTCAGAGATTATTTAAATTGTTGATAATTATCTTCTAATGGTTTTATTAATTCTCTTGGCATGGGGCTGGTCAATTGAATTTATGGATATGGAAGATTGGGATATTTATGGCCCATTAGCATTTTTACTTGCTTTTGCTTAGGCATTAATTGTTGGATTGGGAAGGTTGGTGAGCAGTCAAACAGATTATCATATTTATTAAGGATGGGTAGGGTACACAATCAGTTTAATATATATTTCCCTTGCTATCTATTTTTATTATTCCGCAAATTAGAGAAAAAAGAAAGGAGACTCTGTTGATGCCTTTTATATCCAATTGAAAATTTATGGGATGTTATTTTTTCTTGCTTTTCCTATCTTGTTATTAATCTCTAAATTAGTAGATCCCTATAAATCTTACTAAATAATTATAATGGGTAACATGTTTGTACGTTTGCTAAATATGGTTCTAATGGCAAGATTGTTTACTGGAAAATCTTCTGAATATTAAAAAATCTGTATAAAAGGTAAATCGTTTTTAGATAGAGGAAAGATATTATGAGTGTATATTCAATTATATATGTATGTCTTAAATTTTACGTTAGTAATTATTATATCTCTCTATAAACTTAGTCAATGGCAATAAAAATAGAGGAACAATCTTAGTGTTAGTAGTAAGTAACTTTTAAACCTATCTTCTCCATTGATTGGTTGAAAAATTAATAAAGAAGGTAGTATTTCTGTAATAATAATTAATTTTATTACATTTTAAATTATCCAAAACAAAATAGAGAGTTCTAGAACTTTTAGAGTTACCTTATATTTTTTAAAATATTTTCATTAAAAATAATCCCTTTCCTGAAATGACTGAAGAAAATAAGTATGATGGTCTATTTATGACAATTATGTAGTAAACAAAAGATATTAATGTATTCTTTGATGCTGCATTCGGATTTTTGAGGTAAATTCAATTTTGTATTTTCAAAGACGACACACTGACTTTTTCTTAGATGAAAAATCAGCAGAAAAAGTTATCACAACATCCTGTGCTAAAAACTTCTAAATCTTTTAATCAGAAAAAGTTGACAAGGACAAGAAGGAAGAATAAAGAAAATAAAGAGAAGAATAAAGAAAAAGAGAAAAAGAGGCTGCTGAAAAAGCTAAGAAAGAAGCAGAAAGGATATAATAAGAATAATTGCTATAATAATAACAAGAAAAATTGGCTTAACAAAAATAATAATAATAGCAATAACAATAACAATAGCAATAATAAGAGTAATTAGATCCATCAGTTCCATTGTACTAACCAGTTTTGAAAGTGCCTGAATAGAAGCCATAAGAACCCGAAAAGAAAGAGGTAGAAGGTGAAGCAAAAGATGGAGAGAAGAAGGATGACAACGAAAAACCACCTGTAGGTAATGGAGGAAGAACAGAGAGATACATTTGGACCCAAACCCTTGAAGAGGTTTAGGTCTATATTCCTATTCCCTCAACCGTTACAAGCAAATAATTAACAGTGAAAATTGAAGCCTCCTCATTATTAGTTGGACTAAAGGGTATTGATATTAATCAATTTTACTTTTAGGTTAACCTCCTATTATCAATGGATAATTGTTTGAAAAGATTCAATCTGATGAATCAACTTGGCTATTAACAGACGGTGAAATTTAGGATTACAAAGGAAAGTATATTCACATTTCAATTGCAAAATACTCTGGCTAAATGAATTGGTGGGCATGTGTTATCAAAGGTAAATTTCAAAAATTAACATTAAGGTGATCTTCAAATCAATACTCAGAAAATTAGTCCAGAGCCATCCTAATTATCTGATTTGGATGGAGACACTAGAGGAACTGTTGAAAAGATGATGTTTGATATGAGACAAAAACAAATGGGTAAACCTACAAGCGATGAGCTGTAAAAGTAGAATAAGTTATCTGACTTTATGAAAGCTCACCCAGAAATGGATTTTTCAAAGTGCAAGTTCAATTGAGATATTAATAACCAGATCAATATTAAATTATGAATCTCTAAGAAGGCATTCATACCTTATTTATTATATATTTTTTCACTCATGTCAATGTATTTTCATAGATTGTTAAACTCAAGTTAATTGGAACCTTTGAAATGATAGAGAATAATGTCATAAAGAGAATTTGCCAAGTTAACTATGTTTATATTCTGATGAGCAGGAAAATAAATGATTTATTTCAAAAATTGTAATTCAATTCTATTTGATGTATAACCAGTTCTTAAGTAGGAGATGATAATAATTATACAAAAAATATTTATCAATTAATTTTTAAAGCCTTTGGATTGTAATAGTTGAAATTCAATTAAGTTTAATACTTAAACCAAGATATTGAGAATCTATTTCTCTTCAAAACTAAACTTGAGTGGACTAAATAGAATATAATTGCACATATTTTAAGAATAATACATTATTGGAACAGTATTTATTTTCTAAAAGTTGAATACAATTAGGAATTACAAACAAATAGATTTACATTTTTGGACATAAATGGATTTGATTTTAAATTAATAAATTTATTGAATGACAATATGAATGAAATTCTAATCTAAAGTTATTTCATAATGTAGATACCCCATGATATAATTTATTAGGTATTAGGTGACAAATGAAATATAAAAAGCAAATTTCAATACTTTTCAACTTTAGGTTATTACTTTTTATTAGCTCTATTATTTTGCATTTCCATCATTTCTTACATTTCGGCCATTTATTGCTATTATTATTACTACATCCTTTTCATTTCTTCTCTCATTTGCATCTTTAACATTCCGACTTCTGCCAATTATATAAATCCTAGAATGATACCACCAAAGATTGCATTTCTCACAGCAATTCTTGTTCCAGCTATACATGATTTTAAAATTGAATACCTCGTATAGCTAAAAAGCCTCCAGTGAATGCTCCTGCCACAATTGGATTAATAAAATCTTATTGATTTCTCAAATGCATTAGAGTACAATCAGTAATGCTGAATAACCCTCCCCATAAAGCAAAAGATCCTCCTAAAATAGGAGCTCTTCTTTTTAATAATTAGATTCCTCCGAAAAATCTTTCCTTTTTGGGAGCAAATGACATTCCCTTTAAGAAATAAAAAATGCATCCAGCAAAACATCCCATTGAGAAGGCTCCTCCAAAATCATCTATGATTCTATATGGACAAGGTTATTCACGCATAGCCATCTTAATTCTGGTATTTATTTATTAATTTAATGATATTCATCTAGATCATTCTAAATGGAAAATGATTAATTTTATATCATATCCCAAAAATATTATAATATAATTTTATATCTATATGATATGCATATAATAAATTTCAATATCTATGTTTTTTATTGAATTGCTATTCTTCCATGTCGCTATCGTTGTTAAGGCCTGAATCTCTAGTGGACCAATCAATCTAAGGATTCTTTTTGGTAAATGCTGGCTATCCTCCTTATTAGATAATATGCTTCATTCTAATTCTGGTAATAAACCAATCAGATTAACCTTGATAATTGTGTCTCACATGATCTTCACAAAAGAATCTGAATTTTTATTCATGATCCAACTATAATCCCATCAATCTAACTTATTTAAGACAGTTAAAATGATAATGAACATGGCATTCTGCTTTATTGCATTTCAAAGATGCTCCTATTGATCCGCAATATCTACACATTTAAGCTTATGCAAATTAGACTGCCTAAATCAAAGTAGCAATATCCACTAGCATAGTGTTGTAATCAACTTAAACCCTATTAGACCATAGCAAACACATTTCATGGGAACATATTTCTCTACCTTCTTTATCTTTAAATAAACAAAGCTTTCCAAATCTTGATACCAGATCAAATCTAAAATAGAATTGCACAAATGATCTAATTTTTAGTAGTCTACAAAAAGCACATCTGATTGGAAATTTCAATTCTCCTTATTGCATTTTCTTCAAAGGTACTCCTCTTAATATTGGTTCTGGCAATATTGAATCACACATCAAAGTATTGTAAAATATCAGATAGTTACACAATTTGAACATTTGTTTCTTGATTCCCTAAGGAGGTTGTCCTTAATCTAACTTTGGAATACCACATTTTTCAACAGCTCCTATTTAATATTCTCTGCCAATGCTCATTTCTTCATCATCTTCATGTTTTACTTTGCCTTTAACTTAACCTTTTACTTTCTTTTTATTTTTCTCAGTCTTTTCTGTGTCTTATTTATAATAAGAATTATAAAGTGCTCTCTTTCCAAATTCAGCATTTCTATTCTCTTCTGTTTCATTAGCCTTTGGTACCAAAAATTGTTTATTCTCCTTAAGTAAATCTCCCATTTCTTTCAAGAATTTCTAAAAGTGTTATTCATGTTCTTCGACTGTTTTCCTTAATAATGATGTGAAATCTGCTTTCTTATCTAAAATATTCTTGATTCTCAATTGTGAAATGCTTGATGGCCTGATCGATACTTCATGATTTTATGAGTCTAGATTAATATCCATCAATAGTCTGAATTAATTTAAGTAATCATTTAGTGTATTTACATCTACTCCTGTTTCTTTCTTATCCATGTTATAAAGTATTGTATATGCAATATCTACCTCTTCTCCTATCTCTTACAAGCTTAATAGAGTTTCATTTAGATTTTCCATGAATTGACTTAATTTATTTAACTTTTAGGCTTATTTGTATATACTCTAGGATGTCTCTTCTAAATAGTTCTACATTCTTGCATAACTCAACTATCCTTCCTTGGTTAGATCTTATTGTGTTCTTGATGAATCTATTGATCAAATTAATAATATTACTAACAAATTTAATGAGAGCAGCCTTTAACTTAGCATATCCAAATGATGGGTGACCTTCATGTGCTCCTTCATGCACACACTTAGAACAAATGAATCCATCTTTATTGCATTCTGGATTATTGCATACTCTAGTTACCTATTCTTCAGGATGATGTTTGCAGTATATTACATCATTATTTTATTTCTACTATGATTCAGTTGGATCACTCATTGTATTAATTTATTTTCATTTTATCTGAATCATCAATATCACATAAAAGAATAAAATATTAAAATGCTTTTTTAATTACCTTACTATATTTTGTAAAACAACCTAAATTAATTAATTTTACATAACAATATCAATTTGCTTTAATAATTAGTCAACTATGGTAAATTTGGTTTATATACACTTTTATGAAGTGAACAGATTAATGATGGACATAGTACAAAAACAAACAATTTTTTTACNTAGTCTACAAAAAGCACATCTGATTGGAAATTTCAATTCTCCTTATTGCATTTTCTTCAAAGGTACTCCTCTTAATATTGGTTCTGGCAATATTGAATCACACATCAAAGTATTGTAAAATATCAGATAGTTACACAATTTGAACATTTGTTTCTTGATTCCCTAAGGAGGTTGTCCTTAATCTAACTTTGGAATACCACATTTTTCAACAGCTCCTATTTAATATTCTCTGCCAATGCTCATTTCTTCATCATCTTCATGTTTTACTTTGCCTTTAACTTAACCTTTTACTTTCTTTTTATTTTTCTCAGTCTTTTCTGTGTCTTATTTATAATAAGAATTATAAAGTGCTCTCTTTCCAAATTCAGCATTTCTATTCTCTTCTGTTTCATTAGCCTTTGGTACCAAAAATTGTTTATTCTCCTTAAGTAAATCTCCCATTTCTTTCAAGAATTTCTAAAAGTGTTATTCATGTTCTTCGACTGTTTTCCTTAATAATGATGTGAAATCTGCTTTCTTATCTAAAATATTCTTGATTCTCAATTGTGAAATGCTTGATGGCCTGATCGATACTTCATGATTTTATGAGTCTAGATTAATATCCATCAATAGTCTGAATTAATTTAAGTAATCATTTAGTGTATTTACATCTACTCCTGTTTCTTTCTTATCCATGTTATAAAGTATTGTATATGCAATATCTACCTCTTCTCCTATCTCTTACAAGCTTAATAGAGTTTCATTTAGATTTTCCATGAATTGACTTAATTTATTTAACTTTTAGGCTTATTTGTATATACTCTAGGATGTCTCTTCTAAATAGTTCTACATTCTTGCATAACTCAACTATCCTTCCTTGGTTAGATCTTATTGTGTTCTTGATGAATCTATTGATCAAATTAATAATATTACTAACAAATTTAATGAGAGCAGCCTTTAACTTAGCATATCCAAATGATGGGTGACCTTCATGTGCTCCTTCATGCACACACTTAGAACAAATGAATCCATCTTTATTGCATTCTGGATTATTGCATACTCTAGTTACCTATTCTTCAGGATGATGTTTGCAGTATATTACATCATTATTTTATTTCTACTATGATTCAGTTGGATCACTCATTGTATTAATTTATTTTCATTTTATCTGAATCATCAATATCACATAAAAGAATAAAATATTAAAATGCTTTTTTAATTACCTTACTATATTTTGTATCAAAATCAAATTTCAGCTGAAACTTAATCAAAAATATAAAAATTACTTAAAATTCACCTTAAATACAATGACATCTAATAGAGTATAGATGATATTACAATCTAATCATATTTTACAATATCTATTTTTTAAATTTACAAATTTCATAATTAAATATAATACTTTAAACTCATTTCAACTAATTTAGCAAACTATAAATTTGAGTGGTTTCTATGGCTCAAAGAATTTTCTTTCTCCATTCTTTCTACCTTATTTACACTTGAAGTCTATAGCAATTTTTTTACAATGTAAAAATCTTGTAACAATGCAAGTCTAGCATCCACTATTACAAAGATAAGCACCACAAATATAAAGATTACAATATGAAACCAAACATCAATTTATTATTATAAGAAAATTACATATATCTGAATCCCAATAAATTGGTGTCGTAAGTAAAAAGATTATTAGAGAGCCTTCTAAAATCAAGTTCTAGTAATATTCATAAGCTTTGATCAAATTTTTAAGCAGATCCACGATAGCAAATAAAATGAGTTTACAAAATAAATTATAGGATATAATTACTCGAGAATATGACTAAAGAAAACATAAAGAGAAGTTTTTTTAAGTAAGGAACAGCTATAGTTTTTATTTTCAGTATTATTGAGATTTCTATAAATTATAGTTTTTGAAGTAAAATATAAAGAAATACATAGTAAGCTAAATATCAAAGTGATGAGGGCAAAAATTTAATTGATCATAAATTTATGAATTTATTAAACACTCAATTATAAAAATATTTTGAAAAAGATATCCAAAATATTAACAAAAAAACTCTATTGGGTCCCAAATTTTTTTATGGAATATTTATTTTTTGTTATTCATTTATAAGATTTTAGCTCTGATATAATTGGTATAATCAATTTGAGAATCAGATATTCTTTTTAGTTGTTTAGTGAATTCAATTTGCAAATATTAGTATTGGTTTTTTTTAGAATAGGTATTTTAATTAAATTCTGGGTATTTTTCATAGATACATTCTTCATACATATTCAATCTTATTTACCCAGCAAGTATTTGAGCATCCATCTCCTGAAATTAGTATTATCATCATCACATTATTCTGTTTAGGATGTTAAAATACAAATCCACAGATTCAATAGTAAGAAAATGTTAAACTAATGTAGTAATAATTTAAATTGCATTCTTAGCATTTTCCTTCAACACATATTTTGAACAATTCAAAGGACAAGAATATTAACAATCATTTTGTATATTATTATCATCATCGCATTCTTGATTTGCTTCAATTATAAAATTACCACAAAATGATTAGTATTTACCATTAATCTTTGGCATCCTATTTTTTACAATCTTCTGTAAAAACTCCTTTTTCACATATCTTCCATTATTCTTAACACCCATCAAAAGGAATGTCATTTTATCATTGCATTCCTCAATGCCTTTTGTAACTAGCCCATCATATGGTAACCATCAAAAGGGAGAGAGTTACCATCATTGCATTCTTCAATTTATTAAATAATTTAGTCTCCACAAAACTGGGAACATTATCGATTATTGGTGAATCTCCAAACTAACAATCTAAATAGATGTAATATTTTACATAAATAAACCCTAGCGTCTCTGATTCCAAATGATTCATCTTCAAAAGCCTAGTCTAAATTATTTGTAAATAGAAAAGTAATTAGTTCTGAGGAGTGACTATCTATATCTTTAATATGAGATAGATGATTAAATCTGCTCTATCCACAAAGACTATAGTTTTTCATGCCCATAAATATTAAAAAGATGTATCGTAATTATTCCCATCATTTAAAGATAAGTAAATGGTTTCAGGGTCCCAACTATCAATAAAGTAATATCGAATTCTTATTTTTAATTTAAACTGAGGTGGGAGTATTGACTAAAATTATACAATGCTATTACTTCCACAAAGACCGGTTTCACAAGGCATAGGAAGTCCTGATTTAATCACTTATCTTACTTTAACATTCGGGTGATTTTTATGACTGTCCATTCTACACATCCCAACCTTATTAATTAAAGTATTATGAATTGGTTTCTGTCTATGTAGATATGTATAATGTCCATTTTAGGCAATCATACCTTGAATCACTTTCATAACATAATAAACAGTTAGCTGGTGATTGTTTAATCAATTCAGAAAACATAAGCATTCCCTCCACAAATATTTGATCCTGTAGGCAATTAATTAATCAATTATTAAACAACTTTAAGACTATCTAAATGAAAATAAATTGTTTCATTGTTTGCCAACATGACAGCAATAGTTGTACTTCCAAAAATCTAATTAAGCTTAAAAATTTTAATGCGGAGGAAGAATAAAAAATTTTGATATCAAAGTCATTTAACAGAAGTAGGAAATTCCTCCAAATATTCGATTTGATCACATTCCTATACTATGTTGCTGGATAACCCATTTGTTATTAGCCACTCTTAAAGTAAATAACCTTAAAAATTTAATTAACTCTAATAATCAATCGAATAAAATTTGGCAATGAAATCCCAAAAATTAATTTAGGGAATATTCGAATACATTTGACGCTTTATGACTTCATTATGGCTCTAAAAACTTAGGAAAATTCATATTGAAATGCTATCGAAGATTATATTAGTGCAATTCTGATTATAAATTTTATAATTCCTCAATCTAAAACAAAAGTTTAAAAAAATAAATTTTATTTTAGAGCTTACGTATTTATTTGAAATAGTGGGAATAGAATATAATAATATAGTTAGTCATATATTTAATAGATTGAGTATTTACTATTAATTGATGATGTCAATATTGCTCTGCTTCAATTTGCTTAGCATATTTGAAAAATTCATGATTTACGAATTCTTAAATAGTAATCCTATTGTATTCCTCAGCCAATCCACCTTCAATTAAGTCTTTCAGGTTTTCGAGTAATTATTTAGGAATTTGTTCCCTCATTAATTAAGAGTCTACTTTCTGAATGAAATCTAATTGCCAAAATATATCTGGTTGGTTGATCAATAATTGATAATATTAATCATCTATAGTTGGGAACTTACCCATGATAGGCGGTCTCTTGTAGACAGCCAAAAATAGTGCTGTAGTTAATGCATACACATCAGAGGCAAATAAACAGAATTCATCATACTCACCATCGGCAACATTTAATCTAAAATTAACAATTTCAGGACTGGAGTATGTTGTGAGAGTTCTGGGTAACCATTTGGAAAGTAAGTCCTCATAGGAGGGTCTATAGCTGAATCCAAAGTCAGCCAATTTGATAACATTTCTATTGATTACGAGCATGTTCTCTAATTTGATGTCATTGTGTGCTATGTATTAGGAATGCAAATATTCGACAGCAATTGAAATTTAAGTAAAGTACTTGATTATAATTTTGAAGGATGTTTCATTTGATTTGCAGAGAGTATGAAGATCACAAGAAGCATTTTCAAGGAATAAGCTACAACATTGGAGGTTCCCTCCTGCTGGGTCAAGTTAATGATTGGCAATAAATTATTAAGGTTTGATTATGTATGGATGATTTAGCTAGCTGAGTATTTTCCATTCATTCTAGAGATCTTGGCATTCTCTCTAATGAACAGAGTGACAAACACTATCATCTTCCATAAATAGCTAAGCATGGAACACAGATTTTATAACCACAGTCTAGTGAACTAATAATTGAAGAGTACATCTGATTCTCCCAGCTGTCGGTGTATGTATGAATTGTTGCCTTATTGTATTAAATACAAATGATCAGCGATCTAATTGATTTGCTACATGTATATATTTATATATTATAATTGTATGTTCATTCTTCCTCCTTTTTTTCTTCTTTTGGTCCTTAAACTACTATCAACAAGAACTCTTTATCTGGTGCCACCATAATTTCATTATTCTTAGACTTGATACGTAAGAAGGTTAACTCATTGTTTGGATCTAAATCACGCACTGTCGATCTTGTTAATCCTTTACAAAATTAAATACTTGGCCTTGGCAGCTAATGTAGGAATGGTTCTCGCTATGTTTTCTCCCTCTTTACTTTCGGTTCCGTAGGTACTCCTGATTATTTAACCATCGTTATTGCAAATCACAATCCCTTAAACAGACTTGTGAGTCTTGATTCTATTGATTGTTTCCTCAATATCCGACATTAATAATAATTAAAATGAGAGCAACCCTATTCTAGTAGTTAAAAAAAATAAGAGCTGAATCAGCTAAATCAGGAACTAACCGAAACAAGCACATGCTTGATACCTCAGAATTACTTCCCAGATCAAGCTTTCATAAAAAAAGGAAGCAAGAAGAACCTAACAATTCGTTTCATGAATATCCGTGTTCATTTAGATTTCCCGATAAAGAAAGATATGAATAAGAATTAAAGCAATTGAAAAATAACATGAATTCTTTGGAAAATGAAAATATTAGGCTAAAAACCAAAATTCATTAGATGGAAGGTATGTCTAATCAAATTCATTTCTAGATAATTAACTTAAATAAGAGAAAATGATATAAGAATTAGATCGAATAGGCCCTATTAAAGCACCATTGCTCTAGGCATTAAATTTCTCAACTGCTTAAACTGCTTTAAAAAAAGAGATTATTAATATAAGACAAGAGTTGCAAAAAAAGGATAAGGAGCTATAAATTATCAAAAAAACCCAAAGATTTGCTTAGATCACTGAATTGTAAATTGAAAAATCTGCCTTTTAAGAAGAAACAATCAGATTAAGACAATAAATAGATTCGCTATTGTAAGCAAGTTTATATAACCTGCAGTAAAACAATGTAGAATAAGTAATTTAAGAGAGAATATTTGCTTTAGTAGCACAAATCTAATAAGATTTAATGCGTTAGAGAGAATTGGAAAAGCTCATTGAAAGGCTAAAAAAAGAATGTCTAAAGTATAGAGTATGTAATATATCATTATAAAGTCATAATAAATCGATTCAGAATACAAAAGCAAAAGGGAAATCAAGAAGCTAATTACATAATTAAGAGAATAGGCCTCTAATAACTCTAAAGAAAACAACAAAGAATTAAAATAGATCCCAACCAAGGCTGACGAATTATAAAATTTAACTGATTTGATGTTTGCAAAATAAGAACTTAAATCAAGGGATAATGAGATTGAAAGATTAAGTTAAATGGTCTTTGATTTAGAGGTATAAATCAAAGAAATTTCACTTGCTTAAAATTAAGAATTACAAGATACTTAAAACTAATCATAATAATTGGAGGCAACTTCGAAATCTAAACAAATTAAAATATCGTCCTAAGTCTTTGCAACTGAAATTATGTAAGAAATAGCTTTGCCAATTAAAAAATCAATAGTTGTGTATCAACAATAACTAGTAAGTAAATAGCCACCAAAAAGAAAGATAATACCTGTGAAATTTGATGATATCAAAATAATTGGAGAAACCCTGAAGTATCGATTGATGGCTATGGATATAGCCATTTAATAACTAGATGAGTATCTATTTGAAGGGGACACCATGACAATTAAAGAATTAAAAGATAAACTTAGATTATATCCTTTCAATTTAGCTAAAGATGAAGCCTTTTTATTAGCAAGATACATTATGGAAGGAGACTCCGATGTTTATGAATTAGATGATGTTGCTTCAAATCCTACTCCATATGTCCGTTCTGTAATTAAGAAAGTATTGCTTAATTATAAATTGGAAATTGTAAAATGCCAAATCGAGCATTCAGATAAATTAAAGGATGTCCTAATAAAACTTAAGCCTTTCATTATAAGTAATATAAAGTAGTTGTATGGAAGAGATTGCGTTAGAGTGAGTAAGAGTTAATTCAAAGATGCTTTGGTTTCATTAAACATTGAGTTGAATTAATTTGAACTGGATTACTTAATTACTTAAGGTATTTTGGAAAGTAGAAGTGTGGAATCTTTAAATTATGAAGAAATGTTGAAGTACGAACCTATTAAAATAGAGGATTAATAGCTTTCATTTTTATTAACAGAGATAGCAAATCAAAATAAATAACCCCCTGAAATGTCTGTAATAATGGAATGTCCTGAGAAGGTTTCTGAATTAGAATAATAGGAATATAATGTTAATTTTAATGTAGAATAATAAGCTGAGGTGGAAGATTAATATACACTTGATGACAAATATGTAAGTGATCAATTTGAATCAGAGAATGAGAAAATTAAATAAGGGTTATCATCAGATTGTATTTTGCAACAGTGAAATTTTTTTTTATTTATTTGATATTAAATACTAATAAAATTTATTTGTTAAATAAAATATGAGCTTTAGAGTAGAAGAGTCTCCCTAATTTAAGGAAGAAGAGTTAAATCTATCCAAAATTTATTAATACAGAGAATCTCACTTCTCTGGATTCTCATTCCCAAGCAGCGTTAGACATTAAAAACGATAGACTTTTTAAGCATCTGTAGAAACGAAAACTCCAACTCCTAATCAAACCCATATTGAAAATGCTCCTTGTGAATTGAGCTTTGAGATAGAGAGAATGATTAAGGAAAGGGAACAATTATTCACTGATGTGCAATTTTATGAACCTAAGGTTACGTTTAATGTAGATGAATCCCCTCAAAGAATTAGGATTCAAAGAAACAGTGCTCCGATGCCTAATACTCAATTATAGTATCTAAACTAATAGATCATAGATGCAGAGCATACTTATAATTAGTATTGCTATTAATTAATTTGATTATATTGAAATTATTATAAAATTCGCTATGTCGTTTTATTTCTATCTGTATTTCAGAATAAAGCTTAAACACTTTTGTTAGCAATCAGAAGACAATTCTTAGACATTATAATTAATAAATATAAGAGGTTATTTTGATTATTTAAGATTCTTTAGATTTGATTTGAAAATATAGTATCAATTATGGTCATTATACTCCTAATTCATCATGGAAGATCTTGAAACTTGCTAAGTTAAATCTATTCTAGCTTAACCCAATTCAGATGCCTAAGTTAATGGGATGAATTACTAATTTACAACCATTTTATAATGATTAATAATCAAGTAGATTGCTATACATACCTACAGCCATGGTTGTTAATCTTTTGAAATTTCCCATCATTTTCTTTTTACTTTCCTGACTGGTAAAATTACTGCAGAGACTATTAGAAGATTATGGTTTCTGTTAAGTATATGACGATTATCTTATAGGAGTATCGAAATCTTTATGAGTATTGAAGCTGGCTTACCGCTATCCTTATGGACTTGTTAATTAATTCAGAGGGCTAGATAATTGATTTAGAGGACTAGTGATTTAAATTAAAGGGCTAGTGAACGCTCCGTCTCCTTTTAAATTTTCTATTTCTTCTCTTAACTGTTAAATAGTTTGTTCTTGTTTCTTTTGGTCCTCTTTCATTTTCATCATTGATTAATGGATTGTAGACTATGTTTCATTCGATTTCTAAATTAAACAATTTTATTCTTAAATTATCTTGGTCTTCTCGAGTAATTTCTTATGCAATTGTTTCTTTTCTCTTTCAAATGCATCCCGAAGAAGAACATCTGAATTTTTTTGCAAAGCTAAAATTTAGCTTAGAAGTTGTTACTCTAGTTTTAATAGAAAAAGTGTTTACCTTGATTCTTGAGTTATAGGTTTTGTTCTTACAGTTCACTCATTTGCATTTCAACATGGTGCAGTTGTTTCAATGCTTGATCGCAATGATTTTTCATTTCGTTATAGTTTTGAACTTCCATCTCAAAATTCGCCCTGCCTTATTGTAATTCTTCTATTTCTCTATTTTTTTATGCTATTTCTTCTTAATACTGAAATACAACAGCACATAATTTATCAATTTGCTCATCTAAATAGAAAGCGTCAAATACCTTTTTAAATTAATGCTTAATCTTTTTCTAGTAATTCTGATTGAAGAGCCTCAATTTACGCTTAAAGTACTTTTTCTGACTTCATTTCAGGAAAGCCAGACTTGTTAATCATGTCTAACAAAATTTATTTCCTTCTAGGATCTGGATTAAGAGATGATTATTTCATAATTTATCTATTCTTAATTTATTATTACAATATTTTTCAATATCTAAATAAGGATTACAGGTGGTATATAAAAATTAAGATATATTAGAAACTGTGCCTTAATTTAATTTTGGTTTTTTATACAATTAAAAAAGGTGGAGTGATTTGTAACAATTTCCAATTGAAGGTTGAATAAGACTTGGAAATAATGTTGACAGGGAGAAATATCGATGGAAACTGAAGATAATAAGTTGAAGAGGGAATTGAAATTAATAAGATAAATCTAGAAATACTTGGTAAATTAAACAAAATGATATTACAGAGATTTAATTTCGTTTAAAATATCATACTAATAATAAATTTCAATTTATTTAAAAGAGTTCTTAATTTCTTGCAATGTAAAATAGTTCTAGAAAAACTTTTAGCAAATTTCTATAGTTAAATTACTTAATTAAGATTCAAAATGACACTCTTTAATGAGTTTTATAAAGTTGTATTGAAATGAATTAGTGTTGTAATTTAGTGGTATCGCTCTCTAGGATTCATGAACGCAAAGTTACAAGGGAAGTAATACACAATGAGGGTAAAAATGGATGTAGAGAGTGGGTACGGAAATAGAAAGTGTTAATTATATGATTCTTATAGCAACATAAAGTAACTGGAATTAAGTTTAGAAATGAACAAAATTATAGTCAAATTCATTTGAGTAATAGATCCTCTATCTCTGACTTTAAATTGCCATTCTTTAATTCTTACAGCAAGGATTTTGTGTCAGGATAAGCTTCCATTATAAGTGTCATGTCTTTATCGTCAACATTCAGCATGTCTCTTATTTCTAAATCTAATATGTTCAGCTAATAATTTACATTATGATTATTCACTACGTCTGCGTGTTTACATTAAAGGCGCATCTTACTAATCTAGAAGTCTACGTTTTCTCTTTAAATTGATAAATTGACGATCTCCGCTCTGCTTTTTTATTTCATCATAATCCAGTAGACTGTCCTCTTCTTGAGGTATGTCCTTAATCATTTTGAGGTTCAGCTTGACTTTGGTACCTTTTACCTAGACAGGTAGGTTCTAATCAGTTTTTGGTTAAGCTGGATTAGGAGGCTAAATTGGAAAGGGCATAACCATTTGTTGATGGGGTTGCATTTGTGGCTGAGAATTTGGAAATGGCATGCGCAAAGGGCCCAAGGAAGACATGGATGGAATTTATTGCATTTACTGCATTTGTTGTAGTTGTTGCATCATAAAGTATTAGGGTGCATAGTTCATGTAGGACTGCCTAAATATTCATTAATGCATAGACTATATAGTATAATAGGTATAAGTGGATGAAAAAATGCTGATGTTTACATACATAAATTGGGGATTTTGGTAAATCATTTGTGCCTACGGAGTCTGCTGCATTTGAGGGTACATTTGAGGCTTGGCTTTGAGCATTGCTAGATAATCTTAGTTAGGAAAACTCATTTTTCTGATATTTAAATATATCTCTAAGAATAAAACACAGATTTGATATTTAGATTTACAAAAGATATTATGCCATTTCAAAGGGGCTTATTTCATTCTCAAACCTTTGAATTTTGGTTTCTCAACTTGAATAAATGAGTATCAAACAATAAGCAAGTAGCCTATAATGAGTTATCAGAGAGAAAATGCTGTGAAAAAGCAAAACTCATATTTCAAACACGAATATTGGAAACTCAAGAGTTTGAAAAGCATACAATTATTTGTCTTTACGAAAAGAATTAAATGTTATGCTCCTTAGAGCAGAAAGAAGATTATTGATTTAGTAATTATTATTAGACATTATATTTTAACTAACGAAAGGATTCCATCTCAATTTCTTAATGTTGATTTTTAATATACGAAAACAAATGTAATAATTTTGTTAATTTTATTACACTCCAACATAAAATGAAATAGTAATCAATATTAATTCTAGAGTGTAAAAATGTTTAAACAATACTTTAATTAGCTTTGTAGAAAAAGATAATACTACAATATATACATTAAAATTGTTAGTGTGCAATCCTTATGTTCTAAAAGATTTGCTCTCAACACTCATATGAATAATAACTTGATGATTATTGTAATATATGTAAATATTGATTAAATGGTAAATTCATATTAAGGTATTAGCATAGAGAGGTGAAATCCTCAAAGGAATTACTGTTCACCTATTATTATTTTACAGAATTTATAGGATTATTGTTGGATTATAATTTTAATAATATATATTTTTTGTTTGATTTCAATGAGGAAGTGATTGATTACTTTGATTATTATTATAAATAATGAACGACATATTACCAGCCCCAAGTCTTGTTAAATATAGTAATCCAATTCTCATATCTAACAGCTAAAAGAAACAAATCAAATAACAGCCTCCAAGTAATACAGAAGATATTTTGAATGCAATTCTGCTTCCTCGAGAATTTAATCATTAGAAAAATTAATTGCAAATTTAATGTGTTTCTCCTGCACCTTCAACGAAATAGGATGTGTTGGAATTACAAGACAAATTGGATAAGTGGTTATAATAACGGCTTGCAAGGGAGACTGGCTTATGTCCAATTAGAGAGGAGTTATATTCATAATGTTTTGATGAATTAATACGATAAATCACAATAAATTGTGCAGAAAGAGGTATGTTGCTAGTGACAGTGCGCAATGAAGTTCGGATGGTTATATAGACATATTAAACTTTGTATGCCTCAAGTATTGCTTTTGGGATGAGAAAGTTTTTATCTGAAGAGGAAAAAAAGGTATGAAACAAACACAATGTATAGGCTGAATACAGATAGAGGATTAAGTAACTCGAATAAGAGTGCTCGGAGCTCCAAAGATAAGTAGAAAATCTAGAGTAGAAGCTATGTGACACAAAGCAGTAGGATTAATTGAAAAGAGAGTAAACTAAAGAAACACACACAGAAATTATAACCTAATTAAAAACAGATATAAAAAACAAGGTCTCTGGGGATCTAGAAAAAATACTTACTGGATAAAGAAAATTACCTGACAAGAAGTGACAGCATATATGTTTTGATATTATTAAGTTAAGAGTTAGATTAATATATTTCCTAGGATCCTAATAAAATCCCTTTATGTGAGCTTAATTTAATAGTTATACATTTTCAATTTATTTATAACCTTTTTATTTCTTTTCCACAATATTTTCCAATAAAAGTGGATTACTATTAAGACATTTTGGATGTATTTTTATAAGCTTAATCTAAATGTATTTATGCAGTAAACTTATCTAAAGCATAAGATTTAGTATCAAGGGAGAATAAGATAAAAATTTAAATTACAATAACTAAATGAACTTATTTGATATATCATTAGTTCATTAACGATACCTTTGCACTTGATGCCACTTATGGAGTCTTTTTAAAGAACTTATTATAAACAAAAAAGGCTCCACCCAATAAAGCAAGTCCGCCTAAAATTCCTAGTAAGATCCAAAGCCAAACGAGGGAACTAAAGTATAATAAATAAAAGAATACCTTCCACCATCACCATCGTCAGGAGGAGGAGGAGGATTATTATTATTAATAATTTCAAAGGCTCCTAGTGCAGAACTGTAATCATTTTCAATTTACAATTCTATTATCTAAGTTTGTACTTTGTCTCCAGACACTATTTTAATTTTAGGAACATCATGAATAGTGTATTTCTTGACTACATAATTATAGGTTTTGCCATCTTATTCTATGTTTGTATAAATTGAGGGCTTTTATATTATACATATTAAATACCTCAGTTTAATTTGTAGGTTTTTAGATAACAAGAGCGAATTAAGAGTTGGAAGCAATGTGCTTAACAATTTCTGCTCCAGAGATTGTTAACATCTTAGCTGTTGAATCAGCACCTAAGGCTGTTGTGGCTGGCAATTAATACATGCTAATCATTAGATGAGATGAATTATAATAAGGAACAGCAGCATGTCCTTATCCAATGGCAAACTTATTCAAGGTCTTCATAGTTCCATAATGATTCAATAAAAATGGAACGCTGGTATCCTTTAAAGGTGAACCCTTATTAAGAGGATCACTGATATCAAATGAAAATGTTATGGCATATTGAGCAACATTGTTAGTAGTTGCAATAACAGTTGCATCGAAGGTATTTGAATTTGTAGTACTTTTGTATGCTCTTATTTAATAGAAGAAGGTGTTTTCTTTGACAGCGTAGTCTTTGTTCAAAAATGAAGCTAGATTATAATTTTGCTTATGGTTGTCTTTTATTAAACCACCATCATTGTACATTTAAACAAAGAAGATCTACCCAAATACAGTTTAAATCATAATTTTCTAATAAAAGGTATTTCCCTATTAGAATTATACGACATCAAAATCAGTGATATAGAAGTCATTAACATTTGACAGTTCGAAGTATTTCTCATCAAGTACTTTTTCATTCTTAACACTCCACTTTGAATCTACAGTCAATGAATAAACGTGTAGAACTCCTTTTTTAGAAATTGGATGATCCTGATCAGCATCCAAAATATAAAGGTAAGAATTAACATACAAAACTTTAGATACTAGACCGAACGTTCCAATATTGGGATTGTCTGATTGGATAGTTGAGCATGTTGCTTTTTCAATGTCACAACTAACAATGTATAATAGAGTATCTGCATTGTTGATACAAGTCACTAATACATAGTCGTTGTAAGTTGTTAATTGAGTGCAATGAGTGCCAGGTTCTATCTTATGGACAAATTTAACAGTGTCATCATCACTATTTTAAAATATCAATGATTTAGGATCTGCCAAATACACGACTGAGTCCTTGAATGCAGCACCAGCAATAATTTCATAATTAGCAAATTAGGTTCCTTCGCTACTTGCAGTTAGGGGATTAATGATGCTGATAAGTTTACCATCACATTATTTGCAAGTAATCTAGAATTTAGTAACGTGACCAAAATACAATCCATCATTAGTGAAATTTAAATATTGAGCATTCTCGGTGGAATTGAAATGGAAAACTGTTTTGGCCAAAAGACTAACGTTAACTCTGACCATAGATTGAGTGTTAATAAATTTAACTGGATATATTACACTCGTTTTTGAATCTGACAAGGTATTAGATATACCGACAGCTGCTTTCATTGATGTTGTGTAAGCATCACTTAGATGGTTGGGTACCAATTCCATCAATGAATCCCTTAGGAATACCATGACTCTTTAGGTTTTCAAATCATTAAAATAAACAAACATCTAATCTTAGCCAGAAGCAGCAGTTTCTAATACTTATTTATCAGGTATCAATTCATGTGTTTTTAATACCTTATGTAATGAATTTCTATACAAGATATTGGATTCGTAGATTAAAATGACAGTCTCCTTCTCAACAGAATCATAGGCTCTCACAAATAAGAATCCTGTTTCGAAAACGAAATCTATGGTGAGTGGAGATTACAAAGAGTATCTTCCATACAATGGCATAGCCTTCATTGGGTAAATATCATTTAAGTTTTCATAGTTGAATTCTTCGATGATGTCCTTTTTCCCCTTGGAAATGATATAGAATGTCTTTTCACCCACTGCAACTTCAATTTCAGCATCAGGTTCAATAGCAATAGCCTTTAATAACACGAAATGAGTTCTTAATTCACCAATAATCACACAATCATCAGTCAAAACAAATATGAAGTCACTTTTGGTATATGAATTTCCATATACTCTTTTTGGAGTCCAAGAACACCCTGTTTAATATTCATCAATCAGATTCGAATAAATTGGATATTTAACTAGAGTTGGATACACTGAAAATATGATATCAACTTCTTTTTAAGCATGTTAAACAACATAAATGGTTTACTTTAATGCTGTAAACGAGGTAATTTTATATTCTGGTGAAGCCTCGTAAGTAATATTACCTATTTTCTAATGATCGCCATCAAAATTACTATAAAATACAATTTCATAATCGCTGACTTAGAATTAGAAAGTTACTACTTCTTATTCAAATGTCTTCCAATCAAATTAGGAGTTGGTTCTACTTAATTAAACAGGTAAATCAAATTGATCCTACTTCTCACAGTTAGTATGATTATCTTTGTAACTATAGGATTAACAATCCCAAATAATGACAGTCTTATTTTTATGCTATAGAAATAGATAAAACTTATTATTGTTATGATGATGAGGGTCGACTAAGAGATCTGCATAGGCAACATCTTTGGCATCAAACAAACTGACATTCCTGAGTTCTATTTCCCATAGAAAATGCACTTGGACTTCAACGTGGTCCTGACTAAAATCTGGAGTGACGTATTAAAGATTTGGTCCAGATGCTAGATCTTATAGTAAGAATGGCTCAGCTGGATATGTGATCATACTAGGGAAAGGATCGTGACCCAAATCATAAATATTGGCATCATCAGGAGCCAAGACTTAGTAATTAATTTTACTACTGCAGATTTTATTACCATCAGTTCCATACAGGGTCAATGTTGATTTTTCTATTTGTACCGAATTCTCTGATGCCAAATATCCATCACTCAATTCATACCTTCTAGTTAAGGTTGGTGAAACTACAATGACATCAGGAGCAAAAGGATTAACCAACAGTGTTGAGGATATCAAGATTTCTTAGTGAAGTAAAAATGGGAACATCATATTATACAGGTATAACGTTTATTAATGCACCACAACCACATACTTATCACTGAATGAAACTGAAACTGGCAAGGATGCTTTGAATGGCAAATTGTATCCATTCCTTTACACTGATGCCACAGTGACTAACAGATTGGATTCATACAAAACAACTAAGGCCAATTCTGAATAGCCATCGTCATTCAACAAGTCAACAACATCAAAGGCATAAGCCTTTTAATTAAGAGTCTAGATTGTTTTAGCATAAACCCATTGTCCATCCTCTGTCACTTTATATACATATATTCCTTGATCAGCATCCAAAATGTAGACATCACCATTGGGTTGCACTTTGAAGTCGATTAAAGTGAAGTTGACAGTCTGTTTAGTGTCTGCACTAATCTTTGTTTTGTCTAAGATGCCAGCCTCTTGAAAGGTTTCATTATCAAATCTAATTACTATATCAATAAAGCAATCGTGATCTAACACTGTGGCATTACCTGTTTCAGAATTGAAGGCCTGTTATCCTCTTAGCAACATTCTGATGGGACTGGGAGGTTGTGGACGATCGACTCCGAATTCTTCCCCAGTTCCTTTTTTATAATAAACATGGTATTATATTTTCCTTCCTTTCACTTATTTGTATTATTTGTGATTGGAGACTTCGACTCTTTTACCGCTAGCAGTAATAGGTGAGTCTAATTTGTCCACCACATATAGATAATTTTTCATCGGTTGTGTTGGAGTAGCAGAATTCCTTTCAGCACAATCGACTATGAATAAGTCACGATTGATGTATTCAAGATCAAAACAATCTATAACTGCATTGCTCTCGGTCAATGTAATCTTTTTTTCAAACGAGGGAGTCTTGTCCATTTACAAGGCATTTCTACATAGATTATAATCTCATATGTTACCCTTCAACATAATATATGTCGTATATGTTTTTCTTGTCGTCCAATTCCAAAAATGCGAATGAGTTTGTCCAAGCTCCAGAACTTGCTATGTCGTAGGCTCTTATGGCACCTGTCTAAATTAGAGCTATGATGTTGATGAATGGATCGTACTTCCAAAATGAGTTTTTTCATCCGATATTTAATCGAAGGCTGGGTGATATCTCATAATGGTTGAGTTTGGTATCAAACTGAAATCAAGTCCATTGCCTGCGATTAATGAGTCCACTCTCCACCTAATCTGCTCGCCTTTTGTGGCATAATATGTAACATTCTACTAGATAGTTTCTACAATAGAGCAATAACATACAACACCATTGATAAGAAGATTCAATTAGCAAAATCAATGAGATAATTCCACAAAGCATTTTTTTAATTTAATAAGATTTTTTTCAGAATCAGAAAACTATCTATAGTAACATTATTCAAACAACATATATTTATATTTTCGAGACGTTCCACATATCCGAGTGATTCTCGTGAAAGTCTTCCTAAATTGAACCCAAATACAGATTGCACTTCTGACTCTTTGGAAAAGTTCAAAATCCAATTTGCACGATGCTTCCGTTAGTTCAATGAAGTGTAATGATCAGTATTAAAAAGAAGAAATCACATATTTTGAGAATTTCTTGGTTTTTTGGGTTTCAATATTTAATTTGTTTAGATGAGGTATATTAAAAAAATCGATGACGACAATAATAATATTTTACGAATTTTTATTAATCTCTATATCCATATTCCATAATTTTATTCAATTTGAGATCTATATTTTTATTTGTTATTAATAATTATGTCTCAAATAGTTGATGCGTCTGATTAGATATCTCTACTAGAACCAAACAAGGGGTCGTCATTTGATGAGAATCAATGCCATAAAATCTTCTTCTTCTCGTGGGTTTATCCTATCTTGAAAGTAAAAGGCTACATTTATATTAATCCCTCAGGTCGGAAAATCGAAACCCTTGACTTAGTTTGATCTCATATCGATTGACAAAAGAAGCAATATGAGTAGTTCATACTAGCGATTCATCAGTGTGTTCAACAAAGCAAATCTAGCATTAAGTTTATTCAATTCCTTCAGAAGTAAGAACAAAATTATTGATTATTAGAATAAATCTTGATATGTCTGATAGCATACTTGATTGTGGCGACTTTGTAGTTATGTCTTCCCATCATCACAGCGAAATCTTAAAAGTATTTCATGTATGATCAGCCAGAAGAAAGGCCATTGACTTCTAATATGTTTTTTTTTGCGGCTGTTCAGCTCATATACATGTTGTCCCTTTCCTTAATAAAGCCTTTTCAACAATTTTTTGCTTCTCTAGTGAGCATCAAAATATAAGGAGCCCTACAATAAGAAATTTTGTAAAAGACTCTTAAGTTCCCCATTTCTCGATCCCAACATTATTCAACTGGGGAACTCATCAATATGTTGTAGGTTGATATCACTCAGACTTCAAATTACTTTTATAATGCAATCATCTTATACACTTGTCCAATCTAACTGGCATGTGCAGGCATAGTCTTTTTTGTGACTTTGGGTGATCAGGCATTGGTGCCTGCTTTGGGAGCAATAGTTTAAGCATTCATAGGATTGACTTTTGGTTATTTTTATGGTTTAGTTTAAAAAAAATACATGATGGCCAAGGACCTGAGAATGAAGGCAGTAGATGAAGCCTTATTATATTCAAAATAAGTTAAACTCAATTAATTGGAAGACTTCTTCGAATAGCGAGTATTTATGTTTTGTTATCATAGATTCACGCCTAACGAACAAATGAACTTTACCATCTTAAAAACTAAGTTATAATGCTTATTCTTATATAATTGTTATAAGGTTTGGTCGGTATATTTACTTGGGAAATCTTGTTTTTTGTTAATGACCCCATCAATTTTGCTATTGTGGCCATAATGATGCAAAATTATGATAATATCGTGAGAATCTTGTAAGATTTACCAATGCAGTTTAAAAATTATTCAATGAGTAAGAACTCTATTGATCGAATTGAAAACTACTTCAATCAAAGGGAATGCAATCAGTTAGACTATGCAATAGAATAATCAAATGTGGCTATTGATATTTAGAATTGCTCATTTGACTGGGAAAATAACGATTAAATGAATAAGGAAGTTGAAGATGAATAAAATGATGCAACTCAAAAAAATACAAGTGTATTCAATATCAATTTGAATATTTAGATAAATAAGGGGTAGTATGTGGCTTTTGTTGGAAAGTATTTTATATTATTAAATCTAATTAGATCTGCTTCAGGTAAATCTACCATTCTTAGATCCATCTTGGGAGAAACCCATAATCAATATGGAAAGATCTCAGTAAATGGACGCATAAGTGTGGCTACTCAGGATCCTTGGATCATTAGTGGGACTATCAAGAAGAACATCACTTTTATGAATTAATTTGACAGTATCAAATATAAAGAGGTTATCAAATGTTGTGGATTGGAAAGAGATATTGCATCATTTAAAAATGGAGATGAAACTGTTTTAGGAGAGAAAGGTGATAATCTCTCTGGAGGACAATAAAAGAGAATTAATTTGGCTAGAGCCGTATATAATGATGCTGATATTTATTTATTAGACGATCCTATGAGTGCACTCGATATTAAAGTTAAATATCAAATAAATCAATAATGTATTTAAGGCTACTTGAAAAATAAAACTCGTATTCTCTTTACTAATTCATTATCGAATCTGTAGGAGTGTGACATGATTTATATAGTTGAAGGTGGAAAAATCATTAAGTAAGGCAAATTTGCATAAATTATTGGTGTTGAAAACAATAAACTATTGTCTTAAAAGGAAATCATTGATATATAATTCGAAGAGAAGCATTACACTCCAGAATTAACAGACAACCAAGATCTAAGATCAAGTTTGATTTAAAAAGAAGATTAAGAAAAAGGATAGGTATCAAAGGCAGTTCAATCTTAAATCTTCAGATTTATAGGAAGATATTGTGCCATCCTTTGTGCAATACTATATTTTGTTATTGTTCTTGCTTGTTAATTATTTGGCAATTTCATTATGGCTCAGGATGATATATCGGATGCTGATTACAAAGTGTTGGCATAAACCTATTATCCATTTATATAAGCGCCAATTATCGTTGCAATGGTCTTTATGAAAAGCTATTACTTGATTAAAGGGTTGAGCACTTCAAAGGTTATCCATGATAATGTTATGAATAGCTTATTAAATGCTTCATACACTAAATTTTATAATACTATTCTCATCGGTAGACTGATGAATAGATTAAGCAAGGATATCTATAGTATTGACTTATTGTTTCCGAATGAAATTCAGAATTTAACCTATCAATGCACTTCTTTGTTATTGCCCTTATTTGCATGTTTCCTTTATTTGAACATAGCGGCACTACCTTTACTATTACTGTTTTTCATCATTCTATTATACTTGACAATCATCTATTATAGATGTTTGAGAGAAATAACAAGAATAGAAGCTGTTTCTAAAAGCCCAGTTTTTTCTTTCTTTTAGTAGATTGTCAGAGGAGTGACTTACGTTAGAAGTTGCTTACCTATTGATAAGGTGATAGCCTTACAATAAAAAAATGTGGATGTTGATTTGGGAAATCAAATTAATTTGTACGGTTTTTAATATTGGTATCAGTCTTTGGCAGGCTCCATAACCAATTGCTTCTAAGCATTGTTATTTATCATTTGTGTAAATTTGTTAGATTAACGTAGTTTCTATTTCCAGGGAAGACCCAAAAGATGACAAACCTTGTGTTGCAATAGATGTAAACTGTTTCAACTTTATTGTTAAACTCTGCAATTTCTTATGGGAACATACAGATGTACTTCATCAGTTTCGAAAGATGTTTGCATTTAGCAAAGTAAATTGTATTATAAATACCGTTTAGTAAAATTGAATTGGAGGAAAGGAATCATCCATTGATTACTCCAACTGGACAAATTAATTAAGCTAGCAAGCCAAAATCAGACATAGTCTTGAAACTTGAGAATTGTACCTTCTAATATAGATCTAATTCAAAAAGTGTCTTATAACAAATGTCTTTGGAATTACATAAAGGAGAGAAGGTAATCAATTAACATCTATGGCAAGATTGGTGTAGTTGGAAGGACTGGAGCAGGGAAGAGTTCCATCATTTTAGCCTTGACTGCAATCTTGGAACAAATCGAAGGGTAAATTGAAATTGAGGATCAGAACATTAATTCATACTCTCTTACTGAATTGAGATCGAAGTTTTCCATTATTCCCTAAGATCCCTTGATATTTATGGGGACATTAAGAGAAAATTTAGACCCCTTAAACTAATTTAGTGAAGCCAGAATCCTAGATGTAGCATAAAAGTGTAGATTGTTTGAAATGCAAAGCTTTAAAAAATATGGATTATAAAGTGAAATTGCTCTATCAGGAAGTAATTTGTCTTAGGGAGAGAAACAATTGCTAAATATCACAAGGTGCATTCTTGAGGATAAGCAAATTATATTAGTTGATGAAGCCACTGCTAACATCGATTAAAATACAGAAGAGCATGTTAAGGAGGTAATATTGTAGATAAATTAAACCTTAGATTTTTGAAAAATACTTTTAGAATGCTGCTATGTTGACAATTGCACATAAAGTCACTACTATTATGAATTCAGATAAAATAATGGTGTTAAATGATGGCAAGATTTCTGAATTTGATCATCCTCAGAAATTATTGGCTGATCCCAATAGTGAATTTAAATTAATTATAGATCTTATCAAGTAATCGGAGTAATTGTGATTAATTGTTATATTTGATGAATATTTATTATATAAATTGGAAAATAAAGATACGCATAAAAATCAATAGTATTAATTCTTCTGGTCATATCTGACACAAATGTTATCTTGTATTTAATTGATTACTAAAATTTTATCAAAATATTTAATTAAACAAAAATGTTTAGAAAATCTGATAAGGATAGAAAAAATGAAGCAATTTAATAAGCAGTTCCAGAAGAAAAATACAGAAAACCAAGTCCATTAGGAGGGAACAAGTGGGACGAGGAGGATTTCTTAGATTTTAACGGGGTTCAAAAAGGCCAACAAATTAAACTTCACACCTACAGATGTAAAACAACATTATCTGAGCCAAAATCTGTAACTGTTTTTTTTCATGGTCTTAATGAACATCTTGGGTTATATGCTCATATTGCTTAAGCTATTAGCAAATAGGCAAATAGTGTTGTCGTTGGATTTGATTTCAGAGGATTTGGCAAAAGTTAAGGATTAAGAGGATGGTTGGAATCAAGAGAATAATTAGAAAGCGATTGTTCAAGATTCATAATACAACTTAGAACAATGTATCCAAGACTACCTTTATTTACTCTTGGTTAGTCTATGGGTGGAATGGCATCATATTTAATGGGATTAAATGACATTTGTGAAGGAACTGTGTTGATATCACCTGCAATATTGGATAATTATTATAATTAACCATTTATGAAGAAATTAGGATTATGTTTTGGTGCTTGTTTTCCAACTTGGAATCCATTCCCACCAGTTGTTGTGACAGGATCAAGAAATCCATAAATCTTAGAAGAGAACTTAAAAGATCCTTATTGTACTTAGGTCGCAGTATTACCAGGAACAGGTAGAGTACTTGTATCAACAATGAGATCTCTTCCACAAACATTCACTTAATATAAAAAACCATTTTTGGTGATTTCAGGAGGGATGGATTAAATAGTAGATCCTGATGTGGGACATGAACTCATGAAGTAAAGTCCTTCTCAAGATAAATAATTGATCCATTATGAGAACATGTGGCATGATTGTGTTTAGGAGTAAGAAATACTTGAAATCATACCTAAAATTGTAAATTGGATATCAGAAAGATCAATTAAATGATTGATAATAGTATTTAGTTATATACATTAATTATTTACATATATAGTATTTGGAACTTATCTTCAGTATCACTTTCTTTAATCTTTATCATATCCTGAAAATCTGATATATATATATTTCTTTGTTAATAGAAAATATCTGAAAAAGACTCCAATATCTTTTAACAATATTTAGTTATGTAATTTCCAAAACAAAAATAGAACTGAAAGTAAGTAAGATTTCTAAATTGAAATAATTATTTTTTATCTTCTGTTTAAGTGTATTTTAAGGAATTCAATTTTTAATTAAAAAAATTTTGTGATGAAAAGTTGAATTGCAAACAATCAGACTTTTTGAGAAAATACTGATTAAAGTATATGGAAATTAAGGAGTATAGCTTAATTAATGAGATAACAGGTTAATTAATCTTAATTCCATAATTATATTATTATTTCTTTATATATATCACTATGCTACCCTTATTGTTAAAATTTATAAATTATAGAACCCTTGTTCTAGACAACATCGTTCGTGATCTTTATATGAAATAATAAAATTTTGAAATGAAAGAATTTGATTCATAATTTTTGGAGATAATTAACATTCTTAAATCTTAAGTTAACTCTACTGCCTTTGGCATATATAATAGTCTTATGGAAAAGGAATCAATGAAGGAAGATAAAGAATGCGCTGAATTTTCTAATATCAATGACTGATTATCTATTATATGAACTTTTTATTATATTTCAAAATTCATATGGTTTCCATCCATGAACTTCCCAATTATTCCAATACCATAAATTTAAAACGATTACAAATCCAAGATTAAATCCAGTATGTGCCAAAATGGCTGTTAAAACACCCTAATCACGAATAAATGCAAACTTTCTACTGAAAACTACGAATGGTATAGCACAGAATATTGCATACAAGAATTTACTAAGTAAATATAAATTTGGAAGTACCTTGTAACAACTGCAAAAATAAAAACGTAAAGTAATCCATAATGGATGGCAACTATCCAAATAATCCACTCTTTAGGGTTTGAGTATGTTAACCCGCCTGCAAAACCACTCTGTAAGAAGACTCTCCAAAAGAATTCCTCTAAAAATGGATCCAACAACAACATTAACACGGAGATCTAATTATATTTATATTGACTACCACTATTATTTCTGTGTTGGCCATGTAGAAGAAATTGATGGTATGAAAAGACCAAAAGCGAACATAACTGAGTGAAATGAAGAATGCTAAAAAGGAAATCGCTAAACAAGCAGCAAACCAAATTAACCCCTTCTTTATTTATTCACTTTTTTCCAAGGCTATATTGGCAAAACTTGATGTTAATCTTGTAACATGAGTAGAAACTTTGTCAAGACTAGTTTGTAATTATAAAAAATTACTATAATAACAATCCTGGCACTATAAGATAGCAGAATAGTAAAATCGTTAATAATGCTATCATAGGATATCCATATTTCCAAAAAAGTACACCTGTTACAATAGAGGGGAGGAGCATTGAAACCTCTAAATATATAAATTTCCATGGAGGTATATCACCTGTGGCGTCCATATTTAAGTTTATTAATAATTTATCTAATATTTATTTACAATAAAGATATAAACAAAAATTATGAAAATCAATTAGAAATTCTCACACCATTGTCATATTTATATATTTACCTCCTTTTCCCTTTCTATTGAGTCAATTGACTCATGATTTAATCATTATTGATTCAATTGATTTTATCAAATTTTTAAACATCAATAATATCTTGATTTCTTGAAATGTTGGTTTGCTCGTTTAAAAAATAAATAAAAATCAATATGAAAATACTGAATATCAAAAATACATCTACTAAGCTTAAATATTGTCATAAATTTTACTTAGTTATTAATAATTTTGAAGTTTTCGATAAAATAAATTAAGTAAAATTTAATACTAAATGTTTAAAAATAAGAAGTGATTGTCTTAGACTTTCAAAAGAAGATAGAAATTAATCTTTTGATTTTTGGCAATTTCTATTGAGTATTAAACAATCAATTAACTATCTTAGCAATTTTTGGAGACTATCTTTATACTTATGATTCATTATTTTAAATATACATCATGAAAAAAATAATTAATTTGATCTTTTTTTAGGTTAAGAAGAGAATGCTCTGAGTTCTGACTTTAAAGTTTTTATCTCATTTTATAATTCTGAATACATTTTATTCCAAATTGACCTTTACTACTTTAAATCCTATTGAGTCTATACAGTTGTTTAATCAAATTTATACTTATAATCTTATTTACTTTTCCTAATCAAGTTCCTCTTATAATGCATTTATAGTAGATTCTCTATCTTTAATCTAATTTTATAAGATCTCTATTTTTGATGAATTATTATTATAGTCTTGATTTTCTTTATCTTGAAAGAATAGAGATCTGTCTTATTTTTCCTTTTGAAGTCCCTCGACTTTATTGCGAAGAGATTAAATATCTTGAAGGTAATCAGTTGAAATATAGCTCAATTAATTATGGGTCTGAGAAATTGAGGGACGGCATCTATATGATTTATTTGTTTCATTAAAATCAAGTCGAGGAGGTTTTGCATTTGTACTGACAATAAATTCAGGTGAAATACCCAACTAAATATTTTTAATCTAAATTAATGCTTTGATTCTTTCTACTTCCATTTTATTGAGATTTTTTGGTTTCTATTATTTTCTAAAGTTTTCCAATTGTTTTTTCTTGTAATGCTATTACTTCTGTCAATTATTTGACCTTTTTAGACATAATTGACTGTTAATTTCAAATTTAATAAATAATTAATGAATTTTCAAATTCGCAATTGCTACATTCTAACAATAAAATAATTGAGGGTAATGAATGAAGACTAAACCCTCCTTTCATCTATACTATATTGTTATAGAATTTACTATATGATCTAAGCTTTCTAAACAGAATTTTAATAAAAATAATTCTTATTACTAGTTTATACTCTTTATACATTTATGCACATAGTAAAAATGTGCATCTTAGAAGTATCTGAGTAAAAATAAAATTAAATCAAATATAAAATTTAATAAAGACTTTGATTTTTTTTAAATGTTTCAATTATAATTGTTACATACATAGATATTTCTTTATCACTTTAAATTGAAAATTCAAATTTATAGATATTCTTTTCATTTTCCAAGCAAACGTAATTTTAATATTAATTGATTTCCCATTATTTATAAACTCTATTTATACATATAGATTAATTGAATGTGTTTTTTAAATTTATCGCCTTTTTCAAATATTACTAGAACATTATATTTTTTATTTATCAATTCATTTTTATCTGTTGACTAATATATAGTGCCTTATATAAATACTTACATCGCTAATGTTAAATTTAAATTGAATCTATATTCAAAAATATAGCTAAATCTTAAATAAAACCATTATAAAGTAACTCATATTAAGCAGATAATTTAAACTTATTTTATAATTAAAACTAAGGAAATAAATACTAATTTTGGTGCTAATTTTTATCTATAATTATTGCAAATATTTATTCAACTTGAAAAATTAGCAAATACTAATAAATTGTACAATTAATCATATTCCGCCCAATATCATTCTTAAGAAAATTAATAAAATATTATTTTAGTTGATTTTAAACACTTGGGAATTAGAAACAGCATTCGAAAAGTAAATTGAAAGTTCGATGTAAAATTTTGACACTTATTTAATTTAATCCAAGGGATTACAAGCTAAATTTAGTTGAATATGTATAATTTGCATTCATTTATTGATATAAGAAAGACTTTAGAAGTTACTGATATTCATCTTTTAGTTTGTTTAAAGTGCTAGTTTATTTTTTTTTTAATTAATTTGCATACATTATTTCTGATAATAAATAATTAATTTATTGATCTGCAGTTACAAAACGATGATTATTTCAATTGAATATGATCAATATATTGTATTTATTTTAATTTACAATGTTGACATCAAAAAGCAATTCCTCTATGCACTTATTTGTTGATGGTACTTTTATCATAAGATTTATTAGGTTTGATAAATCCCAAAGAATACATTTCAGATAAAGAAAGTGCTAAACAATTTTACAAACAAAGTAATGTATTTTAAATATTCTGTAAGGTTAAATACTTCTATAGTTATCCAGATTGGATGAAGCAATGCAATACATAAATTAGGCAATCCATCTTGATCCTTAATTTGAAGATGCATATTATTTAAGAGGTATTTTGTGCCGAATTATCATGTAGGAGATATATATCGATTAGAGAAGAATCTGGAGGAGGCGTTGAAAAATTATGAAGAATGTGTCAAACTAAAAACCTAGTAATATTTTGTTTACTACAATATAGGTATCATAATGTAGTAGATTTAAGGCTTAATATTAAACGAGATGAATAGAAAAGAAGATGCGGTCAAGAACTTCGACATTTCATTACAATGCAAAATTAAATACGAAACTTTAATCAATAAAGGAATTTTATGTTTAGAATTATCCAGATACGAAGAGTGCATTAAAATATATGATCTGGCAATATCATTACAACCAGATTGCCATATAGGTTATTACAGTAAAGGTAATTTCCAGACAATAAATTAGGATTCACCTTATTTAAATTATCTAAATATGAAGAGTCAATAGAAAATTACAACAAAGCCCTGAGACTCAATCCACTTTTGACTAATGGATTTAATAACAGAGGTATTTGTACTATAGTAAGTGTAGCTGTATCATTGTGCAAAATTAATAAGATAAATGAAGCTATCGACAATTTAAATTAAGGATTAAAAATATCTAAAAATGACCCTGTGATTGTCTTTAATTTAACAAAATTATATAGATTAACCAACAAACCTGAAAAGTACAATGAATTGAGAGAGAAAATTAAAAATGTCTAACCTCAATGGCAAGAATTGTTAATCATAGAAGAAATAGAGAAATCACTACAGGAAGCAAAAACTGAACTTCAATTTATACTAGCCTCGAATGAAAACTTATTTGATTAAAAATTTTCTGAATTCAAAACTCGATTAGATATGGAATATCGAAATCTTTGGAACTATGACTTAGAATTTGAGAAAGCGAGTTCTTCATTCTCTTACAAAGATAAAGAGAAAATAGAATAAATAGTTTAAGAATCATTAAATACTGAGGAGTCCATAATTAAACATTAACTACTTTCACTTGAAAACCGAATTTACTTTTAATCATTATATTGGAGATTATCAAATTATATTAAGGTTGCTTAAAGAATGTACACATTTAGTGGAAGCAAGAGAGTATAAGACTGTATAAAGGATGTGAATCAATCTCTAAAATCTTTGCTTCCTGTAGAACTAGACAAGATGCTATTTGAAAACAAAAAGCTAAAATATTAGAAGACATAGAGCACACTTTCATCTTTTATTGTCCAGAGCAAGGGTTAAGATACTCATATTAGATTAATAAGAGACAAATTAAGAAAAGCAAGTAAAAAAGTATCAGCAACAAAACCATTTACAATTTCAAAATCGTAGGATATTTAAAAGTCCTCTCTATTCTCTAATAAAAAGAGCATATCTGAATTTAACAGTCAAATTAATAATAATGCATAAACTTTTATCGAGTATCTTCCTATTAAAATATCAGAAAATGTCATTAATGAGATAAATTTAAGTTTAGGGATGACCTCTTTTTCTGATTAAAAAATTGGATAGATATTAAAAGTATTTGCTAATAAAACAAAAAATGAAGAATAGTTGGAAGTTGAAATATAGATGGCTGTATTTCTAATGTCCAAATCTGTTTCAGAGATTAGATCCTTAAATGAAAATGTTGAAAATATTCTCAAATTCGAATAAATGAGCAATCCTAATTTATCCTATATTTCTGGTTAAAAATGGATGATTGGAATAGATGATACAATTTAAGTATTAAAATATTTCCAAGAGTAATATAAAGCACTTATTGATCCTCAATCATCTCAATTACATTTCTAAATTCTTGCAAGTTAGAACTATTCAACAAAACCAAAAGTCTCTTCTTCAAATAAAAGCAAGGAAGTTGAAAGAACTTAAGAAAGTTGTGCATGTTTGATATTTTGATTTGTTATTTCCTCAATCAACTGAACTTAATAATTGGGTTCAAAATTTGAAAAATAATTTATAAATTTATTATAATATTTTTCTTTCAATTAATTTATAGAAGAATTATTGATGAGTTAGATAATTCAAAAAAAAGGATATTGAATTCTTCTAAAAATTGAGACTCAAATAATAAGAAAAATTAAGAGCCGATTTATACTTAACAATAATAATATATGTATTATAGAAAAATTTATATTTAAGTTATCCTTCAAAGAATAGAAGAGATAGGAAGTCATTCAAAATAAATATATAAGAAATAGAATTCAATAATATTAATTCTATTATTTAAGAGTGTCTTTGTATTAATTACAACGATATTTTAATCTAATAATCTTTAAATTAATATCCCAATCTATTATGAAGATTTATGATGCTACTAAAATAATAGAGATATAGTTCAAACTATACAATAATCTATTTCTACAGTATATTTAAGCAAGATAGTTTAATATGATATTTAATATTATCAGTCTAATCTAGTAAAGTAAAGAAAATGTATGCAACCTACCCAAAAGTTATGATGTCTGTTGTCTTTAATAAAGAAGTAGAAGCTAGTATTTATTCAAGCCAATAAATTAAGGTTTTTTTAAAATAAAATCAAAAATCTAGGAAATACAATTGGAATTATAATACAAATTATTCCATCAATATGAATGTTTGAATATATAACATATCTCAGCCTTGATCCAAATATTAGATGTGCTTTTTGTTCTTAAATTTTATTAATTAATTTATTTAACTCTCGTTTTTATATAATAGTGGCAGATAAAGAGTATGATAATATCGGCATAGAAAATAATATTAAATGTTACTATGTCAAATGAATTTATTTTTTTAAACAATTAAGCTATATATGTCTTTTCAGACGTCATTAATCAATTATTATTATCATAAATAGTGATGCAAAAGTTAAATGAATATCAAGAATACCATTTACATGAACAATTCGACGAAGATTAAGGGAGGGGGAGATTTCTAACGCCATCATTTCTGCCTTATAGTTTATCAAAACAAGATGTGAAACAGGAGGAGAGATCCATGGTTTAGATTGATTCCCAGGCATCAATAAAGGATGATGCTTTTGGATTGCAGAATATCAAGGGACATGTGAAAAACACCTATATCAAGAAAATACATTCTCTGCTTAGTGTGGAGGGAGAGAACGAAAAGATTATCAAAAAAGTATAAAAGGAGCCAAGTTCATCCAGTAAACAGTTGGAGAATGAGGATCAAAAGATGATAAGGAACAGAGAAAGCGCAAGAAATTCCAGATAACGAAAGAAGCTATACATCAATCTGTTAGAAAAGAAGGTTGAAGACTTAAATTAGGCAATCGGACAATTAAGAAAATCAACAGAATCAACTTTTTAGACAATTCATTCAGTTTTGGAATAGAATTCAAGCATCTAGGATATGATTGTTGAACAGACTTAGTTGTTTGAGTTACTCAAGGTAAAGGAGCAGGAATTTAATGAATTGCAATAATTGCTTACAGAATCATATAAACTCAAGTTCAAAGCCACAGGGACTAAGCGCAAGTAATATATACGATATTGCTTTCAAAATATTGCCAGACTCCTCTTAGATGGAAACTATGGTACACTGTTATTTGGTCAAAGCTACTTCTCAAAAACCTGTAATCTTTTATAGTCTAACAAATTATAGATACTATGCATGATGAAGAAGAATTGGCTGATTACATCAAAAACCTCAGAGATGCCACTGGGATCTGCGATAATGGGGTGTTTTTAAATTTATACACTATTGTCAGGAGAGTGATAGATCATAAGAAGAATTTCTCTTTGTATTCACTTTTTATTAACTTAGTCTCATTAAATAAATTAAACTAAAACAAAAAGAGTTGAGAATTTGTCAATAATAAATTGATGATTAAATTGACGATATCTAGTTGAATGGGATTTAATTTGCTAATCTTATTCATTAAGTAAATAAAGACCAACTGAATTAACCCCAACTCACTCAGCCCCTTGAAATCCCTCCATAAAAGCAGATGATATTGAAGATGGTACCAAAATATCCCTTTGAACTCATGAACAACCCATTTTTACTTCCCAACAGCCTGATGATCGATCCTCTTTAAATCGATCTCATCACAAAGAATTTACGATAGCCTTGAATTCTATATGTCATATTTATTTAATTTAAATCTAAATTCCTATATATTCAAACAACATTTATATTATTAAAATATACATGTATTGGTTTAAGAAATCGGAAAAAGATATAAGGAACGAATGTATATAAAAGGCTGTTCCTGAAGAGAAATACCGTATGCCTTGTCCTTAGGGAAACAGCAAGTGGGATGAGGAAGGGGTAATAACTTTTACAGGTCTTCAACGAAACACAACAATTAAGCTCCACACTTACAGATGCTTCCCTAAATCTAATTAAGCTCCATAATCCGTAATTTTTTTTTTCCATGGATTAAATGAGCATCTCGGATTGTATGCTCATATAGCATAAGCATTGAGTAAAGATGCCAACAGCGTGTGTGTGGGCTTTGATTTCAGAGGATTTGGCAAGAGCGAAGGTCTTAGAGGGTGGCTAGAATCTAAAGAATAACATATAGAAGATTGTACGAGATTTATTTAATTAATTAAACAATTGTATCCTGGAGTACAATTGTTTGCTTTAGGATAATCATTAGGTGGATTAACATCCTACCTTTTGGGAATGAATGATCTTGTCCAAGGGACTATCTTGATTACCCCTGCTTTGATGGACAATTATTATAATAGACCTTATCTCAAGAAAATTGCTTTGGTTTTAGGTATATTATCTCCAACATGGTCCCCATTTCCACCTTCATATCCAAATGGTTCTAAGAACCCACAGGTCTTAGAGGATAATTTGAAGGATCCATATATAAATTGGAATTCAACTTTACCTGGAACAGGCAGAGTATTGTTAAAACTGTTAAGAGAAACTCCTAGCACCTTTAAAAACTACAAAAAGTCATTCCTGATTATTTCAGGAGGAATGGATCAAATTATTGATCCTGATGTTGGACATGAACTTATGAAATAGAGTACATCCCCAGACAAAGAACATATCTACTATGAAAATATGTGGCATGATTGTATAGCAGAATAAGAAATACTTGAAATTATCCCATAAATAGTAAGATGGATTAAAAAAAGATAATGATTATATAATCACTAAAAATCCATAGAATAAAAATTTACTTAATTACATTTTATTTTATATTTATAATTAAAATGATTAAATTAAATGACAGCTTAAGATTTCATGTTTTTGGATTAGTTTTCAATGTATTTTGTAAAAAAAAGCAAATTCTTAATTTAACGACTAATGATAGAATAAAGTAATCATAAAGCATTATTAATATTAATTGTTATTTTTCTGTATATTTAAATTATTATTCAAAGGTTATTTTGTTTTAAATAAATAGCATTCATATTGAATCTGTTTAATCCCTATTTTGAATTATAAACCTCCATTATCAGACTAATATTTCTATTGATAGTGTATTAGTTAAAATATTTCAAATCAGGGAACAAATCTTAATTTTCAAATATATTAATCAGACCTTATGAAGAAGCAATTTTACCTAAACTTAATCTTTGGAATGGCTGCCAATTAAAAAGAATAATGGTTGAGGTCAAGTAAGTTGAAAAATAGAAATAAGAGCTGAAGAAGAAAGTAGAATAGATCAATTTATTACTACCTCTTTAATTATAGAGAATGAATCAAGTGTAGAAAAATTAAGTAATGAATAGAGAGGTAAAAGTTGATATCAAAATTTATTAATTATTTAATTTATTTGTATAAATATCTTTAGATGAAAGAATACTGCTGAATTTAGGTAAAGTGAATAGAGTAGATTATGAAATCAAATCAATAACTTTCCAAAAAGTTTGATAATGATTATAAAGAAAAGAATGAAAAAATTACATAGTTGATCAAATATTATTATTTTTAATTCTTATAAAACTAAATAGTGATGATTAGTAATCAACATTTTAGACAATTATAAATAAATTGAATAAATTCAGAATACTCAATTTGATAATTGAATACAAGGAATATATTTACATTTTACAATAAAACTTTTGTAGCTCATAAAATTCCCTTCTATACTAAAAGTAAATTTAGGATAACCACATGTTAATTGGATGAATTTTTCATATAATAATAGGTCAAAACCAGCACCATAATTATATGCATAGAAGTATTTTTACTATTTTGAATTTTAATATAATTAAATTATAATAGAATCAGTATAGTACTTTACATTTTGGTAAGATATAAATAATATTCTGACTTTTTATTTTGCTTCATTCATTCTTTTTTATCCAAAAATTCTCAAATGCAAATTTAGTTATAAATTGGTTCTATTCATAACAGAAATCCGAAGTAATTGAGATAAAGTCATATACAGTAATATATTTTAATTAAAGATGAATTTAATCAAGAATTTTCAAAGAAAAATATTAATTCATATATGAAAATTATTCCAATCATATAATTCATTAATAATTTCAATGGATGATTATGATGATTTTTCTGACAACTCTATTGAAATTACAATAAATGAGTATCAAGGGAAGGAATCTCATAAGGTGGAGAAGAGTGTTATCAGGTACTTGAAAAACTTGGGCCTTAGAATGAATACTAACCCCATGATAAAACAAATACAATATGAAAGGTCGAACAATTAAATAATTGATGTTCTAACTTCAAAAGCCCTGTCTTCTTGTGGTAATTTTTTGAAGGAAACAGAAACAGATTATAAGACCTTATTCTAAAAAAACCCATTCTTGCGAAGAATCAGAAAGCCCATTAGTCTTTGAAAATATTAAATCAAACATGAAGGTTATTAATTTCATTTTAATTAACAAATATAAGACTTTTGGCTAATTCTCATGAGCTTAAAGATAGAGACAATATAATATACATAATTCAATTTTTCTGAATCTGAAATACTAAATCCTAAATAAACACAAATATCATCAGACCCCTATTCATTTAAAATATGAAATTCTTATTGAAAGAATTCTGTATATTAATAAATTATTGAAAATGCCCCCTAAGACTCAGAAATAGAAGGAAGAAGAGGCAGCTCGATTAGCCGAAGAACAAAGGTTGAGAGAAGAAGAAGAGGAAAGGTAGAGAAAGGAATTAGAGAAATACAAAATTAATACACTCAACAATACGAAGTAATTCAATATCTTTAATACCAGCATGCCTTTGCCAATCACCAAATATTGCATCGAGTATGTATATTTACACTCAGAACCTCATAAGGCTACAATTGAATATTTGCATAAAGTATAAACAGATTTCTAAATAACAAGCTTGCTGAAATTTATAACTGCAAAGATCAACTACGTGATATTGATTTTTAGATATCAGCAGATGCACTAATAAATGATCTAATATTTGCCAAATCGTTAAACAACTTAAATGAAGAGAGTGTATAAGTTTTGGTAAACATATTATTTTTATCATTCACTAATAATAACAGTAAGTTTAGTCAGGAGATTAGGTATACTAATACTCTTCAAAAAAAGAGTAAACTTACAGATGCAGAATTATTTAATAATTTACTGAAAGTACATGCAGAAGCAGGATATTTTCGATCTATGCATATATTGCCAATTAAAGAGCATTTCTAAATCTATCTAAATCATTTTGATTTGATTAATCAGGCTTTTATATCAGATTAAAGAACATTGGAACTTCATATGGATTTGTAGATGGACTTGCCCTTGTAGCCATTACCATTAGATGAGGCTTTGATTTATCGACCATTTGAACAAAAAGCAGAAGATGATGGATTAATCGAAACAGTTGATTAGGAAGATCAATAAGCTCCACCAGAACCAACTGATGAGGAATTGTTGGACCCAATAATAATGGAAGCAATACAAAAGAAATTAGATTTAGCAAAATAAGAATTAGAGGAGAAATTAGTATCAAGATAAAAGGATATGGAAGAAAAGTTAATGAGTATGGCTACAAAGAAGAAATGACATCATAAGTTTTTACACTATTTATATTGTAATATTTTATTAATGAAAATAAATTATTACTTAATTTATTTAATGAATACCAATTTTGAATAATCTATTAGAGCTAATGCTCTTTACATCAAAATAATAAATGCTATTTTTTCCATTTAATATTACAAGCCTTTTTCAGGAAAAGAAGTAAAGGACAAATTTTATAATTTTCATAATAATATTCCTACTTAAGCAGAAACTCAGGCAAGTATTTACTTATATTTCATTATAACCTGAGAATTTGAAAGGGTAGATGAATACTAAGACTCAGTCATCTATGATATTCATAATTTATCACACAATTTTATGGAATTATTTAGATGAAGTTATTATCTATTACAATATTATAATAAAGGGACTTGATTGTAATGTTAATGATAAAATAATCATTGCTATTGCTTGGATTCTTTTATTAGATTACGTAATTCTTCTGATTGTTTTTTCCAATTAGGATCTAAAGGAGCTTTTCCTTATTTCTTTTACAATTATTTTTCTTTAATTTGTCCTTAACGCTATAGCTTTTGCTAATCGTTTGTAACAACTCTAGCTTATTTTGAATTGAATTCTTGTCTTTTCTATTGGAAGACTTGTTTACAGACCTTTACATGTTTTTCAAGAGCATCTTACTTGAATTATCTTCCACATCCTTCAGGACATAGGATTAATTCCAGATCTTCAATAGGTTCTGCTTCCTCTAGATGTATTATCACATAAAATACCAAGCTATTACAACACTCTATCTTGGTTTGCGATTGCTAATTTATTTTCTATTGGGTTTTTAGAACCTAATAAGGCAGCCTCTCTTTTGTTCGATTGCTATCCAATGGATGGCATATATTATTCTGCTTAAACAGGTTTTCCAGATTGGACTTCTTTTTTTTCTTGCTATAATTGCATCTCTTTCTTCTCAACCTATATTTATTTCCTAAAGAGCTCCTCTTGGCCGGGAAGATATAGTCCTTTGGAAATTGGAGCAGTGTTTTTCTTTTCGTCTGATCGTTAGATTCTGTCCTTCAGGGGGATTTTCTCTTAAAAAGATCCTGTTTTAGAGAAATCATCCTTCGTATTTGTTAACTATGGTTCTTATTCTTAAAGTTGAGGAGAACTGTTGCGAATGTTAAAAACAGGTTTACAAGCAAAATTAGGTTTTATATTGATTGCGTTATATTCTAATTTCTATGTGCTTTCGAGAGACGAGGTCTGCTCCTATTTTTTGAACGAGCCAGAAGTACTATCCATCTTCAGGTTCGGTTTGTAATTCATTTTTATTATTTTTTATATTTAATATTATATAATATCTAATTCTAATGATTTTGACATCATATTCTGATGGTTTACATCAACATATTGCAATCCTATTTTGATGTCAGCAATCCCTTATATTGATTCTCGCAGTGATAAGGAATACATTTCATTTAAATAAATTTCTTTGATAATAAACTTTCAAATTAAATTTAATCATGAATCTGCTGAAAAAAGCAACTAATGTATTTTGTTCGATTCCAGAACACAAAGATGTGGATCAAAAGATTATCCATTTGTGTCTTGATTAAAAGTGCCAAATTTCAAAAAAGGCCTTGTGTGGTTTATGTTTGGGAGATTAACATTTTGGTCATAAATCGATCAATCTATCTAATTTGGACACTCTCATTAAAAACGAATGGAGCAGAGAACTACAATAGTACAATTAAAAAACCAAAGATTTAACTGATTGCATTCAAATGAGCATTGCCGCTATTCTCAATAAGATCACGCTTCTGCAATAGTAGATTCAAAACTTTGTTAATTAGTAAATGCAAGAGAGTTAAGTTTGTATTCTAAAGCGTAAGTATCTAGATCAGTAAAATTTGAGTGAAAAAGATTTTGAATAATTGGCAAAGGATATAAGAGAGTCAATCTTCTACAAAGAAGGAGTTCCTGAATATAAACAAATCGATTACGAGCCGTCTGATAAATTCCAAAGCCTAGCCAGTAGATTAGTGTTTGATGCAGCCTTGTTTTGTAGAGATATTACGCTGATAACCAAGGCCAACATAATTCATTCGAGTTTTACAGAATAAGTCTAAGAGATTTTGTATTAAATTTAAAATCTCACAACCTTGATTGAGCGTCCACTTAGTTAGATTGTGTAGAGTAAGAAAATCTTTGGAAATGATAGAAGTGACACTCAGTCCAATCAGAGATTAGATTTTGATTAATAGAGTTAATTGGGAACTTTTGGTTAGACTCAGTTCTGCATTTAAAAATAAGTGAAATTAAGGAGTTTAGAGATGAAGGGATTCGTTAAAATCTACGATGAATTCTTTAACAAGCCCTTCACTCAAACTCACATAGAATTAATAAAACTGAAATGCAATTCTTAATCTCAAATTTGTATTGGTGGAGTCAGTATAAAAGAGCCGGATTAATTTATATTGTGTGCTACTGACTATGCTTCTGAATTCTACACGGAAACTCAAAATTTGAATCTCGCCAGAAAGAGTAGGAATGGAGATGTGTATTGGTATTATGTCAGAAATAGATGCATCGGATTCAGTCCAATGAGTAAAATTGATCTCAAGTATCCTGATGTGGACAATGAGGAGGGAGATTTGAGATTCTCTTTGTGGCTATTTCATGGACAAGGGGGTTATAGAATTGGGAGAATTGAGAGTTTAGAATAAAGTGTTGACTATAAATGTGTGATTTATTTAAAAAAATGATTTAAAACCTATCTTTTTAATCAGTTCAATATTGTCATGATGATTTCAGAGAGACTCCTGTTTATTATAGACCATACCTAGAATCACAAAATAAATACGGATAGCAAAGAGACACAGCAGATGAGAATGAAAATACATAACCTTGTTTTTAGAACAACCTAAAAAGAGCCAATTCATGCAAAATTCTAAAACCAATATTTTAAGTAGTATTTGATCCGATGGAAATTGAAGAAGAAGAGAAGATCATCTAAGAACTAATAGCATCTTAACCATCAATTATTAATGTGGCAATTCAAGTTGACTTGGATCAATATTTTCAAAAAATCAATATCAAATTGAATAAGGAGCTTATGAAAAATAATCATCTACGTAATAGCTATTTGGACATATTTGAAAAAGACAGCATACAAAGAAAATAATGCTCAACAACTGAATTATTAATCAATTTATTCAAGACTTCTTATACAGAATTTATGAATAAATCAATCGACAACATTGGAATTATTAAACTATTCATCGAAGATAATATTGATGCCTTCATCACAGGATCACTGATACCTCCTCAATAAGTTTGGCATGATTATAAGATATTGATTTTAGCCATTATAATTAAAATTATGAGAAGTATGTTTGTTAGTTATATTAGTGAAAAGCACTACAGGACAACTAATTTACGAATGCATGGTGGCTCAATTATATGAAAAATTAGCGTGTGTTTTTAAAAACGAAGCTCCACCTATCCCAGAATTCAAAGATTATTTTGAATGGTATTTTTGGTCAAGTGACAGAAACAAACAATTAGAAATTAATGAACTGACAGAAGATGAATAGCGTTAATTGAGAATTGTAAGTATCATTAGAAAATATTCCTTTCTTTTTTGGAGTCTATTGTGGATTGATCCTAATTAAATTTTAAACCTAAATCCAGACCTACAACAATTTAGAGAATAGTAGAAAATCCCTGCTTACAGGTATTTGAATAAGGATAGGTAAATGTTTGCTACTCTAATTTTGAAATTCGTTTAATGTAACACTTTTGCCTGTGTACCAGCACTTAATGCATTGTTTGATGTCGTTTAAGACAAGAAAATATTGCTACCTATTTTCAATAAATTTTCAGATATATTGAATAATGAAGGACTCTTAGAGAGTTTATTAGACGATATAGGACCATTGAAGGAACAAGCTAAAAATGAATTCTTTGTTTATCCTTAGGTTCATGATAAAGGATTAGTAAAGATTGTTTAAGGGAAATTAAAAATACTCAGGGATGAGCCAAGCCAAACAGAAAATGATTTTTATGCAAAATTATTTTTAAACGATTAGAGACCTACATTCTATTAGGATTGATTTAAATAACAGTTAATATTTTAATTTTTGAATTTATTTTAAGCTATGTTAAGTATGAATGCATCTCTATTTAAGCATAAAACTATTATGATTTGAGAGGAGGAGACAAGATGGGCAGCAACAATAGATAGTTGGAGAGATATGAGAAATTAGAGAAGATTGGAGAAGGTACTTATTAATTATATTGTGTTTAGGAACCTATGGGGTTGTTTACAAAGCACGTGATTCAGTGACCAAGGAATTGGTAGCATTGAAGAAAATCAAATTAGAAAACGAAGATGAAGGAGTCCCTTCAACAGCAATGAGAGAGATTTCAATTTTAAAAGAACTCTAGCCGCATCCAAACATTGTGGGCCTTAAGGAAGTCATCTATCAGCCTAATGAGAAGAAACTCTATTTAGTGTTTGAGTATGTTGAGATGGATTTCAAGAAATTCCTTGATTAGAACAAACACAACCTAACATTAAGCCAAATCAAAGTATTAATCAAATCAATTATAGCATTTTACATTCCAAATCCTAAATGGTCTCAATTATTGCCACTCTAGACGTATTATCCACAGAGATCTCAAGCCATAAAATATCCTAATTGATAAATCAACTGGAATCATCAAATTGGCTGATTTTGGATTGGCCAGAGCCTTCGGAGTACCAATCAAAACTCTAACACATGAAGTCGAAACTCTTTGGTATCGAGCACCAGAAATTCTATTATCTTAAAAACAATATTCGTTGGGAGTTGATATATGGTCTGTCGGATGCATTCTCACAGAAATGGTTGAAAAGCACGGGTTATTTTGTGGGGATAGTGAAATTGATTAAATCTTTAAGATCTTTCAATATCATGGAACACCAACAGTGTAGGATTGGCCAAATATTGCAGATCTTCCAGATTTCAAGCCAACATTCCCCAGGTTTAGACCAACACCTCCAGAACAATTTTTCAAAAATTTTGAAAAAGTACACTATTTATTCGAATATTAGAATGGATTGGATCTAGTTACTAAAATGATTGCTCTTGATCCTGCTAAGAGAATCTATGTTAAGGAAGCAATGAAACATCCATTCTTTGATGACTTAAACAAGGAGGATTTAATTAAATACTTCCCCCCTGGACAACAAAATTTAGCAATGTAATATGGAAAATGAAAATTAATTAAACATAATATTAATATGATCAATTTGAATAAAGGTATTCTAACATTGCTAAAACACTCCATTCTGAAGAATTCAAAAATGGATCTATTTCAAGTAAGTGACTGAATGACTTGCTTATGGTGTTTTGGGACTTCCTAGATATTTACATATTTTAGAGATATAGGTTAATTATTGTTTTTGCGAATAAATGAAACTTTTAAATTATTTTGATTTTGTTTTAGAATCTAGTAATATTTTAAAGAATTTGAATTTAGCCAAATTAAAGACTATAAGGAATCTTGAAAATACCCAAAAGAACTAGTAACAATATTTGCTTATAAGTAATGAAATTTAATTTTTAATGGATATGAAATTTTAACCAATTAAATCAATGCTAAAAAAACTATAGATTACTTCATATAGATACTGTTTTACTAAAAATATTAATAATTAAATTATCAAATAATTCTTCTTAAACATTCAGTTATTGTTTAAGCCTTAAAATGGATGAAATTTTTAAAATGATGCTTATGGTGTTCAAGCCAATTTGGATGTTTCTCACATTTAATCAAATAATCTGTTAGAAAAATAAGTTCTTTATCTTTCTTATTATCTTCAAATGGAATGATTGGAATTCCATTATCTGGCTGTAAAAAATAGCAATAAGCTGAATTATCGACTAAAGCCATAGACTTAATGATAGAATTGTATATTAATATACCTCCAAGTTTCTGCCTTCTAAGACTCTTAAATCTTTTACTAAAAGGCCATCTCCTAGTGTAATACAACTATCTCTATAGAGTCTATAAGAAAAAATCTATTTTTTGGGATCTATGAATTCTAAGATTTAATCTGCATATTATTGAAAAGATGCAGTAAATAGAATCAACTCATAGAATTAAGACAAAATTGACAGCATTTCAATACAGTATGGCCTTATGTTAAATCGAACCTATTTATAACTTCGATTCATACCTATTAAGGAGGTTCATTAGGAATCTAAACAGTAATTTCATGATCGGTTGGATTAAGATTAATATCATTGCAATGTATCAAAGTCTCATCAAGATCAAATATTATAGTTTTAGGAGAGTTTTTGCTCAATTTAGGCTATTTCGGCGGATCCATCTAAATTGGCTTTATTGTTGTCTTCTATTACAAAGTTTAACATTATTTCAAATATTAAAAACTAGATAAATAATGATCGCAAAACTTTTATCTAAAATACAGCTATTGTTCTTAGAATTCAATTTAAAATTAAACTTTGTAGGGAGTAGTATTAGGAAAATGTTACTCCCTTAAAAAATGGATAACAGAAGTTATATAATATTTCGCGTCTTTAAAGATGGGTCTAATAACAGACTATATAATATCTTAATTTTTACTATAAAAGCTTTTAGTTTTTGCGATTAATAATTTTAATCATGACTAGGTGATTTTCCTCTCTAAGTTGTAATTAATTTTTAGGGTGGAGTATTAGACACCTTTGATATATCTAGCCTTGGTGTTAATGATTTTGTAGCATTATCTTGCTACTTTTTCTAATTTTTTACATCCTCTGTTTTAGAGATTGGACTAACAGCATTTTATACGTCTTTTTTTTTATCCAATAGTTTTAAAGGTTGAGATTTTTGTTCAACTTTTTATTATTACACTTGAGTTTTTTGATTTTTTTTGGGTTGTACTTAAACTAGTTTCTGCTTTTGGGTTGTTTCTGTTGGTTTAAATGAAAAACGTTAAGTATTCATTTTAATTGCTTAGGTATTTTTGGTCAATGTCTGCTCCTTAACTAATTAATTTTAATTTTAATTTCTTTGCTGAAAAGATTTGAAATCTGTAGCAGTCGACACGCTTCTATTTCTGAAATTCCTCAATGTACTTTAGGGTGAAGCATGCTCTATCTCTTTTTATCTTACTTAATCTTATTATGTTCTCTAACTAATTGGACTAAAATCAAAGGATGTTTTAGCTGCGCCAATTGATGAATTCGTCTTTTACTCTACTCTAATCTTTTATTTATCATTTTTTATACTCATTTTTTCTTTAATTTCTATCAGCTGATGTGCCTCTGCTAATTTTGTTTTGAATTTAATCGGGCTTATTTATTCCGTTTACATACTTTGGCTTACTTTATAAATTTAATTTGCTTTTAGGTGTTTAACTCATAAGTAATAGAATTCTGTTCAAATATAAAAATTAGAATAAATAATTCTTTTAATATTATTACAAATATTCAACTCATTACTTCTTATGAAAACGTTTGAAATCCAATCTAACGATGCTCTAAAAATGTTTTAATCTCCTCAATAGTTCTCCAATTCATATAGCCTAATTGATAAGCTAAAAGTTTGGAACTCTAATTATTACAATTTATTTTACTTTCGCTGGGAACTCTAGCTCATCAATTTATTTAGCATTTTCTCTTGAGCTATAAAGTTCACTTATTTGTTCAAACTTAAAATCTTTTCTATTAGAGAATTCTGTCTATAATTCATTTCTTTGCTTTAAAATGTTTCTTATTTAAGTGAAATTCAAAGTTTGATAACGAAACATATTATACAATCTATTGTATTAGTTCGAGCTGCACTTTGTTATTTATTCTTCTAATTTCTTGGTCATTTCTTATAAGGGATCATAATCTTGATTAACTTCATATTTTTAACATAAATTTGTTAAATTTGATATAGAATCCTCAATTTCCTTGATGATTTTAGATACAGCTGATAAATGATGTGTGATTGCTTTAAACAGATTTTTAATTTTAGCATAAATTGGTTCTTCTTATTAGATATAAGTTTCAAAATTATTCAATTTAATATCTGGTACAAAGATAATAGTTCCAGTCATATTTAAAAGACTTTCGAATTTATTTGGTTTGCTTAGTTTCTCTCCAAACTTTATAAGTTGTTTAAACTAAGCAGGATCATTTAGACGAAGAAAGTCGACAAAATATTTACTATTTCTAAAAAGTTCACTCTTAGCCAACTCATTCAAAAAAAATTCTAGCATAATAGTTCTTTTTTGAACTGTATTTTTTGCTGTTTTCTTAGCTGTTTTTTCTGAAAGACTAGGTATTCCTACTCCTGGGAATAATTTGAAAAGTGTTTGTTACAACCATTAGAAATCCGAATATCTTCTTATACAACATATTCATCTCCTGTTTTCACACTATAGACTACATAATCACTTTTAAATAGACCTTCTGTTTTCTTTTCAAAACTAAATAAATTATACTTAAGTTACCCAGTTATTTTTATAGATGGTACACCTTTTGCAAAGATATTAAAACCTAATTTTTTGCATTGTAATTTTGAACATTGAGAAAAAGAATAAATTTCAGGGGCTTATTTCTTAGGCATTTATTGCTAAATTTCCTATAGCTTTTGAGCAGTTGGTGATATCGACAATGGCTTACCAATGTTGGGAATATCTAGTTTTTCTGAGACTCTCTAATTAATTTCTGATGTTTATTGTTAATGAATTTACTAAATTTGTTTTTGAGTTTACTAAAATGGTTATTCATTTTTTTTATCTTCCGATTGCTCTAATAGAGCAGATGGTCCTGTATGATCTAAGTCTATTAAGTTCCACATCTAAGGATCGCTTTTTATATCCATTTATGGAATGACTTAATCAAATGCATTCCACCCAATTATCATTTCATCTACTGGCTAATCGAAATCAGTTGTAAAAAATTCAATCTTATATTGGTTGACCAACTAAACAATATCTTCGAAAGTCCATTTGTCAATGTCGCTTTCTTATTTTATATTGAATCCATACCTTCCCCCTTAATCTTCTCGCAAAACTCTTGGAAGTGATTAGGATCAATTCCTTTATCTAAAATCTCCTCCTATAAGTAAGCTTCTTTTTAACATCTTAATTTATTATCCATTTTCAATTAAAAATAATTTATACGATGGACACAAAAAAATAACTAATTTAAATGAAATATTAGAGTAACTCAATTTAAAAGCAATTGAAATTGAAATGATTAAATTCACTGTTAAAATCTATCAACCATTAACCACACTTAATTTTAATAGAGGATATTTACATAGAATTCTATTAATTATATGAGAAAAATAAATAAAACAAATACATTAACAATTTTATTGGCTTTTGCAATATTTTTGTTTTACTTATGCCCAACATTGCCTTATTAATACTTTTTGGGATTATAAACCAAAAGCTAAATTTATTTTTATAAAAGAAATTCTAAATTCTATTGAAATTTGAATTAAAAAATAATAGGTATCATTCTATCGATTCACTTATTAAAATACAAATTATTTTTTTTATACTATTATGAGTGTTTAGAAATATTAGATTAATTTATTAGTTTAAAATTTAACATTAATCATGAATTCATTTGTGTATTCATTCAAAAATCTAAGCAGTGAATTTGTAGAATCAGCTAACTTTGTTTAAAACAAAAGACCAAATCAATTTTGCTTCAAAATATTCAATCAACAATCATATGAAGATTTTAAATTGGAAGAATAACAATAACCTTCATAATAACAATAATAATTCTAGGAGCAATACCCTTAATTGAGTATTAGTTAGTATTTCTTGAACCCTTAATTAAGTTTGGAGTTTAAATCGAAAATTCCTTCTCTAGATAACTATATTAAGAAAAAGAAAATACATAAAAAGGCGAAATAACAGTCAGCTGCAATTAGAGATTATAAGAAAAATATATGCAGAAATATTTTGAGACATAGTATAAAAGGGATAGTTAACTATTCGTCTCAGGAATTTTTGTTAGAAAAGTTTAGAAATAACACTCAAAAATTAATTGAGTTTCAAAAGTTTTATTAATAAAATTTAGAAATCATTTCAGGCTTTAGAGTATTAAAAGATCATTTAATAATTTAAGATGATGAACCTAAAGAAGAATAAGAAAGAAAGAGAGTTTTTTAAAAGTATTTAATCTGGTTTTTGTCCTCTTAGGCAACAAAATGCATACTGTAATCAGAGGCAAATAACATAGCTGAATATATCCACTATAAAAATGATGTCTTATTATATTACGTTCAGCAGCCTTCACAATGGTACTCTAACAAGCCTTTATGGAGAAATAATGAATGAATTAAAATAAATATAATTATAATTACTTTATTTAGTAGTGTTTCGTAAGTATGAATTATCTACAAAATTGTTTCACCCCTTATCTATTACGTTTTAGTTAATTTTTGCATCATCAATATTGAATTTTCTCAAATATTTCCATATGAGCTATGCATCGTAAATACAATATTTTACTTTTTGCATATATGTTAATTTTTCAATACGGATTTTACTAAATTTATAAAATTTAATACTTTCCCTTAACCTTAATCATATACTGTTGCTCCTCCCAAAATAAGGCAGGATTTATGTCATTTCCACCAAGCTTATCAAAAACGTTAGTAAAATATTTTTCAAGGGTGACTAGAAATATATTTATGAAATCATTGTGTTTCTCCCTTTTATCCATCTGATTTTAATTTTCTGCATTTTTTTTTGGATGGGAATTAGAAATATTTGGCAAGGAATCTTTTAACATTTATTGTGGGTTTTAATCAGGCTATTCTTATTTATTTTTCTAAATTGTTAATAATCCTTTGCATAACTCTAATTCATTGCAATAAAATTACCTTAAAATTATTAAACTTTGTAGTCTTCTCTTTAGCTTGCATTAACCTCTTATGTACTGTTAAGGGCGTTTTGATATTCCATTTTATTGAATTCGGCAAATGCTAAGTTCAATAACTATTAATACCTTTAAATATGGAAACGTTCTATTCATCAAAATCTTTTGAATATTAATTTGATAATTCTATTAATTAGTTGTACTTTTTCATTTTAAACAAACAATTTTCTTCTAAAATAGCTATATATATATCACATAGTGTTAAGAAGATTTGATTTTTTAATTCTTTCTTTTTGGACATTTTGCTGAGAAGGAAAACTTTCAACAAATACTTTGAAGCCTCCTCATATTAATGTTATTTTAGAAGTATATTTCCTATAATAAATATTCTAATAAGTACCTTTTTGATAAAGCGAAAACAATGATAAAGGATCCTTTTCCAGACTTGAGTCAACAGCCTACAAAGCGTAATCTAAATTATTATTTTGTTCATGTAAAATAGACTATTTTTGCAATATTTTTGATTCCTTTTTCCGATAAAAGCTATAGTTAATGTTGAAATCCTCTATATATTTTTCCATAATTTTAATTTTATAATCAATCTCTTTAGCCAGATCCTTCTATACATCCATAATATAATCTATATTAAATTTAAAAGGAATAACATCCTCAAAAAAACCATTTTCGCAAAATTATTCAACTTTATTTAGAATATATTTGCAGTGTTGAAGTAACATGCCTAACTGTTGATTAAGTTTTTAATTTAGTTAAAAAAATTGCTTTTCCATTTGATTATAATTTTATTAAAGCAATGCTCTAGAATCTTAGAAACTGTCCCCAGTTTTACAACTGGAGAAATGTGATTTACAATATTTAAATGAGCATTGAAAGCATTAAGGTAAATATTAATAATCGCAATCTTCATCTTCGCATAATACAATTTCCATCTAAGATTCAATTTATCTAGGATGTAGATGATTGCACATGTTTCGCTTTTAATTTTTAGGTTAATATCAAATAATTAATATTTAATATTATTATATAGATAAAGGAAAAGCTATTCTAAAAATTTAATCTGTTTGAAATTTAGCCTATTCTATGGGTTAAGATACCATTTATTGGTGATGGGAGAGATGTTTAAACATCTTAGCCTTAAGATTGATTTGATTAAATTCTTCGTTATCACTTATTTAATCATTCTGTAATTCTATTATTTTAATTGGAAATCACTTTTAGATTATTTTGAAATGACCTTCAGTTTCTTTCGTTTCAACTTCTAATTAATCCTACGAAAATAGTACATTAAATCTTATGAATACCTTTTATATTTTTGAAATAATATTAACAAGAATTTTAACATCTCATTTAAAAGTTGAATAAAAGTAGAGCAAATAAGAATGATACTTCATATCTTTTAAATTGATTCTAGTTTTGCAATAAATTCTTAAATAAAATTATTGAAAATCCAAAATGAACATAAATACACAGATGCAATGCTTTTTAAATGAATTAAAATATATAATTTATATATTAAATGAATAGAAGAAAGAGTCCAATCTACAAATCTCCAGGATTAAGCCCAAATATTAAACCTGGGTTATTTTCAAATCCATCGGAATTGAATAAATTGAATAAATAGAAAACTGTGAAAGTTGACGAATCCTAATCGCCTCTATTGAAGGAGAGTAAAGAAACTAAAATTCCTCCTAAACTACAAAAGAGCTACAGGTTTGATTACTTATTTAATAGTAGTGCCACAAAATTATTCAGCAATAATATTAAAGTGGCCAAACAATAACCTGAGGATAAAGATGATAAAATCATGGAAACTCTATAGAAATTGCTAAAAGAGCTAATAGAATTCAATGACAATATTGAATAAAGCCAAGTCACCAATATTGAAGAATGGTGCTGTGAAATCTTGGAAAAGTTAAATTAAATTAAAGCAAATATAGAAAGTAAATGGAATATGATATTTTAGGAAAGGAAGATAATTCAGCTTGTGATGCTGTGATGTAATAGTAACATTATTAATTTATTTAGATAGAGAAATATTAACTAAGCTATTGAAGGAACTTCAGGAGGAGAAGAAGGAACGTTATAGAATTGAGGAGGAAGCCACCAATCTAATTACAGAATAAGAGATTGAAATAAATCGTTTGGAGAAGGAGCTAAGATTATTGGAAGAGAAACACTAATTATAATGATATTAAAATTATAATCTGTTAAAATTTATGTTGAGAGATGCTGGAGTGGAACAGACACATTAATTAATCGACAAAATAGAAATGAGAGTCAAGAACTTTCTAAAGACTCAATCTACAAAGCAAATATAACCATTGCAATTAAACAATTCAAATTTAGACTACAATAATAGACAAATATCTATGTATTCAAAAAAAGAAAAAGGAGACTCCAACATTTTCAGTCAATTAGAAAACATTCCTCCATAGAGATAATTGACTTAATGTTCAAGAACTTCAGATTGTCAAATTCCATTATTGAAAGAAATCCAAGAAATTGATCAATCATACAAAATTGAAATTGACTAATTAAAGAACACAATTATACAACTAAAGTAAGTGATTGAAGAGTTAAAGGAATGTATTTCTGGATTAACACAATAATTGGACTTTAAATAAAAGTAAACTTTGTTTTAACTTTAGAGAAGTTGATTAAGTAAATAAAGAAAATGAGAATACTAAAATACTAGTACAGACTTTGAGAGATGAAAACTCTTATCTAACAAGAGAGATATAATAATTAATGAATGAATAACATTCCAACAATCCAAAAGTCAGTTCTTTAACGTATGAGGTTCAAGAGGAGAGAAAGAGAAGTGAAAAATTATAACTGGAGATAAGTGAAATCAAAATGAGAGTTGAAAAATAAAGAGATTCTGCAAAAACTAATTCAGACTTCTAGATAATAGAAAAATTGGTTCATAAATTAGAAGATGCTCAAGAATAATAACAACGTTAGAATCAATAGTTTATGAAATATGTGATACAATATTTGGAGAAATAATAAAACTAGTAATTAAAACCAACTTCTACTTTACTCTTAAGTAATCACAAAAAGCAAAAGTCTAGTTTAAAGAAAAAATGATATATATACCTATTACAATAATTATATAATTTAATTTTTAAATGGCAGAAAGAGGACACGCTTTAAAATAGGACATAAGCAAATTGGCTTGGGAGGAGACTGATTTTCCAATAGTTTGCAACAATTGCCTTGGTGAAAATCCTTATATCAGAATGGTATCCATTTATTAACTAATAAATTTCCAGCTCAAGGATAGATTTGGAAAAGAATGTAGAATCTGTGCAAGACCATTCACAACCTTTAAGTGGAAGCCTGGGAATAATTCAAGATAGAAATAGACCGAAATTTGTCAAACTTGTGGCAAAATTAAAAACATCTGCTAAGCTTGTTTTAAAGACTTGGAATTTAATATGGGATTATGCACTAGAGATAAATTTTTAGGAGATTAAAAAATCGAAATCCCTGAACATACAGCAAACAGGGACTATTGGGCTGAATAAGCCAATCGTCAAATTGAAAGATTGATTTTACCTTATGATGCCCCACTACCTATGTTGGATCAGATCCTAAAAGAGCCAAGATTAGCTGATGTAAATAATCAATTAAATGATGGAAAATCAGAACCGGCTAATTAAATTTATGCAGAGCCTTTAGAAAATCCTTAAGATATTGATCTATTATACAAGGAAAAGTTTGAGGCAAAAGGTTTGTTGCCACCTGATGATCCAAAAATCAGTAGTCTTTATGTATCCCACATGTCAAATGACATCAAGGAATCAGATTTGAAGTACAATTGAATATTAAATAGACATTTATTTTCGAAATATGGGAAACTAAATTCAATTAAAATAATGGAACATGGTCAAAGTTGTTTTATCAATTTTGCAAGAAGAAAAGATGCAGAAACTGCTGTTAATGCTTTATATAATAATATAATAATAAAGGACGTCATATGCAAGATTCAATGGGCAAGAGCACCAAATAAAAAGGTTCCAATTAAAGGTATATTTGTTTAATAATGATAAATAGATTTAATACAATCCTTATAGCCAGAAGAGAATAATAAAGCTCATCCTCCTTAAGCTCCACCATAGAATATTGATAAACGCTAGCAAACTGAAGATAAGTATGTTACATATATAAGTTTAGTTTGCTGATTGGATTGCTTAATTAGTAAATGACCTATCCAAATTAAAATCCATATTAAAAAGGCGGTGTAAATAATAAAGGATTATGATAATATTATTCTATTACATGGTATTAGTACAACAATTTAATTTATACTACCCAATCATTATACATATAAAATGAATGAAATTTTGAATTATTAATTATTATTTTATATATGCAGGCAAAATCCGTAAGAGCTTCACATATCTTATTGAAATCCACACAATCAAGAAACCCCTATGATAGATTTAGAGATAAATAAGTCACTAGGTACATGCTTAATTTATGTCAATAAGATCTGATGCTGATGCAGAGAAAGGAATTAGAGAAATCAGGGCCCAAGTAGAAAACAATTTAAATTTATTTGCTAAAATAGCTCAAGAGAGAAGTGAAGTATTTAATAATGTAAAATCTACAATAGTGTTCTTCTTGTTAAAAGGGCGGGGATTTAGGAGAATTCACAAGGGGATAAATGTAAAAGTAGTTTGAGGATGTGGCATTTGCATTAAAAGTTGGAGAGTTGAGTCAACCAGTCAAAAGCGATTCAGGATGGCACATCATTCTTAGAACCGGTTGATGAAAATTATTATTACAACGCCATATATTAATAAATGAAATTTATTATCTTCAATATACTAGTTTATTTTGTAGTTAGCGAAGTAGAAACTGTCTTTGAAGATGGAATTGAATGGACAAAAATGCCTATTGAATTCGAAGAAGTGGAATAACCAATAGAGAATTTGTAAGGAGGCTAAGGCACTACAAATTACGGAAAAATTGATTATGGGATTACTGAGGAAATGGCATTGATGTTTAAAACCTTAAACGATCCTACTTATGATGTCATAACTCGACCCATCATTAAATAGATTGGGTTGGAATTCTTTGAAAGTCATTATTAGAAATTTTGCAACACAGATTAATTCTTCGAGAGATTAATATATCAAGGAAGCAATGTTGAATTCAATACCATAAATATGATTGTATTTATTAGTTCATAAATAGTACCATGTTAAAATGTCAGTAAATGAGTTTATGGTTGAATTTAGCCTTAAAAATTGGGACACTGATAAAAACGACTTTTCAATCAAGGAATTCACCAAGTGTGAAATTTATGTGAGATAAGAAAAAAAATAGGACTTATGAAAAGTATTTTATATTGTTTTTAAATAACTGGGAATTTCTTTTTATTTTTTGAATTACCACAAATCAAAAACATATAAGCTATATATCACTCTGTATCTAACATCTTTTATAGATTACTGTAATCTACTTTTTATTAATCATTTTTTCTTTCTCCTTAATTTTATTAATCATTTTCATTCATTTTTTCTTCATTCTCCTCTCTCAAAGATCGTAACTCAATTCTAAGTTCATTTATAATATTAAATACTGAATCTTTTTTCCCATGAATTACTTTCCATTAGCAAAATACTTAAATTTTCTTGCATCTTCCTCTTTTTTAAAAACTACTATTGCTTATCCTCTACCAAACTCCCCTTTTTAATCTTTTAGAATTTCAATATTTTCTATCTCACCAAAATCCTTTGCTAATTCAAGCAATTCTTCATTTTTTATTGTTCTTGGTAATCCTTTTAAATATGTTTTTTTTTCTCTTTTTTCCTAATCTAATGCTTTTCTGTATATTTTTAAAACTAAAGGATTTATTGAAATTTTGGTTTGAGCATCCTACTCCTCTATTTTATTCTCTTAAAAATTTTTCGTAAATTCTTTCACCGCATCTTCTGACTCCATTTCAATAAAGGCTCTTCCATTAAATCTATTTAATGAGTCTATTACAAAATGAACTAGCTATAATGTTTAGGCTTTACCTTTTTTAATATATTATGTCTAAGGATCAACATACCCTTAAAATTTTTCTTCATTCCACTCCTATGGGATCGATGAAGCATAAGCAAAGTTCTTTTAGTTCCTGTTGATGGATTCTCTTAATTATTGAGTATAGTTTTAAAGCTTTGAAAATTTATATATATAATTCCTCAATTAAAACATTTAAATATTATCATTTTTAAGTCTCTTAATTGTTTCCAAGAAAAATATATAATTGAGTTTTAATATATCTGTCCCAATAAGAGTTTGATTAAGAGGAATAAGAAACCGATATTAATGAAAAGAAAGTATTTTTTTTGTATCTCTAACAATGATACTAATAATTATTAGAAGGATTAAAAAATTATTAAATTGCAATTAGATTTCAAAAAATAAGTAAAAATGAAATAATATTTTCCTTTAATTTAAAAAGTAGAAAGCGAGAGATATCTTTCATAAGAAAATTATGGACAAATACAAAATCTAAAGATTGAAAAATTACATTTTAAGTTATTTTATTTATAAATATACATATAAAAAATCAGAATTTACAATTAAGATGATTATCACAAATTAATTAATAATATATTATGACATTTATAAATTAATAATCGTCTCATTAAGAATCTCTTATTGATTTTACAAGGCAGGGTTTCTTAATTCTTGATTTATGTATGGAAATTTATGATGCAATAGATAGCGTTGATTATTAAAAATAAGTGAAGTAATTTTTCTCAATTTTATTAACATTTAATTGACTTCTATCGCAATTATATATAAAATATATATAGTAATTAGATATCTGCTAACAAGAATTTGTTTAAAGGAATTTTTTTATTTCTATTTAAGATTCGAATATTTCCCCTTGAAAATTAATTAAACTGGAATTATAGTAAATTCCATCTCTTAGTTAAATGAACTATTAAATGTCACAACAAATTGGGATTTAACTCTCTTTTTGTATGTAGTCGTCTAAAATTTCTTCGTTTATGCCCATCAATCTAAGAAAATCATAATTCATTTTTTTTAATATTCCAACTAACCTCCCTTAAATAAATTAGAAATTCCAACATTCATAAGGTTTTTCAATAGTATTTTGAAATGAATTTCTATTGTTTTCAGTTATCATCTCAAAAGGTAATCTCTCATAGAAATGCATCATTTAATCATATTCTAAAAAATATTCATTCTACACTTCAGTATTATAATTAAAGAACGATAGCCTACATTCAAAAGATTCATTATCATGTTTCCTTTCTATAATTGAACTCATTTTTAACAATTTGTCTATTAATAATGCTCCCAATGCTTGGCATTTATATCTATTTTTTTAGTCAGTTTCTGCAACTCTGAATAAATTAGTAATTTTGTATAACTGATCCTCTTGCTTTATAAGATTGGTATGATCTAAATAAAATAATCCTGTATATTTTTACTTGGTTAAATTAGCTCACTTTTCTATTTAGTTATGAGCTTGTGCAACATTTTGTTATTCCTTATCTTCTTTGAGTTTAGATGTTTGGAAGCAGAAATCGAGGTGTGTAATGAAGTCATAAGACGTAAATATTAAAATGAATGATTAATACATAAAACTAGCAATTATGAATGCCCTTTTAAAAGTCATAAATAATTGCGAATTACTATTAATTAGCTAAAATGAAGATTTATAAGTAATATAAATGTGATAAATTTTGTAAATATATATTACATAATAAATGTCATTGACTATTGGGTTCATTTCTTCTAGAAGAAATGAGTTTATTATATTTTTCTCCTGGAAGTTTTCTACCCTAAATCAATAAACATTATTTTTAACATTTCAAATATTCCTTAAATCATTTGTTAAATTAATTGAGCTGATATTCTATCACAAAATTTACCTGTTCCAAACTTATTATTCAAGATGGAATGCATTAGGAGATATCTGGATACTAAGATCTTACTTAAAGGTTTGATTTCTAATTTTTTTATTAATATTAAAATAATTAAAATATTAGTCTTATAATAAAAATTAAAATAATTGCTGTTATATAATCCACATCTAAATTAATTAAAATTATAGTTTATTTATCCACTCTAAATAACTTTAATTTTGGTTCAACTAAAAAGTAGGTGATATAGAATTTGATAATAGGAAAATAAAATAAATTATAAACAAATTATGAAATCAATGTTTTTTCCAAGCTTGATACTACTTCTAAATTCTATGCAATATTTCTATTTCCTCAATTCTTTTCCTATCTTCATAGTATTTCTAAAAATTAATTTGTATGCAGCAATCCATTTATGGTTTTTTGACAATATTTCTGAAACATAAGAATATTATCAGATCATATACAAATATTGTATCTATCTTCTTTTCATTGTATATTTGATGTTTATTAATAGGCTTTTGAGTTTCTAAAATCTATTGATAAATTGGCTCTAACTGCTGAGCTAAAATTAAAAACAACTCTTTAAAATTATCATTTATCGCCATAATCAAATATTCATTTTCTTCAATACTATTATCCTTGTAAGCGTCTCCTCTCTCAATGATTGAGAACTTTTCCAATTGAAATTATGCATCATATAATTACTCTTTCCATTTGATGAATTCTTTTCTAGAAATATCAAAGTCTCTTTAAGTACTCTATCTAATTTTCTATAAATCATTCTAGTGATATTCAGATGTCATCAATTCCAGCCAATCTTGAGCATCAATTTCAATGATGCCTGCTTCATTACAATCAAACAATAGCATCTAATTTAAAGATGAAAAAACACAGTAAATTCTTTTGTAAAGGAGAAACATGCACTTGATATACAAATCTTCAGGTATCAGATTAACAGAATCTATTTTTTTTTAACTTTCCAACTCCTTGGCCACTTATAGGAAATAATATCCAATAGATTTTTCAAATTCTAGGTGATCCTTAGCTTTTCTGGCTCTATTCAAAATATTTTAATGTGCCAAATAATTCCTAAAAATATCAATTATTTTTACAATGTTTGTCTTCTTCCATATTCTTGCATTTCATCTTGTTCCTTGTCTGATAAACTAAGACTTCCACTCTAAAGCACAAAATTATTCAATGTCAAATCCTCAACTGAATCTTATGTTGATAATGTGTATTACGGATCCTATTCAATTTTAATTGCTTTATGATTGAAGAAATCCTGCCATGAAATTCTGTTGTTTTCATCAATTACCAACATTCTTCTTAACAAATCCTTAGTAGGTTCTGATAGTGTACATCCTTCAGGAATGAGATTGTCAACTAAAGATTAATGTGTGATATACTTTTTTATTGAATTTTCTTTAATAATTTCAATGGGTTGACTTCCTCCCATGGGTACTCTCTAAATAACATAAAATAGAATGTAACTCCTAAGGACCACATGTCACTCAAACTATTATAGGATTCTTATTTGATTATTTGAGGAGACATGAAAACTGGAGTACCACTAAAAGTTTAAAATTTTCCACTCTGATTCGATTGATCCATGACCTTAGCCAATCCAAAGTCTGCAACTTTTACTTATCCATTATGCAAGAGTAGATTCTATGGTTTAATGTCTCTATGAATAATCTTTTTGCTGACTAAATATTTGAAGGCTGCTGCAATTTATCTGAAAAATACAACCACATCTTCTTCTGAGAGATTGTGATTCAAAATAAAATCATCTAAAGCTCCCTGATTACAGTATTCTGTAACCAAATACATAAATTCTTCATTTTTTTTTGCATCTATAAATCCAACAATGTTTAAGTGATTTATTTTTCTCAATACATTGATTTCTTGTAAAAGTGACACTGTTACTTCCGGTGAAGCTTTTACAGGTATTTCCTTAATGGCTAAAAAGATTTTTTCATCTCCAGTTCCTTTAGCATAAAATCCTAAGTAAACAGTTCCACAATTTCCTTTGCCCAATTATTTCTGGGTGTCTATCATATATTTATCAATCTGAATGTAGCGAGATTTCATTTTTATAAAATATTTATAATATTGATAATAATTCAACACAATTTAACATAATAATCATCTTTCTGTCTTAGTTACTTTATGAGCCAGTATTGGTTAAACAAACTACCATATAAGGAATACATAATCAAAGGCAAAAATTCTAATCTCCCTCCAAAAATCATATGATGGAGGAAACGATCATAAAAAATAATCAGGCCTCCAGCATATAGATATAATTTTTCTGCATTGTTTAATTTGATTTAATATTCAGCATAAAATATTATATGAAAGATAATTAGCAAAATTATAAGTATTGGTTATTCTAAATTAATTATCATCTTTACCATATGATGATGGAATCAATGGCAACAATGCTATGCCATTTATAAATGAAGCCATAAAAATTAAATTTGGGTTCTTCATCTAAACAAATTGTAAAATTATTGGAATCATTACGGCCTTTTCATGAACATGATACCCAAAATTGAAAAATATTAAAGAAGATATTGTGAAAATATCATATACATTCTTATACTTTTTTCTAAACAACAACTAACATTTATTAATTTAATACCAAACACAAAGATCCAATAATTATTAAAGTTGTTATATTCCCTATTGAAGGCAGCACATTAAACACTGTTTCTTAAACAACACCAGAAGCAGTTGAAGCTTTATTAATTTTCAAGATAACTCCTAACACTTTATCTGCTGAACAATATATACTCCAAAAGTTTTAAGCCCAATAAGCATGAACAAGTCCTCTTTGGAAAGGAAATAATCTTTTCAATATTTAAAAGATGTCCTAATAAAAAGGTAAAAAGATGACTAGTAGCAAAGACACTGATAAAATCCCTATTGAGATGATTTGTTTAATTTGACAATTTTTCAACACAATAACTCCAAAAGCTGGCAATACATAGATGTATATATGTTTAAAGCTAAGTAATATTACATACAATAGAGAGGCTTGTAGATATTGTTACTGTTGCAATTTATAACAAATGAACAACAGAATACCATATAAGAATCCATTGTATTGGAAATGTATATCTAATTATAACAAGTATTTGATACTATCAATTAGTAGGCATCCGAATGGAATCATATCAATGAATTACTTTGTAAATGACTTTTACTGCTTTTTGACTGCAAAAAAGTAAAGAAACTCTGATACTATTACAGTAATTCTTTAGAACCAGACTAATGAATCTGTGATATTGTATAAGTCAATTCCGAGCAATATTGCTATTTTGCCAAATAAGTACTCCAAATAAGCAAACAATGGAGGGTAATCAAGTGTCCAAATGGATTATTCATCATAATACCATTAATTGATTGGTTATTCTGTGGTGATTCTCATCCAATTTCTATGTACATCAAAATCAGTGCTGTAACTAAAGATAACTAATATTTTTACTATAAATTAATCAGCATGCATTTAATCAGCACTACAAGAATAATTAAATACATTATTTTTATTTCATTTCTTTTATTTTTGAATAATAAAAATTTATATTACATGAAATTATCCACATCATCAATTTATATACATATAATTAATCATTCAAAAACAAAATCATCCTAGTTTTTACTTATGTCTTATATCATTAAATTGAGAATGTCAAGGTTATATCCAGCAATCTTCTTCTCTTTCTTAAAATATAGTTGTAATTAGGTTCTAATATTTATCACTTTCATCATAATTTCATGCGAATTGAATCCAAATCCATCGACCTTATTAAAGATATAAGTGATTAACTTATTAATTATTATGGGATATTATTTTAATGCTATATCTTAGTTCATTTCATCAATCAATGTTACTAAATGTTGATGATGCAGAAATTTCATAAGAGAACTCAAATCTGAATTTTAGAGATGATCAAATAAATACTCAGTGACATTTTTATTGAAGAATAAATCTTCATTTGGAATTTCTCCTTAATCGATAGTTTCTCTATACTATTTAATCTTTTCCAAAATGTCCATTAATTATTCAGTTTCCAATAGCTTTTATTATCCAATCTACACTAAAGTTAAATCTTTTTTGACTTAATCTAAGCCTTAATCAAATCCAGTTTATTATTTATTCTTATTTTATAATTCTTACATCAGAGAATCTTGTAATCTCTTTTCCTCCTCTTCCGAAACAAAAATTTACTCTTTGGTTTGAACATATTTTCTAATGACTCCATTTTTTGTGGCTGAATAAAACAAATCTCCAATACAACCAACAACCATTGATTATATCCCAGTTAAGGCTTCATTAAATTGCAATATTAATTAATATGTATCTCCATCCCAATATTTAATGATATTGTCTTTGCATCCACTAAAGAAATAGTGAGTGTCATTTACTGTTTTTATTTAAATAACTTCTGCTGTATGAGCTTTAAGGGTTTTCTTACAATTTCCGAAATCAGTTGCCCATAATTTAATGCTCTTATCTGCACCTGCTGATATGACTATTGTATCATCTGAAGTATAAGCAAAAGTTAAAACGGGTAATGAATGCCCATATAATTCAAGATACAATTTATGAGAGTCACAGTAATAGATCGATATAATATTATTCATTTGGGCAAATGCATAATAATTTCCATCATATGAAAATTAGGCACTTCTAATATTTTCCTTTAAATAAATCGTATTAACCACTTAGAATTCCAGGCATTTTTATGTTTTATTAAAAAATAACTCCACAAAGTTCACTTTCTTATCTACTTCAGTGGTCATTATTACTAAACCATTAAATGCCTTACAATTCTCATGGCATTCAATACTGTTAACATTTGAATTATGAATTTTCTATTCAAAAACAATTTCATTTTAATTCATATCAACTAGATATAAGGTTCCTTATTCATCCCCAACCATAAAATATTTATTTTTTGGCAAAATGCATAAAGAAGTTAAATTACTTGTATTAGTAAGACAGTTGATCTATTAAGCAGTTTCGTTATCAAATTAATAACATTTATTTGATGCAATTACTACCAATTTATGATCATTTTAAGTTAATTTAATTTATTTGATTTGTCCTGTAATCTATTAAATTGCTACATTATTATTTTCATCCACGTTATCATTATTTAATTCTTTGATTACAATTTAATTGTCTGATGTGAATATATATATTTTCAATAGGTTTTTAAATACTACTGCTTAAAAATATACAATCTTATTCAATTGTGATATGACAGTGCTATAAATTAAGGATTAACTAAAGTTTTCAGCTTTTTATAGCTTCTTTCCTTATTTTGATTTATAAACCTCTATTTTCTTTTCATTATCTAAAATATTAATAACTTTTACTTAGAATTAACAATTTTTATTAAACATATTGGCATTAGATGGCTCTAATAAAGGATTACCTTTTAATTATTCCATCATTATCAATCTGACACTTGCCTGAAATCAATTAACATGATTTAATAAGAACTTCATCAGAATTAGTGCAGATAAGCAAATAATTTTCATAAACACATAAGCATGTGACTTCGCTGTGCATACTTGATAGAGTGGCTACAGAGCATTCTAAATTCAAATCCCATATTTTGACTAGTCCATCTTTGCTACCTGACACAATAAATTATTAAGTTATTGCAAGACTCTAATCTTCAAGGCTAATTATGTCTAAGGCAGTAATTTAATTTGAATGGCCAATCAATCTAAATTATAATTATTAATCTGCTAGATCCCATACAATAATAGAAGTATCACAACTTCCACTTATTAAAACTGCTTCACTCAAAAATACTAATTATGTTATTTCACTTTAATGGTTAAAAAATCTGCATTAAATTTCATTATCAATCAGATTATATATAATTATTTCACCATCGTGATATCCTATTGCCAAAGTGTTGTCTTTTATTGCGATTTTTGTAATTTTTATGTTCTTGCCTTCAATTACTATTTATTAAATAATCTCTTGTGTCTTGATATTTAGCAAAAGCAAATACTAATCTACTATTGTGTATGCTATATCATTTATTATTACTCCTCCATTGTTGCCAATACTACCAAATAGGGTCTCAAATTTATATCCAAAATAGGCTTTTACCATAAATAATTAATTAATTATTATAATGAGTTTTAGAGATATTCTAAATAACACTTAAAAAGTTAAAAAAATCACAAAAGTGGCTTTCAATGCATTGGATGAAGATGACAGTGGCTATCTAGAGAGGAAGTAATAATTGCTCACATAATTTGAGGGAATTAATTTCAATTTTGAATAATTGTGCTGACACTTTGAAAATTGAAAGACCATCATCAGAAGAAATGGATGAAATACTAAAAGAATTAGATGAGAATTCAGATGGTAAGGTTTCAGAAAATGAATTCCAAAAATTAATTGAGAAGGTCTTAAGTATTATGGCTAAAATAGAAGAAAAATGAATAACATTTTAATTATTATTATTTATATATTTTATTAATAAAATGGTATTGGCTAAGATAGCATTAGGAACAGCAGGTGCAGTGACTGTTGGATACTTATTTGTTCCACCATTTAATAGAAAACTTGAAAGAAATGTTCTCAGACCAATCAGAAATTATAGAAGACACTTATAATAAGAGGATTCATTCAAAACAGAAGTAATGTGGCTTTAAAATATTCTTAGGAAGAATTCTATTAATTTTTAGGAAGTGTAGCATTAGGTACCTTGAGAATGTTTACAATCGAAAGCGATTGAGCAAATATAATAGATATTAATATAAAATCTAATACAAAATTAAGAATTTTATTTAATTAAAAGCAAATCCATTTTTTGACATTCTTTAAGTGAGTTTGCATTTTTATTCCTCTTTGTATTTAAAAATGAGGCAATTAATACTAAAATAATTTAAAATATAAAGAAAAATTAATATGTCAAAATTATTATTCGGAAATCCAAATAGATAGTTAATTTAAATTACAAAAGCTAAATTGATCATCCACATTAATTCTTTTTTCAAATACCTTAAAGAATTTATGCAATTACTTTGAATTCATCTTCCTAAGATGATTTTATGAGAATAAGAATTTTTTATAATACTTTTTATGATAAAATACACTGTTGTTCAAGAGAATAATTGGATCATAAATGGTAAACAGTGTAAAAGAAAGATGATTCATTTTTAAAATAAACAACTTAAATAGGATTTAATTGAAAAAGTGCTTCTGTCTTCTGTTACAAATAAATTGCTAGCATGATTCAGTCAGAAAAATTTAATAACATTATCTAAATGAGAATGAATTCTTAATTCCAACTAAAACTATGTCATTTAGAGAGAAAAAAGAATATGATTCACAATTAGAAAATTTAAATAGAAGAATATTATATAATTTTAAGATTTTTGTATAAAATTGCTTAAATGTATTTGCTAACTATTAAAATAGAATATTAGAAAGGTAAATGAATCATCTCAAAATAATATGTGCCAATATTTTAAATGAAAGGGATTAAATGAATTGAATAAAAGACATTTATTATCTCACATATAAGTTTTATAATAAGTATTATTAATTTATACATTTATTTTATGAATTGTGAATACCATATTGAAAAACAATTTTCACATATATGTTTGTCAGAAGGATGCAAAAAAAGACTTGTTTGTGATTTATGTTAACATCCTTCAAATCATTTTTTAGTATTATTTCAATGCTTATACAGATTCCTGTCCAGGATTTAAATAAGAAGATTACTACATTGTAACCTAAATGGGCTGAATCAAAGATCAAACCTGTTCTTGAATTTCTCAAATAGAATAGCTAAACTGAAATAAATTCTTTTGAGATAGAATAATAATTGCAATATATATTTGACACATTTTTAGGAGAAATTACTTTAAAATTAGGAGAAGTATAGAAATATTTTAATGAAAAACTAAGAATCCTGGGTGAAAATGCTCTGAAAAATGTTGAATACTTAAGATAGAGAGTTGATTCAATATATAATTTACAAGAATTAGGATTAGCTTTACAAAAATATTCAACTGGCATTTATTCTAAAGAGTCATTCGATTAGATAATAAAAGATTACTCAATTAAAATTTCAGGCAATTCAGAAATTTAAAATATTTATACTTACATCACTAATGATGGAGCCAATCATAATTATTTAGATTTAATCCAAATTGATTTACATGGTTTTCACCAATTTAAAAGTCGAGTTCTAGGTCATCTAGCAAGATTAAATGATTTTGATTCATATTTACCAACCAAATACTCCTAGTTACCTTTCAAAAACCATGCAACTTTCAGTTGGAACATAGTTCAAGGTTAAAACAACCACTCCTTTAATATCCAGAACATACTTAAAAATATGACGGTGGATGAGATATTTTAATCTAAAAGCAAGATAATATGTGTCTTAAATCAAAATTAAATAGTGCAATACAATCATAACTATAAATTTGTTGGAATCCTTCATTAATGCTAGTAAAATGATTTCTATTTGGCACATCATATAGATCAAAATTTACAATTAATTGTTAAATGGTAAGAACCAACATTTATACATATGTATTCAAATTTTAGAAAAATAAAAACCTTGCTAAATGCATCAATAAATCCAATTTAACAAATCCTTTTCATTAATAAGTATAATTTATACTGTAAGGGACATGAAACTTGTGTACTGACACTAGATAGTAAGGGGATGATAAAAGTGAATCCCCTCTCTAATAACTATCTCTATGAATTTACATATGGATAAGGTATATAGCAAGTATAGATATTACCGGAATCAAAAAATGCGCTTAAATTTTCTACTAGTCATGGTTTTGATTCAATTTTTGACTTACTTTTGTGTTCCTATTAAAAAAACTAAGTAAAATTGGCCATTAGAAGTCTATTTTAATCTTAACCTTTATCTAGAATTTGGGATGATGAATCGTTGTCCCATAAACTTGGACTTACAGAGCATTGTGAAGTTTATTTCACAATATTTAAGTTGAGTCCTCAAGAGAAAAGTTATTTGAAGTCTTAAAAGGATGTCGAAGGAATAGATTATGTAATTGTGACTTTATTAAATAATTATGTTACTGTTTGGAACTGGAAAACTGGTAACTCAATTAAAATTATTGACGTCTCTGAGAGTTATGGACTAAGAACTATGTAATCAGTTCTTGGAAGTACTCTCCTTACTATAATCATTCTTATTGGATTTGATGGTTCCATTTATTGGATTAATTGGATGCAAAATAAAGTAATGTCATGTAAACTAAAGATTGGAAATGATTTATAGATTCATAATGTATTTATTTTCATTTTTAACTTAGATGTCAAAATGCTTAAACAATTTAGGATAATCAGAATTCATTGTAGCTTTGAGATAACAAACTCGAACATTTATGACAGTTGCACAATTAATTTATTATTGATAACCATTACTATTGTTACGGAAAATTAATATTTTTAGAACAAACAATCAAATTTTATTTTTTCTATAGAATAAAATCATATTACAAAAATCTAGAAATGATAGTTCTGGCCATTTCTTTTCTATAAAGTGGATTACTGTTTTTTCTCTTATTTAATAGAGTAAGAAATTGCTCAGTCTTGTTTCTCCAGATGTTCTTAAGAGAATATCAGGGGAGTTTAATACCATTAAATGAGAATTTAAGCTCTAAAAAAAATCATTTTTAGATAAGCCTTTAGGCATTGATTATATTGCTTTGTCTAATTCATTTGTGAAATTATAAGAGAAGCAAAGGTTAAGTCTATAGATAATTATGTTGCATGCTTACTTGTATTAAGAATATTTAGAACTATAATTTTCAAGTTCTTAGAGTTTTTATTTTAGTTCTTGATCTTATAATTAATCGAGGTCGCCACAGCATTTAAATTTAACTTGGTTTTTGTCTATAAAATTGAGATCATGTTGCAAATGATGTATTTTTTATTTCATTAATTGCATTAGAAATTGTACTTCTTCCTTTTATCTATTATAATTCTCAATGCTGAAAGCAAACACACTAATTTCTCTGATTCCTAGTTTTTAACTCCATTGTAGTAAATTTAAGAAAGATTGATATCCTTAGATATGACCTTCAGTTGACTCTATTCTCCTTTGCTTAGCATATCGTCTACATCTAACCTATAAAATACCGATTACCATCCATAATCACACCGACGTGGTTTGGGATAGTACCTAGTTTTAAAAATTGAATAAAGGAACTTTGTACAATATTCATTTGTTATCGTAATTAAATTTCAATTTAATTTATATATTTTAATTTATTCACAACACATATGTGTCATTTTATTAATTTATCCAAATTATATAAATTTTGGTTTATTATTATTTAAATGTTTGAAAATAAAATATTGGATATATATTTGATTTGGCTTATGGAAGGATTTGGAATTGAAAAGATAAAATAAACTAATAATTATTTAATTATTTGTCATTAATTTTACTCCTGTTTTGGGTCTGACAACGATTCTGGCTCTCCTTGTTGTTGTGATTACTCATTAGATTTATAAAATGCCCTGTCCTTTACAAGTTCTGGATGTTTAAGTTTGATGTGTTAATTGAGAGATCCTTCAGCTCTATTTAATTGATAAATTTTATCATAAATACCCGTATTTTTTTTGGCAATTTTCGACTGGACAAGTAAAGTGTCTTTCAATTTCTTGTGCTGGTCTCCTCAATCTTTTCTTTCTCTCTTCTCCTGTTTCTTCCACATTTGAATTTAGCTCTTGATTTCGACGCTAGAATTAGAGTGGTATTAAAAATTACTTCTAATTTGTTTAATTTATTGACTAGTTCATTCTTCTCATTCAAGAGTTCTTTTAACTATTATAAGATTCAAATTTTACTTGATTTGTCAGGACTACATTGGCTATATATAATCTCAGGTACTCGTTGTAATATTCTAAATTTTGATCCTATTATGGGACTGAGATTTGAATATGAAAATACCTTGTTGTTCATCCTATCCTCCTACATAATTTTAAAATCTCACAGGTTCATCTCCCATCATATATTTTGGATTCTCTCCATCAGATCTAAGGGAATTGAAAAATTAAATACTTAGCATTACTCATATTTATAATTTATTAAATATTTTTATTAATAAATTGTCTAACAAAAATAAAATTAATATTTATAACAGTCTCGAAGGACATGAAAACCTTGGTACACAAAATTACCAATAACACAAGTTCAATTTTAGAAATAAATGAGTTTATTAAAGAAATAATTGTATTAATATTTATTATTAAATTAACGGATATATGGATCGATTTATACCAAAAAGTAAATCGAAATTACTATATCAATCACACACATAATCAAACTACAACGACGTACAATATATTTAGAATTTAGTTAATGTATCACATAAACGAAGAAAAAGTCTTAAATTTTGGAAACGGCAAATAATAACAGAATTTTCCAATTTCCTTTCTAGATTAGTTACATAATTAATACAAATTGCCTTAACAGCAAATAGTTAGATAAATCAGTGCTATTCCAGAGAAGATCCTAGATGCTCCAGACATTGCAGATGATTTTTATCTTAATATATTGGAATGGGGAAACAACAATGTATTGTCAGTGGGATTGCAAAACAAAGTGTACTTATGGAATGCTTCGAATTGTAAAGCAAATTTATTAATATAATAGAACATATCGAACAACTTTTATAAGCAACCTCAAATGTGACATCAGTTAATTGGATTAATGATCATATTCTGGGCATAGGGTTTGATGATGCATCTATAAAGATAGTTGATGTTTGTTCCTCTTAAACAATAACATAGTTATATTATCATAATGAAAGAGTATCAACAATGAGTAGTAGTTTCGATTTGTTGTCGAGTTCAGGTAGGGATAATGTGATTTTCAATCATGATCTCAGAGAGAAAAATAATAATGTAGTTGGAGTATTTTAGAAACATACCTAAGAAGTTTGCGGATTGAAATGGAATTCATCTGGCAGCACTTTGAGTAGTGGAGCAAATGATAATTAATTATTACTTTGGGATAGAAGATAAATGTCCTTACGTTAATCATGTCAAGGTCATTGTGCTGCTGTCAAAGCAATGGCATGGTGTCCTTGGTTACAAAATACTCTTGTCAGTGGAGGTGGATCGAATGATAAAACCATAAAATTTTGGAATGCTGATACTGGCACTTGTTTTAAAAGCATTGACACAGGATCGCAAGTTTGTGCTCTACAATTTTTGCCAAGATATAGAGAATTGATTTCATCTCATGGATTTTCTAAATTTTAAATTAGTATATGGAATGCTGATTAAATTTAGTAAGCCAAATTAATATAGGAATTACAAGCTCACAAATCGAGAGTTTTGCACTTAGGAATATCTCCTGATCAATCGATGCTTTGTTCAGCTGCAGGTGATGAAACTTTGATATTTTGGAGGCTTGGCACAGAACAAAATAATCAAAATAAATAGGAGATGTGTTCCAGTAAAAATTTATTTCTCAGATGATATTATTATTACTTAACAAATTATTTATTAAATATTAATTATCTAATTCTTATGATTCGTAGAGATTCTGGTGAAATGTAATAACATGCTTTTAGCTAACCTAATTTTAGCAAATCAACCAAAGATATTCAAACCTCGAGAAAAGAATATTTATTCTAAAAATTGCCTTCCTTAGATTCTACTTAGTCCAATAATTTTTGGCAGGTTAAGAAAGGAGGATCTGCTAATTGCATAGACACAGACAGAGTAAATACAGCCCAGAAATCACTTACACCTTAGCAGTATAAAAAGAAAAAAAATTAAACAATATAAATTGAGGAGACCACTTAATTTGATCTTGGTTCTAGTCGAAATTTTCAAAGATTATTCACCATAAAGAATCATACTAAATCATCTACTGGTAGTGTAAAAACTCAAAGAGAAGATAACACAAGTATCATCACCACTCAAGTTGCTTAAAAAAAGTCACATTATCATTAAGCGTCATTAATATAATAAACATAATCTTAAGTCTAATAACAATAATGTCCATTTTCATCTGGTAAATCAATCAAAGACATTATTTCATCATTTAAAGATAAAAAGTAATTTATTTACTTTTATTTAGACCAAAAAATGGTATGACTCGTCATAGTGAATTTGAGAAAATGGAGGGATTGGATGATTACACCAAAGAATTAGGCTCCATCTTAAATGATGATGATCTCATTGGACCAATTCTCAAAGAAGTCATTGAAATGAAAGGAGTGGTCAAATCACTCATAGATCTAAGCTATGGCAATAAACTTACCTATCATTTTGAAACCTTGAAACAATTGCATTCTACTCTAAATATCACTGATCAAATGTTCAATAGATTCAAATATCTTTATCTTAAGTACCTGATTTCATTAAAAATAAACATGGAGGCAGTCTTCAAATGTGCTTAAACTGTTGAATCCTACAGAGGGGCTATCGTTTCTAAGGTACTTTCCTTATTAAATCCACTAGTCTCGGTCTGTATAAAATGTTAAGGATAATATCAGAATTATAGCTAAAAATATGTACAGTCAAATCTTCGAAGATTTCTCTCTAAGTCCATTATTTAAAGGAACCAAGTAAGAGGAACAAGCAATCAAATTCAGCAGAATTTTTGGATTTATCTTAGGATCAGCTGAATCTACAAATTATGTGATGGATTCTATGAGAGATTTTCATAAGGCTTTTGAAATCACCTCTGTTTAATACTCAATTTTTAAATACTATTTATCAGGATCTTTATCCAAACATACTCAAAAGGAAGTCATTTGGTATGTTTTAGAGTAAACTGATGCATATAAAGCAGCTGTAATCAATTAAGATAGCATTAAAGATTTAGTGTATAAATAATAAGGATTCGACAATTTTACTAGTGAATTCATCAAATTATGCTAACAAGATTAACTTATAAATAAGAGTTTCATTCATAAAGTTGGATATGATCAGTTTGTAGAACACACTAAATATTTTTTGCACTATGCTTTTAATAAATAAAATAACTGTTTTACACTTGAAGATCTGCAATCATTTCATTGTTAACATTCGATTAATCTAGCTCTCTATCAAAGTATCAAAGAAAAAATGATGATCTTATTGTCGAAATTGAATCCTCAAAGAATAATATTTTAAGACTTTGAAGATGAATATGATTTGATACTTCCTTACATAACCAATTAACAATTACCTTGTGATATTGTAGGCTAATAGAGATTATGTGAATTCATTCCTATAATATCTGATGAGTTGAAATCAAATGTTGAAATCAAGAACATATTTGATAGCAATGATGCAAATGTAAATAAAATTGTTTTAAAAAAATTTGAATACTTATTATCAGGTAGAAAATATTTTAAAAGATCTGACATACAAGCTATTCATTCAAGACTCAAAATTAGTGAACATTTATTTCAAAAATTTGTCCATCTTATTGAAAAAGCTATAAAACAGTATGATGCTTCCTTGCTGTGGATGGTTGACGCAATAAAGCTCTGGAAATATATTATTATCACAGTTTGAATTTGTATTAATTTAGGATTATATAAATTCTACCTTGAGATATATATTTCAATTTTATAACATAGTATTAAATTATATTAAGTATAATATTCTTGCTTGAATAACTTGAATTTGATTATAAATATTGATTGATGCATAGTCTTATAATATATTTATGGACTTTTATTAAAAGGTTAAATTAAGATGAGCAATTAAGAGGATTTCAGTCTACAGAAAATGAAGCTTGTGATTAATTTAGAGAGAATTAAGATATGAGTTCGTCAAAGATGTAATTTCAATAGGATAAAGAACAAAACTAATAGACCATAATCTATTAAAATAAATGATAAATCTCATTGAAATGAGATTTAAAGAAGAAATGATTATATTTAAATGATGAAACATAAACTTATAAAAGGAAAAGCTGATATAATAAGTGAAACATCACGTTGAAGAACTATATTATCTGATTGAAATACTTTATAATCAGATTGGATAAGAGCATTTATTTAAATTAATAACAAGCTAGAATATTTAATCTATAGAGAAAGTAAACGCTATTATAAGTTAATGACTAATCGTGAATATAATACAATATTTTTTACAAAAATCCCAATGTTAGGAGAAATGAAGATGAAAAAACTTTTAGTAAACCTGTTTTAGCCTCACGTTATTCATTTTATAAAAATATATTTTGTCAACTTTTAATACTATAAGTTTTATTTCAAAGCTTTAGAAAATTGATAAAAATATGCTTTAGCAACTGCTATTTTAGGGAAGTTGGCAATTAGTTTTTATTGAAAAAGAGGGGTATGAGTATTATTTTTAATAAATATTCAGGATTCAAATCTTTCAAGACTTTCCATATACATTCTATCTAAGTTTTAGTTTAATTCCTCTAGATTTTAAATAACAGATTAAACTGATTAATCTTTGCCTAAAGGAGATTTCCTAAGTATGGATTAATTTGCAGATCTTGGCTGAAATTTCTTACTTAAATCGCTTAATAAGCCAAAGTTGGTTTGACTTTTAATTGCAGAGTTTTTTGTAGGTTTTAACCAATCAGGCTTTAATTTATCATAACTTTAAGAATGCAAGGATTCTTCATCATGTACAATCTAATTTAATTTAATATTTACATATGGTTTTTAGTTAGTGTTCTATTCCTCTTATAAAACAGATGATTATAATTACTAAACACTCTAGATTAGATGATCACGCTTTTATTGTAATTAATCAATTTGATCAACTAATAATTTAAATTCTTGTCCTTTGATTTCTATTCCCTCTTGTAATTTTTGCAATTAGAATTAAAAATTGACGATTTACTCTTATCCTTAATGCATCTGATAATGTGTTTAAGTTGATAATTCTGTCACTTTCTACTCAATTTATTTATTTAAGGATTGTAAATTAGATTACTAAATTTGATACTCTTATTTAATGCTCTACAAATCAATAGTAGCATCATCCACTTGTTATTGCAATTTAGCTTTTTCAATATTTAATTTTTTCAATTCCTTTTGCAATATGTCGAAATCATTACCCAACATGTCTTTTTACTTCATTTAATCCTATATCTGTTTTTCAGTATTGATTAATTGTTTCTCAATTTATAGCAATTCTTATTCCTTCTCTATTGTTAGTTGCGTAACTTATTAAAGATTTTTTTTGCCTTTTAATAAATTATCTTGACTGACCTATATTTAATATTCCAAATTATCTAAGTCAGTCCTTAATTTCTATGATTCTTTTTTGATTTATAAGTTCTCATTCTTAGTCTATTTTATTTTTTCCTTTTCCAAATTTGATTCCTACATGATTTTATCATACCTTTACATTTCTTACTCTTTATCAGCCACAGCACCATTCAATTATTTTAACACTCTATCTGCTTCTCTGCATAATTATTCTGTGTTTTTTAATTTTGAATGACAAGTATCTAATTCTTCTAGTAATTACTTCATTTTGTTATGTTCATTTTGATATTTTATTTATAAATCCATAGTATCTTATTCTTTTTTAGCATGCTCAAATTGTAATTCCTCGATATCTTTGCTTAATAGTTCTTTCTATGAATTCAAATATTCTATATTATTCAGTGCTCTTTGTTGATCCTCTCTAATTTAAAAACTAACTTAATATTGATCCTATATTCTCTATTGCAGCATTTCAATCTCTTCATTTAATAACCTTATTGATTCCTCTTTCTCTGCATTTGTATCCTTTAGTCTTTCCATTTCACTCTACAGTTCTTAGACTTCTTCACACTAAATAATTATTTATATCATTACCAATTATTCCTATTATCTACCAAGTCTAGTAATTTCATCAGTTAAACATTTCCTGGCTTCATTTTGCTTAGCTCTAAATATTTTAAAATCTTCATTAGATTTTGAAAATTAGACTTCCACTTATTGATGTTGCATTTTCAGTTCTTCTTTCTATTGCATAATCTATTCAAATTACTCCTCCAATTCTTTACTTATCGTTTCTTTCTCTTGAAGCAATTATGCCTTCTTGCTTTCATAATCTTTCCATTTATCAGCTAATTATTATGTTTCTATTTCAAAATCTTTAATAAATTATGCCTTTATTGCATAGAATTCATCAATCTTCTTGTATTTCTTTTCTGCCCTCCTAAATAATTTCTTTAATAGAACAATAGAGGACTCAATAGGTTTATCTTAAATTCCTATTGAATTTAAAGAATTAGTAGAAACCCTCGAATATAATTCCTAGATTTAATCATGAACTTGAGCAGCCACCTCCTCAAGTACACTTTCTTATGGTAACAAGGGTATTCTTTCTAGCACTGTTTCTAATAAATCGACGATACTTTACAACACTTACTCTATGCTTCCCTACAAAGCCATTTCAAATAGAGTTCTTTAACATTATGTCAAATCTGTTTAAAGTACTGCTTGCAGCCTAACAAAAAGAGAATTTATGCGATTTAATTGCTCAGTTGGTAATTTTTCCTTTGGTTATGACTTATATGATTCAAGCTATTGTTTTAACTCCTTCAAAGCATCATCAGTTTCTTAACGAACCTAGTAGTGTTCTTCTAACTAAGATTTAAGGGAAAGAAAAGCTTTGTTGGTTAATTATCTGTCTGTTTCATCTTCGCTATCAGAATCATTCTAATAAGTTTGAAGCAAATTTGTAGCTCTCTACATTTTATTCTCTATTTAAGCTATTTCAGTGTCAATCTCTTGCTTTTTTAATTAAACTAATCTAATGTTTTAGAGTAGTTGTTAATGATCACTGGGAATTGGTTCTCCATACAATTGTCTTGCGATCTCATGCTAATTTGAAATGACTTTATTGTCTAAGACTTAAAGGGTAGGAGTTAGAAAACATAGATATTCTATGTAACTGAATGTTCTACAAAAAGGATTATCACTGAGAGAAAGGATTTTCAAATTTAAAAGGGGTTTAAGGTTTAATAACTACAATGGGTCTTTAATTTAATTTCTAGATAGCTTGAGGGTTTCTAAACTATGATTTGTTAAACTAATCTCAGTTATTTAATTGCCATTCAAATTCAAATTAATCAAAGATGGCAGAAATTCTAATCCATTCATTGACTTTATAAAATTATCTGAAAGATTAAGTTCTTTAAGTGCGGGCAATCTTAAATTCTCTATTTTTGTAATATTGTTATGACTTAAGTTCAATTCCTACAAAAGCACCAATTAATCTAAATTTTCTATTTTCTATGTAAAATATTAAGATTACAGTCAATTTCATAGAACGCAACGACAATTTTGTGGTTTTAGCAGGCTCCTCCCCTTAATTTCGAATAAGCTGATCCGTAATTTTGTTTTGAGATACAAACATTATATATAATTAAAAATTTCAATTAAAAAGAAGATGGCTGAGGGATCCTCTATTTTTTTTGTTATCCTAAATTCTTATTTTCTGATTGTCACTATTACAATTCTTCTAATATATGATGATTCAAGAAATTTCATAATTCATAATCATTGAAAAAACAATATATTTTCGTTGCTCCTTTACTTTACTAAATAATAATATTCATCTATATTGTTTATAGTTAAATATAATAGGGTGATTTTATAAAAATAATAATGGTTTTAGAGTTATTCTATTTCGAAGATGATATTTTGTTTTTCCAAAGTGTTTTGTAAATTCGATTAAGATTATTAGATATAAGTATTTCCAAATTAAATTAAAATATTTGATACATAACTCCATCTTATATTGAAACTACTTCAATTCAAATATAGCTCAAGATGCTTTAGTTTAAGTTTTTTATTTCTTTGAAACTTTTCTACTTAAAATTTAAAAATAGTTCTAAGTTGTCATTAGGTTAATAATTGTTCATGTTTCATGAAAAATTTGGACATTTATTGTGTAATTGATATAAAGGACATGTTAAATTTAGATTTAGAATAAAAATCAATAGTGAAATCAATGAACTACATTTGAAAATTGAAATCGATTTATACAGATGTATTAGTTATGGCAGTTTTAGAGATTTAAAGAATTCTTGAATGATTGATAATTAATACTTAATTTGACATCGCTATTTAGTTAGATTTATTTCTCTACAAGTCTACCTAATGCAAGATGGTTTTATGTTTGGCTAAACCAACAAATAATTAATTTTATTTGGAAGTCTAGAACCTGTTTTACAATACCTTTGAGTAAAAATGTTTTCATATTAAAATATAATAATAACGGAATGATCGAATTCCGCACTCCAAAGTACATTTGTCTAAAAAAAATTGATCCTCCAGTTGTCAGATATCAACCTCGCACAATGTTTGTTAAGGTTTAGCATTTGTTACAGACAAGAGAGAGTGTTGACACATCCTTGACTTTAAGCTAAACCGATGCAAAAATGCAGTCTCAGCAATCAGAAATCAGCAATCTCAGCACATTTTATTAAAGTTCCGATCAAGCTAAAGAGAACAAAGAATAACCAATTATTGATGTAGTACTTAAAAAAACTAATTCTTTCCATCTAAATTCTAAGATGAGAAGTAACAATAAAATCTCAAGAGTCTCTAAGAATCAATTAATGGATGTGCTTTAAGAAATAACATCTCCAACATAGACTAGGCGTAAACAGTAGGTAATTTTAATAATTGTTATAAGGTTGTGAACAGGGAATGGGAGTATTCTTATAGAAAATAACAAGGGAATAGCACATTTTTCTAATCAATGGACTCAACTAATGAATAGGCGACGGCATTACCCAAATCCAGAAGCTTCAGTGTGAGATAATCAACTCAACAATAATCATAATAATTGAAGGATATGATTGACAAAGCAATTGAAAATACAAAAACTTTTGATGAGTATCTATTAAGTCTAGTAAGATGAATCAATTTATTTGTTTTTATTCTACTTTTGTAATTTATTTTATTGCATTCAATAAATAATTAAATATTCGAATTTCGTATATAAAATGATTGAAAAAGTAACATAAGAAATGACCATTAAATCAATAAGTTGATTCTCTGATATGAAACAATTTCTAAATGGTTTAATTTTTAAGAACAAATATATAATTTATAATTTAAAATGTAACAGCAAGATTAATAATTCAAAACAGTGAAAGTGAAATCAAATTTCCATCAATTCCAATTATTACCAAATCGTTAAATTCATAGATATAAAATAGAATTGACTAATTATTCAGAAATCAATGCATAAAAAGCAATAACTACTTACAGATAGAAGATAACAGAATGTCTAATTACATTTTATTGCATAAATTTGAATATTTATTCTCCAACAAAACTTGGCATTTAGGTTTTGGGAGGATTGAATGATGGTGAAGAGATATAGAATGTTGCATCATTGAAGTTCGTTGAATCTGTAGAGGGAGGACCAAAATTATAATCAATATTAGCAAGAATTGTAAAGCAAATAATGAGCACACAACAAGGGATGGTTTAAATAGGTAGAGACAAATTATTTTGGCCTAAGAAATCCCATTCATTTCATGATTATAAGTTTGAGATCTGGGAGGGAGTCCAGATTGTGTAAAAACAATTCGGAGTAGTCATAGATTGTGCTTATAAAATATTGAGATAAAATACGCTACTTGATGATCTTTCTGTTACCAAAGAAGTAGATCGTTATGAAGGAATGGTAGTGATGACTAAATACAATCAGAAATTCTATAGAGTAGACCTTATAGAAATTGGGATGTCTCCCAAAGATATATTTGTCGCAGAAAATGGAGAAGAAACCACCTTTAAAGAATATTATAAACAAAGATACAATTTAAAATTAAATGAAAAATAACCATTAATAAAGAGCACTCTCAAACTCAAAGGTAAATAAGAAGAAAAAGTAATTTACTTAATACCAGAACTATGTCAATTGACTGGATTGAGTGATACTGTTAAGAGTGTATAAAATAATATATATGTTAGAATTTCTCAGTTATGAGAGAAGTGGCTAAAATAACAAAACCAAATGCATATGATAGAATCGATTAATCTGAGAAATTTGCTAAACAAATAAATTCAACTGTTAAGAAAGGATCCAATACAAATTTATTAGATACTTGGGGTTTGAAATTAAATAGTGTATCAATGAATGTTGAAGCTAAAACTGTTCGTCCTGGTACATTAATCATGGGCAATGACAACATAGATCTATCATAATAAAATCTGAACCTAGATCAATAGACATAGAAAAAGATGTATTAAGTCCCAGATTAGAAGTTAGTTTGGGTTCTCATTCATTATTACAAAGAAAAAGGACAAGAAGCCAAAAAGCTACTACTTGACAATATGAAACAAGCTATTACTGAATACTAATTTTATGGCTTTTACTCCTAACCCATGGTTAGACAATTATAGGAGGAGAGAGACAAGGCATTATTGCAACTATGTGATGACATAAATAAGGAATGCTAATAAAAATAATAAAAGATAGAATTCATAATCTTCCTATTACCAGGATAAAAGAAGAATAGTCGTCTATATCGATGTGCTAAATTCATATCCTTATAAAAGATCGGTTGTCCAAGTTAAGTTGTCTTAGAAGACACTTTAGCTAAAAATACTCGCTCTATAGTTAATAAAATAATGGTTTAAATTTGTGCCAAATTGGGAGGAGTCCCTTGGGCAATTGATAAATTACCGAAACTCTTTTAATAGTAGCATACAATGATATGTGCAACTGAATGTTACGATAGATTACATCAAATTAAGCATTTAGCCTTTTGTTCGACTGTTGATAAAAACATGACCAAATATCATAGTCAAATATTAAAAGGGGCTGATTACAAAGGAGACAATTTAAAGAAGAGTTTAATTACTGCCATGGAAGTTTACAAAGAAAAAAATAATGTTTTTCCAGAAATAATCATAATTTACAGAGATGGTGTATCTGATGGTCAAATCCCTGTAGTTCTTGGAGATGAATTTCCTCAATATGATTAGGCAATCAAGTAGATAAATCCTTAAAGTAAATTAGTGCTTGTTGTCTGCAATAAAAGGGTAGCAGGAAAGTTCTATCAAGCTGGAAATAGACCTGACAATCCTGCGTCAGGAACGATTGTTGATACCAAGGAGATTTGCGAAGGATAATAACCTAACTTTTATTTGATCTCTCAAATGACTAGATAAGGCACATCTTAACCTACACTTTATAAGATATTACATTCAGATATCCCTAATATTGAAAATGATATCAAAGTGCTTACCTATAAATTGTGTTGGTTATATTACAATTTTGCTGGTCCAATAAAGATTCCTGCTCCTGTTAGATATGCTCATTGTTTGAGTGAATTTATTGGTTCCAGGTACTAAAGAAATGATAAGGATCCCTTTGTCCCTGTGGAGGAATTAGTTAAAAAAGGAGTATTATTTTACATTTGAATAATTTAAATTTATATATTTTATTAGATGATCATTCATCATCCAAATTAATTTGACTACCAAATTTGGCATACAACTTAGCTTTCAAATTTTTCATCTATTTAAGTGTTTCTTCTATTTTCTTGGTGTCTTCTTCAAATTATTTCTTAATATTTGCTACTTATTCATCAATCAATATTCTTGCCTTTTTATATAGTGAAGTTCTTTACCTTATCAACGCTTACTCGAATGAAAGAATCACCAAATTTGAATGGAATCTTCTCGTCATCATCCATTAATTCCATTTCATCTTTACTATCTGACAAACGTGTTAATTCATCTTTTCGACTACACCACTATTTTTATTATTCTATACGCTTAATTCAATCGAATAAGTTCATGGTACTGCATATTAAATCTGCTAAAAGAGTTTATTTTCTATTGGTCTTGTCTATCCACTTCTATGTTGTCAGTACTTGTAAATTTCATTATTTATAATTTTAATGTGTTGAGTATTAATCAATTGCATTGCTAGCACTTTCTAAAAAATCAAAGGATGGTTTAAAAAGGATCGAGGTGAATGTATATTTTATCTTAAGAGCCCCTCTAAGATGACTAAATTAGACAAAGCCCATCCCCATCTATGGCAGCTCAAGCTCCAAAATATTCATGAGGATGAGAAAGATATTCCTAACCTTGATGGTACCTTCCAAAAGTAATCGACATTCAATTACTTTTTTAATGACATCAGTACCTTAAAATTGGAGGTATTGATTGATGAAAGAAGAGTGCCATTGAATATAATAAAATACATAATTTTCATCAAATATCCTTAAATCTTTCAATAATCATCTCCTTTACTTAACGAATGAATGAATTTAATGAGTTTGTCATATGTTAAGATTTATTGAAAAATACTAATTAAAAATATATAACAATCTCAAATATTATATTTAAATTATTTATAACAAGCAAATGCTTTAACCTATCAAATGGGCTTAGATTAGTAATTTAGTATAAGATTTAAGCTAGATACTCCCTGTTGGATTTTCAATGACCATAAATTAATACCTGGAGTTATACTTTAAGTTTCCCCTTTCTTGATTAGTACGGCTGAAGGGAATATAGCTGATCCCAAAAATGTGTATTAACGAAGTTTAGATAATTTATAAGAACTCGAGGATTTGATGGATCTATCGATTTTGAATGAAGCTGAAATACTGAATGCTTTGCATCACAAATTTTAACAAAAAAAATTTCAAATTTTTTGTGGAGCATCTTTACTCATCATCAATCCTTTTCATAAAGAAAACGCTAAATCTTAACTACTGCAATAAATTGCTCAAAATGCTTATCATTAAATGACTGACTTTCCATAATCAATTATCTTGACTGGAGAATCAGGATCAGGAAAGTCTGAAATCAGCAAATAAATTTAGTTACACTTGTCAAAATTTGGAAATCTTCACTCTAAAGTTCTGGCTTGCAATTAAATTATCGAAGCCTTTGGAAATGCTAGAACTCAAAGAAATTCGAATTCATCTCGTTATGGAAGAGTCACAAAAATGCTGTTTGATAAAGAATAAAAGTTATGTGGGGTTCATTTAAGTGCTGTTTCCCTTGAAAAATCACGCATTTATAATGTACCATAAGGAGAATGCAATTTTAACATATTATATTAATTCTTGAATCATGGATAATTGGCATTATTTAATATCAATACAAATCAATAATAGAACTTGATTCCAAATCCTTTGAATTCCAAAGCATCTTAATAATAATCCTCGAAAGAAGCCCAATAATTTTAAGACACACTGGATGCTCTGAAACTATTTAATATAAATATTGATGTAATTTTAGGACTATTGGCTTGCATAATTAAATTGGGTAATATATAATTTGATGATCATGATAATGATTGTTCAATTCAAGATCAGAAATCAATTGTTCAGATTAGTCATTTGCTTGGGATTTCAGATAAGGAACTAATAAGGTGTTTGTGTTATAAGTAGAGACAATTGCTGAAAAATGAAGTGGTTGATACTCCATTAAGTAGAATAGAATGTATAAATTAACAATAGAATATCATCAAGTAATTATACGAAAGGTTATTTGAATTCTTGATTGATTCAATTAATTGCTAAATGTCTACATAAACAAATAAGTATTAAATCAGCATAATTGATTATTTTGGATTCGAATAAAATATTGTAAATAGTTTTGAGTAATTACTAATCAACTATTCTTAAGAAAAGTTGCACTAATTCTACCTTTTTGATACTTTTTTATGCGATTCTAAAATATTCTAATAGGAGGGTCTGACCAATAGTCAAGGACCTATTTATTTTATGAATAATCTACCGATTTTAGAATGTTTAGAGAGACCTCCTTTGGGAATCTTGAATATATTAGATGACAGTTGCACTGTGGCTGGTACTGATGAAACCTTTTTAACCAAGGTTAAGAATGCCTTTGTGAACAATCAAATAATTACATATCCAAAATCTTAATCTTAACCGATATTTAAGGTTCGACATTTTGCAAGAGAAGTTGAGTATAATGTTATTGGGTTTCGTATTAAGAATAAAGATGAAGTTAATAAATAGTTCTAAATTCTGCTCTAAAAATCTAAGAATTAATATATCTCAACTATGTATTAGCAAATCATTACCTAGAAGTATGTTGGAACAGTGGCAAGAACTGAATTATCAAGCTTGGTTAGTTCCCTTAAGGATAGTAGCAACTAATACATAAGATGCATCAAATCAAACGATTAATTGATTCAAGACCAATTTAATTAACAATTCGTATTAAATTAGATTAAGTATTGTTGCGTAGTAGAGAGTCTGTAGATGAGGAAGGAAGGCTACGCATACAGAAGGACATATTAATAATGTTATTTTGAGTTTTTTGCAATGGTGTAATAGAAGAAGGTTGATTACAAGGCAGGAGTCATCAATTACATGAAAAAAAGCTTTGCATTCACAGATGATTAAGTTTTATTTGGAAATAGAATGGTTTTCTTTAAATATCAAACATATCGAATTATTTAATAGGAAATCAAGAAATAAAATAATTTAAAACATTAGGCCGCATCCAAATTGTAGAATGCTTGGATTTGCTACAAGAACAAAATGATATTTAGAGAATTTCAATGCAGAGTTATATACATTTAAGCCCACATTAGAGGTTATTTAGAAAGATAAAGATATGTTAGACTTATGCAATCAATTGTGTTTATATAATTTAAAATTAGAGAATGGTTGAAAAAAATAAAGTATAAAAGAAATTTATAGGCAACAAAAGTAGTTCAAACATATTTTAAGAGAATATGTGCAATTAAGCAAATGATAGTTGAAGAATAATGTGCAATAAAAATACAAAGATTTATTAGAGAAAAACAACTGTATTAAGATTAATAAGTTGAAAGTGACATTAAAAAACTATTATATAAAGTGACAGATTAAGCTTGGAAAGTAATTGTATATAGAGCTGCCACTAAAATACAGAAAACATGGAAGGGTTACATTACACGTCTAATTAATGAGGATAATATACAATCTATTAAATTAGCAGGATTTTTAGTAACAGCCAATCAAGCTGCAATTGCCATCTAAAAATATGTTAGAGGACAATAATAAAGAAGATATTATTAATCATTGAGAGCAGCCACTACTTACATTTAGGGATGGATTAGAAGTAAGTGGTTGACAAATCTATTTCAAAGGATTAGATATGCGACCATAGTAATTTAAAGAGGAGTGAGGAAGTATTATAATTAATATAGAAAACAACGAAAGTACGAGGATCTAGTTTTGAAACCTTTGGAAAATGAATTGAATAGGATAAGAGAATAAGAATTTATGAATTTGCATGATAGTTATATTGAAAATATTTTGGATGCTGACTAAGAAAATATCCCTGGCAAAAAGATAGATTTATTCAGTTAAGTAATAGATTTAGAAATCTTAACTGATGTTAGTGAAATCTATGATACATTATGGACATCCTTATATAAGCGATGTTTTAAAGAATGTTATGAAAAATAGAATTATATTTCAACGTACTCTATAGGAGAATGCCATGCATACGTTGGAACATTGCAAAATAAAATCTACTCTTGGGGATTGAATGATTCATTATAGTAAGGGTTGCTTAAATAGAATGCAAACAAAATTAATTCGATATAATTTCCATTTAAAGTTAAGTCTATTAAATCTGGAGCTAATCATGGATTAATTTTAAGTTAAGACAATGTGTTATATTCAACAGATGAAAAACAGAGTATTTTAAAGAATGTTAAATTATTCTCGGTCTACAATGACGATAACGTGGCTGTGGATGAAAACAACTTAATTTATATATGGAAAAAAAAACATAAAAGTCCAATTGAATTGAAATCATGGACTACGTTCATAAGAATGAGTTAGATATAATAGAAGATTTAGGTACATTAAATTTCCCATGGTTTATCATTCTTCATAGTGTTGTCCACAAATGGGATGATGTTCTCAATGGGTGAAAATACAGTAGGAGAACTAGGAATAAATAGAGGTCATTCGAAAAATGAATTGACTTTGATTGAATTATCTGATAAAATAGCGGAAGTGCATTGTGGAATGAAGCATACTATTGCCAAGTCTACTTTAGGAAAAGTGTATACTTGGGGTTGGGGTCAAATGGGATAATTAGGACATGGAAACCTTAAGGATGAAGCATTTCCGAAGATGTTGCCATTTGAATCAAAGGTGCTTTAGGTTATGGCTGGCCACAAACAATCAATTGTGATTTTGGACACGAGAAAGATTTATTGGTGGGGTACCAACTCATGCTTACAATACCAAACAAGACCAGTTGAATACATGACTAATTATCCAGCTATTAGAGTGTTATGCAGTTGGAGTAGAACTTTGAGTGTTGTGTATATAACATTTGCCAAGACTTACAAATGTATAGATAATAACATCAAATTGAAAAATAAGATTATCAATTAAATGGTTAGCAAGTGGAGTGAAAATGATATCTATTCGTTAGATCCTCCTTACTGTGATAATTTGGCTAATTATTTCAATCAAATGAAAAAGCCTTAACAAAAATTAAACATCAAATTTGCTTCAAAAATTGAACATCAACAATTAGTTAAATAACTCTAGTAATCTCCTTTCAATTTACTCGATGAAGTCAAAGACACAAGTTGCTTCTTTAGTTTCAAGAACGAATCGAATATATAGTTGTAAAGATAGTTATTGGAACATTCGGAAAATACAGATATTATCAATGCGAAATCGTATCATATCGATAATTCAAATAAGTATTATTTTATATTGTTATTTTAGACTCAAATTGCTTAAGTCTGTTAAAAAATATCGAAATGATCCTTAATTATAAGAAATACTAAAATAATCTGAATTAAGTGATATATTATAATATATAAATTGATATATTTAAGCAATAAAAATGAGGTATTCTTAATGGAATAATTAGTGAGGAAAACAAGTCAGAATAACAATTGGTCTTTTCTGTAATAGAAGAAGGCTATTTCGATTAATTGCTCAAGAGAGTACTCAGAAAAACCCAAGAACCCTAACATCAAATATCATTGAAGGAAGCTCAAGCAATCGTGAACACTGTTTCTCGATCTTCGGATTTGTAGTCAATAAAGGAATTGGGATTCAAAGATTTTGTTGGATACTTGCAATCTATAAGGGATGTTTATATTGAGTATAGAAAATTTCAAAAAAAAGTACAATCTTCAGATATTCCTGATGATTTAGATGAGATGGTATTAGGATGCTACAATACAGTGCCTGCATATTTCTTCGATTAACCATTCCGATTCAATTATCAACTATTCTCATTGGGCAAGGAGAAAATTAATCAGTATTTAGAAGAGATCAAGGATCATTTAGATGATGTCGAGATTACCCTATTCTTCTAAATTAATTCTCGCTTCGACAAATTTCTCAGTGTTATATTAAATTTGAATGAGATGAATTAAATCATAGATTAGAATATTAAAAAAGTCAAGAGAATACGTGAAATATATAGTGTAACTAGAGAGCACATGATTAAAAAGAGCACTGAAATCACTAAGAAGAAACAAGTATTAATTCTTATTGAGTTTAGACAATTGAAAAAGTTGAAAACATTTTGTTCACTCTTAAACGCATATAGTCGATTTAAAAGAGTTTCGTTACATTAACAGAACTTATCAACACTAAGAAATATTCCTAAGCAGTCTAATTGCTAAAAGTAAGTGAATAGACATATTAAACTATTAAATCAATCACAGGTTTAAAGTTTATACCCTAGAAACTAGAACAATTACAAAAAACTCTATAAACCACAATTTTAAATCATCTTTTATCAATAATGCTCACTCAAATGACATCCTTATTAGCACCAAACAAATAACTGATCAATTAAATAAATCATCAATTGAATGATCATGAAGATTCTGTGCTTGCCAATTCTTATGTTAATGATAGTTGGTTTGAATAATAACAGCAATCCATGATTACCATTAATAAGCAATCTGATGATAGTTTCATTAAAACCCTTTTGTCTTCCTCAGGCATTATTGATATGGCAGACAAAATATTTAAATAGAAAGTCCTGGAAGAATTACAAGGGTATTATTAGGAGTTTCTCATTGCACTGAAGAACTTCTTCAATCAAGAGGAGACTGAGTAATAAATGAAGTTCGATGAATAGTCTATAATGGAATAAATATCTTAGTATTTGGAGGAGCAGCCGTTAAGTATCTTTATTAAGATTGTTTAATTCTTTTCCGAAAATTTAAAGAAGACTATTAATCTCTAGATTGCACTTGCACAATCAATTGCCAAAAATGTATTAGATTAACCTAAACACATGGAGATTATTGAGGAACATTTTTCCATTCCAGTGGCTATGTTGAAATTTGCTAATGAGAAGGTTGCCTTGCTCTTATCCTCAAAGAGAATCGCATCTGACTCTACAGTCAAGGATTTTGTAGATTTACTTTAAGTTTATAAATTTTGGGATTAATTTTTTTAATAGGACATGTCCAGAATTAATGAGGATTTACAAATCAATGATAAAATAATGTAAAAAATTAGAGGATAATATTAGAAATGTTCTATAAATCAATTAATTTATATGCGAAGTGCTTAGGAAAAGTAATATCTCTAAAATTTTCATAAAGAGAAGAAAACACAGTTGAATAAATATCTGGAGAATGAAACATGGTTGGCATCAGATGTGTCCTTTGATAACTATGAAATAATTACATATCTATTGGATCTGGAAGACTTGAAATAGGTTGAATAGTTGGATGAAAGTGTTCTCCTTAATAACAGTACAATGGCAGGGAAGAATCTGTTGCCTTCCTATGTAAATAATTCACATTTCAAAATTATTAAAACTGAAATTATCATCTTAAAGGACAATTCTAAATATAAAGTAACACAAGCATTCTTATTCTTTTTATAAGCTATAAGCTAATATTTGCATTTATTTGAATCTTACTCAGTAATCAATTACGAACAGACCTAAAAGTTGGTCGAACTTATAAAATGTTATAATTCTTTAGCCACATAGTACATTTTGGGAGCAGGAGCTGTGCATTTTGGTAAAATATCCACGATTACAGCTAAAAATTTAGCGATTTCCTCAATATGTTTGAGACTCTTCCTATACTTGTTGGATCCCTTGTCAAATAAACTATTTAAAGTGATCAAGTAAGTATTTAAAGATAATGATTTATTAGTCAATAACAACAAACCGAATTCACTAATCTACAACAAATCCAGAATGATTTTGCAACGATCAAGGTGGACTATGAAAATCACAATGCTGAAGTTATGGCCAAACTTACGACTATAGTGCAGGATAGATTTTACAAGCTTTTCGAAGACATTGCTAAATTAGATTGGAATGTAAGATTATGAAAGTGATCTTATAGGATTCTTAAACTAAAATTACTGTTCCAACTAAAATGACCAATCAGATCTGTTAGAATACGCGGTCTTTATATGTGGCCATAGAGGACATCATAACAAAAGAGGATCTTTGCAAGGTTTTTGGACACATTGTATCGATTCTCAATTCAGATTTTGTAAAGATATTTAAATAGCTCAATATCACTTCTAAGTAAGAGCCTTATTGAATTTATTAGAATTGGGTTTACGAGGATTAAGGAAGAGTTAGACTATTTTATGAATTCTTTAAAGGACATCGGACAGTTGCCTCAATTTTTGGCTGATCAATATAAAAGTTTGGAATCAGATATCACTACGGTGATAGAGAGTAAACAATAATGAATCCTTATGTTTTATATATATAATTAATATATATATATATAAATTAATATTACAGTGGGAATTCCAAATTGGAGCAAAAAAATCAAAATGTAATTAATATCTTTGGAAAAATATCTGAAATGAATCAAATATAAAAATTAGTATTAACATTAATTTTATGAATTAAAAAGAAACTTCTTCTGTTAATACATCTCACTAATAACAACAATCTCATTAAAATAAAGAAGAGAGTAAATTAAAAAGTCTATTGTAGGGTAGCTATGATTACATTCACAGAGAAACTGGCAAAATGATATAGAAAGTAACTTGATTTATTAAGTTGAATAGAAACTCTATAAGCGAGCATTTTAACTTTTGGATAAATTTTCTAGTCAACGCAAAGATTTGGAACTGAGTGAGATGGTTATGTTGAATCGTAGGATCATAAATTGCATCAATAAAACACTAAAAAAAGGACTGTTAAAACCAGATATCGAGTAAGATAGGCCTGAAATGATGATATTAATTGTTCAAAGAGGAACTCAGGCAATATTTGAATTATACAAATACATAAATCTATACATCCAGAAGGTTATGCCAAATGAAATGAAAGGAGTTGTGTAATTAAATTAAATCTATCGTTAGATTAGAAGAGGTTTCGCATCTTACGAGTTCTGATGAAGAAGAAGAAGAAAGAATAAAAGAACATGAAGTTACTGTTCTATTTTACAAGATTAACGAATATGAAAAACCTAAAAAAGAGAGAACCAAAAAGTAAGCAAAGGAAGTCAACTTTTTTGAGTAAGAAGTATCAGAGTCTAGTCGTATTGCAAATATGATAGTCAAAACATTAAAACCACTCAACATACAATTCGAATTAGATCAATACTTCTATAATTTAATTGAATTACTATTAATGGCAAGTTTGGTGTTTAAAAAAGCTAATAAACCTAAAGTCGCTTATTATTACTTATTGGAGGCTCAAAGAATAGCTAAATAAATCCTTAATACTTCAAATCCAAATCTAATAAATGCTTGTGCCAAAGCAAAGGTTTATCTCGCCAATTATTACTTTGAAATAAGTGAATATCAGGAATCATTAAATATTGCTGAAGAAGCCATTGTAATCTTATGTGGAGAAATGAGAATTAGAATAAATTAAGAGAAATTTGCATAAAGGAAGTACAAAAACAGGGAGAGAAAAAGGATGAAAAGATGTGTTATTACAACTTTGTCAGCTTTGGTTACTATGATGTGTAATTATGAAGCTCAAAATAATTATCATAGGATTGTAGAGTCATTAACAACAGCTAGTTGGTTAGCTGAAAAATATATCCAGGGAATAGATGAGTTCAAGAAGCATATCATCAAATTGGCCAGTGAAGGGAAGCATAGAGTCGAATAGAATCTCAAAGACTTGGCTGATTTGAGTTTTATAGCTGAATCAACACTCGATTCGGAGTTGAACAAGATCAGGAAGAAACACAGGGACAAATTGGAATAATCAGAATCTCAATATCTCAAGAAATTTAACAATGATATGTATCATCTCTTTCAAATCAAACCTCTGAATTAAGAATTGTATATAAAAACATAGGTGAAGTAAGAACACAAAATTAATAAATAAATTGATTAAAAAGTAATCGAACAATCATAACCTCATGGAACTGATGCTTCAATCAACATATTTGATAGTGACTCAAATAGCTAAGACAGCTTTTTCGATGGGAGTTTTTTTGCTCCTTCAATAGACAATTTATAATTTGATAATGATATCTTCGAAAAGAAAAGAACATAGTCAGTGGCCAAGAAGCCTATTACAAACAACAGAAAGCTATTGAAACTAAATAGAAAATTAGGGAAATCAGTTGGTTTGATTAAAATCGGTTTAGAAAGGCCATTGGATCACAAATCTAAAATTTTAACCACTAATCAGTATTTCAATGAGTTTCAGAAGCCCAAAAAGCAAGAAGAGAGGAGTGTAAGTAATGCAGGGAGGTTATTGAAAAGACAGTTAGAAAATATAGAATATAGGGAGCATCCAGATAGAGACGAACATCATAAATAAGATTTGGATGTCTATGTTAATAAGATGGTTACTGGGAAGATTGAAACGAATGAATTTCAGGATTATAATGACATTCTCGGATAGTTATTTAATCTAAGGAAGAAGGAGGACTTTGATAAGAAGGAATTCTATTTTGGTAGGAAAATGCTAAATTTGAAGGCCAAGGAGGAGATCATGTTCTATAAGTAGTCGTTCAATTCACCACCAGTAAAGGTGGAGATAGACACAAAGGTTAGGGATTAAGCACACATTATAGATGGTAAAATAACAGCAGAGAAAGAGTTGAAGGAATTAAAAAGGAAGAAGATTGACAAGATGGTGGCAGGCAAAAAGATAGTATAAACAAATGTGAATATAGATTTGAAGGACGAGGAGGAGACTATTTATTTGAGAAAGGTCTTAGAAAAAAGTAAGAAGAAGAAACTAAAGGATTTTATTTATAAACATCGAGAGGCTTTGGGTTTATCAAAGTTTTTTGCAAATTTGCATAGAGAACAGAAGGAAAAGGAAAGGATATAAAAATTGAAGTCAGCTTTTGAGAAGGAAACTTTAGTGGAAGTTAATGAAAATTAGAATGTGCAACAGCCGCCCACTAAGCATAGAAAAAATGTTAGGATTTTCGTATAAGAGGTTGATAAGAAATCTCTCAATCATTAATTGTCTCTGTAGCCCTCTCAGGGTCGAAGTTCTCTACTCGGATTGGATGATACCAAAGTATAATCAACTCAGAATCTTGCTCAATAAAAATCGAGTTCAATTCCGAAGCCAATTTTAAAGAAGCAGCCTGAAACCTAAAAAAGTTCGTAAGTGAGTCAATCTATTACTAATCTCGAGGCATAAGGAACAGATTTGATCTTACAATAGGAGAAACAATAAAAGGCGTAGAAATAGATACGAGATCAGATTGATAAACAATAAAAGAAATCTCATCAAGTGATCGGTATGATAATAGATGGAGTGGAAAGGAAAATGGACATTGAGAATAAGGAACTGAGCAAGATGTTGTTCAAACAGAAGGGAGGGTAGAAATAATATATAGATGATGATGAGAAAACTTATTTGAAATTTACACCGAAGTTTTCAGATATGAGCAGATCAACTTATCTGATGTATATTAAGAAAGAGTTGGCTGAAAGATAATTGTTCAGTTTAGAAGATAGCTAACCTCCAAGAATGGCGATGCCAAAAAAAAATCAATTGGCAGATATGGCTCAAATGTTTAAAGAATTCGGATAACATTAATGATTTTATATAATAATATTTTATAATAAATATGATTGACAAAAGAATTATAAATTACGCAATTATTGATGACGAAATATCTTTGTTCGCAAATTAATAACACATATGGTCTGCAATTAGATATTTATTTGAATTCAATGACATCATAAACACTTTTGTTAACCTTGGGCGTCTTGATGGTTTTGGGAGCTACAGCCTACATGAACTATGATGGCAATGTTAGTGCTATAGATCATGGGTTCACTGCAGATTTTGCATCCTTCATTAAAGCCTTTGATTCCAAATATGATTTCATTAGATCCGATATCACCTGGTCCACCTATGGGTAAGCAATCAATCTATTCTTCTTTCTAGAGGTGCTGAAACCAGACCAACCACTGCTCCATCCAAATATCCTATCGTTTTTATTCATGGAAACTCTGATATTGGAGCTGGTAATGGTGGAACTGTAGGATGGTAGACTGGATTCACATAACTTATTGAATATCTATAAACCAATGGAGGATACACTAAGGCTGATTTGTACGTAACAACTTGGGGTAATTTTTATAATAATAAAATTTTAGGTCCTGCCAATCCAAATTTGGCATCATAAAACAGTCACAGTGAAAAATACGTGATGACTACTAGACGTTTCATCGAAGGAGTCCTTGCTTATACCAAAGCCAGCAAAGTCATTGTTATTGGTCATTCAATGGGAGTCACCTTGGCAAGAGCTGCCATCATTGGTGGAACTTATTCAGAATCTTTGCTTAGTAAATTTACTGTCGGAGATCCCATCACCAATTCCATTGCTGCCTTCTTCGGATTAGCCGGAGCCAACTATGGTTTAGTCGATTGCACTTATGCAACTGGATTACCCACATGCAGCACATACAATGGATTCTCACCTTCATCCCAAATGCTCACTGCCTTGAACTCAAAAACTCGTAGAGAAGGTGCCAAAATTTATTCTTTCTGGTCTCCAAATGACGATATCATCAAGTACAACTGTATTGTGAACCAAAAAAACACTTGCATTGTGCCTGGAAGTGACGAATCAGTAATTCTATTATCAATAACTTTAGTTCTAATAAAGTGGATACACACACTTTGACGTAAGAGATAAGTTTTCAGCTGACATACTTCGTCTCATCTAGAAATTATGATTATTTTATATATTAATTAAATATAAGACTCAAATCTTATTTACCATAAGGGGAGCATTACAATTTTTTAATTATGTAAATGAGACACATGAATAAAAGAGGTACAACATCATCATTTTCAGGTTTGTGTTAGGAGTGTGTCTGAATTACAAATAATTAATTTATTAATTGCTTTTCAATTACAATTACTTTAATCTAGACACACCCCCTAACACAAACCCCTTGCAAAATCCCATATATATTACCGTCTATTCTTATCTTATATAGATTGCCTTAAGCTTAAGTTATAGTAAAAGGGAACCTTCATCTAAATTGTCTATCCAACAAAATCATCAGACGAAGAAACCATCGTTAAGAAACGCATACTCAATGCTTTTAATGTCAATCCAACCTTTTGGATCACTTCCAAATAAGATGTTCCTCCTACTTTGGACTTTGAGAATCTGTTTAAGACACCTATTCCAGAATAAGTTGTCAGACACAACGAAACCTTTGAAAAGCTAGAAGTGGTCACCAACACCAATTAAAAGATACTAATCGATGTTCCATCCAGACCTGCTGCATATACCTTGGAAAAATTAAATTTGTAAGGGAAACCAACTCTTGAGCAGTTGTTTTAAGCAATACCAAATTGCATGGATTATAAAGAGAGAGATAAACACTTCAAACAGGGAGGATATAAACTCAATTATCAATCTGGTTATGCTCCAGTTGAGATACAAAACAGACATAAGGATCCTGAAGATTACACCAAGAAATAACACTTCATTAGATAAAAACAAACATAAGCCAATTTGAATTTGAAAAGAACATGTGGAGTTTCATATGTAAAGAAGAGTGAAAGTGAATAAAAGGATGTTAATCATATTTTTAAGAAGTACTGACTAAATTTTATTAAGACTCCCTCCACTTGTATATTAATGTTCATCAGGTTGTTAACCAATAGCTGGATATGATGAGGCCTTTGATAACCTATTTCATAATCTTTTGAATGGAAAAAACCTAATCGTGTTTACACTTTTCAATTCTTAGGATGAAAGTGTCTTGAGAGAATATTTATTATATCCACATCTTAGAAATAAGATTTCAAGAGAAAGAGTTATGATGACCAGAAAATTCTTAAACTTATGGATGATATTTTAAGATGCTTTATGTTTAGTGATTCACTATAAATATGACGAGTATAAATAATAATATACTTAATAGAAATTAATTATTAAGACCAATCTAATTGAATGAATAGGATGATATCAAGTAATAATTAGTGGAATTTATTTGTGAATCAGAAATTTCCATATGTTTATTATTCAAGAAAAGTGTATCAGGCAGAAAAGCATTCTTGAAAAGTGTTGGATTGTGGAATGAAGGAAATGACAACTCTTCAGTTTGCACAGAAACACAAAGAGAGGACATATAAACTAAATTTATTATATCTGTTCCCAAAGTTCCAATCAATAGCAATTCAACACCACAAAGTCTATACTAAGAATTTACTCATATCATCTAACAATAAGAAAATTATGTTTTAGAAACCAGATCCTAAATTTAGGTTCCATAACCTCAATAATAAACAAACACTAATAATGAAAAGTAAACAAAAAAGAAAAAGAGAGCAAAGATTTTGTCATCAACAGATGTAAGAAAAGATGGAGGGGCCAGTGAATAATTGATAAATCATCTTATTAAAGAGGATGGAAATCATAATATTAACACATGTAGTATAAGGATGGAGATGTATGTTAAAGAAGACAAATGGAAATCAGCCAGTGATCACAATAAAGATTTACTTAATGCTTTCATCAAGAGAGTTGAACATCATGTCACAAATTCATACTTGATTAAAATGATGAACAAAAGATTTAAAGCTAATGAAAAGGGCTAAGATTATATCTTACGAAGAAGCAATAAAATCTATGAAATTCTAACTGATAATGTTTAGATAAAATAGAACAAAAAATCAATTAATTGGACATCTACTTTTACGCCTGAAAACTTTACGAATCTATCAGCATTTAAACTAAGCAAGAAGTACTAACCGATATCTCTAGACATCATTAAAATGAAAGAATTAAGTTTTCTTAAATAACCATTATATTGCATAACAACCAGAGATAGTTTTGCATTTGACTTAATTACTAAAGTAACCAAGGTTAAATTAGGAGATAGATTAGTAGATAGGTATTAAATGACAATCTACATAAAATTAGATTAGATTTCTTTTTTGAACCCAATAATTGTCCTTGTAATTTCAAGCCGTTTTTGCCAATGTTCCCAGAATATTAAGTTGGAGCGCATGCATATGTCGGCTATTTTACAAATGAAGAATTATTGCAAATGGAAAAAGACATTTATGAAATGGAATTAAAAGGATTTGATGGTAATATTAATATATACGATTTTAAAGGTCATTATTTACCTATGACTGCATAAATTTCACATGCTTAATCAAATCATCATTCAAGTGTACGTAGAACCAAATTCTTTTTTGGTTATAGATATATGTGGACTAAATGTTAATTAGCAGAACCACATTCAATGGTTGCTGCTGGTGTCAGAAGAGATGTGTCTGCTCCTCCATTGTGGATGAGAAATCTCATTACTAAACTTGAAAATGATAATGTAGTACCTAAAAAGTTCATTAATTCTATTGCCTGCAATGTGTATCATGATGGAAAAGAAGGATTAGCATAACATTTTGATGATGCTGTTAGATTCAAACAACCAATCTTTACTATCAGAGTATTTTCAGATTGCAGATTATCTTTCGGAAGTCAATTCTATGGATTTTGCAATGGAGCATTTGCCGTTCCTTTACCACGAGGGTATCTATTAATATTTTATATTTTTAAGATGCATCCTTTGTATGGAAGAAGGATCCTATGCTGCCAATGCTATAAAACATTGTGTAAGACCCTGTGATATGACAGGAAAAAGTGCAGCCTTGATCTTACGTCAAATGCATGAACAAGTTACTTAGGAAGCCATAAAGTATGATGAATTTGTTGATCTACCATGCCATATGTCTACTTTGTCAGTTGATGAAAATGCAGTTCCTTTTGGAGAGTAAAAGAGATTGGAGGCTGAATTACTAAGCTGATCATGAAAAATAAATTATATTATTATTTAATTATCTACTTTTTTTGAAGTCTTAATAACATTTTTTACTCATTAAAAATATATTTATTAATTTATTATATATTTAGTAAACTTTATTGATATACTTAAATAGACAAAAAATTAAATGGAAGAAAAATTGTATTAAATTTGTTTAAGAAAGATTCATACAACAAATCGAATGAAATGGAAAAGAATCCTCTCTCTTTTAGATAAGAAAATGATAAAATTTATGATAAATCTATTCTATAAGAAATTTTATATTTAAATAGATCATTTTAAGACCAAATTAAGTTATATTATTTAATTGCAAGGCCAATACATCAAATACTGAGAAAAAAAAGACCAGTTTCAAAAATTTTCTTGAACTCATTAATAAAATATCCGAAGAACTGTTTTATATGTTTAATATCTTATGAGAATAAATATATTTTCAAATTTAAACAACCAACTACAGAGATTATAAATAAGTTTTAAACTTTTATTGGTAACAAAAGAAGTTCATTGAATAAGTAATTAATATATATAATATCTTAGTTATGAATTCTAGTCTAAGTAAAAATAAGAAGATTTTTGAAAAAAAAAATCATTCTCTTGTGGACAAGTAAGTTAGTTTGGTAAATAAAATAGTTTAGAAATTTACTTCTAGTCTAAACTTTAGCAGATGACTCTAGGTTTTGATTAAAAAAGTTTACTTAAATATTTTTAAAATAAACTGACTTTTCGAGTTCTGTATCTTCAAAAAATATACGGCAAATTATTAACTTCTTTGTATTGAACAATATTTGTTTCTTATAAATGAAATAGATGAAAATTGAAATTCTGATCTTACACTAAAAATGTCAGATATTCTATTAAAGATTGATTAAAAACTTCTAAAAGTTTATATTCTTAAGAACTTCAAATTTTGCACAAATGGTGAGAAAACATAAAATAATTGATCTAAAGTTTGCGACTTTGAAGGAATTTTTTGCTATTCTACATGGGAATTGATATTCTAAATAGATGATATACAAAATTATTATAAATATATATGCAATAATCCCATTTTTATTACGATATGTTCAAAATCATATCATTACTGTTTTAGTAGGATCTAATTAGCAAATAAGAGAAGGATGAATTGAAATGTACTTCAAAAATTTAAGTTAGTTATGGTACTAGAATCTCAATCTGAATTGATGTTTTAACTGCAGGCCATTTATCGTTCGTCTGTAAAGGGAAAATAACTATACATGGTCCACGAGATCAAAAAATATATAGAATCTCATAGATAGGGTTCTCCGAGAAATAGTTCACCCAGATCATCAAGATATTTGGAAGCCTCACGTATGTGGAGCATTTACGAAGAGAATGAAGAAGAGGAAAGAGATAACGAAATTAAACTGATAGGAATTCGACGCTGATAATTGGATTGTTCAAAAGTTGTGACTCTTTTTGTTTATTAATTATTTATGGAGACTGAAACTCAATATCAAATTTCTCCAGAAGGTGTGTCACTAATTATATCTTTAGATATCGAATTTCTGAATGAAAAATATCGTCTGGTTTTTACATATCCTGCAGCTGCGTTTGCCATTTCCGCTGTCATCCTTGCATCCACGAGATTTTTGAGTTTCCCAAAATTTTTCAGAAACCCTCTTGAAGTAAGCATCCAAATTAATTTAGTCAGTCTCCAGAAGGAAACGCTCTCTTCTATACCAGACTATCCAAAATGGCAAAGCCTCCCTTGTTATTATATGGAGCATGCGTCGGAGGAGCTATAGGCTTATTTCAATATGAATTGGCTAAATATCAAATGTTTGTGAAGTATAAAACTTTAGTAAATACATATTTGGATGCTTGTGAAGCAGTCTATGTGAGTGAATTAAAAAAGAGTTAGGAAAAATGAATTTAATTAAAAAATGAGTATATTATTATAAGTGAAGTAAATTCACCATAGAATTCTTTATTTAATTATTTTATGGCTTAAAAACAGACATGAAGAACTAGGATTTTAGAAAGTATGATATGAATGGTGAATAATCAAACATAAAGAAAATGATAATATTTTTCTTAAAAAAGAGTATACATAAAAAAGCAAACTATTAAAGCAAATGATTACTATCTCCATAATGCAATAGAACTGAAAGATCTCTTTTGATTAAAAACAAAATATTTCAACCGTAATAGTTAAGGCATGACTTATAACTTCTAGCAATATTAATTATGAATAAATTTAGATAGATTGTAGAGATACTTTTGATTATGATATTATTTACCTTTGTCGTTCTAATTAAAAGCGATGCTGAATTCGATAATTTTGATTATAACAATAATATTGAGTTTAAAATTTGGTTAAATCTCTTTTATGACAATACAATTTAAAATTAGCATCTCTACAGTAGTTATTAAATAATGATAATTCTGATTCTTTTTTTTTATATATTTATCAATATGGTTTGCATTATCTAGCAAAATAAACTGTGGCAAACAAAGATAAAGCTGGTATTCCACGGCTATATAATAATTAGTATAAATTACAGAACCATTCTTTTGGCTGGATTCATTCTTTCAAATTTGATTTGTCTTGCAACATCTCCTGCGGGTTATCTCAAATATACATATGAAATAGTGCATATTCCTGCAGATACAACAGAAGCTATTGGTGATATGAACTAATATTTTAGTATTTCCTTATTACATTAGAATTAAAAAATTTTTGACTAAAGGATAAGCATTCTGAATTAATCTTAAATTTGTAAGATTCAACTATCGTTTAATCAGTAGGTATAGAATATAATTCTCTAACTTCTGGAGTTACTGTAAGGAAATCAAAATCCTAGTTTGACATTTTTTATATAAATTTATTAATATTTCAAATATTTTTGTTTTATAAATATGAATAAATTAAAGATATAAGACACTCCTTCCTTTATGATATAATGATTATTATATAGTAAAGCGTGATGGATGTAATTGAATATCAAGAATTTAACATTTTATTCTATTATTTTATCCAAAGATTTATAATTAGTAAGTAATAAGTAGCCATGCATCCGTATTTTCTCTTACATGCATTTGGTTAAATTGATTCTCAAATATAATATTGAGTTTAATTTTCATTTATTCTAATAGCTTTTTAATTGAAATTATTTAGGTATTTCCATTATACGACATAAAGATATATTCAATTTAGGGATGTTGTGCCTTAAAAACCATAAATTATAACTCAATTTATTTATAAAGATAAGAATATTAATATTTTTGACAATAAAATTTATTGATATCAAAACTTAGAGATCTTATTTATGCAATAGCATTTAATTTAGTATTTATGAGTTAATAACATAACTAATTAGAATGAAAAAACATAAATTGAGTGAAATTAATAATTTTCCGTATTTATATAATAATTTATAGCTTTGCAATTCATTAATTTTTGATAAATATATCATTTAATAATCGGAATGGATCCAAATAAATTCATAAAATATTAACCTTATTAAATGACAGATTCAGTAAAGGCAGGTGGCCTCTTCAGCCCTGAATAATGTGAAGAGCTTTCAAAAAAAATTCTTGATTTATTTGATGAAAACAAAGATGGATAATTAGATTTGCTTGACGTAAGCCAAATGCAATAAGATTGTTATAGAGCTATGAATAAGAGTTATAATCCAACACCAACTGATATTGCTGCATTTACAAGAAAAATGGATAGTAAAAATATAATTAGCTTTTATAGCAAATGGTTAAGGGAGAGTAGATTAAAAAATTATCTATAATTTATGTATGAAATACCTTTGTTCAATGGTTTCAAGCAATAATTCTTAACTAAAAGTTGAAAAACCTCTTTAAGAGATAAATGTAAAAATATAACCATCTGACACTTCCAATTAGGAAGAGATCTTATTACAATCCTCCAATTAAGAGAGTAAAGTTTTCATTTATGAAAGCTACAAAAGAACAAACTATAGAAGCTCCCAAAGTTGAACAAAATCAAATATTAATTTAACCAAAATAAGAGAATAAACCGATTTAACCTGTCTAAAAACCTGTTTAGCTTGAACCTGCAAAGACAACTAAAAGTACTGAACAACCCTAACAAATAATTCCAGAAAAAAAATACACAAAAGTAGTACAAGAAAGACTAAAAGTGGCAAGGAGGATTTTTACTTTGATAGACTCAGATTAAAGTGGTTTTATTACAGAAGCGTAATTTAATTAAATAACACAATAGTGAAGTACCTTAGTTGCTTATTGAAACGTACAAATAAATGGGAATGACAATTGAGCCAACCTAAGAGGATGTTGATTTATGGATGGAAATGGCTGATACAGATTAAGATGGCAAAGTTTCTTTAGTAGATTATGAAGATCTAATTTTAAGAGGTTTGAGGCAGTAAGGAATTTCTTTGGAATGAGAGATAATAATTTGCTAAAATTTATAAACATTTATATCTTTAGTATATAATATAATTATAGTACTATTTACATCTGCCAGTTTTAAGAAATAAATCAAGTAAATTAAAACTTTATATAAAAATTACCCAATATTGTCATTTATTGAACAGGCTTTCTTGAATCCGAGATAAAAATGATTTTCTGACTTTAACTTATTCTGGAACTGTACGTTTAATTGACTAATCTATTGATCTTATGATTGAATAGTTTTTTTCTTTTAACAATTTGGATATATAGGATTATTCAATGTATTATTCATGATTGGAAGGAGCTTTTTATAAATTTTGTTCATAATCCGATACTAATGTCTTTAGATTCTACTTGATACTATTAATAATATACCATCAATTCCCCTTCGTTGTGCATTGATTTTTATTTGATGATTTGTTGCATTTGAACTCTGATTTTTGATTCAATGTCTTAGGATCCTTAAACAAGTAATCGAGCAGAGTTGACTCCTTCTAAATGTTCCTGCTCTTTAGACATGTCTGAAATGATTTTCATTATATTTGAATTGGTAGCAACTCTTTAATGTGTGTATTTTTAAAACTTTAATAGTTTTTTACCAACCACAAGATCAGATTAACAAACTTTATCTACCTCTTATTAAGAAGATATTTGTTGTTTCACAGATTTTAGAGATTTGATCTATATTGTCTTATCAAAGGAGGATAGTACTTTTTTCTAATAGTATAGATCCAATTCCTTTTTTGCTTTTAAAGTAGAAAATGATTCAATTTCTCTTTTCGGGAACCTCTACATAATACTATCGATATCAGTTGTATATTTAAAAGACCTAGTTTTAACATGACTTATGCTAGCAGTAGTTCTGCGAGAGTGTTGAAATGATGGATTGCCACTGGGTTATTTACTAATCTTGATCTCATCCAATGAATTTAATGTTCTGCATTTCTCATGTTAACGAGGTGTGTGAATATTAGATTGGATAGTAGTTTCTTACTCTGTGAGTCGAAATTAATTTTTTTTGTAACTGTTATCCTCTGGTTATTAAAGAATAGAATATAACTACACATTTATCTGTTTATTGAATTTTTTGTAGAATTTAGAATTGGTATCTGTCCAATAGTCATTTTTGGATGTTTTATTCTAATTTGTCTTGGGCTAAGGAAATATTGGAGCAAGTATTTGATTTATTTCCTTAATTTCTAACATATAGACTTTATACTATAAGAATATTATGTTAGGATACTTAATTTTGGTTTAAATAATATTATTCCTCCAAAAACACAGACAATTCGAAATTATCAATGAAGCTTGAAAGCCAAAGAGCTACTCTAAATGTTTCTAATAGTTTATTATAATCTGATTGCAATTCATAAATAAACGTCATGATATATAGGGTTATAATAATCCAAGTGATCACTTTTTAATACTGATTCGAAAGTCTCTTCAGGTGATAGTCTCGATCTAAAATATCCGCTAGTATTAGTTGACATTCTTCGATTGCTTCCTTGTAGTATGATATTGCAGAATCAAATATTTTAAATTAGAAATGAAGATGGCCAACTTACAAATTGTATTCAAACTTAGTTTTATTGAAACGAGAATCCTTAAAATAATATTCTGGCTTCCAAACTAACATGCACCGAACGTCCTCATGAAGTTTGGATAATTAAAAAATTAAGAGGTGAATTTAGGATATTCGATAAAGTATATCCTTAAGATAAAATATTTCTATTAAATAGTGGATAAGATCATACTATATTCTTTTGCTTGATTTTCAAGTAATTCAAAGTAAAACATAATAAACTGTTATAGCTTTCTCAATAAATGTATTTAGTTTTCATTTTTGAGTCCATTCCTAGCCTATAATTTGAGAATTTTTATAAGACAAACAATTCCTCTTCTCAATAATTATAAGCGAATGCGCCATCCTGTTTACATGATCAATGATCTTTCAAATTCTCTGTTAATTTTTTGAAATGCCATCCTATACTTGCCAGAACCTTGAATTAGGAAATAGAATACGAATATTTTATGTAATTTCAAAGATTTAGTTTTGGAAATAATTTTCTTGTGTAATTGTTAACTACTTTATATGACTCCTCATTATATTAATTATTAATCATAAATTATATATGTAATTTTTCAATTTTGATGTGTATTTGATCCTATATTTTAATGACAATAAAGGTGGCTCCAGATTGTCCTTAATCATATTTTGGTCTAACTTAGTTAAGTTTTGAAGTGTACCAAATGTTTATAATTGTTTACGCAGCTATCTTTATCCTCTCTATTTCTATCAATATACGTACTAACTACCAATAGAATGGATTGTTTCAGATCCAATTTCATTATTTTGAAATGAGTGAGCTATGATCCAAAAAATAATAAGTTCTTTTGCATAGGTTCAAATTATAAATAAATTTGAAAACTTCAGAATATATTTTTAATTGATCTGTTATAAGGTTTCCCTCTATCTCAATACATCTCATTTGAATATAATATTAGTTTGCTATTTAAATTTATATTTATACATTTTATTTTACACAATGAATTACAATAATCATTTATTATTGAATTCTAAATAGTGTAATAATTGCTTACTAGCTCTTATTTTGATAAAATCATTAAAATCATATAAATTCATAAATCCTTAAGAGATATTCATTTTTCATAATTTTGGAAATATTATTGAGCCTAAGGTGTAATCTCTTTAAAGTGATTATCTTGTTCATTTTGCATTGCTAAATTATTTTTAACTAAAGAATGACTATCAGCAAATAAAAATTATAACATAAATAAGAACCTTGATTTACCCAGGAATTTACCTTAATATTCATTCAAACTTAACAAACTGATCGTACAAACAGCCATTTTTTAATGATATAAATTAAAATCAGAATTTTCAGGAATTAATATTAAAAGTTAATTTTTCTGTACATTAAAGAATCTTAAGACAGAATAAGCACTTCTGAATCTTTTAATATTTTTCATTGTTAAATAGCTTAATATTCTGTATATATATATATGGAGAGAGATTGAAATAACACATATACGCTAGATTGTTTTGTAAGGAAAAGTATCCCAAGAAATTGGAATCTATAAATTGCATCTGATATTCCCATAGATTTTAGTGAAATTTTTAGTTTTTATTTAATTTTAATGTAATCTATTCGGGCATAGAGAATGAAAAAAATAATGCAAGTTCAAGGAGAGGTTGGACAGCATAAAGGGTATACAGCGATAAAAATAGCTGGAAATGCTCATGAATTAATTAGAAAGAGTAAATCAGCTGCTAATAATATTGGTGATTTGGCAATATAAGATGTAACTAAGAAACTGTTGCAAGACCAATTCAACTCCATTAAGAGTTATGACATCGCCAAAGGTGAAGAGAAACCTGGCCAATCATTTAAGTCGATGCACAATATGTACGACTTGTAAACTTTGAAGATTACGAAATTGTATAAGAAAAAGGAAAGGAATGAACTTGAGTAATAAATCAGAAGTCAATTGGCTAAGGATCCTGATAAACAACTTTTGCTTTCAGAGATATACGAATAATTGGAAGATAACTCAGATGGAGAGGTTCTAAAAAAGAAACAAAAAAATAAAGAGGAGTCTCTGGCTACTCATTAAGAGGATTACGATGAATCGCAAGATCAAACAGCTGATCTTAAAGTGTGGACAAAAAGATTGAAAGAGCAAAAGAAGAAAGAGGAGAGTAAACAAGAGGATAGTAGTACACTAAATGTGATTCCATAGAGAAGTAAACAAAGAGCGTCAACTGAAATCAAGAAACAAATTCCATTCTAACAATCTGTTAGACAATTGCCTCTTGAAAGATAAAATTCATCATAAAATTCAGTCCCCTCCCAAAGCACGCCCAGATCCTATAAAGATGTTATGAAGAATGCTGTTCAAAAAGTTAAATAACTAAAGAACTTAAATTAAGATCTAAGTGTAGAACGGTCAGTAGAACAATACATCCAAAAGGCTTCAGCAGTAGCCTTAAGTGAATTGAAGGAAATTGGAGAACTTAATGTTGATGAGGAAAAAGGGTTGACCACTAATTTTGATTTTACTAGCGAAGGTGTACAAAGAATGTATAATACTTTGGTTAAAGTCTAGATGTCTCAATTTAAATCAGAAGCTGAAAAAGCCAAGTTTTATAAAAAACAAACACAACTCATTTCCAACAAATTGATCTTCAAAATTAAACAAAATAATATTATTATTGAAGCGAGAGTGGTAGCTTAAGAAAAATTAAGACTAGAAACCCATGAGTATCATGAAAAAATAGGATAAATCAAATAACTCACAGAACAATTGCTTCAAGAAATTATAGACCTAAAGGATCCTAGAAGCTAAGGTAGTCTCTAAATGAGCAAATCAAGAATGTCTTTAGTAAATTCATTCATGAATCAACAAAATAAATAGAAGGAATTAGATTAAGACCTCTAAATCCTCAGGGATAGCAAAAAGGCATATAAATAAAAGATACTATTCAATAAAAAGACTTTAGAGTAAATAGATTAGGACATTCATATTAAAAAGAAGGAAAACAAGTCTTTATAGAAATGCTTAGTGAGTTTTTATTTTCAAGTGCTTAAAAATGGGTAGGATGTTAGAACCACAGGGATAGCATGGGTGATTTCGAAATTAAATTCATTAAATGAAAAATGTCATTATTCATCTCTGCCTGATTATTTGGATTAAAAGGCTAAGGAATATTTACTTCAAGTACTTTATTATTTTTATATCAGAAAGCAACGATGTTATCGGATATCGAATAGCTAGAAAAAGAGTTGAGCGAATCCTTTAAGCAATATAAATAAGAATAATCTCTCGATAGTAGTTTGGCTATTCTATAATAGAGTTTATCCTAAAATGATTCCTTAGAAGCATCCTCATTGCCTTCAATCTTTCCTTTTGATAGTCATAAATTATCTTCAATAGACTTACATCAAGCAAGACAAGAGGTTGCTAAAACTTGCAGAAATAACTATTCATTGGAAAAGTTGGGACCAATTACTTTAGGATTGACCAATGAAGATATTGAAAACTTAGAAAACATGTTAGCGAAACTGAACTAAAAGAATCAACCAGTTACTAATGGCACATTAATTTATAAAGAAACTCAAAAAAGAATCAAATAGTAAATCAAGTAAAAAGGCCAAATGGAGGTTTCACAAATCAATGATCAATCTGCTGTTCTCAAAGAATAGGCAATCCATTCTTATGATAAATGCAATACATAATTAAATAAAATCAAGTTGAAGGTATTAGTTCAACCTATTATTAGTTGTAACATTCAGAAGATGAGTAAGTAATTAGAATAGTCAAGGAATTTGATTATAAAAACTATGGCAAAAGGTTCAGCATAGATCCAATAACAGTGATTTCATGTCTTGTGGGAGGAGCTAGATGTGACAGGGAAATTGTGAAGTATGGAATGAAAAAAATCCACTATGAATGAAATAGTATACTTGTTATTTATATATATATATATCAGTAATTTTCTTTACTTATTTGTACATATTTCGGCTTCCCCTCTGATCTGTTTGTATTGAATTGTTAAGAACTTAAAAACTACTTTTGCTATAACTTATTGAGGGGCTACTTTAAAACATTACAATTACAAGATATATCATGTTCTATCCCAGAGGAGATATATTAAATTGATTGGACTATCGAGGGGACTTTTAATTATTTAAATGGCTTTAGTAGAATGGTATCATGTTGTAAATTTTATCTCTGTATTTGTCAATAAAATCTTTCAGCATTTGCCAAGAAGGTCTCTCCTATTCATCGAATAATAATAACTGTTTGATAAATTCAATCAAGATTTAAGAGTACCCCAGTTACTTTATTCGATTAAATTTTTGTTCCAATTTATCTGTTAAAACTATACCTTAAATATAATCAAAACAGTCATAGACTTCTTCCATTAGGATTACACTTAAAGCAGTCAGTCCTAAAGCATAAATATCACTTTTATATGGATCATGAGTAGGAGTCACAATCAATTCTTTATATTACTTCAGCAGAATAGGAGAAAGATACGCTTTGTCCTAACTTAGTATCATTTTTGAATATCCATTGATTTCATCTTTGAGCATGCAACATTCAGCTATTTTGATGCATCCATTTTCATCTAAATAAAGTGTAGAAGGTTTAATATCCCCATGTACAACATTCCTTTCTGATAAATATGTGCATGGGTCAATAATTTATTATAAAAGAATCCAAATATGTCCCTCAGTGTATGGCTTATTGTTAAGTTTTCTTATGTTGATTTCACTTGATAAGTTTTCTTAGTAATATTAAATAATTATGGCCATTGATGTCTGGTCGGAACAGATTTTAATTTAATCCTATTGATGAATTGCAAGTATTTTAAGCAAGTTGTCTTATTCAAATGTGTTTCTTTATCTGAGATGAGTCACTAGGTTGGATAATTCTTTGTCACTTTTAGTAAAATACTTCTTTAGACATATATATTCATTGGTCTATTTGAAATTTGATTATACTTAAATGTGTGTAAACAATTTGATTGACCCAAATTAGGGATGTGTAGCCTCTCTTTCTTATGAGTATTGCAAAAGAAATTATTTGTACTCCTAGGTCTTTTCAGTTGTACTTTATTCTTATCCCATTAACGATAAAAAAATTATTTATAAAATCAATTCCATAACTCTTCGACAGATTTCTATTTGTATTTTTTAGATTGCGGAGGATTAAGCTAATTATTAGATTTGCTAGGTTTAATGATTAATTTGTTTATAATCTCTTATTGTTTGAGATTGGAAGTTTCCTGTTAAAACTTTTGAACTGCCTTCTTAGGGGAGCCTTCCTTCTCCGAAAGAATCTTTTGCAGCTTCTATAGTTCTTAAGCGACAGTGGCTAGTGAGTTTCCATTGGCAGGTTTAGTGAGTTAATTCAATATCAAATCAACAGATTCTAAATATGGAAGATAAAGATACTTTTAGCTTATTCAGTGGTGGTATCATTTTCATATTTCTGGATCTGTTCCTGCAATGAATTTACCTCTTTTTTCTACCTTTCTTGCTCCATTCTGCTAATCTTTAAATCAAGTTCTAGTTTTTTATTGATATCAATTTAGTTTTTGAGTTCATACTGAGTCACTGCTTCAGAAGAATGATGATAAGAACCTTATTGAGGGAGTGTTTAGATGTAACTATTTGATGAAGGATCAGCAACTAAAATCATTTTTGATGAAGGCATTTCAGCTAATAATAGTTGTTATTTTGCATTATTGATGATCGAATTGGCAGGTAAATCTAAATTCATTGGGATTTCAACATCTTTTTACTTTAGAAGTTCCACCAATTATTGGATTCTCGATTCCTTAGTTTAGTTGATATCTTCAAGTTCTTTTTGCAATTTCTCATAGGCATCTAGTTCCTCTTATAGTTGTAGAATTGTTTCATCTCTCTCATTCAATCTATTGGTCAAGGCAATCATAATATCTCTTTATTTTAGTAATAATTATTTGTATTTGTCTGTTTAAGCCTTATCCTCTTCTATATTCTATCTTTCTTTTTCCAATTCTTGTAATCTCTCTTGATATTATTACCTTATTAGCTTCTACTGTTTTTCTAGAGCATTCTAAAACTAAGGTGTTTCTTCAATCTTCTACCCTCCAACAAGCATTTGCGAATTCAAGGCAGATATCTTTTCTTCCAATTGCTTTCTCATTTCTCTCTCCTACACCAGATCTCTGTTTCTTTATTCATATGCACTCATCACTTCTTGCTTATCTTCTAGAGCCTTTTATCGTTCTTTTTCCAATTCAGCCACCATAGAATCAATAGGCATCTTGCTTCTTTCATCCAACTCTTATTTTAATTTTTAGATTTCTAATTAATATTTTCTAAGCAAAGCCCCTTGATCTTGATCTTAATTGACCATAGGAGTGTTTCTTATATTTTTAGCTCTGTTTGCAAATTTCAATGTAGACAGAGATTCACTAAAGGCTTCGATAGCTGGTGATATCATTGCCATAAAGGTTGTTTTGCAATTACCTCCCAAAGAGTCCTCCAATAATCTCGTTATTTTAGAATCTCTATAAGGAATATGTGATTTCGGTTGTTTCAATTCAGTCAAAGCGGAAATGACATTCCCCAATGCAGACAACGATTAATTAATCTTTTTAGACTCTTCTAATCTGATACCAGTTGCTCCAGTGACTCTAACTCTTTCACTACCTGCCAAATCTACTAAATTTAGTTTTCCAACTCTTGCCCTCTTACCATCAGGAGTCTCCTCAATTTACTCAACCGTAATGATAAAAACTGCATGACTTCTTGAGGATGTGTCATTCATTCTAGTACTTGCGGTTACTCTTTTGGCATTTCCTCTCCTCATCAATTAATATATTTCTGGGGGTGAACGTACTGCCCATTCTGATAGATTCTCAACAAAAACTCCTCTTTTCTTATCTTCTCTGATATTCAATTACTAATGATCAGGTCTTAGGAGGTCACTTATAGATTCATTGTAAATTTATAAGTATGATGCTCTCACCATAAATGTTGTCATCGAATTAGATTTCATCTGTATATGTGTAAAGATGTTATGCAGTGATCTTGGAATGATACCCAATTGATCCGAGTTTGGAGTGAAAGAGAATCCGTGCATTGTGTATGTTTTCCCAGTTCCTGTTTAACCATATGCAATGATCGTTGAATTATATCCCTTTTGAATACTTATTCATTTCATACTTGAAGTGTCGAATCAACTGACAACGCAGCAGTAGTTTCATAGACTTCCACTTAAGTACTTTCTTAATCATAGACATAATCAAATGTAAATTAATGAATGGTGTAATTAGCTGGGTTTTATACAAATGCCTCCAATTCCTCATCTGGCACTAACTCTATTGCATGATAATCGAAAATGCAGAGTTATTGATTATCCGGGGCTACTTGTACCTTTGAAATTGTAGATCATAGTCTTACAGTCGATATGAATTTGCCATCCTTAATCTCTCTTGCCATCGGAGGACGAACTCTAATTACAACTCTAAGATTTTCATTTGAACCTTCTTTCTCTTTCTATTTCATTAATTTTAATGTTGTATTTACTTTTAAACTTAGTTTTTTTTGTAAATATATTAGAATATATATATACTTGCTAATTTTATGTTCCCCTAAGTTATAAAAGCCATATAATTTTAATGTATTGAAGTCATAGATGAGTTGGCAGTCCAAACATATCTCACAAATAGTAGTAGTTTTAAAATATAGATTGCTAAGGATGTGCAATTATTTGGAAAATCAAGATAATTAAGTTTTGAATTAACATTATTTTAAGGAAATAAGAAAGCATTTGCTTAATTCGGTAACTAGTCAATTCTAGAATTTTTAGAAATCAAATTGAATTCTAAACAATAAATTAAATTCTATGTCAAAGAAGATATCTCTGAGTTGAAACTACAAAGAGATGATTTCAAAGAGAGTTTAGAATGCCTAATATCTCCAATTTTGAGGGTAATATAGAAAAATTGATGATATTATTAAAGTGAAATAAAATGAATATGAGTACTAAAACAATGAAATCTCTCTAACAAAGTACTTACAAACATTAATTACTTTCTGATGTATTCTCTGATTTCAACTTCTATAAATATCGAAGTTAGTCGAATACTGAATAATATACTCCCCTCAAGGGATTTCAGATTGTGAAATTAAGAGGACCTTCTCGAGTATCGATTCAATAATCGTAATAATCTATTAAGACAGTTAAAAGCATTAAAAAAAGAAATAATTCTTAAAACAGTGTCAGAATTGATCTCTTTAAACATGTTACAGAAATGGATGACTATGGAATGCATGAAAAACTTATGAATCTTTTTGAAATCGATCTAAAAATGCGCAAGAACTTGGAAATCAACAGAATGATAGTGCAGGATAAATAATAATCATCAGCTTAATTGGATGAGATCTATTAAGAGATATTATTAATGTTGAGCAACACTATCGAAAGAATACATCAATATATCAATGCAAACAATCTCGAACGCTCAGATTTGAAAAAGGCTCAGCGTAGAACTGCCATCGAAATAGAACACCAGTTGCAGGAGTTTGTCAATATGATGTTAACTGCTATTGCCAAAAGAGACATGACTTTGGCAAGACTAACAGAGAATGCTTGGAAACTGATTTGTGTTGCAATAGAAATGATATTACAAAATGGGAAGGCAGAACAAGAATATATTCAATAAGAAGTATTAAATGAATTATAATAAGAAGTTGTGCATTTAAAATAAGAGAATGAAGATATCTATCATAAATATATGGAAGTCTCTGAATTAAATAACAAATTAACTCAATAACACAAGCAAGAAATCAATATTCTGACATATTAACTAAATATGGCCAGAGTTGAATTTAATGATTATAAATAAAGTCAAGAAGCCTTGGGCACTTTAGAGCATGCCACAGGAAGTCTTAAAGATGTAGAGCTCAATCTCAAGGATACCCATAAGATATTAAATAAAATCGAAGAGAACATTAGCAATAGAGATACTTAATTGTTTTAGACATTGAAGTCTGTAGTCCAATAACATAAAATGGATAAGGATAGTCAAATGAATAAGTCATAGAAATTAATTAATAGATATTAATTAAAGTCCTTAAATACTAAATAGTGCATAATTGCATCAGAATATTTCAATCATCCTTTTGTGTAGTATTTGGATCTAAATTTTGAATACAATTAATAGGATGAAAAGTGTCTATAATAATTGCTTGTAGATTGGTTTAATTAGGAATGTGTGAAACCTCAATTTGGAACTCATCCAGCTTAATAGAGATTAGAATAAATAAGCACATATGAGAGGAAAAGCAATGCTGAAAGTTTTATACATTTTTTAATTAAAAACGATAATCTAAATCAATTACAAAACTGCATCGCTTACATAAGCTAAAACATAGAGATGGGTGATTTAAATTCACTAAATAAAGTAGAAAAATATAGTAGATAATTATGTATATTTTTTGGAGTTATATTTCAATTCGATATCAACAACATTGAAATTGATTTGTTAACATACGATCGAATTCGATTTTTGTATTCAGGCCTAATGTAAACCAATTAAGAAGAATAAACTTAAAATTAAAACAAATTCTAATGGTACAATTTTGTTGTTTAAAATTTGAGTGAATTGTGTGCTTAAATATTTTTAGATTACTCAGAAAAAGTTGCCAATTCATAGTAGACAATTGCTTAAATTTTAGTATTCATTTTGTAAAGTGAAAGTGATAAACGAAAACATTAACTAAAGAAATTGATTGATGATTTCAAGAGTGTGGATATTGAATTGAATCTGTAAAGAGAAAGAATGTTCAAGTTTGTCAAAGAATTATGCTCATTTTACAATTATCAATATAATGAATTGCAAGTGATACAGTATGCATAAGCATTATTTGATCGTTACATTAGAGTTTATCAAACAGGAAGAAAAAGAAATGGTCTTGAAATCGGAGAGTGGATTAGCTTTATTTAGGAATTATAGTCAGTATTGAATAAATTGATTTAAATTAAACCTCATTTGCATCATTAAATCTTTATGCTTGAAGATCTTCAATATGTGAATAAGGAATTCTAAGTGCATACTCGAACTTCATAGATTGAAAGAAGGGAATCCTAAATAAGAAAAAAATGAATAAACTATTTAATCAATCAAATATTATAATATTAATTTCATTTACTTTTCTTAAATGGCTTAAATTGGAAATAATAATATCCAGCAGATGTTAAACCCACTAGAAGGGCAATTACACTAGCTATTTATATGAGAGATACACCATTTTTTTGTTTTAATAATTGAATTTGATTCTCAGAATATCCAAAAGTGCTTAGAGAATAAGGTTAAGATATTACTTTGTATGAATAAGTTCAGCAACTTTCGAAATTTGCGCATAGATATCTTCATCGTCATTATATAAGGTGATAGGAATAAGTTATTCTGTTTAGAAGCGGCAAGAATTTTCAATAATTAGGAAATCTACAATGCACAATCTACTAATCTCAATTTATTATTCTGCTTATAATTCATCATAAATGCTGATCACATAAGTTTTAGATTTTATTGTTGTTATTTTAGGTGATAAATTATTGAAGTATTTTTCTAAGATTTTCTAAATAGCATTAATAAATAGTTACCTTTTTGTTTTTTGTTATGATAGCTATATGAAATACTTTTCTCTCAATGGTTTTTTAGACGGAATGCCAAGAATCTTTTTTATTTTATTCTTTGAATGCATCACTTATTTTGATATCAACTCCAATGTAACTCAACAATTTGTATGCATCTTTGTAATTAAAAAAAGAGAATGCACTAAAAAATTATAGAACATCATTCATACTTCCATAAGGCCAACCACTAAGTTAAAGTGATTTGCTGTGATTCCGAGTGATATTATTAGAGAAGTGGAAAATTAGTTTAGAACATCACAGGATAGAATATGTAATTAAACTGAGTTTGAGTTAGAGTTTATCCATTCAATAAAAAGATTGATTTGAGTTTCTATAAAGCAAAATCACTTAATTCAACGGTTTGCCCTGCATTTTAATCGAATTTTAATCTAGTGTTTGTAATTATTTAAATACTCCTCCTAAAATAAAGACTCCTCAAGTGTTAAATCATCTTTGTAATTGAAATAACGAAGGATTGTCCAGCTGATTTGAATCTTCATCAACTCAATTCCTCGCTTTTATAAAGCCATGAAACCTTGCAAAGTAATAAAGGATTTTTTATTGGAATCATCTTTCAATTCCTCTTCAATCAAATCTTTTATTCCTGCTATGTCACTTGAATCTAAATGCTTCTTAAACACCTTCTTTTAAAATCGTTCTAACTCAAAATCACTCCATTTCCCATCGCCATCTCGATCACATATTCGAAATATACGAGTCAATGCCTTTTTAAACCCTTCCGTTAGTGATTTGTTTACTAGATTGTACAAAGGAGCCAAAGGGTACAAATAGGACCTTTAGGCACAATTAATTACGTCCTAAACCCCCTGTAACTTGATTGATGAACATTCTATTCCCATTTCAACTTACTATGTTATATAATTGTATTACACTGAAATCTTTTACTAATTGTTTAATGACTTTAAAAATTCTGCAATATTCTCTATCTTCATCCAGACCCATCAAATCAAGTTTATTACCGACTACAATGATTGGCTATTTAAACTCCTTCTCTTTCAATTCTCTGAGCCAGAACTTATTTAATCTTTCCCAAGAACCATCATCATCGATTGCGTACATTAAGAGTATAACATCTGCAATTTTGACTTACTCTGGAAGTTAGTTGGGCTGGCATTTCGTATCAATCAAAGTTGTATTGCATTATGGATGATTGAACATTTCTGGAGGTAATTGAATAGGTTGATGCTTATCAATATGAGTGACCTTATTGAGGCTTTCATTAATTAGAGCTGAAATGAATGTAGATTTGCCAACTCCACCTAGGGTTAACGATTAAATAAAATATGAATACTATCCCCAATTACAACGACTTTAAAATCTCTTTTCCTCATTTTAAGTGTTTGCTTGATTATATATATTTTATTTTAATGAATTTGGAATACCCCTGGGATGTGTAGAAAATAAAGTTCAAAAATATTTAGGTTTTTAGAAGTCATTAAAAAGAGGTAATTTGATAGCATAAAACCCCCTAGAAATACATACTAATTGGCAATCATACCTTATCATAATAATTTTGCATTCTATATTTGAATATCCTAAAAGGACCGGATCTTTATCAGAAAGAACTTAAGCAATACATCTATGAAGAAGAACGTTAGTTCGAGACTCTGGAGGATGCTAAACTATACTTATAAAAATACAATTTGACCTATCTCTACACAGTATCAGGAATAATAGGATTCATCAAATTAGTATAGGGATATTACGTAATGTTCATAAAGAGACGTAAATCGATAGCTAAGTTGGGCAAACACAAAATCTTCACAATTGAGGAAAGATAGATAGTGGAATTATTCGATGGCCCATATTCCTAAGTGGAATCAAAATACAAGAAACTACTTTAGGATTATGATCTAGAAATTGGTTTCTACAGTAGTTATACTTATGACGTCACAAGTTCTTTATCAAAGAATATCATCCCATCTGAAGATGTTCAAAACAAGAATCAAAAATATCATCAAATTGGATAATACCGAAATCTATTTATGTGGAATCATTATCTATTAGCAGAATTCGATAAGATCATTAAAGATAAGAGATGGGTGATTCCAATTATTCATGGTTACTGTGAATAAAGTACAATTAAAACTGTTGCCAACTATTTTAGCATTACTTTATTAGCCAGAAGATCCATAAAGCATGCTGGTGCTCGTTATTTGACTAGAGGTATAAACGAATAAGGGTATGTTGCTAATTTTGTAGAAACAGAACAAATTGTGATTGAATTAGACAAATCAACATGTTAAAGACCTGCTTGTTCCTCATTCATATAAATCAGAGGTTCTGCTCCTGTCTATTGGTATCAAGAGCCGAAAATGTATTTATTCAAGTTGCCAATTAAAATACATTAGAGTGATCCTTACTTATATGCAACTAAAAAGCACATTTGCGATTTGATTTCTTCATATGGCAGACAAATCTATATGGTGAATTTGGTTAAATAAAATGAGCATAATAAAAGAGAATAAGTATTAGCTGAAGAGTATTTTGCAGCTATCAACACTGTTAAGGAGGAAATGCAGAATCAAACAGAAATAGAAATAGGATATTTAGGATTTGATATGAAGGCTTAATTAAAACAGGACAAAGAAGAATTTGTTAATAAGTGTTATTCATTAGCATACTATTGCATTATGAAAACAGGAGTATTTCTATTTGTAAAAGAGCCTAAATGTAATGAGAATGTTATTATTGAAATCCAAAATGGAGTTGTAAGATCTAATTGTGTTGATTGTCTGGATAGAACGAATGCATTTTAATAATTGATAGGTGAAATGGCACTTGGAATTCAATTGGCTAAAATAAATCAGAGCAGTTTGAAATTTAATTTGCTATTATTAAATGAATCCATCCTATAGGAATTCAGAGAGATGTATGAACAATTGGGTGACTTTGTCTCATAATAATATGGCAGTTCATTAGCACATAAATAAAACATTGGCTAGAAATCTAAAAGAATAGAATTGTTTACTTCATTGAAAAGACATTATAATAATAACATTGAAGATCCTTAGAAACAAAATTAAATAGATTTATTTTTAGGAATCCACCGACCTACTCCAGAGGGACCCTTTATTGGAGAAATCATTACTATTTGTCTGTTTCCAGATACCAAATATTTATAATAGTACACTCAGCATAAACAATGGTGGGTTAATCCTTATTTGGAGTTTCAGTAGAAATCTTTGATTGATGAAATTAGCAGGAGATGCAAAGAGGCTTGTCAATAGGCTAAAAAGGATTAGAAAATGAAGATAGAGAGAAAACAAACCACTTTTAATTTTGACATCATTGAGAAAATGAAGCATAAGGCAAATCAAAAATTGAAAGCCAAAAACGTTTTTATTTTATAATCTCCTTACACAAAGGTGAGAGAAAAGCCAGCTAATTATATATCGAAACCTCTCAATTTAGAAGAAAAACTTAAGAAACCATATTATGATGTCATTCAAATATTTGAAACTGAATAATTAGGGGATTCTCCATGTGAATCCCATTAATCTTCTCCAAAATAAAACCCATAGAACCTGAAAACTCAATTTTCACTCCTAAAGGGGGATGAAATCCTTGAGATCCAAAAATACACCAGAATCAAAACATTCGAAGAATTGACTGATGAGGCAAATCAAATAAGAAAATATTTAAAGTATAATCTTTCATCAGATGATGAAGAAAAGCTTAGGAACAACTTAAAACGATATCTGAACGGAGAATAGCCTAAAGAATAAGTTGCTCTAATTGAAAAGAATTTAGATGTTTAAAAATAATATAGTGAAGTGAAACAATCGATTGCTCATTCCGAGACAGTCTAAGGTGTATCAGTACAATAGGCGAAGAAGATACCGGTGGAATAGAAATCAGTGAAATTCTTAGAATCTTTGCTAAAAAAGAATTTTGCTTAATCGCAGAAACTAAAAATTAATAAAATATGAATAATATGATTATAAAATACAACGAACGCAGAGTTTCTATCACTCCAAAAACCTAGACCAGTCTCAATAGTCCTGTTAGAAAGTATAGAGAATTTTCTATCATAGTAACACATAGCCAGTATTTCTAACGTCTCCAAAAAAATAGTTGTCAAGCATTAAGGAAATCACCAATAAATAATAGGAATTAAATAAGCTTCTTAATTAGCATGTTGATTTCTAGACTTAATCTGCTAACACATCGATGCATTCGTTTGATTGCATTACAGCTCAATCGAAATTTAGGAGGAAACAAGTCAATGCTGATATTAGTTCAAAATTAATGCACTTAGACGATGAAATTGTAGAAGTATATAACGAATTCGAAAAGAATTACAGATAAGTCAACGATTTGGATAAATTAGAATATACTCCATAAGCTAGTTAACAATAAATTTTTGTGAGTAGAAAAAGTCTAAACAATTTAATTTAAACCCATGATGGACTCATGTAATCGGATTTAAAGTTCGGTAATTTGAACAGAATTAGAATTAATAGATTCAAATTTTATTATTTTCGTATTAAACTAAGAGGGAAGGTGTCTCCAATTTAAGTATTCTTCAACATTCCAGAAAGAGTATAAAGTGCAGCTGTAAAAATGTTTTTATCAACTAAAGCAGAATTCCCTACTAAATTTAACGCAGAATATATTCTTCACTCTCGATTTGCTAAAATATTTTCTGAAAGAAATTAGCATTATTTTACTGAAGAATATCTTTTCATAACAATATATTCTGACGTAGATTTCGAATTCTCAATAACATTTCAGTTTGGAAACACTCAAATCACTAAATCACCTCCCAAACAAATTGTAGAGTCTCTAGACCTTATATCTTAAAACTGCTCTCCAACCTAAAAGTAATTCCCCAATGACAAAATTCTATAAAATCTTTCTTTAACCTAATATCACGGCAGCTAGAAATTGCATAAAATATTATCAGTTCAATCAGAAAGAACTCATAAATAAAAGTTGGCTAAATCTCTGAGATAATCAATGCTTGAAGATAAGAAATTAGAAAAGAAATCTAAATTACTGGTTAAAGAGCAAATACTTCATTTTAGGGAAGTCGAAAGATAGATCAAATTAAAAAAATTACAAATGCAATTCGCCCAATAAAACTGGTTTCAATTATTTAGTTTACTACTTATTACTGAATATGTTTCTACTTCCCTTTAGGAATAGAAGAGAAGATAAAAGGTTGCAGCCAAAGGCAAACTATTAGTTTGGGCTATGAAGACTAAAGCCTTATTAGATGTAAAGGAATACGGGGAAAGTGCAAAAGAAAGAACTATTTTCAAAACTAGATGTGTTGTTTAAAGTTTTGCATGCATGATTAGACATAAATCTAAAATCAAAGCAGAATTTGTTGTTACCAAGTTCATGGGACGCATACTTTTGTTTCTAACTATTCTAAATAAGCATTAAAGCACTTTAAATAAAGGTATTTTAATTTTATAGCAAAATAGTAATCTTTATTCAAAGAAAATTTCGTATATTAAAAGCTAAGAAGAGAAAATTCAGAGATAAGTTTTGGAAGTTAATCAAAGAGAACATTGCCGATATTATTTATGATCTGAGAAGGTAAAAAGAAACACAATTTTTCTTTGATAAATAATAAATCAACATAGACATGTACATAATAATGAAATATAATAGACCTGCGATGAATATAGTCATAGATGATTATTGTAAAAAGCAAAGGGTATTGTGGCTCGAATATATATAACACACGTTTTTAGAAAAGGATTAAAAGAGAGTATAAAATTATTGTAATAATCATTTTAGAAAATACATGAATATGCTAAAAATCTCAAGGAACCTAAGATTTATGATTTGCCAAATAAAAACGAGTTAATCCCACTGATAGAGTAATATGCAAAAATGAAAAAAATACTATGACTATAAAATAATTTATTTAAATGGGAAATGCATGTTAGGCGACACAAGATAGTCTCCCCACAGAAATCAGTGATGAATCTACAGGACCTCAAACTGTAAAGGAGACAACTGATAGAGTGATATTTAACGAGATTTATAAAATGGAAAACGTTGAGGTTCCAGATAAATCATACTCATCGCCAATTCTAATACATCTTCAACTCATCAATCTTGACTTGATTGAACCTGATTAGTTTATCCCTTAAATTAAATCAAGCAGAAGAACTTTGAGTTTTGTTACAGAGAGAACTTAGAAACAGATAGGTAGAAGTAGAACATCTTCTCATAAACTTGATTCAGACACAATATCAATGACAAAATAACCGATCAAACCCTCGTTAAAATCCCTCAATTCTAGGAAAGGCAGCTCTAACAAAAGCCAAAAGTCAGTAAGATGGGATAGTGATTTAAGTGTTTTCCTTAATTTAACTCACTATCAAAATTATTAGATATGAAACTCATTTTTTATATATATTATAAAATGGATGAAAACCAAAAGGCATTCTATTTCTTCTCTTATAAATCGCAATTGTAACACTCCATTTCAATACAATAGGGCTGCCTAATCAACTAGAAGTCAAATTTCTCTTTCGTAAAGTCAAGAATAAGCATCGATGGCATTCCAATCAAGGATCAAAGTCTAGAACAGAGACCCTCTGGCATTGAGAAGGAAATTAAGTCCTGCTGAATTGATCCCATTGGATGAGGAAATTCTAGAACTTTACGATGACTTTTCTAGAAACTATTAACTGTTGGGACACATTAATTAAACTGAACCTTTTTATTAAAAGTAAAGCCAGTTTGAAGTGATTCTGTCACAGCCTATTCAAGCAGTGAAGAGTGCTAGATCATTTGATTCAGAAGAGCTGTTTTGTGAGTAGAAGAATAAGTTAGTTATTGCAAGATTTAAATTTTATTATTTTCGCCTGAAAATTAAAGGCAGGCCTTCTCCTTTGTCATTATGCTTTAATTTTACAGAAAGAGTGATGGGGCTTAAGATTTATTTGTCTACAAAGGTAGAATTTCCTTCCTCTTTTAACGCGGATTAGTTTGTTTAATCAAAATATGCTACCTTACAAAGTTAACACAACCATAAAAAATTTCATGAGAATTATTTATATATTTCTCTGCATTGTGAAACCGATACAAGATTGAATATAAAAGTTCAATTTGGAAAGCAATCTCTAAATCAAACAGAAAATGTTGCAAAAAAGTAGAAATCTGAAATAAGTGAATAATTACCTGATATACAAATTGAGGATAGTCAATTTAGAAGAAGCATATTTATGAATAAAGATAAAATTGTTAGAAATTTGAATGTCACACAAAATTGCATGAATAAAAAATTTAAGTTTTTATTTGACTTATAAGTATTTCTAATTATCTACATAGTCTGAAAGAATAAGCAAATAAAAAAGTGCCTTACAAAATAAGAAAATTGTATCTCGAGAGTTCTAAATATCAAAATTATTAAAATATTAAGCTCGATAAATCATACCAGAATACAGGAAATATGAAAGGACATTTAAACAAAAATATAGTGTCTTATAATAAGTTTAAATCAACTGGTTATAAACAGTCTTTGTATTATAATTGGCAGACGCTTTGAATCTCTGTCTTAATGAAATCAAAAAGGCCTATCACATAAGGGCATCAGGAATGCTGTTAGCTTGGAGATGGAAAGTCAACATTTTATTGATGCTCAAAAGAAATGGAAATACAATCCAAGAGAGAAGCATTTACTAAGCGAAAATGGTTCTAAAAAGTCATGCAAAACATATAAAAAAAACAATAAGATTGTAGGCAACTTAAGTTTTGCATTCAGTTTTAACTTAAACACTACCAGTGATTTCTTTAAAAAATAGGATCATTAAAGTGAGATCGATTGTTCTTAGTGTCTAAGTCAAATTCAGATGGTTAAAAAATTAAAAAAGATAATTTTATGATAGATTTTGGAAAAACATTAATTAACTTTATTTTTAGGTTTTAACTGAACTCTAAAATAAAGGCAAATAAAACCCAGAGAAACCAGTGTTGCTAAAAAGACCCTCAATATATTTGATCGATACGTATTGTTGAATATTTATGAAATAGAAATTCCATGATTCCCTTGGTAGAGTCTTATCTATTCAAGATAAAAAAGAATTGGCTTGAATACATCCATTTCAAAAGAATTAAACGATACTCGATTTATTCTTTCTAATTTCCTTCTTAATTCGATAGATTAAAAGCAGTTGCATTTTAGATTAAGGAACCTAGGCTGTTCCGAGATCCTTCAATAAATGATATAACATTAATAATTGAATAGTATGCTTTGATTAAAAACTTAATATGAATTTACTTATTTTTTTATTTTATGATACCCTAACTATCATCATTTAAGGCTCCTAAGTAAAGACAAATAACCACAACACCAAGCAGCAATACATATTTTCTAAATTCGTAAAGAAAATTAAAGTAGCCTTCTAAATATATTTTAAGCTTCCTTACAACCAGCAGTCTATAATCGATTTCATACATACATTCAAGTTAGGTACTAAATTAAACGCCTACCCTCATTGATATCAAAGAAGTTAAAAAGGAACAGAATCAGATTTAAGCAATACCTCCTTCTTTCATGGAGCTTTATGATGAATTTGAGAATAATTACAAAATTGTTCAGAAGATTAAAACTGATCTCAATATCTCATTAGATATAAAGTCAGAAGAAAAACCTCATTATAGTTAAGTTATAAGCTAAAACTCAATAAGGAATCCTTCTCAAGCAGAAACTCGAATTGCAAATTTATAGTTTTGTGATATTGATTAAGAGTTGAATTAGAGATTACATATTAATCGCTTTAAATTTTATTATTTCAGAGCTTCCATATCGAAATAATAATCTCCTCTATTACTCACAATTCAATTTGAAAATCAAATAAATTCTGCCTAATATAAATTATATCTTTCTACTCAGCATGAATTTCCAACGAAATTTAATGCAGAACATAATCTCACCTCTAATTTTTGTAAAATCTATACAAGCAGTCCGGAAAGCATATTTCAAGAAAACTACCTTTACATAACATTCTACACAGAAATTGATGTAATTGTAAGAATTAAAATATAATTTGGTTGGGTCTAATAGAGTAAATCACCCAAAAAGTAAATAATAAAAAAAGAGTATCCCAAATTCCCAGGTTTGATATCAAATACAAAGATTGATTTAATAAAAAGGAATCTTGATACAAGTCAATTTCAATTGGTAAAAAAAACTGATCTCTTGGCTGGATTACTTGTAAAATCAATTAAATATAAAATAGAGTGAAAGAGAATCGAAAAGGAAGTAAGTTCTCTAAAAGAAATAAGAAATTGATAGCGAACAAAAGATAAAATTAAAAACATAATACAGTGCGTAAATGCTAAGAAACGATTACAGATTATTTGAGAAGATTTATAAATTGAAGTTGAATAAAAAAATATAAGGAGAATTGTTTTGGGCCCAACTTGTCAATTTAATTAGGTTTATTGCTCAACTTAAAGCTAAATTGATAGTAATAGAATTTATTAATATAATTAGTAATTTAAATGCAAGATGAGCATTAAGGCCAACGGAAGAATCAAAGCTTTGAGATGTGGATTAAATCTATTAATTAATATCAGGAAGTTTGGACCAACACCTGAAAGAAGATCATTTTGTAAAAGTTTATTAGCAATCCAAATGTTTACTGCCTAAATTCAATGTTTAAGAAAACGGAAAGCCCAAGCCATTGCCACTTCATTTATTAAGGAATGTATCTCTATCATCCATTTGGGACATAGATTACTCAAGACAAGACATTATGGTAATAATAACAAATCTATGTTTACTTAGTGATAGTCTTGCAGAACAAGTTCAGATTCTTTTAGAGATAGAAGAAAAAGTATTACGAGGAATTTTGGCAGTTGGTAATACGAAACTATAAGGAAGTTATACGGGGACTTACTCAGAGTCAAAGTAATCAAAAATAGAGGAGTAGAAGTTAAAAATAAATTTATGCTTTTCAAATAGATAATCAATTGATGCAATTCTAGATAGATAATTATTATTATAGGCAAAAGTAGATGTGGTTGGCATTTTTACGTCAAAAGATTCAAGATAAACAACTGACTCTTTATTTGAATGATAGAAAAAGCGATGAGATTAGAAAAGCCTTGATTAAGTTTCAAGAGCCTAAACTGTTCTAACTTCCGTAAATTAATGAAGTGGCTGAAATAATTGAGTTGTATGCAAAACATAAAAAAATGATTTGAGAATATGATGATATATTAAATATGATAAACTCAGATTAAATGAGATAATCAAGTTCCCAAAGACTTACCTTAAGCACTATGCAGAATCAAAGATTTTACTGTAACTAAAAATTAAAGACCCCCAATAAGGAATTTCTGAAAAGCAATCGAAGTTAACTTACACTTTCAGATTTCTAAGACAGTAAGTCTAGAGCGAATACATTATTTGAAAAAATAAAAGCGTAAAATACCAATATTCACAAATCAGAGAACAACCTTTTTTTTAAAGTTGAAGAAGCAATATTAGAATTGTATAATTAATATGAGCAAAATTATTAAGGACTTGGATCACTTGGCAGAATCAAGACAGTTTAAGAAAATTTGTCAGTGGAATTCAAAAAATAAAATAATTAACTAATCAAGACATTTGATGGGTTAAAGTTATCAGATTTGGATCAAAATGGAGTTAATCAAATCTAAATTGATAGATACTAATTTTATTATTTCAGGTTAAGAATATTAGAAAAACCCACGCCAATTCACATTCACTTATAATTGCCAGAATCATTATCATTCTTACTATTTAAATTGATGATATCGGTTAAAATTGAATTTCCAACTAAATTCAATGCAGATTAAATCGTTTAAAGTAATTATGCAAAAGTCTATTCAAGTAATCCTCAAGCGCATTACTTTAAAGAAGAATTTCTATATCTAACATTCTATTCTCATGTTGATTTTATTTTAAAGATTACTGTACATTTTGGTTAATTTAATAATGAAAAAACACCATCAAGAGGAAAGGAATCCAGATCACCCAAAATTATGATGGTTCATTCTGATGAAGGAAGAGCCACTAAAGGGTTTTCCCATGTCAAATCACATATCTATTAATCATCAATTGAAAGGGAAACAGAATCTAGTAGAGTTTAAACTGAAAATTCTGAAAAAAGGAAATTTATTAAAATACAACCACCTGTTTAATCTAAGTTAAGCACTCTACTAACAAAGATAGGCAAAGAATTTTAAGGACTTACAAAAGCTGAGAGAATAAAGAAGATCGAAGAACTTTAAATATAAAAAAGAAAGGAATTAGTAGAGGATTATCAACAGAAATAAAAAACATTCATGTATGAATTAGAAAAGAGAAAAGTTAAAATAGAACAACATTCTAAAATTAAAAAACAAAAAATTGAATTAGTATAACAAAATAAAAAGAACAATTATAGTGAACGATAGTAATCTAGAAGAGATAGATTGTTTCTATAGGAGTAAATATCTCAATTTAGGGAGATAGAGCGATCTCTTAGTATTCGAAAAGCCTATGCATATAAAGTATCATTAAGTTGGGGCAGAATAATAAAATATATCCTTTTTATTGATTCATTATTTAATATTATTAAAGTATGTGATGTATTCTAATTTTTAGGATAATAAGAAAAAGTCCAAGGTTTAAGCAAGAGGCAAATTATTGGTTTGGACTATTAAAACTAAAGCATTGATTTCAGCAAAAGAATATGGCTACACCACTAAGGAAAGAACAATTACAAAAAGTTGTATTGCTTTAAAAATGATCGCTATCAATTTAAAACACAAGATTAAACAACAGTCTCAAGCAATTTTGGCTAAGTATTTTACTTAAATGAGATTGGCAGTTACTATAGTTCATTAACATGATAAGACATTAAAAAAAAGTATCCTTGATTTAATATCTTTAAGTAATTTAGATCCAATAGAATTTTAGAACTTTAAAATAAAAGAAATTAACCTACAGAGATAAATTCTTGAAACTCATTAAAGACAATATTAATTAAACCATTGATGAGCTCTAAAGATAATATGGGAAAAAAACTTTTTATGATAATAATGATAAACCTGTATAGCAAATGGATACGTACTATAATGAAAATATTATTTAGCATTTGTGCAAACTAGTTGATTGATGAATATTCGAAGTAAAAAAAATAGATATGGTATGAATACATAAATAATAAATTCTTTGAAAAGGATTTCCATAAGGTATTAAATACTTAGTAATTAGAAAATGAAAGATTTTGCTATCAACTTGAAAGAACCCTAATTATATGAACTTCCTAAGAGAAAAGAGTTGATTTAAATAATTGAAAAATACGGTAAAATTAAAAAATTACTCTGATTATATATATATATAAATTATGATAAAAAGCAGATTACTTTAAAGAAGTTCTTCTAAACTAACACAATCTCAAACCTCTTTGATGAACCAATCAATGACTATGTAATCAATTATTTAATTTATGATGAAGGGTTAACAGTATTAGAAAGTAATCATCTAATTTTTCATTGGACAAACAAATTGAAGAGAATGGAACTGCAAAATTAATTAAAAGAATCACTTAAAAATAAACTCATAGAAGCATAGATGATATTTCAAGATTGCTACCTTTAAATATCAATAATGTTTATAATGATTTTGAAGATAATTTTAGAGTTATCAGTGAATTCAATAAAGTCAAATAAGAATTACCACAGCCAATTAAATAAGAAATTGTATAAATAAACAATTCTAATTTTCTAAAAACAGCAGATGGTCTAAATTTGTGCGATTTACATGCTGAGAAGCTAAATCGAATCTAAATTTATAGATTTAAATTTTATTATTTTAGAGCTAGAGTAAAAAATAAGCTAAGTCCATTATCAATATATTTTACATTTCCAAACCACTCACAAAATTAGATATACAAAGTGTTTTTATCAACCAGTGTAGAATTTCCAACAAAGTTTAATTGCGAACAATCTACATCGAGTAGATCAATCAAAATGAAAACTAAATCAGGTACCAAATTTTTTTTTGAGGATTATACTTTCATGACTTTATATGCTGAGTCAGATTTCATCATCAGTATTCATTTAGTGTTTGGAGAGTTACATAATTCAACTTTGAATGAGAAATAATAAGAACCTCAAAGACATTTCAAATATTGGGATGATAAATAGAGTGTATCACCTAAAAAAGATAAAATTCTATAAAACTTAGATCAATCTCGATATAAAAGTACTTATAAACTTAAAGAGTTTTTAAAGGGAGCAGGTATTAATCAAAATAATAAACTTAATAGAAGTGAGTGCCAAAAAGATGATTTCAGTAGTTGAAAAAGGAAAACAAATAGTAAAAGAGAAATAAGAAGAAAGAAGTATTAAAATGATGGTAAAATCCTAAATACAAGAATTTCGCAAAGTTGAAAAAAGCATTTTATAATAAAAACTCGAAAGGCAGAATTAATGCTAATGTTGGGAATAAATAATTTCTTTAATTAACATTGCTAGATTTGCTAATAATATTTTACATGTAATTATTCCTAAATAACATAGGAAAGGAAAAGATAACTTAGAATTTAGGCAAAAGCAAAGCTAATAGTATTAAGAATAAAAACTAAACTATTGATAGAAGTGTAATAATTCGGACATAATCCATTTGAAAGATGCACCAATAAATCTTTACTCCTATTAAAGACTATGAGTATCCATCTGTAAGAAAAATCTAAATTAAGAGCTTAAAGAATTACTACTGACTTTTTGAAAAAAACTTTAATCTTTTAAACTGCTGTAATAGCTCATACTAAAATGGCTTCAAAAGGTATGATATATTTAATGTAGTAAGAATGATTATTAAAGCCTTTAAAGCTAAAAAGTTTTAGAAACGCGCCTTTAAAGATAAATTTTGGAGACTAATTAAAAATTATTTTGGTCAAAACAATGAGACTTCGTTGTTTACTACTTCTTAAGTCAAAACAGTTTAAATTGATAAATCTGCCATGTCAAAAGTTATTGAATAATATATACACAACCGAAAATTATTATGGTTTAAGTCTTTTAAGGAAAGTAAGAGCTTAGACTCAAAATAAAATCACGTACCAGTAATACAAATATACTAATTACCAAATGATAAAGAATTTTCATAGATTATGAAGGATTACTATATATTAAAAAAATTGAATTGAAATGAAATTTTATATATATATATATATTTAAATTATTTTGATAAGAGATTAATAATACTAGGAGAAATTATAAGTGTATTTAGAAAATAAGCATCCTCAAATTTTTATCTTTATATATATTTTTGCTGATTTTTCTCCAAAAATTTGAATTTAACCTGCTTCAGGTTATTATCTCAATTCTTTTTAGGACTTTATAACTACTGGTTGTCCAATTTCAAAAATAATTACTTATTTAAACTGCTTCCTTTAAAATTCGGTATAGATTTTCATTTTGAATATATTTTTCTCTCTAATTTTTACCTCTTAGATATATGATAACATAGTCTCTGTACTTTAAGCCACAATCGGACTAGGAAAACAAAATGTTGAATTTTTCTAAGGCTTTTCACTATTCTAACAGTCTATAACTTTATAATTTATCGTAATCAGATTATTTTTATTGGTGTATCTGCCATTCTTTGAAAATAAGTAGAGGTTTTTTTCGTCATAGCTTGAGATATAAGGTTTGTAAGAGACCAAAATTGGATTGAACAAAATTTGTGTTAGAGGGTTTGCCTTTTCATTTGATTTGCCACATATTGAATGAACACTGTATGCTAATAATCGGTCAATTAGGACTATTATGAAATGATCATTTTTAACATTGACTGAGATTAGCTTTTGGAATTTTTGCTACCAACCTCCCTCTATGCATTCTTTTTAAATGCTGTCAATTTATAGTATAGAGGAATCTGAAATGTCTTAAGATAGTTTTTGTTAGATGAGATCTATAGATGCTTAATGAATTTCAATTTCATTATAGTCATTTAGCCTAGTAATAATAAACTTCTTTTCTTATTCATGGTAAATAACAACTTCAGAGAAATCAAAAATTTTAAGTTTCATATTATCACCCAATCTGTAGTTAGTGAAAAATTTAAAGTTGACAGATGAGGATGGTGTATAGGCTTTGTATGTCTTTGCTGCCACATCTATAATTTGAAATTTAATCATTAAATGAAATTTTCTTGAAAAAATGTAGTCAATGTGAAATAATTCTATTTAAAAAGTGCATTACTTGAATATCATATTCTCGTATCTAATGGACAGATTAGTTTTTTCAGTATGTTAATTAAGCTTAATATTTTAGGTTAAGTAAAAAGGATCTTATAAATTTGATAAAGATATTATTTGTAATTTTCTCTAAATTTCTAGAATAATTTATGCACATTTAAACATTAATCAATCATAATTTAATGTAACTTTGCAATTATCAGGGAATTAAATGTACTTTTTAAAAATCCAAAAAAAATGGTTTTCAAAAATGTTAAATTCAGCATTCTAGGAATGGGATGAGAGATTCAGCATTCTAGGAATGGGATGAGAGATTCAGCATTCTAGGAATGGGATGAGAGATGAAGTAGAAGTTTAAATATTCATATTTGATAGGGAAGCAAAAAGAATGAATGTGTTGTATAATCTTAACTTTTTTTTCTAAATATTTGATAAATTATTTCAATAAAATTTTTACAAAATATAAGAATTAATATTTTTTTTATAGTGAATGTAAATATGGATTTCAGGGATTGAATTTATTTTCTATTATAATTAATATAGTATGTAATTAATTTATTTTCTTGTTATATGTCACTATTAAAATATATATAAAATGAATCAAAAATTGATGAAATAACAAAATATTTAATTATTTTTAAGGCTAACCTTCTGAGATGATTGTTCTATTTTATGAAATTTATAAAATTGTACATATACATTGTACAAATAACTTAGCTTTTTATTAATTATTTAAGATTTTTAGTTCTAATGGGCGAAATCTTAATAATAATGGATTCATTTATCAATTTATGCGATATGTGAATATTTCAAGCAGAAATTATAAAAGAAATCAATTTATATTGTTTCTAATTTGATTTGTATTAATAAGAAAGAAAAGGCAATAATAAAATCATTATAACTAATCAATATTTCGTTTAAAATGTCTTTATTTGATTTAAATTCATTCTAAATTATTGATTATTTCTTGCCATCTTGCCTTCTATTAGCTTTATTACGCTTTAAGAAACTAAGCACTAAATTAATATAAATTTATATTTAATGAATAATATAATTTTATGCAACTCTTTATTTTGTGTCTATAAAATAAATAAATAAATAACGATAATAATCATTCCAGAATTTCTTAATTTTAGATACAAAATTTAATCAAAATAACTAAGAAAATTAAGAACTATCACATCTGATTCCATCAGATAGTTTTAAAAGCAAATCTTTTAATTTTATCTTTGTGATTGGTTTTTCAACACCAAAAGCTATTCCACAATCCTTGAATTATTCGACTATTTCTTATGTTAATTTATGACCAGAACATGCTATAATTGTAACATTTCTATCTAATTTGCGAATCCGAGTCGAAGCCTCTACACCAAGCATGAGTGGCATTTCCAAATCCATAAATATTAATTAAAAGGGGATGTTATCTTTCAATCTATCATTTACCTTCTCTATTGAGATAATCCCATTCATAGCAGAATCTGAACTGATTCCACTTAATTCTAATAAATATTATAATGCTACAATATTAAATTCATTATCATCAACAATTAGAATTGGAGGATGTTGCTATGTTAATTCATTCCATTTTTATAATAGATTTTGAATTAAACGACTTTGAATAGATGGTTTATTTGACAAATTTCTTTCTGACTCATTTCTAATCCTCAGAGTTGCCTAGTAATTTAATGAGCTAGTCATGAAATTTATAGCCTTTAGATTCTTTTTTTAAATAATTCTTTTGCTACTCTCTCCCATAGGAATGGCAATTGAAACTGTGGGTGATTTTTATTAGATTATGTTTTAAAGGATTCTAAATTCTAATGTTGGTATTCTCTAAGCTAATTTTTGAGATACCTATGAATCCGAAATGTCTTCAGGAGGTTGCTCTTCATTTTCGATTTCAAAATAAAATTTAGATCCAGTACCATATTCTGACTGAACCTAAATTCCCATTGAATGATTTGTAGACAGTAATTTGGCTAATTCATTACTAATCATTAGACCTAATCCTATTCCAAAGGGATTGGCTTTTTAATTTTCCAAATCATTCACTTTAGAGAATTCTTGAAAGAGCTTTTTCAGATTTTCTGACTTGATTCCCATTCCAGAATCCTAAACCGAAATAATAATTGAATTTGACTTTTCCCCGCTTTAAATACATTCTATTAAAATGGATCCTTTTGGTTAAGTATATTTGACAGCATTACTCAATAAATTCATTATGATTTATCTAATTCGTAGTTTATCTGAATTTATTTTGAGTGGCAACTTTGGGTCATAATTAAAAGTGATATTGAGTCCCTTTTTCTCTTTAAGTAAATCAAAGAGGGATATTGTTTTGTCTATTAACTTGGCTAGATTGAACTTACGACACACAATTCTTATGGTTTTATTTTCGATTTGAGCTGCATCCAAAATATCATTTATTAAATTTAAGAGTAGATGACACGAATTTAGAGAAGGTTTTAAGAATTTTTGAAAGAGGGAAGGGTCTATCAATTCTGACAAACACATTTGCATATTAATTATTGCATTCAAGGGATTTCTCATATCATGTGAAACTTTGTGTAGTGTTTTAATCATTGTTTAAACTTATTCCTTTTGTTGTTGTGATTACAGTTTGAATGACTCAATGTTGCATAACTTATGTTTGATGAGCAATATAAATTCTTGGTTTTCTATGAGTAATTTTTAAACACTCACTTAGTAAAGGGAAGTGTTTGTTGGCTCGAAAATTAATTTTTGATCTAATTTAAGAATTTTCTTTTTTAATTAATCAATTATATCGCCAATCAATAATGAAGGTCTTGTTGTGATATTTTCCAAGCAATTTGATTATCTCACAAGATTTGTTGTTTAATCTCTGGGTGTTAAAATTCTGCTTTAATAATGATCAGATATATTCATAACCTACTCTTTTATGATTGAATAAAATAATTTGGATTCATAAACTGGATTGTATTACATATCCAATATACAAAACTCCTCAGATGAAATTTAGGATAAAAGACTCTTTATGTTGATAAAGGATTGATTTCCTTTCTTTTTGTAAATTTGGAGAATCAAAAAGAAATTAACTACTGCTCTCAAAATTCCCACTGTAATTTCAGAAACATTTCCGAAGCAAATGCATGGAATACATGCTAAAAAGAAAAACAGTGTTGTTAATTTTAAATACTATTCGTTCAGTTGAATGATCAACACTATCTAAATCCCAGTATAAATTTACCATTAAGGCATTAGTAGATAAGACACTCCTATGATTACAACTCCTTTAATCAAACATATTAACAAGATTAAGTTAGATTTCTTTTAACACATGTACTCGAAACAAAGTATAATCAAATGAAAGCATGCTAAAGTTAGGCCGATAACCAAAAAGCTAAAGTCTTAAGTTACGTAAGTCTACATATGTACTATTAAGCCATCTATTATCAAAAAGAACTAAAGAATTCTTTCTTTGTTTAATGCTTTACAAAGAGCAAGCATAATATATATTTAAATTACAATTAAGAATATATTTTTGTGAATTGATTTTTTTAATCAAGTTGGTATCCAGATAATTAAATCTTATGATAATATTTTTTAATTCATTTATTTATTTTTCAACTTAATTGTTGATATCAATTAATGTAGTGGAAAGTTGGATTTAAAAAAAAATAATATTTCTTTTTCTATAAGTTATGCAAAAATTTTCAAAATCCTATTATGGGTACAAACAATATCAAAAAGAAAGGATAAAAAATATTAGAAGACTAATAGAGCAAATCTTAGATTAAATCGATTGATCCAAATTAATAATTATTACATTTCGTTATTTATCCTTAAATAGGAACAAATAACATTGAAGATATGAAACATAGTGATTCATATTTTGATCATGAAACCTATTATGGCGAATAACTAATTTATTTAAAATTAATTTATTTATAAACATACTCAAATTAATATTATTTTAACTATTCAGATTTCAATAAAGTGATATTACATTTTTATTTTCAATTTTAGCATTCATTATATATACACCTTGAATGCTAGAATTAAAATTTATATACAATATAATACTATGCATATATCAACAATCAATTCTTCTTTGTTTACCTTTTTTCTATAAATCTATTCAACTTCTAAAAGAATTTGTCTTGCTCATAATAAAATTCTCGTTGAGATTAACAGCGTATATCCATAATTTAAATGAACTTATCCAACTTACCAACCAAAAATGCATTAATATATATTTTCAATTTTTTTAAAGTCCAATTTATATCTGTAATGGTCTTGGTATCAGAAAATACATTCACAACAATTAATTACACCTAAATTAATACTATGAAACATACTTATTAAAACTATTTAATATTTTCTTCAATTTAATGCAATTGTTGTAAACCACCTTTAAATAATATCGGAATAGCCAATACTATGAATTGAGTGTTCTATTTTACTTTAAAATTGCTTGATAGAATTTCATCAAGATGAACACATTACAATTAATCTATTTCATATTTATCTTACTGTATGTATTTTTCAAGCATAAGTAAAGTTATCTTAAAGCACTACTTTATTATTTTATATATCTATTTTTCATTGACTAATTTACCAGCTACCAAATTTTATGTAATATAAAGAAGATCTGGTTTTATATTTTCTTCAGGAAAGAATAATTATTTAAAGGTTGCATTTGGATTTGAAAAGTCTACTTTTGTTCTATTTCTCATAAACCCATCAATTGAATATAATAGATCGCCAAAATAGATGAGAGTATTTAATTTTTCTCTAAGCAATCCGTTTTACTTTGCCATGTTTTTCAAATGGTTTACTATGAATGCAACAGAAACATGATTTGATCTGTGGCCAGGTATAATCAAGTCTGCTTAACTCATCAAAGGTTCAATGAAATTCTCAAACGCTCTTTTCACAAATTAAGTATACTAAAAAAGCACATTTTCTACAGTTCTTCCTCTTTCTTTTACATCTCTTAGAATACGACGGCATAAACGAATATCATCTTGAGTTATTATTAGTAAATACCATCACAATGAATAAATATTTTATAAGACATTAAGTCTCTTATTCGTTCATCATAAAGTGCCATAATACCCTCAAAGACTATAACTTGAGCAGGAAGCATTATCGAACATTGATCTAATCTTTTATGATTAACAAAACAATAAATTGGTACTGAAGCAGGTCTTCCTGACAATAATGTGGAAATCACTTCATAGGCATTATCAAAATCCAATGAGTCTGGATGATCAAAGTTATATTAAGATATGTCAAATAATGATTTATCTACACCTTTATAAAAGGAATCACAAGAAAGAATAGTCATATCAACATCAGAATTGTATTGGATTTCCCTTTTGATTGTTTCACAAAGAGTAGTTTTACCAGCGGCTGATCCTCCTGTAACACCTACAAGAATACGTTGAGGTTCGTACTCAGAACTCTTCATTTAATAAGAACACTACTTTTCTTTAAACGATGGCCGATTTCATTTGGTGAGATTCATTATTCATAATTAAATTTTTAATTGAATTTATGTTACTAATTAGGAATCTCTAGATAAAAATATCATAAGAATAATTAAAACCAAACAAAAATATTTATATTAGTTGCATTTAAAGATACGATAATCAAATTAATAACATTTAGAAATATCAAAAGACTTTTTCATAAATATAATAAGATAATGAAGACTATCAAAGATGTTGCAATTATATAATAAATTTAATACTTAGTTTCAATAATTAATAAAAAAGTATAACATTTGTTAACGATATAAAATTAGAATTAAGTCTAATAAATTGAAATGAATTAAATCAATTAGGGTAGTGTTCTTTTTAGAATAAAATTTCAATTTACCTTAATATGTGACTAGGTATGGATCTTTATTTAATCGAATTCTCTTCAATTAATTATTATAAGCTTTTATTTTCATCTTGATTAATCGCATCATAGAATTCAATAGGAGTCTTCCAAACACATGCTATAGCTTTGGCAGACTCTAATCCTACTCCATGTATGCCTCTAAGCATACTTCCCCATAAATTAAAAAGTGACTCTGCCTTCTTTGAATTATTGTACATAAATTCTGAAAACTTGATTGCATTAGGCAATACTTTAACAGTTTTAGTAAATAAAGCTAGCCATCTTAAGGAATCTTCTAATGTTTCTGTTTGTTAAATAAAAAACCCATCCTTAATCTAAGTATTCCTAATTGCTTTGTCAATAGTAGCTCTTGGTACTGGCAAATTGGAGGATGAGGAATTTTCAACTAAATAAAATCTATTATTAATTCCACAATGCTTCAATTTGTGTTTTTAAGCCTAGTATCTTTTGTCAAGAATACTGTGAGCTAAATCTTGAATGGTTTTTCTTTCAATTATATAATCACATATGTATTCATCATCTCCTTTTTAGCATATCCACATAAAATCTCCAATGGGTAATTGACTTAATCTGCACTCTATTTAGTATATGTTAGTAAGCTTTTCAAAGATTATCTACCTGTTGTTACTCTAAAATCTCTCTCGATTATCAATCAATAATATAATCTTAGATGGTCTTTCTGAGGGTACAGTCATTTATTGTTAGATCATAGTTTCTGTAAAATATTGCTATCCTAATTTAATGCCATCCTCAGTTAAAGCATATTTAATTTCGTTGTCTAGGACAGTTCTGATTAATGTTATCTATTTACTTTTAAATTAATTGATGCTTCTCTAATGTCTCAATAGCATTCCAACTCGATAATTCAGTGTTACAAATACTAAATAAATAATAAATATACTCTCTTAATTGTTCTTTTATTTATTTTTTTGAAGCAAAAAGTTTATTCTCACTTTTTTAAAACTTATACAAACTCATTAACACTTATCCACTTTTAGAACCCTTTCCAGGTTGATATTGTCTCTTGCTTTTTGATTGTATCTCTGGTATGGGTTTGATGACTTATTTTCGAAGTTCTTCAATGAATGATGCCTAAAATTGTTTATCCTTCCTTTTTGAAGTGTCATCATTATATACCATTGAGGGTGGACAACTTTCTGAATAAATCTAATCCACATCATCCTCTTGCTCGTTAATTACGTCTAAATTATCTTATATTAGAGCTTCATTAAATTTATGGAAAGGGATCTCATATTGTTGATATTGCTTTTTAATCAACTGCAAAATCATAACAGATGTTTTATCTCCTACACCTTATAGCATTTACACTTAGTCTTCACATAATAGAGGCATAGGATATTTTTGAAGTGATTGTATGATCTTTTAATAAATGAAAGCTAATTTATCTTAACCTGTTCTAAGGCATCTATTCTTCAATTCAACTATGTGATCAAGAATAAATTAATTATGAGGATTTTTAGATTTAATCAATTGTTTAGGCATCTTTGTATGTAAATTTGTATTTTAAATTAATTTCAATTAGAGGGTTATTAATAATTCTTTAAAAAAAATGCAAACATATTTCTTAATATTAATAGAAATAGTAGTGTGTGGGATTATCGACTGCATTTATATCTATGATTTTAAGTATCTCTAAATAACTAAACATAAAAAAAAAGCTTCAAGAGTAAAATATGAATTTATTTTTCAATCCTTTCATAAAAATTGAAATAACATTACTCAATTAATCAAGATCCTTCTTTTGTATAATTTTGATAAAATCGATTTCGTATTTCACTTTAGATTTTTCACTATAAACTATTTTTATAATTATATTTCTTGTATTATTCAATAAAATCAATTTAGTAAAATCTCCTGAGGAATTGTATCACTGAAAAAGTAGTACTATTGTAAGGAAAACGAGGTTTGAAATATCCAATTATAAAAAAATGGTTAAATTATTATAATATATTTTCTTTTATTAATAAATAGATTGTCAAATTTAAATTATAAAATCTGAATTATTACTCAAATATTAAAATTTAAATGCTTTCTATTTTTCTTGTTTAATTGACGATAGTTCGTACGATGTATACATATGTTGCGAAGAATGATGGTAATCTTGATGGTATTGAAGTGAATAACATCGTTAGGTTGGCTAATTTATAATTCACAATCTCCATTCACAACGAGCTGCGGAGGTATAGCTATGTTAGGTGGAATAAACTCATTTAATGAAAATACCGTCATTAAGAGAATATTTAGCAACTTGAAACCACATTATTAGCTGAGATTAGAGTTCAGGATTTGGATGTAAATTAATAATTTATCAATAGTATAGATTCATCCTCAATTACGGATATAGAAGTTTAATTGGATCAAGAGGATTATGCAGAATCTGTAGTTTCATTTGTTATAGAAGAATCAAATTATTGTGGATTGTCCAATAAAAATGAAAATATTAAATAGGTTTCATTTGCATTAGAACATAATTTTGTTTAAGCAACAGTATTTGCTAAATTTAAATTTCATGATGATAATCGAGTAATTAATTAAAATATGTTAGATATAATGGGGAATGCAATATATGCTATTAAGTTTAGATTTTTGTTCATCCTAATGTTTGTATTGCACTGGCCCTTTAGAATCTGATTGCTAGACATGGAGCAATATATTTTACTAATTTTCTCTTGATTTATTCTCTAATCGAATTATTTTCGATAGCTAACTTATTGAGTTTAGTTATTATTATGAATGCTAAAAATGTGATTTAATACTCAATTTAGATTTAGTTCAAACNTTAAAAAAAATGCAAACATATTTCTTAATATTAATAGAAATAGTAGTGTGTGGGATTATCGACTGCATTTATATCTATGATTTTAAGTATCTCTAAATAACTAAACATAAAAAAAAAGCTTCAAGAGTAAAATATGAATTTATTTTTCAATCCTTTCATAAAAATTGAAATAACATTACTCAATTAATCAAGATCCTTCTTTTGTATAATTTTGATAAAATCGATTTCGTATTTCACTTTAGATTTTTCACTATAAACTATTTTTATAATTATATTTCTTGTATTATTCAATAAAATCAATTTAGTAAAATCTCCTGAGGAATTGTATCACTGAAAAAGTAGTACTATTGTAAGGAAAACGAGGTTTGAAATATCCAATTATAAAAAAATGGTTAAATTATTATAATATATTTTCTTTTATTAATAAATAGATTGTCAAATTTAAATTATAAAATCTGAATTATTACTCAAATATTAAAATTTAAATGCTTTCTATTTTTCTTGTTTAATTGACGATAGTTCGTACGATGTATACATATGTTGCGAAGAATGATGGTAATCTTGATGGTATTGAAGTGAATAACATCGTTAGGTTGGCTAATTTATAATTCACAATCTCCATTCACAACGAGCTGCGGAGGTATAGCTATGTTAGGTGGAATAAACTCATTTAATGAAAATACCGTCATTAAGAGAATATTTAGCAACTTGAAACCACATTATTAGCTGAGATTAGAGTTCAGGATTTGGATGTAAATTAATAATTTATCAATAGTATAGATTCATCCTCAATTACGGATATAGAAGTTTAATTGGATCAAGAGGATTATGCAGAATCTGTAGTTTCATTTGTTATAGAAGAATCAAATTATTGTGGATTGTCCAATAAAAATGAAAATATTAAATAGGTTTCATTTGCATTAGAACATAATTTTGTTTAAGCAACAGTATTTGCTAAATTTAAATTTCATGATGATAATCGAGTAATTAATTAAAATATGTTAGATATAATGGGGAATGCAATATATGCTATTAAGTTTAGATTTTTGTTCATCCTAATGTTTGTATTGCACTGGCCCTTTAGAATCTGATTGCTAGACATGGAGCAATATATTTTACTAATTTTCTCTTGATTTATTCTCTAATCGAATTATTTTCGATAGCTAACTTATTGAGTTTAGTTATTATTATGAATGCTAAAAATGTGATTTAATACTCAATTTAGATTTAGTTCAAACAACCACAACCACTCCAATTTTAAAGTAATCTAAAATCTTTATCCAATAGGTAAAATTTCGCAATTAATGATGAGATAGTTCTTAAATTATACAATAATGGAACATTTATAATTCTTTTGATTCAGCAATATGGATTAGCAGAATTCAATCTAAGACTATATTCAAGGTGGGAGGTAGGTGTTATATAGACACTAATTTAATACTAAGTAAGCTATCATTTATAGGAATTTTTTTTTCCATTTATACCTGGTTGTTAAGATTATTTTTATAAGGAGTGTGTCTAATGTCTGCAAGGATGGGAACTTAATATAATGGAATAAGTATGCTACCCTAGTTGTGGAAATAACTACATTGAAGGATATGAAGAATGTGATGATGGTAATTTTATTCCATATGATGGATGTTTTGAATGCAAATATTAATGCATTTAATATTGCGAAGAATGTAACTATGGAATTTGTGAAAAATGTGAATTTGGATTTACTTATGATGAAGAGAGGAAAATATGTTTGAATGAATGTGGCCAATTTTGTTTAATTTGTTTTAATTTAAATTGTACTTTATGTTAAAAGGGATTTTATTAGAGGAATGGTGCGTGCAATCCTATATGTGGGGATAAAATAGTTTTACAAGATATAGAAGAATGTGATGACGGCAATAATAAAAATAACGAATGTCATGGATGTAAATTAGTTTGCGAAGAAGGATGCGACATTTGTGAAAAAGGTATATGCTAATTGAATTGTCTAACAACTTTTGGAATTGGATTTTATTATATAGATGAAAATTGCAAATCAGTATGTGGTGATTCTATAGTGACAGTGGTTGAAGAATGTGATGATGGTAATGATATTGAATTCGATGGTTGTTTTAAGTGTAATTATTCTTGTGAATAAAATTGTTTGGATTGTCAAAATGGTAGGTGCTTAAAATTTCAAAGTGATTGTGGTGATGCTAAATTACAAGAGCAAGAAGAGTGTGATGATGGAAATAAAGATACACTCGATGGGTGTTTTAACTGTGCCGTAGAACCTGGTTGGAAATGCATTTAAATATAACAAAATACTTTTTGCAATAGTATTAACCCTCCCTAATTTATTTCTAAGTTCTTATCAATTTAAAATAACAAATAATTAGTTCTTTTCCAATTTTCACAAGAAATAAAAGTCGTCAAGGGATGTAATTTAACTGAATCTATGGTCTTAAACATCCTTAATATCTCAAATACTCAATATATATTGACATGGATTGAGAAAAAAGAGCCTTTAGAAGAAAAGGTTTAAGAATCTTATTATATAATATAAATTGAAATTAATACCTAAACTTAATCTAAACCAGTCTTAAGTATAGATTTAAATGCTACTATTCTTAATAATGATAATGAAGAGATGCAAAAATTGTAATATGAATTACAACTGGAGGTTTCATAATATTTATCACCAAAATAAAAACAATAAAGTAATCAGATCAAAGATTTAAATTCCTATTTTATTTATGGTCAAATAGCCATTGGAGTTTTCTTTTTCATCATAGGATAACCAGATATACTTTTATAAATGTTGGATATTCTACAATATTTTTCATATCTTAGATACATGGCAGTTTCTTTTCCATTAAATTTAGAGATTTTCTTTTAAATAAGCGATCAAATATCTTTTTCACTAATTTATCAATTCATCAATTTTGAAGAAATTATAAATTAAATTATGCCTCAAAATTATATGAGTCCCTAATTTGGTAAATTCTTATTATATGATTAAAATGCAGACTTGCTATCAAACATTATCCCTTAAATGATTTAATGTTTGATGTTTTTACTATATATTATATTTAGGAGTTTACTTTACAGAATTCTTTATTGGATTATGATGAATATAAAATTTTTTATCTGCTTGACTTTTTTGAAATTTAAATTCAATAGCAGATCTATGATGAAAACATATTAATAATTACGCAAATTAAGCAGATAATTGATTAAAGTTCGATAATATTTTAATAGTTAATAGATAACCAATTTCATGATTATTAATGGTTGGGATCTAATTTTTAAGAGTTTTCTTTACTTAAGATCATTTGAAAATTATTCAAACAGAAACCTTATTTCACTTGCTCTTGCTAGTTTCATTTTAGCTATTTATGGATGTATAATACTTAACTTACTGAGCATAAGAAGTTCAATTTTGATGAGAACTCAAAAGAACTAATATCTTGGAGAACGATTTGAAGCTTTTGATTTAATTAAGTAGATTGTTCTGCTATATGCGTTTATTTTTATTTATAAGTCTGAAATTATCTAAATAGCAATTTTGATAGCTAATTGTTTGATATAAATAGCAATAATTTTAAATAGTAGAAGCCATATGTAATTACAAAATTTTATTTCAATAATTTTGTAAGAAGGATCAATATTCTTATTTATACTCATTTCCTTAGTTTATACAAAAGATTTTACTATTTATTTATCAGTTGAAAATAAATTTATTATCGGATGGATTCACATATTCCTTTTATCATTTATTCTAGCACTACCAATTATAGAATGTTTTAAAGATCTCTTCTACTGGATTTATAAGAAAACATCAACTAATGAGAGAACAAAGCACATACTCCACCAAATTTTCTTGAATTGAATTGTTGCATAATTTGTTTTGCTGATTAATAATTTTAAAAGATTGAGTATAAATATCATTAACTTTTCACATAATTTAAAGTTTCATGAAATGCTCTTTTTTTGATCAGTAATAGAACTATAAAATATTTTGTGTTTTTAAATTCATCTTATTTTATAGAAATTAAAAGACATAAAATAATTGATATCTAACTTGTTTTTGCTAAATAGGCATCTAAATTATTAAATTTATTAAGCTATTAGGCTAATATATTTTATTGAGTTCTATGTACAGGAAAACGATTATCAATACACGAATACCAATTAAGCTATATTTTCCTTAAAATAAATAAAAAAATGATAATAGATTTCTTGTCTAAGATTTTAACAATTTCTCAAAAATAGGCAGATTAAATACAATTTTCGATAAATATATTAATAGTATTAGAAACATCTAATTATTATTAATTTTTAAAGAAACATTATTTAGTTTATTGGTATTTAATAGAATGTTTAAATATTTTGATTCAAATTAATTTTTAAGCGAGCATAATTAAGATTCTTAAAATTTATAATGTGGATTGCTAGAAATAGACTGAAAATGTTCTTTTAAAATTCTGAAATAAAATTTTAATATTTGTCTTAAAATATTTATAAAATTAATTATAAACATATATGAGCTTCGGGTATAAAATTTGATATAGCAAGTAGTGTGTACTCATAATTTTAAACATTTGGTTAATCTCAGGAATTGGAAAACATTTTAAAAAATAATAACCCCACCTTGGAAGAGTTGTTGGAGAGAGACAATTTCCTATTTGACATCAAAGCTGGAGCTATGAATGCTTTTACTGAATTGTATTAAAGAGTATTGATATAAGCGTTTGGAGACAACCTGAGAATTTAGAAAAGATGATTCACTATATAATTGTCACAAATGAGCAGATGGAAGATAATGAGAAAAGTCGAAAATTTCCATATATAATAAGCGGGATCTTCGCTTTAGAAAACACGAGATTGTTCGATTTGTTATTCTTGAGACATCGAAACGAATCCTAATCCTCATTATTGAGCAATGAAAGATTGGTTTTAATTGGAATCTAAATTAGACTACTATCGAAGATGATATATTGCCAGAATATTAGATGCACCACGAAGATCAATGCAAAGAGGAAGAAGACTTTAATGGGGGAGGGATATCTGGAACCTCAAGTCAGTATATGTCAATAATCATAGTCTAGTGTGCATCCTTCAAATCCAAGTCAGGAATGCATCTGAATGAGAATGTGAGATTGAACATCTTAAATGCATTTTTCAAATACCTAGAGTCTCCCAACATTAATGATACATCGATGGGGTATTATGCTTAGATTTTAAAACCTGTAGCTAGTAAATATGGAGGAGAAGTAATACTCAATACTACATCTTTTTAGTTTTGGGATCACATCGTTGTCAACAGCAACATCATAAGTGATTTGCTCCAGCACATCAACCATTATTAAATTGTAGAAATTGTGGTTAAACTATTAATTTTAGATTACAAAATTAATGATAATATATACATCAACCAAAAATGTTATGTATTCATTAAACATAAGCATAGAAGAATTATAGAAAACAGCTTTTGGAAGAGATGATACACCAAATGGATAAGTTTTCCGATAATATTACAGTAAAGATTATACAATTATCCCTCATAGATGGTCGCAGACATCACTCAAATATTTGATTTGCTTTTGGAATAAGGAATTCAATAAAAGTTGTACGAGTCTTTGAGAGAACTCTTTGACAATGTTCTAAAACCATATTACTTCTTTAAAATAGCTGTAACTACAATAAATATCAATAGAAAAAAACCGGAGTGCTCACTGTTTATAAGGTGTTCTCCAAAATCCTATTATTTATTTAAGTAAACTCCTTACAAGGTAATTAAATCATCATGTATTTAGACTAGAAGACTTCTGATTTACTGCAAATAATCTAATAAATCAACCCCCTCATTGTCTCAAACTTTTAGGATTAAGAAACCTTTGGACTCAAGAACTTGTGTCTTGTCCAAGCTCTCGATGTTTGCGATAAGTAATCAAATTCAATAGACTAGATTAAATAACCCACTCTTATTTGAGTCAATGTTTTAAGCTCAATTATATCAGAGTTTAATAGAGTATGCCATTAAGTATCAATGGAACAATTAACTCCAAATCTATGTGACATCAATCATAAAATCAAGAATCCAAGATGAAAAATATTGTCAAAGAATTCTAAAGGAAACTGACATCTTGAATCAAATCAAAAAGAACTTAATTGATCAACCAACCAATTCTGGCTTTAAATCCAAATGCAGCCACGGATATAATGGATTTTTAAAAACTGTAGGTTACAAGATACTGTAAAAGCAAGCAACGAGCAAAAAGATTAATTCGTTATTATAGGAATGTAATAATCAATATGATAATTAGAGCATGGTTAGATTATTGAGGCTTTGTAAAGGTTATAAAAGATTGAACAGACTTATTTATGTGATGTCGATCCAAAAACACACATGTAAGAGGCTCCACCGGAAATCAGTATTGATAGATAAATTGAGATGCTAATAGATTCCCAAAAAGAAAAAGAAGATCAACTCACCAAATTAGAGTAATAATGAAATTATTGATTAAAAAAAAATCATAGAACTCCAACTATAATCACAATTATCATAATCCAAATGAATGATATGAGGAGATTGTTTCTTTTTTTTGTTTTAATCAGTGTCATAAATTCAAGAAAGTCAAAGAAGAAAGTATATGAAAAACAGATTTCTAAATTAGGTTTAAAGGCAATCCAATTTTAAATATAAATAAATTAATTCAGATATGTTTTTGAGGAATAGATTTCATTCTCTTCGTAAATTGGCTTAATTTTGCACAGCTGAGAGTGTCTCAGGAAAGAAATCCCCTGCAACATCAACCTAATAAACTAAAGTTGAAAGAAACTTCTAATTACAATTCTCCAAGTCAGCATTAGTGGATTTTGGAGAATTACCAACAGGCGAAATTCCTGAAGCCTTAAAATATGACAGACCATAAGGTATGTATTAAATATCATTACATTAGCCTTAACTTAATTGGACACTGGTCTTAGAGTAGTCTCAGAATAATACAATTCCCCATTAGCTTCAATTACAGTGGCTGTGAAGGCAGGATCAAGATTTGAAACATTAGAAAGCTCAGGTGTTTCGAATTTCATCTCAAAATTAAATCTAAGAGTATGATTAAAATATTTAGATTAGGGCACAACAACTAAATCAAGAGAATAGGTTGAAGCCGAAATTGATTACTTGGGAGGAGCATTGAAAGTTAAATAAGGAAGGGAATTATAGACCTACACTCTCACCTTTTTACCATCAGAACTCGAGAGAGCAGTAAGCTTTTTAGGAGACATTTTGACAAATTCATTATATTCACCAGCTTAAATTGAAGCAGAAAGAGAAGGAATCTACAGAGAATCAGTTAGCATCAATGATTAATACAGAGTTGTAGCTGAAGCTGCTCATTATACAAATTATAGAGATCACTATTTGGGTTAACCAACAGCAGGAATCAGAGATAACATTCCAAATGTTACTGAAGAATAAATAAGATAATTCCACAAAGCCAATTTTGTTGCACCCAATGTAGTTGTCTCAGCTGCTGGTAATGTTAATCATGAAGATTTGGTTTCTGCAGTCAACAAGGCATTCAAGGGATTGGGTACATCTGTTCCAACTGAAGTACCAAATTCAGAAAAGCCATATGCCACCCCATCCATTATGGTATTAACATTTTATTAATAGTATAGTTAATGAAAGATGATGAATTAACTAATTTGAATGTTGGTGTCTTCTTTGATGCTCCAGGATGGAATCACCCTGATGTTTTTGCTCTCCATTATTTCTAAAGACTTATTGGTGATTATAGAGCTGACAAACACACAGGATTCCATTTGAATGCTCCAAGCAGATAATATAACACTATGCATTCACTTCTCGGTGGATTACCAGATGTTACATATTAAAGATGCGTTTATTATGCATATTCAGACACAGGTCTTTTTGGAAATTATTTGATTGGTAATGAAGTCTTTGCAACCTAAATGGCATATGTCAGTCAAATGGTTCTATCTGATTATGCTTCATCTGTAGGATAAGTTGAAGTTTTCAGAGCTAGAGCTAAAGTGTTTAATGAATTATTGAGTTAAGAAAGTTCAGCCAAATAATCAAGAGAAATTGCTTAATAAGTTTTGTATCAATATTCCAGTAAGATTTAGCTATTGGGGAAGAAGAGTGCCAAGAAGTGAATTTGCTAGAAGAATCTCTGCTCTTGATGCTGGTCATTTGACTAGAGTTGCTACAAGACACTTCTGGGATAAGGTAATCATACTGTTTAAATAAAAAATAGGATATTTCTGTTGTCGTATGGGGACCAACTCACTTGTTAGATGCTGTTGCTCATTACAATAGATCATGGAAGAGAAGCACATTAGGTGGGTATGCATAGCCATACTATGAGGGTTGATTCATTAAATAATAAATATAAAGTTTATTCAATTATTTTTAACTCTTGTTTTCTCTTTGTAACTTATTCTAAAAAGTTGTATTGGGTTTTTAAAATAACTATTAATTTATGAGGGGATCTATACTTTTCAATAGAAGCCTTTTTTAAGCTGCTACATTTATCCTCGAGACAAGGACTTTCATCTTCATTCATTTGATTTTAGCTCTTCTCAGTAAAATCCATAATGGATGGATTATTCATCAATTCAAATTGCAATTCTACGATAGAGTTATAACAATTAGGTTTGACATCCAAACTTAATTTATGTGTAACTCTAATCTTATTTTGTGCAGAAGTACTTCTTTCTGCTTATTTTGGAGTATTGAGTTCATTATGAAATGATCCAAATCTCACATTTCTTTGATATGCAATCATACAACTGACTTCTGGTTGAATGTCACTGTATTGTTGATTTGACTCATTAAATGAACTTGTGCTTTTGTGCCTTAAATTTTATCTGCTATCACAAGGTACAAGATTATAAGAGTTGTTAGCTATTGACAATCTCCCATTAGACTCTCTCTTTGATGGTCCAGTATCATCAAATTCTTCGCTCTACTTTTTCTTCATTGGGGAGTAGACTTAGGATATCAAATGTGGTTGATCCATAATTTTAATAGATTACTGCTTTTTCGGAGAAACTGAACTAGATTTTTTCTCTTAGTTTTTTTCATCTAACCAATCAAATCTATACTCAACCTATTATTAGATGGCCACTCTTCGAAACAGTTATTGGAAATATCTAATAATTTATTAAATAATTGCATTACTTATAGCCTGGTTTCTCTCTATAACTCATCTTTTTCACTAAGTCTATAAATCTCATAAATTCAATAGGCAGATCTTAGCATAATTCTTGAGAAGAAATCCTCATTTTCATTAAACCAACTATTTTAACCTTTTCTTCTTCATTTTTATGACTAACATTTTACCACGGCAAACTTCCCTTCAATAAAAATCTCTTTATTGTATCAATATTACATTAACATATAACCTAGTGATTCCAGATCATCTTTTCTTGATAATTCATGTCCTTTATGAGCTGCTATACTTGCATATCTTGAAGTCCCAAAGAATGGCTTGTTATCTTTGAATGGACTAAGGTTAAATTACTTTTATACATATGTTTATCATCTTTATCTTTAAATTATTTTGCAATCCCAAAGTCGACCAAATATAATTAGTTTTTCTCTTTATCCTTTCCCACCAATACATTTTCTGGCTTCAAATCTCTGTGAATCACACCCCTGGATTTGATAGAAAATTTACTTATGGTGAACGTTTTCGAGTATTGTCAGTAACTAATCTGCGATACCCAAAACACAAGGCAAACTAAGTCTTTTTCTCTATCTCATATAATGTGTTAGATCTCTACCCAAAAGCTGAATTACCATCACATTATTTCCCTAGTCTTTTCCAGCCCATTTGAGTCTAGGAACTTAGGGCACTCCTTAAACTGATCTCAGTATTTAAATCTACATCAATAACTATTACTCAACCTCTCTATCTAAACTTAATAATTCATCCACCTCTAACTTTTCAACCTTAATTGCCACAAGCTCTTATGAGTGTAAATCAAATCCCTGGTACACTACACCGAATGAACCTGAAGAAATCCTTTTTTTTACAACAAATTAATTATTGAAGATCTTTTATTGTAATCCAGCCATTTAATTTAATATTTATTATTACTCAACTTTCTCATTAATATCAATCCAAATAAGTTAGGATTTGATTATGAATTTTCCCCTTATAGTAATAAAAAATATAAAATAATTATGTACATAGATCCAAAGGAATTAATCTAATACAAACCCCTAAAAGGTTGAAAATAATAAATAAACATAGTTAAATTATCCTTAATCAAACATTTATAAGTTTATTGATAAATAACAATAATACCAGAAATTGTAAATATTGTCTAGAAAAATAACGATTAGGGATTAAATTTTTAATCTTAACTTAATATATTAAAACCATCCGATTTAAAGACTATACTATTAATTTCTTAATTTCAATTTAAGTCACAAAATGAGATAACGATGAGTATTAAGTTTTGTCAAATGCTCTCTGGGGAGTAATACAACTAAGTTTGGATCTCAACTTCTAAATAAAATACACTACTTATGCTGGATTATCATTTTGAGCAACAAAAGCCAATAACTGGGAGATTAAGAAATGTAAAATTTATAAGGGATTGGTGTTATAAAAAGTGCTAAAATAAAATAAAGAAAATTTTAATTAGTTATAAATATTTAATTAAAATTATTATTAGAAATGCTACAAGGTGATGTACTATCTGAAGTTTAGCTTGCAATCCCTTGCATTCAGCTTAAATCATCGTCTGTTAGATTGACGACCAATATGTAAAAGTGCGAGATTGATTGCTTGGCGTCTTATGAACTCACAATTGGATTTTCTGATTCAAAGGATAAATAGGTTGACCTTAATTAAACAATGGAATTCATTCTATATGGACGTCAATATGAAATAAAGAATATCACTTACATTCCTTCTGTGAAATACCCTTAAGTAATCAAGTTGGTGAAGTAATAATTTAATTCAAACGAAAAATAATCTAATCTCTTGAAATCATAGAAGCCTTTTAAATCGCCATGCTCTTATATGACGATGAATGCTCTTCTGAACAAAATTTAGGATGATTGTTAATAAATTACTCTATTATTTCAATTTGCTCCAGAGAAATTGGAAAGTTGTGATTATGACTATATTAAATCACTCGAAGACTAGATTGTATTTAAATTGCAGATAAGCTATGTAATATCGAGACCTATATCTGGTTTGAGATTTATCAATAATTTGGACAATAAATTTTTGATCACAGAAAAAGGGTTGCATAATTCGAGGAACTGGATTCCAACTCCTCATCATAAATAATAACGTAGACTATATGATTTATATAAATAGGATATCCTCCATATTGTCATGAGGAAAAGGACTTGTTGCATTATTCTAAGATCATAATCACAGTGCCATCCTCCTATTACGTTGTGGCTTCTGGAAAATTGTAAGAAATAGTGGAGATTGATGGGAATGATTTAGTTGGATATGTGTTTAATGTAGATGAATTCATAAACCCTGATGATTTGGGAATATTCATAGGAGAGTTCTAACATCATTATGCAAATCATGACGAATTCCGATTAAATATTTTCCATATGAATGAAAACAAATCCTACTTATTTGAATCTGAAACTGCTAGGAAGATATTCGAGTCAGTTGATCGATTTTGGTTTAGAGATGCTCTACTTTAAAAAGCCAGGACTATATTATCCATAGGATCTGGAGTTGAGTTTTTTAGATCTTTGAATGTGCTCATCTTGCCTAATGTACAAAAACATGGATATCTTTCCTTTTACCCCTTTCGCAATATTTTAGTATTCGATGAATCTCAACTTCCTGAGTCTTTACCTTGCAAACATACTTAAGATGAATTCTATAGATGTCTAAATCTTTAGTTGAATGCTCTGTCTCTCAAATTTTTCTTGGCTCCCTCAGTTAAATTGTCAGATAGATGGATTGAACTTGGTTTCACATTCTAATCTACTTGGACTGAGGATTATGCATAATTGCATTAAAAGTTATTAGAATAAATTAAAAATGGTCAGGATGTTAAATTGGATCAAACCTAGTTTGAATAAAGATTCTTATTAGAATCATTAGAATACCAATTAAAAACTCGAATGGTTATAACTATGCTTGCGAGAATGACACATCAGCCAGATGTTTTTATAAAGGAGATATTAAATAGATTCTATTAAGATCTGAAAGGGAGTATTCCTGCACCTTTAAGTACTGACAAAATATTCATGAGTATGAAAAAGGTTTTCTCAGTGTCCAAAGGGAAATCTTTCTTAAAAATGTTTATCAAGTCTGCTGGAGCTTGGCATTTCAAGGTTTCTTATGATTATGAAAGAGATCATAAACTAAATTTGAATATCACTTAGTCTCCTCTTATAGGTCATTGGGTACATGTGTATACTAATAATTATATACAAGGAGCCAAGGCATTGGACATTAAATCTGACATTATTTATTAGTTTCTCTAATTTTAAGAAAAGATTAAGTAGACATAAAAATCAATTTAAAAAGCGTTCAAGGATTTCGAAGAATAATAAAAAGAATAACCTTATGATTAGAGTAAGAAACCACACTCATCTTCAACAATCAAAGATTTTAAAAGAAGAGACTATTAAATCTAAGCAAGTGGATTAATACCTGAAGAATTGTCAATGCCTTTACATTTTTCAGGATGGGTGCGTATTTAAGTTTCAGAAACAAATGAATTGAAACTTGAAATCGAGAATACTGAGATAAAGATACCTCCAAAGTTATGGACTAAGATAGACATTAATTGTACATAAAAATTGAAAAAATACAATATTCCTAAGAGGCATTTGGAAATTAATGCTCAGGCTTATATTTAAGAGGAACAAACTGGAAAGATCGAAATAGAAAATGACAATAATAATCAAGTCAAAACTCCAATGATTCATGGTATTTTAGGAGAGGCTGTTCTGAAATCAGGAGTGAATATTAATACTGGTAGGGAACAAACAATTAAGTCATACTCAGAAGAGATACAAAAAGAGCCTCCTTAATGGATCAAGTGGGATCCAGTTGGTTTGACTGTTAAAGAGGTTGAATATTAAATTCAAAAGGAACTTGTAGTTATGTGTTAAGTGTTGAAAGAGAAGGACATGAATTAAATAGCTTGTGTTTTAAGAAACATTAAAAAGTTAGAAATTAGAGAAAGAGTTGTCAGAACAATCGTGTTGATTATTGAAAATTCGTATGCTCATCTGGAGAGTAATATCATTGTTCAATTATTGCAATTGCTTAGAGAAATGGTTAACAAGAGTTCAATAAAAAGGTTGGAAGAAAATTGTGATTTTGAGGATATGGCAGAGTTACAGGCTTATTTAAAATTGGCTGAGAAAATAACTTATAGGTTTTTCTTTAACCAAAATGACAACAGTCTTAAGTATTTGAAATTCAACAATTTTGATGATTATGATGTAATAGTAGCTCTCTTAAAAAATCTTAGAAGGCTTAATACTGCCTCAACCTTAGGATTTCATAATGAACTAATAGCATTATTGGTTAGCATCCTTTAAGGCTATGACAATTCATAGAATTAATATGACTGCAGTTACATGATATCAAAGCTTATAAAATTACTGTTGTTTACGAATTGCAATCAATCGAAATTCTTGATAATGACCACTTTGAAGCATGAGTTAAAGAAGGTTATCTTTTTGAATACACCAAAGAATTATATACTAAAGACCATAATAATTCATTACAAAAGATTTACTGATATCAACTTTTCAGGAGAGATGGAAAAGAAAATAGAGGAGATCTATAAAAAGTATGATGAAGAGATATCCTCAATCATTAAACATCATCAGTCGAATGTGTTAGTTAGAATTGATAACGGTTATTTAGAAAGAGCTTATTATAAGAAATACTTATTAGAACAATATGAAAAATAGAAGAAAGAGCCTTATCATTTTATCCTGGATCAATTGTATTATTTAAGTAAGAAAAGAGTGAAGAATGGGGCTACTACTATTTATTTCAATGTGTTACTACAAGAACTTCAAATCTTTATGGCTAAAAACTATTAAAGATTTGCTCATGAATTGTCTAGGGCTGACATTAATCCAGAACTAGCTAAGACTTTGGCTCACACTAACTTTGAGTGTATCATATCTGGCCCAGCTCTTTTAAATTATAATGTCTAAAGCAATTTCGCATCCATATACAGAATTTTATTCTATTACTTCGCCCCTCTCAGAACTGATGAAGTTCATAAAGACATTAAACATCTACTATACACATTAACCAACTTTACCCCTGATCAATAATGGTCTTAAGCTCATTCTTCTTAATTGGTGGAGGAATAATAAGAATTAACCAAGAGAACTTGTGGCTAGCAACCTAAGAAGAACAGACCTGTCAATAGAAGCACAAATCAAGATCTAATTTAATAATTGGAGAGATTTGCAAGGAAGTTTCCTAACAAACTATCAGAAAGAGAAATTACTAAGTAGATTTTAAAACATTTAGGAACCTTACCTCAAATTGGGTAACTTGAAGAAAAGGTTGGTGAATTGTCACCATCATCAAAATAAATTTATAGAATAGATTAAGTCAGAGCTTCTATGAAAAGAAAGAATCAACCTATGAATATCATACTAGATAATGTATTGTCTATGTTTGAATACTATTATAGAAAATAGTAATTGAATAAAAATGAATTGGATGATTATTGCCAGATGGTTAGAAAGTTCTTTGATGATGGAAAGAAAGTCTTAGAAAACTATTCAAAAGCTAATGTAGATAAGAAGGTCTAAAAAATGGTCATAAAAAGCACTTCTTTAGAAACCAAATTAGCTAACAATACTTATGTTGACGAAATCATTGAATGAGTTATTATTATTTATGTAAAATCATTATTAATTTCATTCTTCAAATATTCCTTATTAGAATATTGTCTCAGGATTATGTTATTTTAGTACTCCATGTGGGTCCTCAAGAGTATCTCAACATTATGCATGAAATCCTCTCAATTTAGTTAAATTCTCTATGTTTATGCTTTATGGTATTATTTAGATTTGTTATTCGAAACGGTCAGGATTTGCAGGTTATTCAAGTTAAGAATCTATTCTAAGATAGTAGTGAACCCTCTATTTCTTATTGATATTAAATTCAATATTTTATTGTTTATTCTAAAATTTCTTTTTATCCTCTGAATTTTTCTATCATCTAGTTTTACTATGGAACTCCTCCAAGCTTGTGTAATTTAGTAACTAAATCTTTTCTTTATAGTCTTCCTTCGCCTCCTTTTATTCTTTAGCTTTGTAAAAAGGCTCTCTAATTTCCGTATCTATCAAACCTAATTCAAATAGGAGTATACCATTTTGCTTAAGAATTTTTCTAATTCAGATCTTGACACCTTTTTAGATAGGGAGTATTTATGAAATTGAGGGCTATTGCTATTTATTTTTCTTTCTCTTATTTAGACATTTTTATTATAAATAAATTTGTGCATCTCATAATTTTTATTATTAACAGCAAAATGGAACTAATTAACGTATATATTTTAGTTAATTTAGCACTTTCCATCCAGAAAGTTTGGATAAGAGCTAACTAATCTTTATTATAGACCTTAAACAAGATTGAACTTATCACAATTGAAAAAGAAAGCTGAATCAACTAATACTTCAATGAGACATAAATCTTAAAGAGAGATCAATAGTACTAATGTTTGGTACTAAGTATCAATAAAGAAAAGAACAAGTAGTTAACACAGTAGTGGCGATTCAGTCACTCACAGATAGAAGTCATCCAGATGCTCAAGCAGAAATCAAACAATTTAAACTGTGAGATTTTGCGATGTGAAATAGTTGCTAATAGATGAATAGAACAAGCAATTTATTGAAAATATTGATATGGTTTATTCAAGCAAACCTCAATATTGCAGTGTGTATGCCTACGATATCTAAGAATACTTGAAATCCATTGAATTATCATACTAATTTAGTGTGTAACAGTACTTCCATCATCAACCTTAAATAACTCAAAAAATGAGAAGCATTTTGATAGAGTGGATAATTGATGTGACAGCAAAGTTCAGATTGAAATAAGAAACCCTGTATTTGACAATAAGTTTGGTTGATAGATATATGTTGACAACTCCAGTTTCAAAAAACATATTATAGCTTATCGGAGTTTCAGCACTATTTATAGCAAGTAAAGTGGAGGAAGTTCATTAACTGATGGCAAAGGATTTAGCTTACATTACAGATAAAACATATACAAAAGAATAAATTTTATACACTGAATCATTAATATTGAAACAGCTTAACTTTAACCTAACTACTCCAACCATAATATATTTTTTAAGTAGATATTAAAATATATGCCCTTTAAATTTGAAACATTTCTTCTATTGTCAATTGTTAATTGAAATATATTTATTACTACAACCTTAAACTCATAGCAGCAGCCAATTAGCTGCAGCTTCATTTTGGCTGATTAGGAAATAAAAGAAATACAATCCAATATGGCCTGAAGAATTAGAAATCATTAGCAATTGTAATGAGAATAAATTGCATGCAATAGTTAAAGTGCTTTAATCCTGTCAATCAGAATTTCAAACAAGATAGACTGTATTTAATTCATTATATACTAAATATTCTTAGTATAAATATTGTAGAATAATTAATATGTGAAAATAGATAAATATTTATATATATTTATTATACTTATACATTAATAATGAATGATCATCCAGTTAAGGTGAGAATTGCTTGAACTGTGTCATTGTCTGATTTTCTGAGTGCTTCGACAGCTTTACTTCTATCACATTTACAGTGCTCCATGACCATTTTGATGGATTCAGGTGGAATACCTTCGTCACTTACTTGCTCTGTAGTTTCAGAAGCTTTTGGTTCCTTGATTTCTTCTTATTTAGGACTAAATGATATAAATTTGAATATTACACTTATTGAGCTAAATTTTCGGCTTCTTTTTTGCCAATTTAGCCAGTTGGATCATGCACTTTGGCTTCACCAATCACAATGTAGGAATTATCAACATTGGCTGATTTTAAGACCTCTGGGTTATCAATATAGAGAAGGAATTATTTTCCTCTTTTGATTGTGACTCTATTGATTCCAGCGACTGGTTTCATTCCCAATTTAAGCATAGCCTTTTTGAATTTTTTTTCTCCTCTATTGGCCTTCTTGTCTTTGTCATCTCCTCCTTTTTGATTGTGACCATCATCAGAATCTGAATGGTCATGATCATGTGCATGATCGTGATCATGATCATGGTGATGTTCATGAGTTTATTCTTTTTCCTCTTTTATCTCGATCTCCTTTTCTTAAGCCATTTATTATTATTATTATTACATAATTTAAATTTCCCAATCTTGATTAAATATTTCAAATGAACACGAATTAACAATAGTAATGATTTTAATATATCTGATATATATAAATAAAAATGATTAGATTCTCATTGAAGAAAGCATCACAATTATTGGGAAAACAATTCCAAGCTTTCTCAACACAATAGAATCTCATAGAAATATTTATAGATGACGTTCCCCACAAAGTAGAAATGTGTGTTTGATCCTTTATAGGTTGATCCATCAGCAACAATATTTCAAGCATGTTATTCAGCAGGTGTGATTATTCCCAGATTCTGTTATCATGAAAGATTAGCAGTAGCAGGAAATTGTAGAATGTGTCTAGTCGAAGTTGAAAAGTCACCAAAACCTGTATAATTAAATGAATATTCTAAAAGGTGGCAGCTTGTGCAGCATAAGTAGCACCTGGAATGAGAATCCTCACAAAAAGTGAAAAGACTAGAATAGCAAGAGGAGGTGTCATGGAATTCATGTTAGCAAATCACCCATTAGATTGTCCCATCTGCGATCAAGGAGGAGAATGTGATTTGCAAGATATTTCAGAGCAATATGGGTATCTTCTTAATATTCAATATCTAGTTATGGAGATAGCAGACATAACGAATACAAGAGAGCTGTGGAGGATAAGAATTTTGGTCCTCTTGTAGCCACGAGTATGAACAGATGCATTCATTGCACAAGATGTATAAGATTTTCAGATGAATATGCTGGTGTAACTGAATTAGGAACTAGTGGAAGAGGAAGGAATACTGAAATTGGTACATACATTGACAAAATGATCACTAGTGAATTACAAGGAAATCTTGCTGACATCTGTCCAGTTGGTGCTTTAACCAATGGACCATATGCATTCACATCCAGACCTTGGGAATTAAAATCATATGATTCTGTTGATGTTTTTGATACTATTATACCCCTTATTCAAATTGACACCAGAGGAGCTGAAATTATGAGAGTTTTACCAAGAATTCACGAGGAAGTCAATGAAGAATGGTTAAATGATAAATCAAGATAAGCCTTTGATGGATTGAAAAAATAAAGATTAACACTACCATTGGCAAGGGATGCTCAAGGCAATTTCGCAGATTTATATTGGCCAGATGCCATTTAATAAGCAGCTAAAAAGTTGTAATCTGTTAAAGGAGAAGAAATTGTTGGAGTTATTGGAGAATTTGCTGATTGCGAATCAATAGTTGCTTTGAAGGATTTATTGAATAGATTTGATAGTGACAATTTTGAAATTAGAGGAACTGGTGTCCCCTAATTGGATGCAGACTTTAGAGCCAATTATTTATTCAATTCTAGAATCACAGGAATTGAGGAAGCCGATGTTCTTTTATTAGTTGGTACAAATCCAAAAATTGAATCCCCATTGTTGAATTCAAGAATCTTAAGGGCTACTAGAAAAAACAACTTAAAGGTATTTTTAATTGGACCAGCAAATGATTTAACATATAATTATGTCCATCTTGGAAATAATGCTTCAATTCTTGATGAAATTGCTAATGGTACTCATCCATTTGCTGCCAGACTCAAATCTGCTAAATTGCCCATGATTTTAACAGGAGCAGGTGTCTTAGAAAGAGTTGATGGAAATGCCATTCACAATGCATTAAAAAAGATTGCACAAAATTCACCAGTGATCAATGCACAATAAGGATGGAATGGATTCAACCTATTACATAAAGATGTTGGAAGAATTAATGCTCTTGAATTAGGTATTACAGCTAGAAGAAGCAGTGTACCACCAAAGGTTGTCATTCTATTGGGAGTTGATAATAATTTGAATGCTTAAGATATTCCTAAAGATGCTTTTGTCATTTACATAGGTAGTCACGGAGATGAAGGAGCTTATTATGCTGATCTCATATTGCCAGGTGCTACATATACTGAAAAGAATGGCACATATGTAATCCATATTATGTATTAAACAAGGTTTCAACTGAAGGAAGAGTCTAAACCACCAAATTGGTAGCACTCCCTCCATCAGGAGCAAAATCAGATTGGGAAATCTTGAGAGCTCTATCCGAGGAGTGTGGATGTGCCTTACCTTATGATAGTTTAGAGGAAGTAAGCCCTTTCCTATATATTTATATAGGTTAGATATAGAATTGCTGAATTGGCTCCCCATCTATTGAAATATGACTACATTGAGTCTAGCGTTTTGGGATAGGTTGCTTTAAAGCCTGAATCATCCAAACAAACCATTTCAGCCACTCCCTTCAGGGATCTTATCGATGTAAATTATACCATTTATAATTAGAACTTCTATATGACTGATGCTATTTCTAGATAATCAGTTACTATGGCTAAATGCTCTACGGCATTTAATCCTCATAAATTTAGCACATTTAAATAATTATGATATAATATCCAAAAAAATGATAGCAATAACATATATAATTATATCAAGCCATTTTTTTACTTACAGGACTTAAATTTGATCTTTGCGTGTTGTAGACTTCGAAGATTCCTTTGGGATTACTTTTTAAGGGACTATTGATTCGAGCAGTTTAAGAGCCTCCCTATTTTAACTTTGTAGATGATTTCAGATCCTCAATATAAATATTAACTATATTGTTTTAGTTAATATTGTATACACCACCTCCCTTCTTTGTTGAACCTTACACGCAAATATTGTTGGTTATCCTTAATGGATCCTTTGAATTATCGTGTTTTTGAGGTTATTTCGGTGGAGACGCTTTGTAATTTCCTACATTATCTTGAGATTTAGTCCTGTAGTGCAATAATTGTGCATTAAGAATGGGAGCTTGCAAATTATTATTAGAAATCAAGGTGGATTTCTTTTTTTGATCAGAATTTTTGACCTGCAGTCCCCTCAAAGTGGACAGGGCATACTAAGTGAACTTTTATGGTAATTTTTATCTTCAAAAATGTTTACATTAAATGATACATGTTTTTGGATGCTGTCTTCTACAAGGTCTATTCCCCAATGGTATACACACTCTGTCTCTGGACTCTATCAGTGGCCAAAGGTTGTTTACCTAATTAATATGTTTGTGATACTTTTATTATCATCTTCGTGTTTTTGAAGTTATGAGGCTACTCTGGTTCTTCTATTAATGGATTATCAATAATAATTACAAGAAATTCACTTAATAAGATAACAAATCAGCTGATTACTTTTATGTTGAATTTTGTCTACTTGGTAGTCTAAATTAACATTCTGTTGCATTGAAATTGCTACTCACTTTTCTTTGAGAGTTAGATTTCTAACAATTGTTAGCTTTTTATTGCTTTTGCATATTTTGTTATTATTAAACAAAGTTGGCAAACCCTTCAATTTGTGAGTACACTTTCTACATTAATTGCGATTATTATGAACTTCTTAAGGGAGATTGTTCTTAATTGGATCTTTTTGTCTACTCCCCAGCTTTAAGAGAACTCTCCGCTTTTAAGGAAGACACCTCTCCCTGGTTGAACTGCAAACGGTTAATATTGATTTTATCGAAACTGCCTTAACAACTGACTTGATGAGTGGTTTTTGAATCGAAATTCTGCTATTAAGAGCTTTTGTTAACCTTAGGTTTAAGATTAGTCATGTAGTTAGACTTTAGATTTTTAGTGATTGTCGAGAGATCCTATGATCTTAGGAGAAAACTATTGCTTTAATCAATAGACAATAATCCTGAGATTTATCCAAGACAATCATACTTTTATCCGACTTACTAAATGAATTCTCTCAATTGGACACTACTAGAGATATCCGCTTTTTTTTGGAGATAGGAATTAGTGTCCAATTTTAAATCTTTCAATAGATATTTCAACTATCCTATTGTTAGATCTTCATCACTATGCTTTTATTTCTTCTTCTCTTTCTTTTTGGATGGTTACTAGATTTAGTGATTGTATTACTACATCCTCGTCTGGAATGTTCAACTTCCTCTTAATATTCGCATATTCTAATCTCCGCTTTTTTTCATGGAACTTATTTATGGTTAAATAGACATTTTGCATGAATAAGCGAGGGATATCCTTGTGATACTTGTAGTACTCCTACAATGCCTTGACCTTTTGTGTTGCCTCTTTTTTTGCATATGATCTAAACTTTATAGTAGCATACTTACCTTTTCAAATACTCCTCCTCTTCTATCATACTTTCCAAATCTCTATAGAATACAACTGCAGGAGTTGACTCCTCTTCTATTATATCGTTGATGTCCTTTGAATAATAGTAGTTTTATGAAGATGAGTATTTAGCAAATAACGCTTTATTTAAAAGTGGAGCATACGATTCTTCTTTGCAGTTTTTGAACTTTTAACAAAACACGCAAGGAGTGGATTTCTAGTTGTTGGGCCTATTCAACATACAAAATCACATAAATTACGGTGAACATAAAGATGAAAATCGTTTTCTCACTGACATTGGATTGCTAGTAGATTGTTTACTATTTGATCTCGATGTTTTACCACCAGTGAATTACTTTTTGTTTGACATAGTCCTTAGCTTTTTTATAAGTTAATAAATTAATTGTATATATTGTATTATACTATATGCGTCATTTTTTTGTTTCCTTGGCTTGCTTTCTCTTCTCTTTTACGCCAACAAACTTTGCGTTGTACCATTCCTATCTTAATCTCCTGTAAACATTCTTTGCTCTTAATTCTTTTGAAATAACTGTGGCCTTTTCTCTTTTTGGTGTTCTTTAGAATGTGATGACCTTTGATATAGCTGAACTCTTACCTCTGGATTGGTATTTTAAGCTACTGGGTGAGCAACAACTTCATTTGCAGAATCCTTAACAACTCCATTCTTTGGTTTGCCTGCAACTCTTGGGTAAAGGACCAATTTTGAGAGGTATGCCTTTATTCTCTTAACATTACTATTCAATTCTTCTTAGTTCAAGTTTCTTCTTCTGTGATCAACGGCAATTCCAATTGTTCGGGCAAATGCTGCATTGAGTCCTGCTTCCTTTAATTCAATCAATGAGAATCCTCTTCCAAGTTTTTAGACGTTGTTGTACTTAATTGTTTGACCTCTCACAACTGGACGAAGAAGCTCGACTGGTCTGGGAGATGCAGCTATTATTAGGGGATTTACACATACATAAAGCTTATGCTCTTCTTCTCAATTGTCTTCTTCTCTTAGCTGCTGGTTGATTATAAAATGTCTTTACGAATCGGGTCCAATGTTTCCTCAAGTGAGCATTAGGAAGTTGTTAATTGTGTTTCATATAGGTAAATTTTTTTAAATAAAAAAAATGTAGATATGTAAAAATCAATATTAAATGACTTAAATAAGTCATATATATATATAATTTCACAAATTTTATATTCATCAGAGCTGAGTTAAGTGTTTCATAGACTTTCTACTATCTTTATAAATAATAGCTACCTAACAAAAGGCTTAGACTTTTCTGTCGGAGTTTGGTTTAAATTCGGAGTGGATTCTCTTGGTTTTTATTCCTTTGCTAATTCTTCAAAAGTTTATAGGTCGGTTATTGAGTTATGGAAAGATAATTTCATCTTTTTCATGTTGTTCTCATCCACTTCTTCCACCAATTAAGGTTTAAACATTAAGTATGGACGGGAAGGCTTTGATGACTATTCCTTCTTTGTAGTTTAATCAGGAATATACCCAAATTAACCCTACTTTCTAAGGAAATACAATTGTACATTACATGATTATATCCTATTAACTCTTCTGTTGAATTATTGACTTCTACTCCCTTGGTGTTGGAAGCGTATAGACTTTTTTCATCATCTTATTTAATTAATTCTAAAACCTTAAATTTATTAATGAAAGTCGTCTAATAATTTCAAATTTACCATTAGACAAAACAATATTTATCACTTGCATTCTGATCTCATAAAATTTATATTTATATTTAAATAACAACATGTCCCTAATCTATATGACAACCCATTAAATATTATATTAACATAATGACCTTATAGACAGATCCCTGAAATAACAAGATATCAAATATTAGGGTTGTCACGCTTTCATCAAATCTAATCTTTGAAATTAATTACTTAAAACAAAAAGTTTATAACTAAAATACTTAATCACGTTATTAAATACAATTCAAAATATTATTTAGCACTTAAACATATAATCAATATCAAATTAGAATATTAACAACTATTACCAGAAGAATGAAAATAATTATTCCATTCTTTCGTACCTAAATCAACTTAGACATTTATTATTATTATTTTCCTAAACAATTTTACTGATTTTTTAAATCTAGTAATCCACCTACTAAATTATTTTATTTGTTTGTGGGTTTAATATATATTCTTTGTATTTGAATTTAAAATAGTAAAAAATTTAATTTATTTTATATGATATAATTCCTATTATTTAAGTAAAACGTATTATATCAAGTTATTCTCCCCAATTTAATTATTATTGCACCCATATCGATAAATCATTGCACATATATCCTATAAGTTTGTAAAAATCTATTGATAATATATCTGCTACTCATCTTAATTATTCTTCTTAAGTAGTTTGTACTATGATGTTATTGAATCATATGAAAGCTCTTGATAGTTGTAATTTATAATAAAACTTCAAATCTTAAATTAAAAGAATTTTCAAAAATGTATTTCATTATATTTAATACTTTTCCATATTCTCAATATTCATCATTTTATGTGATTGTATCTTTAATGTCTCATTTAATCATTATTTAGCTATTATTTTATATATATAAATTTAGCGATTTTATCATATAGGAATGGAATTAGAAGCTTTTTTAATGAATTACAAATCAATAGATCATAATATATCTTTTGATGAAAGGAAGATTAATAATCTACATTCCTAGTTTGAAAATAATACTATTAATTATTTAAATCAATTAAATGCACTTAATTGTGAATAGGCATTAAGTTAAATTTTGAACTTTATATAATCTTATACATACGATCATAATATATTACCATTTGTCCGCAATTTCTCAATCAAAAATTAAGTATCAGTGAATGGACCTATTTGAATTGTTTGAGAGTGTTTAGCATTCAAATTATAAAAATAGAGCTAAGATGTCATAAATATATTATTTCAAGGAACATTGGTATAGAAAGATTAATTCCTTTATCATATGATATTTAAATTTATATAGATATGAAAATAAACCAATAAGTAAATAATTATTAAATAATAGGATAATAAGTAAGAATATATCAAAGATTGAAAATTACGAATCCTTAATAATTTGATAAATTAAATAATATGATATTAATGAGAAATCTTTAAACCTTGAAGAATAATAATAAATCTCAACATATTTCATTTTTTTAAATGCTTATTTCTTTGATTTTTTTTGAAATCCTGTAAAGTAAATATACAGTTATGCATAATTTCTTATAAAAATTATTGTAATTGGTATCCCATTTTTATATACAAGTAATTATCCAAGGACTCAATTTTTATAACTAATTTTCAAAAGATATTGATTATCTTCATAACAATGTTAGTAGAGTAGATTAAGGGTAATTTATTAGCAACGACTGCGAAGTAATTAATTTTTTGATCATTATGGATAGATCATTAAAATCCTTGGTATTTGAATAATATGTTTTCTATAGTATACGGATTATAAAGTGTTATAAATTAATGGGAAAAGTGCAATCCAGGTTTTTAATTGAAGATAAGTATTGTATATCAAAAATTGAGGGATGCTAATAAATTACGAGATATGATAAATTGATTGTAATTTTGAGGGATTGCATATAAATTATTCTTAATTAATGGAAAAAATATAAGAATTAGTGGATAGCCAAAAATTTCAGGAAGCAATTGAAGGATTGACTGATATGTTGGAGAATGAATTGCCAAGTGCTAGACTCGAAACTTTAGAGGTGCTAAATCGGATATTAAGTCTGAGCACTAAGAGACAGGATTTGTAAATAGCAATTTTAAAGCTGGCATAATTTGAGAATTCAGGAAGATATTGTGATTTGATTCTGAATTTGGCTAGGCTATATATTGATTTAGGATAATTGAGTGCTGCAAAGTAAGAGTTGGAAAAGTTAAGGAGCATAAATAATAATTATGTTAGATGCATACTTTAAGGATTTGACAGAATGTTCAATTAAAAAAGGGAAGAGGTGTAAAAGGAGGATCAATGGGAGCAATTTTAGCTATTGGAGAAAGAAGAAAAGGATTTAGATTATTTCTCTTAAGATGGCTTATGCAGTTATCTGATACCAGCAGCTTGGTTTTAGAAGTGGAGGCTATATGTTAAGAATGAAGATCCGATAGTCATTGAGGATCCAATTATGGGTTTGGATGTAACGAAATTGAGATAGCTGCTTAATCTGAACGAGGATTCTATTAACGAAGAGACTGAAGTGATACCAGGTCCAATTGACAGTTCGAGACTAATTTAGATTAAATGGAATTTGTTACCTGACCCGACTTAGTCAAAATAGTATTTGAATTACGTGTTACGAAATGATTTGAGAGAAGGCGTTGATTTTGTCCATGTAAGCGCAAAAGTATTTAAATTCTTTGAAAAAATTTATGGCGCCTTTGCTGTAAAAAGACTCATTGTAAAATAAGATGAGCAAGACAGAATACTTGTAGATGTAATCATTATGATTAATTTTTAAGTTAATCCCCAGAGTAGTTGAAATCATGATTCTGGAAAATTAATTGGAGGAGTCATCTTTATCAGTAAATGGGTTTGAATAAGTATAAGAATTAACTAGAAAAATTAGAGTCATCAAAGGTATTGGCAATGAAATCAAATGGTGGAAGTTTAAGGATCTATAAAGCCAAACGGATTGGATGTCTATGATATAGAAGGGGACTTTCATCAAAAGTATTAAGGGAAAGGATTTGGACATAAAAGTCAAAATAGATGATTTGAATTTAACTACCTAAGACATCCTCATATGCGAAATCAAGCAAGGGAAAAGTTGGCAATTAACTGCTGAAATTAATGCTCTACAATAAAAAGAATAAAATGTTTCAGAACTCTATGCTAAATTTGGCATTAGCAACATTCCTAGAGTCCTATCTGATAGCAGAAGAGGAATGACAGGATTATAGAATTTGGGTAACACTTGTTTTATGAATGCTGCTCTTCAATGTCTCAGTAATACCTATGAATTTACACAGTACATGGCTTATAATCATTTTGCATAACATTTGAATCCCAACAACGTATTGGGAACCAAAGGATTTTTGGCAGCATCATATGCTGAATTAATGAAATCTATGTGGTTTGCCAATTACTCCAGTGTTTCAGCTATCGATTTAAAAAAAGTCATTGGAAAATTTGCACCTCAATTCTATGGATATGGTTAACAGGACTCCCATGAATTCTTGTCATATCTCTTAGATGGATTGCACGAAGATCTCAATAGAGTTCTTAATAAGCCCATTGTTACGGATATAGAAATTACAAATGAAAGTGATCAACAGGCTTCTGAGAAATTTTGGATCAATTACACTTTGAGAAATCAAAGCAAAATCTAAGAACTCATGGTTGGACAATATAAATCAACTTTGGTTTGTCCAATTTGTAGCAGAATATCAAAGACCTTTGATCCCTTCATGAGTTTATCATTACCCATTCCTAGTTTCTCATCCTTTCCATCATCCTTGTACTTTATATATGATGACAGCGAAACTATGCCAGCTAAAATTAGTTTGTAATTAAGCAGTGATATGACAGGATTAGACATTTTAAAATAATTGGAAAATCTATTGAATATCAATCACAAAAGAATGAATATGTTACTCATTAAGGAACATCAAATTTATGACAGAGTAACCTATGACAAAGGAGCCAAATGGATAAGCGAACATATTGGAATATTATTTGTTCACGAGGTTGAATCGAATATGTAAAATATGAAATAAAATTAAATGAATGTTGACTTCTATTATGTATCCAAAGCAACCAAAATCTATGAAGTGGATAAAATATTATCATTCCCTAGATAAGTAGTAATTGATAGAAATTCGACTGCATAACAACTCTATGGATAAATCTACTATAAATTTAGAATTCATTTAACCTTTGCTGTTAAGGAGTTAACTGCTCAAGAATTTCCATTAAAAGATCAATTTTTGTCACTCCCAAGACCTAAAAATCTAGAGGAATCTATACAAGAATTTGCAATATTAATATAGAATCAGTTATAACCATTTACTCTAAGATTCAAAGATATATCTGATAAATAAAAAAAGGAAATCTAATTTAGTGTATTTTTTCGTATTATTCTAGGATGATGCATTAAGCAATATTTCAGGTTCCAATATCTCTATTGAAGTTATTATTTCAGAGTACCTAACTAAAACAGTTCAAATTCTAAAATTACAAAGATGTAAAGAACTAACAACTAATGATACAAAATCTTAGATAAGAAAGGGAGAATATGATTTGGATGATTGTCTTAAAGCCTTTACAAAAGAAGAGATCTTAGGTAAAGGAGATGAATGGTATTGCAATAAATGCAAAAAGCACGTTCAAGCATCCAAAAAAATGGAAATCTACAAGGCTCCTTAAGTAATTTAATTAGATATATTATTTATAGATATTAATTATTCACCTTAAAAGATTTAAAACAAACAGAATATCTAATTTGGGTAATTTTTACTTTAGCAATGGAACATAGAAAATAACATCAATGGTTTAATTTCCACATGAACTTAATTTAAATAATTTTGTGTTGTCCAAATAAGCTGGAGATAATTAAAATTATACATATGATCTTTATGGAGTGGATAATCACTATGGTGGTTTGGGAGGAGGGCATTATACAGCCTATGCCTTTAATAGTGTTCTAAACAAATGGATAGATTATAATGATTCCAACGCTAGAACTACCAGTAGCAATGTTGTAAGTGAGGCAGCTTACTTATTATTTTACAGAAGGAGAGATTCTGAAAAATGTTAAATGTTCAAATGATAAATATATATAATATATATTCAATATCATAATTAAATCTATCAAAAGTAATTTTAACTAAAATAAGTCATCTATTTTCCAAAACTTATACTCTATTTACCTTTTTATAATTAGAGTATATCATTGGTTTCCTTAAAAATGATACACTAAAGTTGAAATCTCTTTATCCTAGTTTGATAATTAATCATCTGCTACTACTAATTAAGGTATTATCTAGGTTAAAGGATAAACAACCTAATTTACTTATTATTATCAATTAATATTTTAAATGAATCATTTGCTTTTAATTTAATTCTGAAATTTAAAATCAAAAGGTTAATTCTACTGATATCTTATGATAGACACAGATTATTTGTTAAAATATTATGTAAATCACAAGATCATATCTATTAAATATTATTTTATGGTTGGTTGATGTTTTAAAGTAATATTATTCACGATTATGTCATAATCAATTTTGCCTCTTTTTAGAACAAATTAGATTTATTTGAAATATAAATAATAATTGTATTAAAATTTATATCTAATGGACATACCAAAAAGAACAGAACATAGACCACCTAGACCTCCTATACCCAAGTTCCGACTTATTGGGGCAGGAACTGATACACCTGATTTCCTCCCTCCTCCAAAATCTGAGGAATCCTCTCTTATTGCATTATCCATGGATAATACGTCTGAAACATCTATCGAAGATAATAATGAATCATATTTTACGAGAAAGAGATTTTCTGCTATTGTAGAAGAAATTACAAATCAGATTGTTCAACTGGGATTAAGTTAAGAACTTTTAAAAATAGGAATATCATTTTTAAAGCCTGAATTGCTTGACGGTTTAAAATAAAAAAAGTATAAAGCTATTGCTGTGGCAATCATCATCGCTGCTTTGAAACAAATCAATGCTCCAGTAACATAAAAAGAGATTTTGTCGAAAACTTCGGTCTCAGAAAAACAAATCAAAAAAATTCTTCTAAAGATTCACAGTTCATATGATTTAGAGGCTATCGTTCATTCATTTATTAAATAGATTTCAAGTTCAATAGGACTTAATGAAAAATTCATTAACTTTTGTCTTTAGATGTTTAAGGAAATAAACCAAAGAAATCTGATCTAAGGAGAACATGAAAATGTAATAGCTGGAACGATTATTAAATATTGTGGAGATATTATCTTTGCTGATAGAGGAGGAATAGTGGCATAAGTAATAGCAGATCATGCGAAATGCAGTATTGGACCACTGAAGAACTTCCTAAAAAAGGTTGAAATTAGCTTGCCCTTTAACCCTTAACATTAGAAGGAAAGATGATAACTATCTACATTCAAAATATTAGATTCAATCATATTGTATTCTATTTTAAACTCATCCCTTTTGCTTTTAAGATTCTTTATAATTTATAATAATGAAATTTAACTCAGTTATTTCATTCTAATTATTAATTAAGACATTTCTTTAATAGAAGCAGTGCATCGAATTCTTCCCTAGCTAGATTCCTTGTAAATTAGTTTAATTCTAGAAAATTTAAATGATTGTTTTAGAAATTATGCTAAATTAATCTTAAGGTATCACGAATGCCCTTGATTTTAGCATCTAATTCTATGAGTTAATCTTAATGAGGTGTTGTGGAAATAAATTATAAAATATTATTTTCATCTGCAATTTTATCTATGTTTTAATTCTTAAATTAGTTCAATCTCTCTGTTTCCTTTATTAATTCATCTACCATTTCTTATCCATCAATTATCATCGACTTAAGACAAGCTTTCTTTTTCAGTTCTTGTATTAGTTCAAATACCAGAGCTTCATTTATAGAATTTAATTCATTCCAGTTCTCTTTAATCTAAAATCATGAATTATTGATATTAACATTATTTGCAAAGGAATTCATCTCTGATTCTTAGGGTTTTCTCACTCTTTCATACGGATGCTCTTTTTTAAATTATACTTTCATCTTGGAGATGATATCAATCAATTTATCGGTTCTCTCAATATATATACTAAAATCTATAAATCCAAGGGTTGCTTACATTAAATTAATATCTTTACAATCATAATAAGGATTTAACTAAGTTTCTTTCGGTCTTACAATCTTACATCTTATTCCATTTTCCAATGGACTCAAAATTAAGAGTTCAAAAAATATGGAAGTGTTGTCAACATCTGATAACTCACCTAAAATCTTAAATACATTTAAAAAACTACTTGCAAATGAGGTTACCCTTATACATTTATAATATTTAAATTCGTGTTTTTCAAATCAACAAGATCTTGAATTGCTTCAATTTATGAAAGAATTTATTCTCTATCTCCTTTATCATATATAGTTAACACTAAAGTATCTAATATTATGGATAGCATAATTTAATACTATTATTTATAATCAATAATATTAATAAAACGAAAATAAAGATCTTTTGATTCAAGAGAGAGTAAATATGCAACGATTACTTAATTTATCAAGAAATATATGAGCATTAACAATAATAGTTTTAACATAACTTAAGTCTTGTTTTAATATTTTGATTAGACTTATGATTTCAATATTCATATGTTTTATTTCCTATATAGAAATCCTTTAAGAATTCACTCTTTCCTTTGAGCTTTTAATTTTCTAAGTATGAATATCCAGCATCTGATCTATTTTGATTTGAAAAGTATTGGAATAAATGATCTCTATTTAGCATATGCCATTCAGCTTGGTAGAGTAATTCATATCCTCTATAAACCTATTGATATCATAAATAAATACTAACCCATCTATCAACTGCATCAGGATCTCTTAAATAAGCTCTTTTTCTGATTACATTTGCTACATTTAGCATTGCTTATTATGAATTGCAAGTCACTTCCATATCATGAATTCTTAATAAAAATGGAATAAGACGACAGACTTTTCTATAAAATCTCAAGACCTTAAAATGAGCTTAGATGATATTCTTTGATGGTCTTCCAGTTGTAAGCCCTTCAAAAATTTCTGTTCCTCTCATTGTGATATTATTTCCACCATATTACTAAGTTAAACTTAATTTGTTACTTTTCCTCTTGATCCATGTGTTCCTATTTCAGGAAATAGATTCAGATTGCTTGTAAAGTTTTAATTTTAATTCATTTATATTTATAATTCAATAAATATCAAACACTCATTTACCTTTTTTTGGTTTCCATAATTTTAATAACATCTAATTATTATCTTAACTAATATCCTCTAATCTTCTCCCACTGTATGAATTTTTCTTTAGGAACAAACAAATAAGGATCTTCTAAACAAGACTTAGCACTCAATCTAAAAATTGAATCAGGATTCATCATTTTGCAAATTAATCTTCTTAACTTAATGGAATAGAAATCTAATTACTATAATCAAATACCTGATCCAAAATCATTGACAGTCAATCCTTATCTTAATTTCAACCATCTTTCACCACATGCTGGTAGAGTCTCTCCAATCATAATTTCATAAATTGAAGCACCTAGCGAGAATATATCCGATTTACTTAAATCAGATTAAGTTGTAAGCTAAAATCGTAAAACATTATACATTAGATAAAATTTCAGGAGCTAAATATCGAGAATCCCCTTCATTAATATCTTCTCCCTTTTTTAATTAGGTTAGTCTGGAAAGACCTAAATCAGCCAATTTATAGCAGCCTTCAACTTTGCTATATAAAATGTTATCAGGTTTGACATCAAAATGTGTTATTGATTATTCATGAAGAAATCTCAAACCTTTCAAAATATCTTTTAGTATCTTTTTAACTTCGAATTCTTCAAGTCTTTAATTTAATTCTCTTTTAGATTCCTAAATAATGATATTGCAAAATACCTAGAGGGAAGTCACATTGAAATTGCAGTATTCCATTTATAAATAATTATAGCACCTTTCATTCCAGGCAGTATAATATCTTATTATATTTTTGCATCTTCCTTTGGCAGTCAGATACGCAAGTGCCTAAGCTTCATTAAGTGATTCTGCTGCATCATATGATTTACCACATCCTTGAAGTTTAACACATTTTATCGCATATATTTGTTTATCAATATTATTTCTGCATTTATAAACAGTACCAAAATTTCCGTTGCCTATTACTGCCAATTAAGTGTATTCATTATAATATCTAGATTTCTCAAAGGTAGGACTTTCTTCTTCAGACTGATATTCAATATCCATAGCCCATGCACTTGTCTGAATACTTTTGATCGCACTCTTTCAGTAAAATATTATGTTACCTTCTTTTTTTTTGGAGTGGCAGTGCCCTATTTTTAAGCAGTTAATTCTTTATGAGATTTATTTCCCTTATTTTTTGGAGTGCTGGGAGGACTCTATTAGATTTAATCTAGAGTCATTTGATTTTAAAATCTATGAACTAAAGAACTTCCAATGCAATCGTTCTCAGAAGTACTTGGAGTAATATGCGAGTGATGATTTTTTTATTTGATTGGCGTTTAAGTCTTGATAGGTCTAATTATTTATTGAAATAGCTCTACATAATCTAGAATTTGAATTGCTTTTTGCCAGAATTATTGAATTGTTGTAATTGATCATCAATGATCACTTTCTTACACAACTCAGGTTCCATTGATTATTTTTCAGGGGTACTGAATAAATTTCTTGCAAGAGGAGATTAAAAATTCATTTCCAATTTGAATTTGAAAAATGCTACTTTTTATAATTAATTGATTCATGCTATATAACACAGTACTGTAATTTTATTTTAAATTTTATTAATGTCTATTCAATTCATAGATATGCGATTTAATTTATTCTTCATAATTATCATTACATAGCCAAAATAATTGAAAATTTAGGATGAATTCTAACTAGTATCGTTTGAAAATATCCTAATAATAGAATCATAAAGCAAATTTCATTTAAATTAGACCGTTGAAGACTTTTTAGACTCATTTTTCAATACCATAGAGACTGATGATTATCAAATAGTATAAAGAAAATTATAGAAGATAAAATTTATTAAAATACTCAATATCATTCATAATTTTATTTATCATAGCAATTAATTAATGAGGAATAGGTAAATCACATCTTCAGGCTAATGTATTAATTACCCAAAGCGATAAAAATGGAATCAAATAAAGAAATTACATTATAAATTGATATTTATTCTTATCTTACCTTTCCTTAATCCTTTAACATTATTATGTTTAAGTATTAATATTTTTTAGGAACCAATTAAGTAATTATGGATTAAGTCTCATTTTGTAAAGTAGTATCTGACTATATCTTGACCAATTTTTGGAATGTAGTTTGACTGAAAATTGTCATTTTTGAGGTAAAATAACTTGTAAACCATCTATGTTTTAGCTTCTTAATTGGGTTTAATCTGAAAATAGATCAATTAAAGTAGATAATCATGGCTTCTTGAGATGAATCAATTTTAATGGATTCTGAAAAGTAGATAAATATTCTAAAAAATGGCTCATAAGTTTTAAATAAATTTAGTTGAAGGGAATTTATGTTAGTTTAGTTTGTATTTATTATTGATTGGATTCTTTATAGAGCCTAAATAAATATTTTAATATTATTAAAATTCCTAAATAAAATTTAATGAATCGTTAAACAAGCTAAATTTCTCACAATTCCTCGACATAACTATACTATTCTTAGTATCTTAAGTAATAATAAGTGAGTCCAATTACAGAAAAATTTGTTGGGGAAGAGGTTTAAGAGCTTAGAAAACAAGTTTAATAACTCACCAAATAATTAGAATTCAAAGAATAAATGATCAGCGAAATGAGAGCACATTAAAAAATATTAATGAATAGGTTATCTGAACCAACTCTTTATTAAAAGGATAACTTAATAGAAAAATTAAAGGAATTTGAGGTGCAATTAAAAGAAAAAGAAGTTTAATTTCAAAATTAATTAATTGAAAACAGCTTGCTAGTGAAAGAAAACAAAAGTTTAAATCAAGAGATCACACGTTTGGAAAGTTTAATAAAAGATTCCTCAATACAAAAGTTCGTTAATTCAATAGTTGATCTTGTAATATAGTGTCATCCATAAAATCATTTTGCAAATTCGAAACCCGAATTGCGAGAGTGTTGGAGGTGGTTGAAAAAGATTCTCAATGATTACATACAACTTAAGCAAAGCATGCATTGATTATTTTTATTAAAATTATGAATAAAGATGGACTTGAAACTATAGTGAATTTTCTCCATCAAGTTAGGCAATTGTTGAAAGAAAGTAGAGAACTCAAACAATTGCTAACATCGAACAAGGAAACCATTAAAATCTAAAAGGAATAGGAGGTGTGTTCTGTGTTATTGAAAACATCTTTCAGCAGAGCAATACAATTTTAAATATAAAATGATATTAACCAATTGTAGAAAAGAGCATAGAGTTAAAAGCCAGAGTTCACACATGATTGCTTGATATTTTATGACCATTCTAATTTCTTAAATTATCTTTTGATTTATGATGAATATAAACAAGAAAGCAATTAAGAGAAGAATAACTATTACCTGATTAATGGGTTATGAATAAAGTTGCTGGTATTTAAATGCAATAATGATCCAAGAATAAGTAAATCATTTGTAATTGAAAAGTAAAGATATAGAAAGATAAATTCTATACTTAAAATTGTTATTTCTCTATTAATACATTAAGATAACATTTATTGATGGTTGATTGGATGATATGATATATATTAATGGTAAAAATATGAAATAAAGAGAGTAAGAAATAGTTTCAATTTTATAAATTGATATCCTAATACTATAAAATATTAATGTAAATTTACATATATCATTGAATTGTTATTGTAAGTAAAGAAAGAAAGATCTTAGTAAAATTAGAATATAATCTAAAATTAAGTAATGAATATCAATTAATGGATATGCAACATGTGTTAATCGAATTTTAATTTATTTTACCTAAATCAAGAATAACCCATTAATATTACACTTGGTTCTTTCAAACTCAAAAATAATTAATTTTGATAACACTAAATTATCTACAATTGTAAAATTCTGAAGAAGTAATTTTTATGGGATTGATTAAACATATAAAAAAGACTTTTATAGAAGGAAGAGAACACCAATGTAGAGGTTTTTATATTTTATACATAATGTACTTTCATTACTATTTCACCTTCTTGAATTTTGAATTTTATGCTAAATCTTATGAGGCCTATCTTTTATCTTCACCCTTTTGGAATTTCTGCATCCATGAGGCTCCCTAAGGTTAAAAGTCTGCTTCATCTTAATATTAGGCTTAATTGAAAACTGGCTTGGCTTTTCCTCTTTATGGTGCTTTCACGTCTCTATAGTTTACTCCTTCCTCTAATTGATGAACTCTCTTTTCTAAAAATGCTTTGTTGGTGACTCCAAATTCAGCATCTTATCCCTCACCTAGAATGGAGTAAATATAAAAATATACCTAAAGCATCATATCTAATACACAAGGCTGTTTTAGCAGCTAATGTTCTGGAGACTTTACCTTTCAATTTAGCAGGAGCACTTCCGACTAAACTGGCTTAGAAGATCAAACCATATTTTGGTGTGTTATGTTTGGTTCTAATGGCTTTGAACAGTGCCTTCTCTGCTCCTAAGATTTATACTGTAGAAGCTGGGTATTTAGCTAGATTAACCAGAGATCCAGCATGAGAAATCAATCTTGCTCCTACTAATTCTCCAACCATGGTTGTAAGATTTGGGGCGATGGCTTACATTCTGTTTTTCAAATACTCTGATAATTGGGCTCTGTAATCAGTCAATTCGATGACTTAGTCAGCCAAACAGAGAATGAACTTTTCATCTTCAAGTGTGATTTCAGTACCAAAAGACACTTCTGCAGCCTATTTGACATCTGCTTCTAGATTGTCTGGTAAAATGCCAGAAAGATCAGTCTAGCTTGTCTTGATTCTCATACCGATGGCCTTAACAACCTTAGCATATATTAGGTTATCTGTAATGATTTTGCCTAATTCTGGAAAATGCCATCCGAACCATTCTCTAAGTCTCATCATGTAATTGTTAATTTCTTTATCTAAATCATCCAAAAGTGCAATAGCTTGGATGATCATGGTGTCTACTTTTTCAGTTGAAAACTTGAGCTTGTATCTAGATAGACCATGTGCCAAACCCAAAGTCATGTTTTTGAGTTCAGCTTCACTTAAGCCTTCAATTAAATTGGTTAGTTATGATTTAATGCCTCTAAAGAGTTGTTCTGTGACTGGGGTTTAAACGCAAGTCAATCCAAGTTAATCTTGAAGCTATTTAGCTAGTTTTTTATCTTAAACTATAATAATGTATAATTTATTGATACCTGCAATTTAATCTTAAACTTCCTGTGAAATTACATTCTTTTCCAAAAACTTACTGAGTTTCTTGGGGATCTTGCCATTAATAAGCTTGCTAGTGGCAATGAGAGCTTCTTATGTATCCTTAAATTGTTGGAAGGCAAAAGGTGTAATCCTAAGATCATTTTATATGATAATGCTTACAATTTTTTAGCTTGCTTCTCATTTTGCAAGTAATCGTAGATATTCTCAATTTTGTTTAGTGCCTTAGTGTTAGCCACTTGAAAGAGGGCAAATCCTGCAGGAGTCTCGATTAATATTAACATATTAAAATATTTATGAATCTCTGTCCATATATTAATAATTTATCATTGATAGTAAAAATATTAAAGTTTCTATTTTGAACTCCTTTCTAAAATTTAGCTATGGAATTCAGAATCATATCACTTAATATATAAGATCCTGACTATTGAAGACTTAATTACGACTCATTAAATCATCATAATTAATTGATCCAAGAATTAGAAAATAGACATATGAACTTGTTTCACCTTTCATTCAATTAAGGTGTGAATATATAAATCTGTGAATTAACCATGATTTAATGTCATTTCTCATGTAAAATCAAAAGAAATCTTATAGCTTGATAAATTATTTATATGAAAAGCTATTAAAAATAAAGCACCCATATTAATAGTTAAGAGATAATTTAATGAATGAACTTTTAGATCACTCCAAAAGAAATATCTTAGATGAGATATGGAATAATATTTGATATTGAGGAACTCTGAAAATCCATTCTTATTAGTCTCGTAATACCAATAGTATTTTGATTTAGATGATTCATACATAATTAAGGCCTAATTTTCAGTTCTTTAGAATTTATGAAGATATAAACAGTATCTATAAACTAACTGATTATAACACAACAGAATTGGATACCATTCTCATTATTTGGTTAAAAGTCTGTCACTGTCTGATAAAAGAATCGAATCAGAAATTAAAACCTCCTGGAGAATTTGCAAATGATTGACGATGTATTTGAATAGAATATTTGATTCTTCAACTAAATAACAAATATAGTTTATATTAAAATTTATGTTTTTTAGGTATAGACATCTTTCAATCTGTGGACAAAGGAACACTCAAACAACTTTTAACATAAGTTAAATTTCTTTAAAAAATACACCCCCGATTAATAGACTGTGAATTGGTCTTGGTTTCATCTTTTAACTTAATGATTTATATTTATAATTATTTAAATGGAAGAACTTGAATAATACTATTAAGTCATCAAAGTCTTAGGAGCTGGGGGTTTTGGGAAGGTAGTTGAAGCTGTATACAAAGATGGGGGAAAGGAACATGTGGCTGTGAAAGTAATATCATAGTCGTAATTTTTAATTAGATTCTTCCCAAAAAAGATTATAAGGTAGCCCAGATCTTGTCGGAGGCCCAAATCCTTGCGAAGATGAATCATCCCAATATAGTTCAATTTAAGGGTGTTAGAGAAACAGAAAGCAAGCTGCTAATAGAAATGGCTCTTATCAAATAAGGTCCGTTGAAAGTGCGCAAATATACATAATAAGAAGCGAGAATCATTATGACCAGTATTTTCAAAGCAGTTTAATTTATTCATGAACATGGAGTGGTACATCGAGATCTCAAGCCTGAGGTAACTATAATTGAATTAAGATAAGAGAATATACTAGTAGAAGACTCTAACGATTTCAGTACACTAAAGATTGTCGATTTTGGATTATCGGCCGGACAAATTGTATTGCATGGACAATGTGGGACCCTTATTTATATGGCTCCAGAGCTATTTAGTTAGCGTGTATACTCTAAGCCAATAGATATTTGGAGTTGTGGAATTATACTTTACTAAATGCTAACAGGGAAACACCCTTTGTATAAAGGAGGAGAGCATTCTCACGATTATAAGAAGAAACTACTAGATCCTAAGTGGGATTTCCCTGAAGATTTCGATCCAATGGCAAAGCATCTATTTTTGAAATGCGTTTCGATGGATCCTATTCATAGATATAGTGCAAACTAAATCTTGCAGCATCCTTGGATAACTAATTCCAAAACAGATCCAATCCCATTAACTCTACCAGAAATGTACCGAGCATTCACTGCAAGAGAGTAGATTCTCCAGAAAATCAAAACTATTATGCTTCTAGTTTCAATGAAAGGATTGAAAGTAGATACTACGTAAATACAACATAATATATGAATCTTAGGTATTTGATGAAGCAATCCTAAAAGTTGTAGACTAACACTTCAAATTTACTAGATAAAGATTATATAAAGGAGATGCTTAGAGAACACTAAGCATTAAAAGAAAACCAAAATATTCCACCGATTAAATAGTAATTGAGATACGAGAAGATATTATAGGTATTGATTGTTTCTTATTCTTAAGAGAATCCAAGAAAATGGAGTGAAAGAACCTGAAGAAAAATGTATAACCAAGAATTCTCAACATATGCACACCAATGAAAATAGTCAACCTTCTTCCTCTCAAAAATCTTTGAACATCAGCGTTATTCATCATGATTCAAATAATAAAGATCAACTTTATATTTAAACTGGAAACAAACATCATTTTAAGAAGAGACTATTCAAGAAAACTCATCAAAGTGATAAAAAGAGATTATCAAATCCTTTTGAAATACCAGCACTTCGTTCCAGATCAACTACAGCTAATCATAAAACTGAATTGAAGTAGGTCTAACCATAACACTTTGAATCTCCAAAAAAACCGATCTCTATGGTTAGGCCCTTTAAACAACAGTTTAATACTTAACAACAATAATAACAAAGTCAATCTCCAATCAGAAAACCTCCAGATATCAAAAATAGGAGCAACAGTTCTACTAAAAAGTTAAGTATGGTAGAGTAGGAGTGTGTGGATGCTTACCGCTTTGATCAAGAAAGTATTTTAGATTGCTTATCATCTCATAGAAGTTGTACATAGTATGTTCATGCCGAGAGTGTTTAATAAAAAGATACTGCCCTTTTCAAGAAATTTTTAACAAAGACTTCCTGTTCAACCCCAAAGTTTAGAGTTGAACATACTTAAACCACCACTACCCAAAAAACTTATCTGATTATGTTTTATATAATATATATTTTATTTATCTTTTTTAAAGAAATCACATATTTTCTGAATTTTCATTTATTGGAATTGATACTTCCATCTCATCCATCCATTTCTCTAATTTAATAGCACATGCCAATCTGGAACTACAAAATCTATATAATTAATTACTGCTTGGCAACAGCATAATCTTATCTATTGATCACAAATTCTTCCAAATAAAATGGGTCTCTGATCTTTTCAATCCAAGGTGATGAAATCAGAATATGGCAGGATCCACATGAAGGACCAAAAGTGTTTGTCTACACTGGATCCTCCAAGATGCTATCCAATTTTTCTCCACCTTCACAGTCACCTTTTATATTAATATGCAATTTACCTGGTATATTTGTTACGCGAAACCTTCTAAGTGCAGACAAAAGGCTTTCACCAATATAGGCAGGAATTCTTTCGAATTCACCATCATTATAAACATTGATATAGATCCTACATAGATCCTTGACATTACATCTTGTCCTAAACAGATGGAGCAAAAATTGGGCCTGTTGGTTTGTGCTATCCATGAGCGAAACAGTATCTCACGATTCTTTATAGCATTTTAATAAAATTATTATATTAATCTAACTTCTAAAATAAATCAACATCAATTAATTTAGCTGTCTTTATAACCACATCAAGTCACCTACATTGAAATAGAAGTACTAAAGATAGCATTGAGTTTTTGATTCCTTACTTTAGAAGTACTTCCGTCTATCTGAACATTCAGCAACCTACAAGATATTTCTTTTACATTTTAGCATTCTAAAATGGGATTTCCAATTGAAATCATAATGAACACTACTAGACTCTTTAACTAATTTCTAAGACCAATCTAAAAACCAAGTAAATTTATACTTAATTATAATGGATAAAATTATTATACACATTTTGAGTAATTCTAGATTGATTTAACAAAATTGATAATCTGAATGAAAATAACTAATTGTATATACTCGTTTTTTTATTCATTTATTAAATAATGAAATTAATATTATTGATAACATTGTTCACAATATGCACATGTTTACGCTATGATGATGGCAACAGTGGTAACTCTGTAATTGAAGAATAAATTAAGGAGATTTAATAACATAAAATCGGTTAAGCCATTTTAAAGATGGCTGAGTTAAATTATAAATTACAAGGTCCTGTGGATGAACTTATTTCAACAATTAAAAGTTTTGGACGTTAGTTGATTGTATTTTTAAGAATAATATATAGGAAAGAGTGGAATAAGAGAACCTCGATTACGAGGCTATTAAAGCAGAAAGCGTTGTAAAAGTTCAATAATTAAAATAAATAATTTCAGATGCTGAAAACGAATAGAACAAGCAGAGGAAAAAAATTGGATAAGATCTTGAACTACGAAAGGTAATGTTGACTAATTATTGCCTCTTAGAATGATATCGAAAAAGAATTATTAAGATTGAAGGATTCTAAGCAATAAAACGAGTCTAGATTGAAAATGCAAGAGGCTCTACGCAAACAATAATATGAGAATTTCGAGAAATCCAAGAGAGATATTGGAGATTTGATTAAGATCACAGATGAAACCTTGAAGATGGTAGGATCCTTATTACCCAGACCAGATTGCAGTTTTATTGAGATGGACAAAATTCAATTGAGTAAGGAGGAATCAAAAGATTTGACTAGAAGATTAAGAAGTATTAAAGGAAGAGTAAGTTTTGGAATCAATTGTAGGTAGATGGATTGAAAGGTTATGAAAGTATGATGGAGACTTTGGTGCAATTAACCGATTCCAGTTTCAAATAGAGACACTTTATAAAATCGGTTTTGGATTTATTAAATAAGCTTAGAAAATCTTTGGTTGATTCTCAAAACAAATTAATAAACGATGAAAAAGAATAGGACAGAGCTTTCTCTTAATGGGACAGTGCTTAGGATGGGGAGACCAATGTTTTTGAGAGAGAATGGAATGATTTACTGGAGGAAAGAGAGGACATTCAATCATTCATTGCTGATTGCGAAAACATCATAAAGATCCATTAAGCTGATGTCGATTTATATGGAGAACGTGTGAAATTGGAAGAGCAATCATTGTTGATAAGCAAACAAACCCATGAGGAGTTGGTGAAACAAATAAATAATGAATTGGATATTATTCAGAAATCCATTAAGTTGTTGTATTCACCTGCTATTTTTGAATACTTGAAATACAAAATAAACTTAGGTCCCTGATTATTAGAATAATATACATATCGAAGATTTAATTATTTATTTTATCATGATATACGATCAACCTGAACACTTCGGACTTTTTGAAAAAACCTTTACTGCTAAAGAGAAAGAGGAAGTGAAATAATTCTTGAAATATGATAGACATGTTCCTTTGAAATTGACAGAACAAGTCTTCCATGCTGAAGCGTATTTATATTCTTCTCAACGATAGAGATGCATCGAGATTCGAAAGATTAGGTTAAGTTGGAGGAGCAGTCTATTCATTCTCATTCTTTTTCTTCCCAATTATCAAAGGTTTACCCATTAAGTAGAGACTCTTTTGGGCAGCAGTCCCAGGTGGCATTGTTGCATGGTTAGGATGGAGAATCAAGGAAGAATTAGAATGGAATAGAGTTTATAATTGCTATTAGAAATATCAAGTAGCTCATTCAATGCACAAGAAAGTGTTCATTTGAAAAATATAACATCGCAAATATAAATATATACAAAACCAAAATATCTAATTCAATAATTAATTTATCATGTTTTTTGAGTTAGACGACATCAGAAGACGACATTCCTTGTATTTTGATTGTTACAATGCTGGTGTATGGACAGATGCTCCAGAAAAGTATATTGTAGTTTCCATAAATTAGTTCATGGAGATGGAATTACACCAGAGGAGCAATATCAGGATTACTTGGTAGTGTAATTGGTGAGACTTGGCATAATTTCTATGAGAATTGGAAACTATTGTATCATTATTAGTCTATCAAAGGTTACGCTAGTATGAATAACCAAATACTGTGAAGGAATTGTATAATTTTAGCAAAGCAACAGTCAATCTTGAGAATTTCAAAAGATCAATGGGCACTAGAATGTAATTTGCCTTTGCTTCAGGTGGTATTGATTGGGCATTGAGATTGGCAGCATTTAGAGCAGTCAATCACGGATGGCAAAGTAATTTATTAATATATTAAACAAAGGAACTTGGGGTACATTCGAATATGGATTCTTGAGAAAAGTACCAGGCACTATGTTCATTTCTCTTCTTACTGCTCCAATCGGAATTCCCTTTGAAGTTGCTAGAATGGCTTATTATGCCGATAAGACTTTCCCAAAGGAATTGTAAAAAGGATATACCTCATTTTTCAATGCTCTTTGGAGAATTCCATTTGAAGAGGGACCATACTATTTCTTCAAAAATTCATTCCCTCTATTTGCTAGAAACTTCTTCTAAACTTTAACTCTATTATACTCTTTCGATTGGATGAAGGATAAGGTAATTATTTACAACTTATAGATTAATAGCTTTCTGTCTTTACAAGAGTTGCTGATATTCCATATTTCCCAGTTAAAGTTTTGAATTGTTTCTTGTCTACATATTTGGCTATCTTGACAAGTTATTCCCTCTCTTAGGTTACAAGAGAAATGGTAGAGTTATGGCCAAAACCAAATGGAGTATGTCCTTATGATGGCAATTACAGAAAGGCAGCTACTCATATTTGGTAATTGGAATCCTTATTATGCATATAGGTATGCTAGAAATCTCAATAATTACTTCCCAGGAATGTTAAGAAATTACGCTAGCAGACAATTCTTACCTATGTTTGTGACTCTTTGGTGGGCTGACTCTTTTGGATTGTTTACCTATTGGAAAATCGATATGTTCAGTGGTGCAGGATCAAACACATGGGAAGATTCATTTTGCTGAAATATTAATCAATAATACATAAGAATTATACAATAATATTTATTTATTTTTATATATGCCGTTTTTAATCAAGTTTCTATTCATAAATTAAAAAAATGAAAACAACATTGCTTCTAGTCTTAGTTGCTTGTGCTTTCGCCACAAACACTGCTCTATTTGACAGAATCGAATAAAGCGATTTGGGTAGAACACTTTTAAACACCATTGCAATTCAAATGACAACTGGAGAACCTCTTGAAAGAATTTTCTAAACTCTTTATGACTTGGAAGACAGATACATCGCTGACTAAAAGGAAGATGATGCTAATAACCAAGCCTTCTAATAAGTTTGTGATGCAGATTTGGCTGCCTTGAACCAAGAACTTGCCAATCTTGAATAAAGAAATACAGAATTATAAGCTGTTCTTGATGACCTCGTGCCAATCAGAGACTAAAAGATCGGATAAAAGAAAGCTAAGGAACTCTAAAAGGCTGAATTATAAAAGGTTATTGATGAAACAACAGCCAAGAGGTAAGAATAAGCCGATGACTTCGAGGCTTAAAGATAAGAGTACACCTTTGTTTCATCAGTTTTGGCTGAAGCAAGAAGACTCTTCACAGATAACCTCTAAGCTCCATCTTTCTTACAAAAGGGTGAAGAAAAGGTTCACGTTACTCCATAAATCATGGCCTAAGTTGCTAGTCACATGAGTCAAGGTGCTCACAAAGCCAGCACAATGAAACACGTCAGAACCTTTGGAAAAGCCATCAAATTGTTAGCCAATCTTGCCAACAGAACTTAATAATTCGCCAACTAAGAATTAACAGGAAGAGTCATCAAATTGATCGATGATCTCTAAAACCAATTGAGTCAAGCCTTCGATTTAGCCAGAAAAGCTGAAGACGACAGAACCAGAGCATTCTAAGCATATATTGGTTTACTCAATAAAGACATGAACAAATACAATTCATCAATCGCTAATTTGACTGCTGAAATCTAATCACTTTAAGACAGAATCGATGCTACTACAGCAAGCTAAAATGATGTCCTTTAAAGAATCTAAGCCAAGACCTAATAAAGAGATGACAGAAGAGGAGAATGCTAAGAAGCTGCCTATGATTATTAATAAAGAAGAGCTGCCAGAGACAAAGATAGATAGACCGTCAGTGACTTGATTGGTATCTTGAACACTAACATGAGAGATCTTAAAGAATACATTGCTTTAAGAATTGCTGCTGGTGATAAGAACCTTGAATGAAATTGATAAATTATAACATTAAAATAGTAACTAAATCAATTTCAAGTTTTAAATTATCTTCCATTCTATTCTAATTGCTGCATGAAATATAGTATTGCATCATATCTCACCAAAATAAATTCAGGTGAATTCAAAATATCACCAATTCTAATTATGAGTATTATTATGGATGATTTCTTAGCTATTACATTATTTTAAATATGTTTGAAAATAATTATCAAAACAATACACCAATATATTTTCTATATTTAGGTCCATTATCTATCCAAATAGGAATTTATATAAGTTCCAATTCAAATCATCTAGTAGATTTTTAATAATATTTTCTATTATTAATCTCATTAATTTAAGGTTGATAATATTTGTTTTGTTATTTCTTTTTAATAGAAATAATTTGATTAATTACTCTATTTAAAAATTCTACTATTTAAAGACATTCATTTATTCGATATCATCAAACTTAATATAATTAAGACTATTATTTCATTATTATCAATTAAGAATTCTTGATTTTCTTGATTTTCTATTAAAAATTCATTTATCCAAATTAAATTCAATCCAATGATCTATTTTGTCGGATTTTTCTCAAAGGATTTAAATCTGATTTAATAAACTTTAGACTAAACAAAAGTAAATTCGGAAAAGTGATTAAAAATTCTATCAATATTAAATTACAAAGGAAAATAAATTAAAAATAATCAAGCTCTGTAATGCTCAGCAGAATGATTATTTCCTCTAGATTTTGTTGGGGCATATTTTAAAGGCGATTTAGATGTGCTATGCTACTATATTCTTGCGATTGCGTATAATTTATCTGTGGATACTGATTAATTAAACATGAATTCTTTAATTTTACTTAGTAATAGATGTCGATTGAAATCTTCAGTCTAAATTATTGGATTTAAATACATATAGTTTAACTTTCTATTTATTTACCAAAGATTGTTAACTAGTGAGATTCGAGAGCTAGATTTTTGGACTTGTAGCATTGTCTAACTATGAAAATTTCTGTAATAAATTATTAGCTAAATTTAACTGTTATTACATACAATTTTTTTATTATGAAGAAATTATTCTGGGAGAGGATGCAGCTGTGAGATTCCTCGCTGCTTACCTTTGAGTAGAACTCTATCTTTCATACTTATCTATCTCATGCATTTGATTTATTAGTGAATATATTTTCCCATAATCTAATGGCTAAGTTTACAACAAACTCAAAAATGATTCCCAACATTCCATTATATATCCTTGTTAACTCATTGGATAATAAGACAAATTTGATCTTATGAATGAATCAAACATAGAAAAAAGTGTGTCCATTTAAATTATTTAACGATTAAAACTTATCTAAATAACTAAAAAGAAAACATAATATTAATATCAAAAACATAGGTTTATTTGGCACTTAATCCCTCTGATAATATTCTAGTAAGAAATCAATAGCATTTAGAACATATTATGCATTTTTATTGACAAGTTGAATTAGATCAAATGTGAAAATTGACACCCTCCTTAATTACACAAATATTAGAGAGTGAAAGTAAGATTGAATTGAGTGTAGAAGTTCATTTAAAAATAGAGTTGATAATACAATAATGGATATGCTGATGAATTTACTATTTTTTATTTTATTTAATACTATCATTTTCAGAACTTATCTAATGTAGACAAATCTTAAGGCAATTATTATAACTTATCAGGATATTGTTTAAGGATTTATTATAAGACCTAATTTTAGAATGAGCAATTACTTCGTCATCTGTTTATTTTTTTCCATCGCTTGTTTCTTCTTCTGATTTAACGAATGAGATGGCAACACCATTAGTCTCTTATCTTCCTGCTCTTCCTACCTAATTTGCTAATTGCAATTATTACTCTATGCAAATAGGTCTCCAAAGAATCAGGCATATCAAAATTGATAACATAATTGACTTTATCAATATCTATACCTCTTCCCATCAAGTTAGTAGCCACCAACAATCGGAAATGCCCATTTCTGAATTATTCATAGGTTTTTTATCTCATTTTTTAATGATCAGGACCTAGTCTATTACCTCCATAAAGTTGTCTAACAGACTCTTCTCCTTTCTTCTTTAGTTCTGTAACCAAAGCATCAGCTTTCTCAGAACTCTTAACAAAGATTATGCATTAGTTTAGTTTGCAGGTGTTTAAGATTTATCTCAAATAATGGAATTTGAGTGCTTCTGGCATCTTCATATAATATTGCTTTAATTTGTCTAAAAAGAGTTATTCTGGTTTAATAGTAATTTCGTAAATCTAAGGAATATTGGAGGGTATTACGTGTTTATTGTCAGCAATAAATCTTTTCAATGATGTTCTGCTTGATTCTGTGAATGTTGCACTAAATGCCATAAATTATTTCTCCTATGGTGACTTTAAAAAGATGTCCTAAATGTCCTTTCTAAAAATAATTATTTCCAAAAATCAACACCTCATGTTCAAATCTTCAATCATTGTATCGGCTTCATCCAAGATAAAGTACTTCAATCTATCTACTTTCAAAGCTTTTCTCTCACAAATCAGATCCTTAAGACGTCCTGGAGTACTACACATTAGAATGCATTTATACCCAACTATTATTTAGGGCTTTACAGTCTCGATAGTTTAGATATTCACAGATACAGGTTCACCTCCCCCATAGAAGCATTCCACTTTCACGCTTTTCATAAACTTTCCCAATCTCAAAAATTCATCTCGAGCCTAACATAATTCCAATTAAATCTTACCTATTGGGCTAACTCTCTTGTATGTGTAATTACGAGGCATTCAACTTTATTACTTTCTGTATTTATAGTATTTAACACGGTAAGCACAAACACAGCAGTCTTTCCAGTTCCAGCCTTTGCTTAGCAGATCAATTATTCCCCCAACAAAGCATGTGTCAATGACTCAGCTTGGACTTTAATAATTTACAATACACGATACCTCTTGTAGGATGCTCAAATCCAGCTTCTTTAACTGCTCTCAAGAGCTCCTCTTTAAGCCCATAGTTTTTAAATTAAGAGACATTGTAATTGTCAATTCTAGGATTCTCAATATTTGCTCTTACTATATGGCTTTGCCAGTTGGCTATTGTTCTTCTTTAAAATCAGGAATATCGTCCATTAATGCGCTGCTCTTTTGATAAAGATTTATATAAATAATATCCTAATTAAAAAGCTTCTATTTAAATATGCATTTTCCCTCTGTTTTCGAGAATTAATATCAAAATCTTAAATGAATAAAATTAATATAATCTCACTCATTCCAACATAGTGTTATTCATTTCCAAGCTATTTATCTACACCTTAACAAAAGCCAAAAAATAGCTATTCTATGCCTCCTCAAGTGTAATTAATTGGTCATAATATTATACTTTTATTACAAAATATGTATCATCAATCTATCTGCTTAAAATTAAAACAGATGAATACAAATTTATCTTCCTCAGAAAATGATTAATTTTCAATTTAACTTCATTAACATATGACAACGATGAAAAAATCAATTTTATTATTTTTTACATCTTATTTGATGAAAAAACTTTAAAATAAATTTGTAAAATCGTTTGATGGAGAATTTATTAAGGGTTACAAATGCAATAATCCTGTAAAATTAGAAATAACCAAATAACCCTTTGATTAAGGGAAAGGTTAATTGCTTATTAAATTATCAAATGTATACTAGAAACTAGACCGAATCCTAAAGAATCTAGTCTAGATCTACTGCTCAAAGTGTAATTTATATGATTAATTTATATTTGGAATCGTTTATTGCTTTTAAAGCAATTGCTGATGAAACTAGAATATTTGTAGACAAATTTAAGAGTTTTGTATAAATTTATCTCATCTAATTGAAACTAGAAATTTGATCGATTTGTATTCTTCCGTGTTTTCTTAATGCTATTAAAATAACATTCCTTCAATTTTCAAAGACATTCTTCATCTTTTTACAATGAGTTTTATTCAAGAGAAAATTATTTATTTTTAAAAAGAAGAATAAAATCATAATAGATGTTTAATGCAATTCTTGTAAAATATAAAGGAAAATAAAGAAAGTCTGAGATAAAAGTATTTTAATTTAAGTGATGAATTAATTAATTGTAGTTAATGATAACATATATATTAAAAAGGAACATATATATTAAAAAGAGAACATATTTACTAGTGAAATCTTTAAGGAATATTTAATTAAGATGAAAGAAGTTTAAGGAAATAAAATCTCAAGGATATGTATGCATTCACTTGTATATAATTAATTTATTATTATTATTGATTTATTATTGTACTATATGAAACTTAATAAATGCTCAATCAAAGAGACCTCCCATATCAACATCTTCTTCGGGTTCTTCAACCTTCTTTGGTGCTTCAGCCTTTGGTGCTTGAGTTGTTTAGGCTGCTGGTGTTGCTTAGGCAACTGGGGCTGAGCTTTATGCTAAATACTTAAAAATTAGAATTACAAGCTCCTCCTCCAACTGACAAACTTGTGAGTTATTTTGAACCTTCCTTTATAACATCAGCCAAGCTCTTATCTTTTAATGCATCGACAACTAATTTGACATCTGCAGCAACTGGTTCGACTCCAGCTTCTTTGAGCAATTAAGTAACTTAAGCCTCAGCTATTGGATAGAGATGCAATAATACTGGGTTTGTTGTTTCCTCCTAAAACAAGCAAGGCATATGCAGCAACGTACTTCATTTTATTATTATTTAAAAATTATTTTTAAATATGATGCTACAAGATTATTGTTTATTTATAATTTCTCATTAGAATGCAATTTTTATATTGCATTTAATCTTTATTTTATTAATTCTTCTAATCAATGTTATCCCTGGGACATTAGATATAATAAAAAACTCATCTCAACATCAAAATGCTTAGCTTTCTTTATATGCATAATATGTAAAATGAAGAATGATTCATAGAAAAGAGATTGAAATATATATAGAATAATTTAATTGGGGATTCTTATAAGATGGGTTTTTATCATTAAATAAATAGATATTATGATATTAATAAAACTATTAGATAAGCACTATTTAATAGAAAAAATTAGAAGTAAAATAGATATTAAGCATTAAAATATCAAATAAATTTTCATCAGAAATCATAAAGATGCCCATTTTATAGAAAATACTTGACATCGAATTAAAATAATTTAAGCAGTCTTTTTATATTTTGATTAAGTGGAACAAATCCTATATCTTCTTCCTCTGATTTATGTTTTTGTTTTTCTCGATTGATGAGGTGGACAGTTAAATCTCGATTGCAGCTCCACTAATTAATGAGTACTCGATGTTACGAGATGTGTCTGCTATCAAATACGGGTAATCCTTTTTGCCATTTAAGAATATTGTCTTTTTAAATGATTACATCTAAATCCATATCATCAATACTAAATGAATCCTAGTCATTCAATTATGCTTTTAATTTTTATGTATTTAAATATGATGAAACTCCAGCTATTCTAATGTTAGATTCAGCAGCCTCAAATTCTCCTTACACAAATTTCGAATGGAAGAATTGAGCTCTGTCAACATCTCCTCTATAATAAAAGTTGATGGCAATCATGTCATAGCATAACAATTCATAATTTCTATCTTTAACAACCCATGATAATTTTAACAATTTCTTAAGATAAATAGCTTCTTTATCCAAATCTCCTAAATCTAAGGCACATCTAGCTAATTACCGATAAGCCAATAGTTTATATTTTTAAAGCTTTTTCCCTTGTAAATTACAAGTTCTCAAGAACTTTTTCCATATATTGTAACCCTCCTTTCTTCTACAATATACAAATTGTATTTAAGTTTAAAAATAGATTGCCATGAAATAAAAGCTCACAATCCCACATTATTTGCAGGCATTAACAAGTTTTTCTAAATCAGGCAATAAGGTTTCTAATTGTTCAATTAAGACTGATTTTATCAGGGTCGAAAGGATTGTATAGATTTCTTCAAAATGGTTTTTGTTAATAAATGTAACAGACGGGGTGAAATCGTTTAATTACGAAAGAGATCCTATAAGAGTGAATTTTCTAGCTTATTCCATTTTTTTTTATTGTTATTACTTTAAAAAAGGTAGCAAAATACTATCTTTTCTATTTCTTCTCTCTTTCTCGATCTTTTCTGTTGCCAATCTCGTTTGGGAGGCTTCTCGAAGAAAAACAAAATCTTAAAACATCTCATTATTTTATAAGCCCCTCCATTCGCTCTTCATTTTAAGTAATTCTTTTTTTTCATCAACAAATTATGTTTATGTTAGCATTTATTTCATCTTTGTAAAAGATGCTGTAGTTGATAATGAGCTTGAGTTCATAATGTGAATTAAATATTAATAATATGTTTAATTAAACGATTTACAAATTATTTCTATATACTCAAGGCTTAAATATTAATATCAAGAGTTTGCCATTACTAAATGAAGAAAATAGTATAAGTGTTAAATAACTAATGTTGATGTGTTTTGATATTCTTTTGACTAATATTACTAAATTATATTAAATAAATTGATTTTTAAGATTATATAGAGTAATTTTGGAATAAAATTTAATTTGGATAAATTTTTATATTCATAGAGATGAAACTTAGATTTATAATAAGTATTGTACTTAATGAATTTATTGATTAATTCCTCTATTCCTTAAGTTAATAAATGATTGAAAAAAATAAGAAGTTTAACTATAAGAATATAAAGCTAAAATTTTAATGATAACAAAATGATAATTTGGAATAGAACCCACTTTGAAATTATATTAGTTAGAAGAAGTGAGTTCGATTAATTTACTATTTAAGTAAGATTTATTCATTTTTTACCTGCAAATTATTTTAATTTGATATTCATTTATCTTGTTCATTAAGATTGAATTCTTTAATTATGGATTTTCTAATTATTTCAGATTTATATTGCCATCTCTTAAGCATTTAACCAATTTGTACTTTGTAGAAATTGTCAGTTCTTAGATTTCTAAAAAGAAGATTATATTTTAAATTATTTATGACTTTAATAATGTATTTGAAATTTATCAGAAATAATTAATTATTTGATAATTTGCCTGAGAAGAAATATTTTAATATCTAAAAAATAACATAAGTATTGAAATATTAAATCGTTATAAGTCTTATCCGAATAAACGAGTTATTTAAATTAATTCTAATACTTAATAATAAAAGGGAGTATTTATGCAAATCAATTAAATATTTAAAATATCTTCTCTTAATATAATTTATGTCTAATAACTATTAGTAACCCGATGCAAGTGTTGATGAAAACAAAGAAAGTTTCACTTCCCTGTTAATGATGAGCGAACAAGAATCATAAGAATAAGGTAGTTTTAGTAACTATTTGTTAGCTTTTTCTAATTACAGTACTTAAAATAATTACCTGAATCTTTTCAATTTCGATTGTTAAGAGAATTCTAGCTACAATGCAGAGAGCTTAAAACTCACAATAACAAAAGGGATATAGAAAGATCAATTTCAAAAAAATATCCACAACAAACACTTAAAGAAGACATAATACAAAAAAAAGGTGAAAAGAATTAAAGAATTCCAACTCCAAGAAGACATAAGACTCCTAAAATTAGTCTATCAACACGGAAGATAATTTTCAAGAATAGTAAAGTAATTCCCCAAAAGGACTGTTAGTATGCTTAAAAATAGATATTATAAGAACCTAAGATATAGATGGGAGGAATTGATGGGAATGTAATACATATATATATAAAATAGCAAATACATAGAAAATGAGAATGAGGAGAAAACTAACAATTAGATCGCTGGAATCAATTAGGACAATCATTCTGTTGATCATCATGACTTAATCAACATGTTACCAAATGTATATGGTTGTCCATCAATATGTAACATGCTCTCATCATTCATTACAAAAATGGATTCATTTCTCAAAACACAATTTTGATCATAACAACTAATTTGATAGAGTTTTCTATATTATATTTTATCCAAAAATTTATAAAAAGGCTCTTGTTATCTGTCCTTGAGACTAAAGCAAAAATTCCATTATTTATATATAAATAATAAAAAAACTGAAATTCCGATAAATTATTTGTTATATTAGAAGGTACTAGTTTTTAACATTTTAAAGTTTAATTAAATTGTTAATGAGTTATTCCAGCACTAAATATGACATTACATAGTATGCCTATGATTTAGAGAGTGAATCTTATGCAGTAGTTTTTGATGAATAAAGTTAATAAAACTTAAAAAAAATATACTTCAAGGTTATTCTAAAATTAATTGCTTGATCTTAATAAGTTCTATGATTTGCGTAAGAGATTATTAATATCAATTAATTCATCACTAAAATTATATTTATTAGTTGATATAAATTTCCAATTTGAATGCAGAATGTAAAATTAAAATCAAAAAAAGGGATAATTCTCTTCTTTTTAATGATGAATTGATCTATATTTTTTAAATATTCCTTTTAGGGCAGAACTTAATTAAGAAATTTATAATTACAAACGACATTCATTTATAAATATATGATAAAATTATCAAGCTTTTTATATTTATTGCTTTCGTAAATACTGTGTTTAGATCAATGGTAATGCACATGTGAATAGTTAATGACAGAATTTGATTGCATGACATAGTAGAAAAATAGATTCAAATTGGGAGAGATTGACTAATCATCTATTTGCTTTTGGTATTAAGAGAAATGCTAAAACTTAATGAATTTTCTATCTGATGTCAGTTGTACTAGTTTAAGCAACTAAGAATGCTCATTTATAAGTGAAACTCTATTTACAATCAATCCAGTTTGTGCTTGGTATTATAAATCAGATGGTGGACAATGCACTAAATTTACAAGGTGTTAAGATTATAAATACTCATCTGAACTTATAGCTGAAGTAGAATGTTCAAATATCGGGTGTAACAGAATTAAAAATTAATGTTCATTTGATTATAGAGGAAGATAGGAATAGTATTGTTCAGAAATTGGAGATCAAAAGATTTGTGATATCACTTTTTTAAAGGATAAACTCACAATATGCAAGTGGAATACAAGTACTAAGAAATGCGGAGGTTTTAATTTTGAATAATGCTCTGATTTAACAACTGAATACAATTGTGATTTGGCAAATACCTTTTGCAGATGGAAGGACTAATTATGTGTAGAAAGAGCTTGTGCAGATAAAGAGTCAGAATATAAATCAGGCAGTTAAATTTGTGTATCATTTTATAGTTTGACAACTAAATAATATGTCTAATGTGTAGAGAATAAAAGTGGAGATTGTATTGAAAGTGACCCAGAATCATTACTTCCATATTAGTGCAATTATTTTAGTAGACTTACTTATTTATGGAACACAACTACATCCTCTTGTACTCCATGCTTATACGTTGGACATAGTGATCTAATCAAAGTTGTTGTAATTGTTTTATTTGTCATTTCTTTGTGATCATATTTTGAATATATATAAAATATAATAATAAATAAATTCAATGGAATATGATATTAGAAAATTGGAAGATAAAATAAGAAAAATTGAGAATGAATGTGTTGAGTTATAAACTAAAATTGACTACTCAATCAAAAAAAAACAAAGCGTTTAAAAAAAAAATGAATTTCTAAAACAAGTAATTGGCAGACTAAATGACTTATATACATGAATTTAACATATGCATATTTAGAATAGTCATAATTTGTATATTTCAAATCCAACTTCACGTGATGAAGAATCTATATCTATGTTTCATAATGATTTGACTCTTTTTTTCTAAGAATTTCTAATTCTAATTTTTCTATGTTTTGGAGGTAAAAAGTAATTGATTTTAAGTCTGCCTATATTTATTGAAAAAAACAATTATTTGAGTCCTAATATTGATGAAATTATGACTATTCAGAATTAACAAATTAATTATATGTTTTTGGAATAATTATAATTATGTCTTAGTAATAAATATTGATTATACATTACTGAGATAACACTCTTTTTTTATAATCTTTAGATTTAGAATGATATGATACCTCACTTTTGACATAACTTTAAGAGCTTAGAATTACACTATTTGTATTTAATAGTGGCACCTTATGCACTATCCCAAGCCTTCCTTTACCAATTTAATAAATTAATTCGAAATTCTAGGGGTTTATCTATTTAGATATTAATAGTATATCAATAAAAGTGGTAGAGTTGAATCCTAGGGATTTTACTTTTCACCTCTTCCAATTATTAATATATGGGATAATTATTGTAGAATTGAACTCCAATAAAAGAATTATTTTTAAAAAACAGAACTAATCTTAACTTTCTTATTGATGTTGAAATTAGTATTCCTATCAAGAAACTATGAATATAGTAATTATCTAAGCAATCTTTATCAATTATTAATTATTCTACTTAATACTATGATCTATTATTAATTACTGGATTCAAGGATGTCTAAATAGATTTCAATAAACACTTGATAGTACTAATATGATTACTTATTTCAAAATATATTAAAAATTTAAGAAAAATACATCATTTTTACAAATACTAACACCTCTCTTTTAATGTTATTTCAAATCTTTGCAATGATTCGTTCATTTCTTCATAAGCTTTCTGATTACAAGATTGTTCATCCATTTCAGTTTATTAAGTATTAAAACTTTTTGATCTGACATTTTTTGCGGATTACTACTTTTATCTTGTTTACATACTCGTTGAACAATCGTATTTCTTCACGTGCTAATATAAAGTGGGGCAATGGTATTATTCAAGAGTTGTCATATTCAATAATACCATTCCTTTATATTCTGGCCTCGTCTATCGTAAGAAACTAATGTCTCGACCTTAAACATTCCCCTTAGATGATTGCAAAGATTTATGTTTTAACAATTTATTTCTAAAATCTACTTATGCTTAAAATTTCATCTGCTAAAGTTCGATATCAGCTTAGAAGTTATTATCAATTTAGCTAATTGCTTTCTTCTGTCTATTAAAGGTTTTGGGTCCGTAGATCTATTTTAAATGTTTCTTGTCTAGCAGTTCCAGATGATTCCACTGATTATCAATTGAATTTTCCTATTATTGCTTTCATAATTACCAAGTGCGTAGGAGATCTTTAGAAAAGAGGCAAAGTCAAATCCTCATCAGTAATTGCATACTTACTTGTCTCAGTTGGCTTCTATTTGCTTTTAATTTCTAATATAGTTCTTCTAAATTCATTCCGCTTTAATCTCAATTATGATTCATATTTAAACTTTTGGAATTATTCAATGTTAGGTTACTCATTAGGTTTCTATTGAGAAAAAGCAATTTTGGAAAAGAACTGATTTCTTTTGCATTCCATCAAAAATATACTTGTTATTCCAATAAGACTGATCCTTTTTTGTAATTGTAGTGCTCTCTGTGGGTATCTCATCTTTAATAAAATCCATATAAGCTTAGGGACCTAATTTTCTGGCCTTAAACATGGATTAAATATTATTAATAATAATCATTATAGTTAGATGTCGTTAATATGCCAGAAGCATTTCTTATAATACTCCTCACTAGATTTATGATAAATTCATGCTTGCCACTGAAATCTGTCTCATGATTTTCAGAATCTATAAAGAATTGGTTTCCTTTCACTCATTATTGATGCGACAAATTCCTTGTAAATTTCATTCTTTATATAATTTAAAGACATATCATTAGATGCTTTAGATACTCAAATAATTTATTAAAATAAAGTGGTCAATTTTAATAGGTAGAAGACTACTATTAATTTGATAGAATAGGATTTGTAATTATTATAATCTTATTTATCAAATGAAATTGTAGAGTTTCCAAACTTTTGAATGATATTTCTTTTGGTCAGTAGATATAGTGAAGGAAGTGTAATAAATAGTATATTTCAGAGGTGTTTTTGATCAGTTAGTAAATATACAAAGTGAATCAAATATTTAATTGATTGTTTTTTTGCAGATCTAAGAAATTAAAAATATGATATCTTATTAGTTTTATCTTAATTTTCAAAATAAATATAGGATAAATTAATATAAAGTAAGAATTTATAATGATCATGATCATCTTCTTGGCTTTGGAATTTTGGAATAGAGAATGGCCTACCGTTATTCAGCAACTTGTTTATAAGTAACTGGCTATTCCTTAGATTATGACCTTATCTTATTATAAGAGGATAGCGTATCAGCTTGGATATTTTCTTTTTCAATTGAAATGTTGATTTATTTAACAGGTCTTGAGTCATATTATTTTGCATCATTCTTTTAATCTGGTTTGTTTGATATTGTTTGCGATTACTGAGTATTAGATTATTTAACTTTACTATAACATCCAACATAATGCTAAGGTTTTAATTTTGTATTAATTTCGCAATCCTATAGAGTCTTGATATTTTGAAGTCCTTGACATGCAGAAAAAGATTTACTACGTGAGACCTATAAATCGACACTGTTTTCTTGATGAACAGAAGTTTAAAGATTCTGTTTCCTTTGAATTTCAAATTCTAACTATTGCATCTTGCATTCTGCATTAGAGAGTTGTCCAAAAAGGTAATTATTCTACTCTCTTAATTCGTCAATCTACTAATCTAATATCTTTCTTTGATCATCTAATTATTACTAGTACTTTTATTTTAAATCTCTATATCGTTATTGATATAGTTCTTCGTTTGATTTCAATCTACTCATGAACTCTTATTAGAAAGTCGAACTTTGTTATAATTCTTCTTCCAATTCACAGATCCTTCTTTGGTATTCTTCTTCCTGATTGATTATGTTTTAAGTTAACAATTAATATTCCTCATACTCTTATTTTATTTATTGATAATCCTATTAATCATTTCTCATGGTTTCTTGTAATTTGTTTTATAGATCCAGGTATTGTTTCTGCAATTCTTCGAGTGCTCTATGCAATTCAATGACGTCAGGGATGTTTTCCTGTTGATTTTGAAGGTTCTATAGATCTTCCTACAATTATTAATTTTAGTATTCCAATTATTGATTTCTACGATTGACTTCAGATAATTATTGGCTGTATTATCTTTCAGTATCGAATAGCTTTTTTTATAGTTCTTAGATTTATTAATTTTTTTATTCCAATAAACTCTTTTACTTAACAGAGCTTTTATCTAGGTTGTTCTCTCTAATCACATCAGAATTTTTTAGTTCATATCCTGTTTTTAAATACTTTTATTCTAATCTCATCATTGTTTATTAATTTTGCTGGCATCTCTCCTACATTTCTTTGAGTTCTTATTTAAAAAAGTTTTCATCAAATTTTGAACTGTCATCAAGCTATCTGCTTCTCTTTAAGGCTTAATTTACTTATTCCTCCAACTCTTCAATCCTTTTCAATTCTTTATCAGTCTGTGACATTTATCTAACGGATAATAATTAAATATTTATTTATTATTTTATGTATTTGGAAGCAAAGCAATATAACTGCTCTCTCTCCTGATAAAGTTACGAAAAACCAAAGAAAGATTTTCAGTTAAAACTAGTCTTCATATATCTTAAATTGAAATACTTTTAAAGGTTATTAATTAATTATTAAATTATTTAATGAAAAGGAAAATTTTTCTTGTTTTAACAATTATTGCCTCATTTATTGGATACTTGAGATAAATTTAAATTAACGAGTAAGTTCAAAGACTTCAGTTCGCACCAGAAGTCACTACACCTGGCGATGTATTGAGGGATGGGAAATTAGTTGTAAACGGGTTTGCAAGAAGAGACATTAGGAAATTTGATTCTTCCTAAATATCTTTACTAAATCGATTATTTCGATTCAAGTAATGGGATTATTTCCATTTGACAACATCCGAAGTTTATATAGCCGTAGCCTTTGTGGATTTAGGATACGTCCAAAGCATCTAATTTACATTTTATTCGGTGAAAGATAACTACTTCATCCATAAGGATAAAGTGGTCTATCCATTCTAATCTAGACAATTCACTTTAGAAGATGACTGCACTCTCAAAGGTAATTTAACAAGAACATTTAAATCTGATGCCATCAATGTCGAATACAAGGGATGGTTACATAATGGTGTTGAAATGAGAGGAATTTAAATTACTTTTGACGGATTTGAAGCCTCCTTTGTTATGGAATCACATTAACAAGATGATCTCTTCATTTTGAAGCCTTTTACTCAAGAAGGAGATAAGTTTTTCTACAGCAGAAAAGCCTATGGATGGCATTCATATGGTTAAATTAAATATAATTAATAAATCCACAAATTTACAAAGGCAAATGCTGGTATGGACTACGGAAGAGGAATCTTCAATTATGCAACATTCTGGTTATGGGTCTCAGGTATGGGATTCTCATAGGATCATAGAATCGGATTTAATTTGGGAGCTGCTGGAGACAATGTTAAAGGTAAGGAAACATCAGATGAGGGTATATTCATAGATAACTAATTGTACGTTCTTAGTGATCTAGAGTATAGTTTTGATTTGAATGATCTTGAAAAAATTATAACTGTCAGAGGAAAAGATTTTTATTTAGAATTTGTTCCCAAAACCACTCATCTTTTCACTGAAGATTTATTATTGATAGACGTTAAGTTTAGACAGTTGATAGGAGTATTCAATGGAAAATTTAAGGATATTGAATTTTCAAATATTGTTGGTCTTGTTGAACTCAACAGAGCAAAATGGTGATATATCAAATAAGAATATTAAAATCATCAAGAATCAACTTAATCATCATTTTTAATTTCTTAATAAACATAAATTATTATTCTTCTCATTTTGATAATTCTTGCCAGTTTTATTATCAAAGTTTTGTTAAGAAAACTAATATATTATATAATTCTAAATCAAATTAATTTGATGATAAATTATTCTAGTTAAAAATCCTTATAAGTTCATCATATGTAATATAGTATATATTTATTATTTATATGCGAAATTATTAAGTTTGTTTAGAGAAATTGATTGAATACTCATTAAGTCCTCAAATTAGAATGAGACTTAGATAATAATTATAAAAGAAGTTGAATTGTTTAATTACACTTAATTAACATATATGTTATCTAGAACTATGTGGATGAAATAATAATTGATTTAATATTATTATTTGGATCATAATATGGTGATATTTCCATTATTTAGACCATTATGTTCTCCAACGATGTGGGTATCTGAGTATGGGACGACTGGCTCTTTGAAGTTTGGATTCTTTTGTAAAGCTTATTTGGTTAGGTTTTTCCACTAATCATATGAATACTATATTAATACTTTCTCTTCAATTTTTAATCTGTCTTTCTTTTGATTCTTGGCATCTTAGATAATATACAAATATTTTGGATCCTTGTTATTCAAAGCCTTATCAAATGCTTGGTAATCGATTTCCTTTAGAATTGTTTTTAAGGCATTCAAGGATTCTTGTAATACCTTATGCCAATGGGTGTCAGCTATTTAAGCAATAACTGGAACTAAGAGTGGGAATGTGAATGGTTTGTAACTCTTTAGAATTGTGAGGAAGTAATCATTTTCAAAGAAGCACATCGCTCTGTCAGCCACTTATAGATGTGGTCCAGCTATACATTTGATTAACCTTTTAAATAGTTTTGGGATCAAAGGCTCTAATTTTGAAATTTCACAGACCTCCAATACTTCTAAGAGTTCGTTGAGAAACATCACCTCTTTGGCTGAATTAGCAAATGGCCAATACCTAAGCAGACCTTCCACTAAGAATGTTGCTAAGGTTGGGTCCTTGGATAGAAAGAGCATTGAGCATCTTAACAATTGTTCATGATAGAACTGGCAAGTTTAAACTTTATGTAGAGGAATGATGACAGTCTTAAAGAATATTACATGTTCTTCTCTTAAAGGAACTGCAAATCCACTAATGATGCTTGCCAAGATATCTAAGAGTTCGGCTGCACCGTTAAATTTATAGGTTTCATGAATTAAAGTGTAGAAGCAATCATTTATTGCCTTTCTAATCATTTTCCTTCTTGGTACTAATTTAGCATAGAGTCTATGCAAAATATTCTTTAGGTACTCCCTCTCTCGAGGTTCCTCAGAATCAAATAATTCAAGGAATTCTTGAATAAAAGAATGTGTAATGAAAATCTAAAAAATTTATAAAAGAAATTACTTTAAGTGATTTTACATCAGGTTGTTCATTAACAATTAATTGCAGGAAATATTCATAAACCGGCTATAAATGAGTCCAGGCTGGGTCAATGAGTTGCTATTTTTATAAAGGGAATAATTTACATCATCATCTTCCATTCCAATTTCTCCATTAGTTGCTGTTTTCTTTAAAATTGGTAAAGGTCTAAAAATGTTCTTTTCAATCATTTCTATAATCAAATCTAAATGAGGGACAACCAAATTAGCCACAAAATTAGGTTCCTTAAGTAAATCAAATAATTCCTATAAGTATTATGAGCGTTCCTATTTTTCTTTAACATTCTTGGTGTCATCATTAAAATCATAAGGTTAAGAGCAAAAATGAATTTTCTTTAAGAATTAGTCTCTAATTTCCTTAGGCACATGTTTAGGATCTGTTACTCTGGCCATATTTTGAATCATTTATGGAGGAGCCTAGTATATTAATTATTATTACTCTTGTTTGCTGGGTGTTAGTGGTGGCCTAAGCTTACGATCTCCCTGTTGCAGTTGATTTTGAACTAGAAGTCCTTGACATTATTTTTATATTTGATTTTTAATAAAGATGTGTTTTGAATATTTATATTACACGATTTAATAATCGTAAAGTAATCTCCTTTTCATTTACACCAATGATCTTATTGACTTAATAGAGAACAAACTACTACTCTCATATTCAACCTGATTCATATGGGAAGAAATTAAAAAGAAGCTGTAAATTTTGATCGATTGATATTTCTATTTTATGCCACAATATTTAAGATTTCAAATTCAATTGATTTCTTAATACTGGATGAACTGTTATGACTAAAATAAATCAAGATTAATATTCCACTGCTAATATTCTACATGATAGAATATTTGAATAAGTGTATAAATACCATTTTTTAATTCAACTATTATATACTAATGTATTACTATTATGGAAGTATCAAAAGTAAGAGTGGAAATAACATTTGAAGATGAGATTAAGATAAAAAATAATTCACAAAATATAAATAGTAATGGCCACTGCCATAGCCTAATTTGATGGAAATTTAAGTAAATATTATTAAAAAGAAGATGATTCTATCGCTTATTAACAATAGGTAGATTAGTAATCATAAAAAGAAGAGATGAATAATCATTGTACTAAGCAATAATTATTAAAATTGAAATTGATAAATTGTAACATGAAGATAACCTAAAAATTGTTATAGATTGACCTCTTAAAGTATTATTTGGTAATGCATTAGAGAATTATCAAATTTATGGTATTCCTAATAAAACCTAATAGAATTAAGCATATTAGCCTTTACTAATTTAATAGAATGGTAAATTATCAAGAATCCAAATAACAGAGGAAATTTGAACTTGTTTAAAATTCATAATATAATAACATACTTCATCTTATTAGTTAGCGTATTGGTCTTTTCCATAATATACTTTGACTTTCTTAGATGAAGTTTCTCTATCTTAAACTATTTTAGGTAATAAAATGATCATACTAAATCTAAAATTTTTCAATTGGAAAATTGCCAGTATTATGATATAGATTGTAGAAGATTTATAGTTAAGAACTTAGAACCTTGAATGGCCTCTAAAATGTACAATGAATATCTTTCTGTACAATCTGGGTAAGTGAATGAGCATGCATATATATATTTATGGCTAGATACTGAATAATACTGATTACAAGAATGGATGTTGTTATGCAGTGTCATCTTGAATAAAAAATACAGAAACTGTTGATCTATTTTATATTGTTGCAAATAGCATCATATGTTAGTATATTAGACTCAATTAATCTCTTGTTCAGCTTCACTTCTAAAGAATATAATTTTTCCGCCATATGCAACACTATCAGACCAAGAATTGACAGGGTATAGAGAGCAGAAGTGAACTTGATCGATAGCTGGTATTATTCTATGAGAAGTGGATTTTTTTGTAATTCTCATAATTAGTTGGTTTGTATTTTGAAAAAAAATAGATGTCATCTTCCTTATTTTATGATTTTATATTCTACATTCGTATTAGTTTAATTATTATCTAGGTAGACAGGGGATTGGGCAGATTTTCCAAAGTAATTTTCGTGAATTTCAGGAACAGTCTTTACCATTCTTAGTGTAATCTTATTCATCACTACCATAAACTGCTAGTATGGTTAGTATTAATAATGGGAAAATCATGAATTAATAATAATATTATTATTTTAGTTGGATTCGGCATTAACAAAATATATAGAGGAATTTTGATCATAAGATTAGATGAATTTTAAAATAACTTATAAAACATTGTTCAAAATATGATGCATTCCTTGCATTATTGACATCGTTATTAATTATCACTTGGCTTACTGTATTCCTATATATATCTCTACATAAATTCAATATACTTTGGCCAAATGGTATCCCCTATCTATTGTAAACAGATTTACTATATGATTTAATTTCCGCAATATTTATCAATTACTTTGCAGCCGTGGACAATTCTCCTGCCAGTTGAATGCTGGCATCAATCAAGTCAAAATATCTGTGATATAAATCAATGATATCTCTGTCAGTATGAGGCTGTTGTTTCTTGGCGATATCATATAATGCATTTGTTTTTTACAGATAATCAAATGCAAGGATCTATCTTCCTGCCTTAATTAATAGCGATTTACCCTACACTTCCCTTGAGGACAAAGCAAGCCCTCTCCACCCTTTTTTAATCAAGCAATTATACGGCTAAGTACAATTCTTGTAGTTATTTTTCAAAGGTCATGTTGATAAATTTGGAAATGATGGACACATATATCTCCTCACTTCCATATTCGATCTTTCCTTGCTCATAATTTATGGTTTTATAATCCATTTTAATAAAAATATATTTAATTATTATTGCCAATCTGAAGATTAATTTATAATTTCTAACGATAATATAAACTTTATCTTTTGCATAAATATGAGTTGGATTACTATAAATAGTTAAAACGATGGTCCTGGGGGCCGATGGGGACACTCATGTATAGCCTTAGATGAAAAACTGTACATTTTTGGAGGATTTGGTATAAAGTAGAATTATAATCAAGATGGCAATTATCTAAATGATTTTTATTCTTATGATTTTGACAATAACTTATGGCAAACCATACTATAAATAGGTTAAGTGCCAGAGCCACGATCCAACCATATCATGTTTATCAATAACGGAACCATATATATTCAAGGTGGTGGAGGCTAAACTAAAACTCGATTTGGAGATCTCTATTCATTTAGCAAAAACACTTGGATTAAATAGAAAATCAATTTGATACCTAGAACCTATCATGCAGGTTGTGTTGGCGACAATAAATTATTTATATATGGAGGCGAATCTGGCAAAGATCTAGACGAATTAGAAATTGTTGATTTGTGCAACAATACCTAATATACAATCAAGGTTGAGAACTAGAAAAAGCCAGAACCAAGGCGATTTGCAACTCTTCACTATCATAATAGTTAACTAATCTTAATTGGAGGATGTACATAATCTTACAGTCTTACTCCTTCAATTTATATAGCAGATTGTAAGTAAGAAGAAAATTAAATAAATATTTCTTGGTGTTTACTAAAAACTTAATTTCCAAAATGGGGACAATCTTGTGTGCAATTTGATGATTTATTCTATTTATTTGGAGGAAGAGATGACAAAGACTCTGATGAACTCTACTCGTTTGATCTATAAACTCATCAAATTTAGATCATAAAGAACGACATTAAAGTTAAAGCAAGAAGAAAACATTGTGCATCTGTTATTGGTAATTCTTTGGTTATATTTGGGGGGTTCGATGGAAAATACTAAAATGATTTATGCTTCTGTGAATTACCTCTAATTAATACTGTGCCTCTTTCTGTTGAATTACCATCTAAACCTTATGAAGAAATATCATAACACCAATTCGAAAATTACTTTTAATTTGAAAACGGAGTTTATTTTTACAATGATTAATATGATTGTTTGATCTAAACGGATGAAAAGTGTTTTGGAGTTGATAAATCTGTGCTTATTTAAACTTCTGGATACTTTACAGAACTATTCAATGGAGATTATGCAGAAGGACAGTTACTTTAACTCGATTTATCCTATGTTGACCATATTGCTTTTGGCATTGTTCTGATTTTCTCATACAAAAATAATTTGATACTTCCTATTCTAAATAAAGAGGAACTTTTCAGATTATTAGAATTGTGTGATTACCTAGACATGATATAATTAAAACTGAAAACATAATATTATATAGCTTAAACTGTAGATAAAAACACAATATAAGAAATATACAATCTCTCAATTGAACATCAGAATAATTAGTTATAAAATTTTTGTGCATTTAAGGTTTCAAAATTGAAAATGCCATTGCAAGAAATTGATAATTTATAAAGTTAACAAGTAAATAATATGAAAAGAATAAGAAAATTGTCAATAGTTAATGAATAATGATTAGTTATATATACTACTACAATTATCATAAAAACTATATTTTCTGTATAATGATTGCAATTTAATCATGCATAATGCAATTATGATAACAAGACTAATATTTTAATTAGAATTGCAAGTCATTCTAAAAATTATTTTAGTTATAATATCTCTTCTTTTTAAAAGAACTTTTTCTGTTTTTGTGGTTTATCTAGAATAACTTCTCGAAAAAGGTTTTTAATTCATTATATATCAATCAAAGGAAGAAAAGTTTGAAGGTTACCTATAGAATAATGTATGCAGAAACTTTAACTGATTTTATTATTACTAAAAATTATATAAAATAATTGATCGTATCTTAGAAAAACCATTCCTTATAAAATTTATACAAATATAGGATTAGTTATCCTGATGATATCTAATTATAGCTGATTGCAAATTTGTTATTTTCGAGGTAAGCCGTCAGCTAAATTTATATAGTCTACATTTTATGATTAGAAGCGAAAGACAAAAAGTGATTGGCTTTAGAAAGACTTATTGTCTATTTTCAAACATTATAGAATTAGAATTTGTGATAATGCTAATATAAATATTAGAAAAGCATGAATTGGAAATTTATTTGATCTATTTGTGCAATCTGATTCTTCAATTAGGAGTAAACACTTATTTCAATTGATAATATCGTATTTGGATTAAGCATTTTGACAAGAATAGAAAAAATGAAGGCGGTGTATTATAATAAATAAACAACTTTTCTATAAAAATAAGATAAAATGGAGACTAACTGATTCTTTGTATAAAATGATTATTATTATTTACAAATGTGTTATTTACAAATGACTTCAAATCAGTTGTAATAAATTTTGATATTATTTTAAATGACGTAAACTTGTTCTTAATTAAAATGTTTGGGATAGATGCAACTACCAAATATTTTAGCAAGTATCGTTTACAGGGTCCTAAACACTTTCCATGAACCTCCTAACAATATATTAATAAAGTTGATTTGATTCAATCGGGATATCTGTGTGTTTTGAAGAAGATGACGACATTTTAAAATCCTACCTCCAATATAATCTAAAATTAACAGAAATTATCAGAAAATTTATATAATCATAATTTGCATCATCAGAATTAATGCATAATTTTCTGCATTTTCTGATCGTATATATATTCAAAAATGTTCTAATTAAAACTCATTAATTTATAAATATACATTCAGCAAAAACAACAAGATGACTGAACAACTTAATAATCAAACTTAAATCACATTGATGACTGACAGATATAATGAACAATACGAAAATACCAAAGAAACAGAAATAAAAATGCAAAAAGGAATAAAAAAAGACTTGACAGATTGTGTCACAAAAGTAGTTGGAGAAGTGGCAATGAAAGTTTGCTTTGCTTTAACAGTTGCTTTCTGTATCGGGTGTTGAGAACTCAACCATAAAAACTTTCTTTTCTTGACTTATATATTTTTGTGTATAGCATTTTAAACCTTAACAAAAACAACTAATTCTTATAAATACATATCTGGATTATACAATTTTTAGTTGTGTAACCATATTATAAATTTAGACTTATATATTCCTCTTCAAAAAGGGACATTACGAAAAATTTATTGTATAACAGATTAATTGCTGAAGTAAACTAATACAGTACTATTTTTGAATAAAATGTTTCACTAAATTTATATTACTCATAAAATACCCCTAATGTCTTAGGCTTTAGACATCTCGTCCTTAAAATCTCTTTTAATTTTGACAAATTCCCAAAGTACACACAATTAGTAAAGGAACATTATTATTATAATTTTTAAGCTATGAGACTCTAATATAATATTATAATAAACACTAAAGAACATATGTAATATAATTAGTAATCATAAATTAAACATGCAATATGTATTTAGTTGTTTTAAGAATAAGGGTTCATTATTACTTGGAATAAATTAGACCTCATATTAAATTTTTATATAATTAAAGAGGAACATACTTTATAATTAATCTCAAATCATTAACAGCATCATTTGGATTACGAATTAAATCAAAATGACTACCTTTAATAATTTAGGCAAAAGTATTAAAATAAACAATGAGATAAAAAATATTATCTCAAATAACCTATATATTACACATTACTTTAATTCAACAGGATTAGATTAATGAAGAGATTCAATGCAAGTGTCCCTTCTGCCTATCTTCCAAAAATAAGAAATTTATCATTGAATTATATAAACTCGTATTGTATTATAAATAATTTCAAATATTTCATATAATGTTTCAGTTAAAAAAAAGAGTTTAGTAATTATATATTTGGTGATAATAAAAGTGAAGTTGACATCTACAGAATGGAACTGAATTTATTAGAATTTGATTTATAAAAACAATCATTAATTTATATTTTTAACTTGTTAGATAAGTGATCAAATGATTTAACCAATAACGATATTGAGATTAAGAAAAGAATAATTGACATAGAAACATAGAAACATAGAAAGTAATGTTTAATATTTTGTTTCAACATTGAAATTATTATTAGTTAATGTTATCGGATAAAAAATATTTAAGTTTAGTTGTAGTATGCTAATTTCAATAAATGCGTATTTAATTGTATTGTAAATCTTTATCAAAGATATGAAAATATGCTAATATGTTATAAATTAATATCAATTTGCATTGTATCTTGTAGACTTTACATAATTGGAACAATAGAGATGAAAATCAATATTCTCCTATTACTAAACCTTAAAATAAATTAAGATAAAATAATGAAGGAATGAAAAAATAATTTATATTTGACTTGACTTTTTAGGATATAAGGAATAATTCAAACTACCTCAATAACCATCTTATTTCACAATATATTATGTTTAATGCTTTAATAGATGATAAAAAGAAGATTGCTAGTAATACTAAATTTATGAATAGAATAAGATAAAAGATTTAATATCACCTAAAATGTGATTTCACCGATTAATTAATCAAATTTATTTATATCTAGTCTTCGTCATGTTAACTTAAGTTAAAATAACAAATAGAAACCCAAAAGCTATAAAAACCAAGAGAGATAAGGATTAAGGAGGAAACAAAAATGTCCTATTATAGTAAACCTGTCATCATCCTGTCAATTCAAATTCTGAAATCTTCATCTCTGATCATGAATCATTTACTTCAAGTAACGATGAACCCAATAGTATGCATTTATGTCATTTTTAGAAGTGTGTGATATAACTGAAAATGCAGATAACGTTTATTCGCAATAATTTCTGATGCATAAAGATAACCAAGCAAACAACAGCCTTAAACCACAGAAGATGAAATAAATACGCTATTCAGTTAAGAAAGATAAGGAAATAAAACAAAGAAGGTCTAAAAATAGAATTAAGACATTTTCTAAAGAAGAAGATCAACGATTGCTCAACTATATACTTAAGAAAGGACCCAAGTTCCATAAGTTCTCCAGATATTTCCCTGGAAAAACATCAAACATGTTAAAAAATAGATATTACAAATAACTAAGATTTGTTTGGGATCATACTTTGGAAAAGTACAATTTTTACATATTTAAGACAATACCATCCTGTGAATTGCATTCCAAGGGATCAACCTCGAAAAACAGAAAAAGAACCCGATTAGCTAAACATAGAAACTATAGAAGAACTTTAATTGTTTCCAGAAGCAGAATGCGTACTGTCAAAATTTTTAGGTTGTTTATCTACAACATTTATTAATATTCATACACAGCTTCTATGAGAGTACTGATGATGAATATTTATAAACAGTATATTGAGTATATATTCTTTAAGATGTTTTCAAAAAGTTAGATTTTAATTTTAAAAACTTACATTATTACAAATCCTCATCATTTCAAACTTTCATTTGAAGTGCTGAACCCTGTTTTATATATATAAAATTATTTTCAATCATACTCATATCTTTTGAAAAGTTTATAAATACAAATAATTTATTGAATTCACTTAAAATTCTGACAAGAGTTAGACAACCTCTCTGAAACAACCTTTAGTTTCACCTTCTTCACCATTATGTTTTAAGTTAGTTTAGAGATAAAATAAAATTAAATATTTAGCAAAAAATAAAGAATTATATTTAAACTAGTAATTCATTCAAATTATATAATTGACAATTATATTATGAAATAGAGCGGCGTTTTTTTGGACTTTAATAATTTTTATGAAACTTCGTATTTTTGATGTTTGTAGTTGTAAACCAGATCAGTAGTAATATGAATTCAAGTCATCTATTACTTTAATAGAGATCTATAAAGAGTTTTATTAAAAGTATGAATGTAAAACTTTAGTAATAAAATGACTTATTTTTTATTAATACTAAAATATTTACTCAAAACATTTTTTAATATTAAAACAATAATATCATAATTTTTATATATATATATTTTATATAAAATATTAATTCAGTGTTTCTGTTTTCTTTATTTAGTAAATTCACTCATTACATATGTAATAGCCCATAAAATTTAACTATTCTTAAATAAATAAACGAAGATAAAATCAAAATTTCGAAAGCCACTTTTCATAACAATCACATTCATCAAACGAGAATAGATAGACATTATTTATTGATTGGAGTTTTGAAAATTTTACTTTAAATTACTATTAAGATTTAGTTTGAATAGTTTAGAATAACATCGTACATAATAAATAATACATAAACATATAGTATATTCAATTCATTGTTTTTGTGCTTCTTTATGAGTAGAAATGTATGAGACATTCTTTCCTTCACTAAAGGCAGGCGATACATCTGTCAATATTTACTTTTTAGCCTAAGTAATCCTTGTGGAGTTAATTTTGTATTCCCTTGATACTATTCCTTCTTCTTTACTCATTTTTCTACCAACTTAGAGGGGAACACTAACAAAACACATATCCTTCTTAGATTTTAGTTTTGTTTATGTACAACCCATTTATTATAAAATAATTTATGTATTTTTAGAGGTTTTGATAAAGAATTATATATCTGAAAACAAAGTTTATCAAATTAATACTTGGTAATTCAAAACGAGAAGAAAATTGTAGTAGTTAATATATATTATAAATTATTTTCATTTTAGTTTTTGAATAGAAAGCTTATTTAAGGAGAGTAAACCAATTAACTGATTATGAAGGCTATTATAAATGAAATGAACTTACCATTCAACCACCATATTAAAGAGTATCCTTTTGGTATATTATTTGATTAATAACTATTTCTACTCTATTTATTTGTTTAAAGAGAATTGATTGAGTTGAATGAAGTCAGATAATTTGATTTACTTGCCCAAAATTTAGCAATCATTTTCAAAAGCATAAATAATTGCCTTTCAGTATTTTTTCGAAATAACAATTATTCTTTATCCATCTGGATAATTATGCACTTAGGTTTCAGTTTAACTTTGAGTTTACACTCTTTTGTTTCCTGTCTCTTTTATTTTGAGACATCTTATTTGTAAGTGATAATTACCTATCAATATTTATACCTTTGAAGTATAAATGCTATAGAGCTGCCTGAGCGGATATCCTTTTTGTAGGATCAAGAGTCAACATCTAGTCTATAAGATTGACTAAGAGGGGAGACATTTTCCTTTCAAGTAATGAATGTAAGATCTTGGGAAAATTCTCACTGCTGATCAATTTAGAGTAATTACTTAGTTTGGTCACTCCTTACCAAGTTTCTATGAAATTGAGTATGAATCAAATACCTTCAGTCGGAGTTCCACATAACTTTTAAATTTATTGAAAACTATTGAAATCAGTCGATCCCTTGAAGGGATTGCTTCTAAAGAGAAGTTCGATAAACAAAACCCCTGCTGACCAAACATCAACCTTAGAGCAGTATTTTTAACCTAATATTAGTCATTTAATAAACCAAGGAACACTTCTGGAGCCCTGTATTGATGATTTTATATTCTGGTGGTTTGAGGCTTGAATTTTTTTAAATTTTGAGCCATTCCCAAATCACAAATTTTAATTGTTAAATTTTTGTGTAAAATATTGTTAGCTAAAATAGGTTTCAACAGTTTTACGTTTAAGGTCTCTGTGTATTATGCCGAGATCATGTAAATAAGCTAAGCCTTTTAACACTTAAAACATAATCTACTTGGCTTAAACCTCAGTGAAGATGTCTCTTCTCATAGCGGTAAGCAAATCTTCCTCTATATATTCCATTATTATGTATGTCTTTCGATTTTAATAAGCTAATTCTTTAAATAACACTATTTAATCACAATGAAGAGATCTGAGTATTTCAATCTCTCTTAATACTTAAGCATTTATCTTATATAGAATAATATATCAAACCCCTTAATCATTAATACGTTGGGATAATTCTTTGATGGCAACTGTCTCTCTGGTGTGCATATTCACACCTTGATATACAGTTCTAAGATTAAAATGATCAATTTACCCATAATCGCCATACCCAATATTCTTTTGAATAATAAACTTTGATTTTAGCTCTTTGGTTTACATAGAAGAAGAAGATATTCGTTAGAAAGTGAAATCCTAAATCATTGAAAAAAGGAATATATTAATTTATATTTATAATAAATATCAGATGTTTAATCATTCTATTTTTTGGACAAGAAAGCAGTGTTCTAATGGGATTACTGAAAACCAATATAATTTTGTTGCTTCAACACAAACACACTATAAAATTATCACATAAATAATATAATCAACTTTTATAGCATTCAAATTCATCGCCAACTTTGACTTCAACATTTGATATAATTGATAATCCACAATCCTTCCCAGATTCTATACGGTCAACCTCCTCTTTAAAGTGCTTTAAATTGGCAATTTCCAGATCAGCTGCAACAACCTTTCCCCCTCTCAATAATCTCACTCTGCATTTTTTATTCAAGATTCCATGGGTGACAGTCAAACCATAAATCTTTCTTGATTGCCCTTTGAGTTTCACATCGAATATATTCTATACTTTGGCTGTCCCTATTACACTAACTTTGACATTCCTAGGAGCTGTGACAAGAGTTTTTAAATCATCAATTAAATGATAGATAATTTAATGTTAGACTATGTCTATCTTATCTTATTAAGCCTATCTAATGATATCATTCGGAACATTGGAATTCAATGTAACTATTGTAGCACCAAACAATTAAGCATCCTTAAAGTCTTTCTAGGTTACATCTCCCACACCTGATGATAGTATCAATATCTCAGCATTCTCCTTTTCCTTTAATTAATTCACTAATTTAATTAGAGTCTCCAAAGTTCCAAAATCTTAACCTTTAATCACTAGTTTTAAGACTTATGTATCTGGAGCAAGATTAATCATTTAAGATGAGAATAATTCATGCTATCTAAGTTTTTCTACCAAAGCTTCCTTAATTTCTGGATCCTCAGTTGATTCTATTTCTTCTCTCAACATGTTTTAAATTTCCTTATATTTTTCTATAAGATGTTTAGTATCACCATAGACATCTCGCTTTTCATGTTTATTTTAAAATTTAATCTTTCCAAATGATCCATCAATCATTTCTGCATTTTACAATTATTTAAGTTCTGCTTCTTTTTTTCTTTTATTGACAATCAATTAAGCTATTAATTCATTTTTTGCAACAAAAAATTTGGAACCACTCTAAGGAATCTCTTTTAATCCAATCTAAAAATATTAAAATTATAAAATACAATTTCAATTGCACTTGAAGGTCCTGCTACCTATAAAGTATTTGATCTATCATCTCTCATAACTCTAATTTTTCCATATTAATTGCCAACCACAATTATATCATTAATTTTGAGACTTCCTTTTTGCACAATTATTGTAGATCCTCTTTCTTCAGTCAATTCTGCCTATCTTGCTTCTAGAACAACTCCTTAAGCAGGAACCGTAGGATCTGCCTTTAATTCTAAGAGCTCTCCTTGAAATTGAATCAATTCTAATAATAAATCAATATTCTTCCCAGTTTTTGCACTTATATGTACAACTGGAATATTTCCTCCTTAAGTTTCCAAATCGAGACCACACTCCAATAATTCTAATTCTATATCTTCTGGATTAACATTAGGAACATCGATTTTATTGATGGCAACAATAATAGGTATATTTAATTAGGAAGCAATTTAGATGACTTCTTTGGTTTGAGGTTAAACTCCATCTGCTGCAGATACCACTAAAATAATCATATCAGTAAACTCAGCACCTCTCTATCTCATATTAGAAAATGCCTCGTGTCCTGGAGTATCAATAAATGTGATTTAATTGTCTCCCACTTTTACATGAAAAGCACCAATTTTTTATGTAATTCCCCCCACTTCTCCTTCAGCTATATTTGAATTTCTGAGTCTATCTAATAATGTAGTTTTTCCATGATCAACATGCCCCATAATAGTTACAATAGGAGGTCTCGTTATTGGATTTTCTTTGTAAGAGCTTAAATTATATAATGGCAAAATGGGTTCAACAAGATCTTTAGTTATTTTAGTATAATTAACAGGTTATTTAGAAAATTGATTTATTGTTCTTATTAGTTCTTTTTAGTCAATATCAGTCAAGATAGAGAGTTATTAGATTGAAAGCTATTCAGAGAGGGTTATGTTTTTTAAAACCATTTTTGTGGGGATGTTGTCTGGGTTTGAATATTTAAAGATTTGTTACTAGGATTCTTATATGGCTTAGGCAAACCTATAACAGAACTTTCTAAAAATAATCATAATTAAATTTTATTACATTAGAACCCCAAAATTAGGAAAGTTTTATAAAAGATAATAAATCATAACTTGTATAATAATAATGTCATTAAATCATAATTAATATTGCTAGAATGATGATTTAAATTAAAGGGGCATAGCAAAGTTCACAACTTCCACTATCCAAGTTTCCACTATTCCATAGTGCATAATTTAATGTATTTAAGCTACATGTGAATGCTGATAAATCAGATAATGAAGCATCCCGACATCTTGCTGGCTTAGCTGAATAATCAACATAGCAAGGTTAAATATCAGTGTTATTACCATTTTTAGATAAAAATAAAGTGCATTCGGATGGAGGTTTATTATCACAGGTGGCTGTAACACATGTTTGAGTATTAATCATCCAAGTACAATATAAATTATATGTTTAACACTAAGATTAAGTATCTATTAGAGAGCAACTAAAATCTTAACATTAATTATCGCTCCATAAACATAATTAACCTTAACCAGAGTACAAGCATTCTTATTATACTTTATATTGGGGACAAGCATTCAGAGTCAAGCTTTAGCATGCTTTCGTGGTAGAATTATATAATCCGCAATAGAATGATTGTGACTCACAATCTTATTAGGATGTTGCAATCAATGTACTACAATCCGCAAAAACTGCACAGGTATTATCTTTTGAATTGTAATAACATCCTTGCGAACTCTTACATTAAAATGGATAATAGAGTTAAGAGCATGTTTTTGTTTAACAAGCGGTGGTTGTGTTCCATATACATTATTAATTTAAATTGCATTCAAAATCATTTAGGTATGAGATGCAATCGCATTTTTTCTTTTAGTTGATGAAGATTGCACTTGTGTTAAATACAAAAGCCATTGTTATTATAAATGATATCATTTTAAAATAAATAATAAATAGTTTCCTCAATTTTTATTTATATATATTATAAATCACTCCATGCTAGCCTTCTTGCGTTCATAAATGTTAAGAATAGAGATCTTTTCCCCTCCCTTCTATCTTCCAATTTTAACACCTCTCATCATAATTCTCATTTTTCTACCATCCACTAATTTCCTATTAAATTCAAGTTTTCTCCATTATGTCATAAATGGAAACCATTACCTGTTAGCATATTATAAATCATTACGCTGGATTCCATACAGGGACACTATACTATCGAGCTCTATTTTAGCCTGAATCTAATCTCTTAATAGCCTTCATTCCATTTCTTAAATTACCACCAAAGGAAATTCCAAATATACGAGCTGCCACCAGATCTAATTTTTATGATGGAGTCAAGCTGTCCATTTTATATGATGATCTAACTGATGGTGAAATACCAAGTCGAAAGTTAGGCAACTTAATATGAGGCATAAATATAATCTAATAATAATTTAAAATTATGAAAGAAAAAACAAGAAATAAATTAGTATCTTCTTTTTTGTATTCAGGAAGTTTAGTATGAAGAAGTCCATTTTACTCTTTTACCATTGATCCATTCCCCTTCTCTATATAATCCACTTTTTGAATAGAAAGTTCCTTATCCATGTTCTTTGCCATCAACCCAATTGCCTTTATACATTGATCCATCGGTATATGTGAAGTCCCCAAATCCATGTTTTTTATCTTTCACATACTAATCATTATAATAAAATTTACATATCCATCATAGCATCTACCATCTGGCCAAGTAAATGTCCCATATCCATCCATTTAATTATCCTTCCACTATCCATCATATTTACGACCATCTGGAAAATTAAACACTCCTTTTCCATTAAATTTATTATTAACAATTGAACCCTTATACCTTTTTTTAGCTGAACTAATACTTGGATCCATCTGAAAAAACAAATTCTCCGAAACCTGTTTTGTTTCCATCCACAAATTTTCCTTTGAAATTTGTTCCATCTGAAAACTTTTCGTTCCCATCTCCTTATTATTTATCATTAACCCAATAGCCTTCATAAGAATACCCTAATGAAGTCACTTATTTCCCAAATCCATTCGCTTTATTGTCCTTGAATTCTCCTTCATAATAATCTCCAGTCACAAAAATCAACCTTCCATAACCATCCATTTAATCATTTTTCCAAAAACCCTCATATACACTTTTGTCTTGAAAAATTGCTCTGCCTTTTCCATGTCTTTTACCCAACTTCCATTAGCCTAAATATATTGTTCCATCAGCAAGTAAATATGGGTCTAAAAAAGTTGCACTCAATTCTTCCTCCTCATAGTTTTAGCTTTCCTTCTTTAAATACTCTTTATAATTAAAGTTCCCGATTCGAAATATTAAAGAATTGATCGATGCAGGATATTCACTCTATTTTCTCTCAACTTTGATGCCATCAGGAGGAGAATGATCTACAATAATAGGGACTTCTTTTATCTATTCCATCTATGCAACTTCATCTTAAGGTTACTAATGAACAATTGCAATTTCAATAGGCTCCTAATGACTTCTCTAGCTGTCGTTTGTAATAGATACTGGAACTGTAGGTCGTCTCTTTCGATTCTTGAACTCTATTTATTCTTTAAACCAAAAATACATCTGTAAGCCCTTTGGATTAAAATAGCTTTTTAGGTGTAGACACTCAGGAAAGATAGTTCAAAATTTGGCATAACAATTTACAATTAACCCTGCGTACCGCAACATGTTCCCATAATATTTAATTAAATTATGTAAATTATTAATCAAAATAGCAACTTTTCTTTCTCAGCTTAGTCTAACTTTGACTCAAACTTTGCTCTAAAAATGAAAATACTCATAACTTTTTCTATATGTTTTAAACTTAACAACATTTATTTTTTCTGAAAGAATATCTAACAAAGAAAATAATTATTAGAATAAAAACTCCTCATGCAAATCCATGATGCTCGTTCATTTATTTTTCTTAAATAATGTAAATTACTGATTTAACTGAAAAATATTTTATTATAAACAAAGTCAGGTATAATTAAATCAGTTGAATAATTTTGGTAAATGTATATTTTCATCTAATATCATGATCTCTCTATTCCTTTCTTTATTTAGCAGTTATATATTATATTAATGCAACTTTAATGAGTTATATAATTAAATTATTTTAAGAAAGGAATGCTTTATTAATGGCCAGAAATGTTTTCAAAAAACTCTTTAGAAATTTCTTAATCACAAGTAATACAAAATGGAAGTGAAATTTGTATCAATTATGGCAGACATGATTATGATATAGATAGAATCTGTTATGGATTAAAGAATGGATGAAACGCATAATTATATTGTATTTTTTTGTTTGTTTACTCTCATACTCATTCGCTTCCTTTATACATAGCCTCAATTTATTTAAGAAAATGTTCTCTTGCCTTGTGTCTCATCAACTTAAGTGTGTTACTAGTTAGGCCATGAGCAATGAATGAGGTTGGTTCAATGTAGATCTTTTTTACATTTTCCATACCATTCAATTTTTCTGCTTTACCCTAATAGATAAGATATTATGGATACTTATTTAATTATCTCATCAAAAAAGTACTTATTAACTTGATCATTTGCACACAACTCTTCAAATGAACCTTAGATTCCTAAAGTGTTTGCTAAGTCTAAAACAAGATGTTTTTCAGGAACAATAATAGCTACACAAAAGCTTTTGGTTGAGTCTCCATAAACAAATACTTCTGCGATGCCTTTGACCTTCAAATAGACTCCCTCAACTTTTTCTGGAGCGATATATTCACCTTGACTTAACTTAAAAATGTTTTTAACTCTATCAATAATCTTTAAAGATCCATCAGGTCTAATCAATCCAATATCTCCAGAATGCATCCAGCCGTCAGCATCAATCATTTCCTTTGTTTTTTCAGGTTCTTTGTAATATCCTGCAAATAACCCATTTCCTCGAATGCCTAAAAATAATGATTGACTAATTACAGATTTCTCCTCTGGGAGTAGGTCTTCCTTGTTCGTCTTTATCAGTGCTGAAATAGTTCATTTATGGAACATCAAGAACTTTAAATTCGATGTTTGAGAAGACACCTCCTACATGTCCACTAATAGGGTCATCAGCTCTACTAATGAATGAACCACCACATCCTTCAGTCTAACCATATCCTTCAAGGAATGGTACACACACAACACATTTTAAGAAATCCACAACCTCAGGTGACATTGGTGCTGATCCAGATAACATTAATCTGACTCTACCACCAAATGCTTCTCTTGTCTTTTTGAAAACTAAGTTGTCCCAAACTTTGTGTTAAACATGACCTCCATTTTACAAATAATACATTTTGCTGGCTAATCCCTTTTCAAATAAAGTTTTTTGGTATCCACTTAGTTTATCTGCCTTTTCTTTAATTGTATTGTATAATCTTCTATATAATCTTGGAACACTCACAAAAATAGTTGGTTTTACCAATTGAATATCAACATTGATTTTTTATACATCTCCACCATACATGCATATTGTGCAACCAAATCCAAGTAAGGCTGTTACTACAACTCTCTCTAAAACATGAGGTAAAGGTAGATAACTCAAATAAACATCATTTGGATATAATTAAATTCCTTAATAAACAACTCCGCCTGCTACTGTTACAAAGTTCACATGTCGTAACATAACACCTTTTGGCATTCCTGTCGTTCCTGATGTATAACTGAAGGTGAATATGTCATTTCCATGTACTTCTGCGAATGGGTGTATTTTCTCCTTTCCAGCATTCAATACTTCTTCGTAGTTCAATACCTTTATTCCTTTTTCACTAAACTAATCTGATATTATTTACGATTACCTTTTAAATTTTGTCTTATGGTAATTCATCAAAAGTAACTACATTTTTAAGTGCATGGTATTCTTTAACTTTAAGAAGTGTTTCAACAATTGAACTTGATATGAACAATGTAGTGATCTAAGTGTGGTCTAAAATGTAAGGAATGCTCTCCAATCCCAAAGTGTCATACAGAGGAATCATTGTATTTCCATACAATGTATTGGCTATATCTAAGAGTAGCCATTCTTCTCTGTTCTTTGAGAATATTCCTATCATTCTTAATTCTTATCCCTCGTATAATACTGGATTTGGTATCAAGTTTAAATTCTTTATACCTGATCCAAGTTATCTAGGTTCTATTTAAGATCTTACTCTGCGACATTTCTGACATCAATATAGGTTTTGTAAACATAATTGCTACTATTCTCTCCTGTGGCTACTTGCTTGCCCAAGCATCTATTGTTTGGAAATTTACGGCAAGATCTTAAGAAAATACCCTAAACTGTGGTTTCTCCTTCGAAGTTGTCCAAGAGCTTCTCTGTATTATTTGGATTTCGATAGACATGACTTTCTCCTTCTTTCTTCTCTCCCACTGGCACTGCGTAAAATTTAGATTATCCTTATCCCATATTTAAAGATATTTAAATAATTTCTTAGTTATTTAATTCATAAATAGCCTATATATTATATTAAATAATAGATAAATTATAAAACACCCAACGTACGTAATATAATACTTCTTCCATGTTTATTTTTATTATATAAATTATAATAAATCTAATGATAAAAAAATAAACTCTGTCTAAATAACAATCAATCTATGTTGGAACTCAAATCGTTGAGTTTTCTTGGTTTAAATAACATGAAATAATCTATGAGCAACCTACAAATCAATGGAAGTAGTTAATATTTGACAATCTCGAGTGGTTCCTAATACTCTTATTACTGATATATTGCATAACATTTTACTTTTTGTACTATGCCTTTAGCAAGAAAACTACAAGCATGGTCGTTAATGTCAGAAAAGAAAGCTTAGCCAGTGATGACATGCAAAAGTATAGAGTCTATATTGTAATGTAGTTCCGTAGGTTTGAGTACTGAATAGAATGAGTTACCCAAAAAACATTCTACATCCAGCACAGAAAGCTCTCCAAGATAAAATATTTTTACATCCTCTTAGGATCTCGTTTCAGACATCAAACAATTAAATAAAAGAAAACTCACTGATATTTCTCAAGATAGAGAAGTATAACTTAATTGGGAAAAGAATGAAACTGATAACAATATTGTATATAGAGAAAAAAATAAAGACATATATTAGTTTGAAGATTATGATATACAATAAAAGTTCATGAAAAGCAATGAAAAACTCAAGAATCAGAAGACGTCTCATACTATTGAACAAAATAGTGAAAGGGAATAAACCCATAAAATCTAATAAACTTTCCCAGATTGGAGTCAATATTTGGAGAATGGTAAATTTGAGAAATTGTATGCATCACCAACTGTTATTGGCAATGGGGCATTTGGAGAAGTTTATAAATGCCAAAAAATAGTTGATCTCAAATAATATGCAGTGAAAAGAATTATTTTCAAAGTTTAAAATGAAATAAATTTGAGAGATCATCCCATTTTCCGTGAAATCAATGGCCTTTAAGAAATTAATCATAAAAATATAGTCAGATATTATACAAGTTGGATTCAAGAGTTAAGCACTGAAATGATTGCATAGATAACTAAACTACATGATATAGTTACTGAAAAACAATAGGAAATGTAAGATAATGTCTCTATGGATTTATTTTAAACTCAAATTTTAGATGACATATCACATCTAAATGATTGTGTGCAAATTGTTGGAGGAAGTGGAACTGAAAATGATTAATAAATATAAACAAATTCTTAAAACACTAAAATTAAGCGAAACTTTAAACCATCAGATTTTAGCAGCTAAATTTAAACTCTTATGCGAAAATTTCATTATAATCCTAATCAAAAAGATGAATAATATTAATTATTTATGTTATTTATAGAAGTAATATATTAATAATATTATTAGATGGAATTATGTGATTTTACATTAAAAGATTTCATAGAAAATGTTGATAGAAAAAAAGATTAAAAATTAATAAAATCCATCTTCAAATAAATTATAGAAGGAGTTGTTTACATGCATAATTAATAATTCATTCATAGAGATTTAAAGTATATCTATAAATTATCCAAGACCTTAGAATATATTTATCAATTCTAAAAAAGAAGTTAAAATAGGAGTTTTAGGATTATGCAATAATAGAATAAATTAGGGTGAAGGTGAACTATTCGAAACAAATATTGAATACATAAATAATGCAGGAACTTCAATATATAAGGCACCAGAAGTCAAAGAGGGTTAATATGGTTCCGCTTCTGATATCTATGCTTTGGGGATTATTTTTTTTGAGATGCTATGGAAAATTCAAACTAATTCTGAAAAGCTTTAGTAAAATTACATCTAAAATTTAGATTGATATAAAATCTTACTTAAGACTATAAGTTACCACCAGATTTAATAAGTGATTATACTATTGATTCTGAATTGATACTAAGAATGGTGAGTCTAAATCCTGATAGCAGACCAAATGCTTTGCAGATATTCGAAGCTCTAAATAATTCTAATTGATTTAATTATATTAAATTCTTTAAATTTAAATATAATTATCATTTCATGTTTGCTAATTGGCTCTGAGCTAAAGTTCAGCTTATTCTAATTTATTATATTTTAATACCTTTTGACATTCTTGCTTCAGAATGATTTTAATTTTTATTTATTACTTAATCAAAAAAATGAATAGCCAGAAGATATAATTGATATTGAAGTGAGCATTTCCCGAAAATATACTATATTTCAATGTCATCTTGGAAATTTTTTAAGTATATTTAACTATAAAGCATAGATTCCTAAAATAAATTTAATTTAAAATTATAAATGGCTAAAATAGAGTGCATTTATACTTTACAATTTCATTAGTTTTTCCTTGGCTTTAAAGTTTAACCTTATTTGATCTTATTAAAGTATTTGATCTTATAAATGTATTTGAAATTTTTATCTTATTTAATCCAGACACTTTGAATATTAACGCTATTTTTCAAATATTTGCACTTAAAATATTTTAAGAAGGTACATTAAATTAAATCATTTTCTAAATCATCATTCCTTATTTAATTTGCTTGATTCAAATATTATTGAGCTTCGTTTAATTAATTTTCAATTAAACAACATTTTGCTATTAAATATTTTATGTTTTTATTACCCATTCCTTAATTATAACTTAAATTATCCTCATACATTTATCTTAATTAATTTAATCCAGTTTTTGCAAGCTATAGTTAATTATTCTCTATGTAATTATTATCTATGGTTAATAAAAAGCTTACTAAGCAATTTTAATACTTCTTTGTATTTATTATGATTGGAAAATCTATTTAATTTTTATGATATATGGCTAATTGATTCTCCATATTTTTTTTAATTGTAAAGAATTACTCCTATGACATATTATTTATTTCAACCTTATTACAATGCTGCTTCAAAATTTTAAGGATCTTATTCAAGGATATTTTATGAAATTTAGAAAGAAGAATTTAAGTAATTCATTTCACCTAGAGTATACACTAATTTAATATCTTTATTTACTTAAACCTACTTTAGCTTCAATATTGTTAGGCTCTACTTAAAGAACTTATTGAAAACATCTTATTGCAAACTCATACTTTAAAAATCCTAGATTTTCTTTTCCTTGATTTAGTAATTCCTATATACTATGACTTCTATTAGTATTTTAATTTGTATCTAAGCGATTAATAGTTTCCATATTTCCTTAATTGTTTTGATTTCTCAGATTTTAGATTAATCTTGTGGTTTGTTCATTTTGTAACAGTGTTGTTTCTAAGCACTCTTGTTTCCATTTCTTTAATGGTTCGAATTTTGAAGAAGACAACGGTTGTAATATATCCTTTATTATTTTTGAAATTTCATTCACTCTTTCCTTAATTTTAGGCAGTTTTCTTAAGACGTTTGCCAAAAGATTTACGTGCTCTAATTCAATAATGCACCTGAATGTTTCTTAAATTTAATAGCCATCTAAAACTTCTTTCATAATCTGTATTCTATTTTTAAATTCATCTTCTAACTATATTATAGAATTCTATATTTCTTAAAATAATTTTTGATGGCTTTCCACCTACTTTGGAATATCTTCTAATGAAACATATTAACATCTGAAGTGTTGAAGGTCAGAATTAATACATATCAGGCAACTGGCTTTCTAATCATTGTTGCACTTTTATTATATACAAACTTGAACGACAGGTTTGTTATGAATTTTACATGTCCACTTTACGCCTTCTGAAGACAGCATTGTTTTTAATAAAATTTATTTTGATACGCTATAAAAATTATTGCTTATATATAATATGCATTGTATTTCTGATAAAGACTAACTAAGATCTTTAAGGTGTAAGTAATATTACAGTTATTTTTTCTCAATTAGTATTATTTTATTTTGAAATCTAAATGCAATAATAACTCCTTTATCAATTTTAAATTAATTGCTAACATTTCAACAAACCAATATTATTTGATTTATATTTATTTAGCAGCGAGACTTTTAAATTTGAATTATCTATTCTCATTAAAGTAGAAAAATTGAAAAAATTTGATGTTGGAACAGAATAAAATAAAAAAATTATTTGGCAATTGAAAAAGGTCTTATTAGTAAGTAAATTAGTGAAAATTCTTTAAAGTTTAAATTTTGAATAACAAATAAAGAAGGTTATGAATAAAAAAAAAATTATCTTTAATAATTATTTACTTTCTATAATTAGAAATAACCAACAATACAATTAATTAAGAGAAGAATACGAACTATTTTTTTATTTAAATTATGTTTCTATAAATTGACTATTCAAAACTTTTCTTTAAACAATAATTTATTTAAGAATTTAGTCAATAGCTTTATCATAATATGTATTAAAAAAATAATGTATCTTATTTGATTATAAATCTATTCTTCTGATCATATAGGGTTATTCCACACTCTTTCAATAGCATTTTGCTAAGGAGAGTAAGGTGGTAGGAATAATTAGAAAATTCCAAATTTCTTCCCTAGATTTATGAAAAATATCATTAGATTTTTTCAAAGTCTGTCAATTTAAGATTTTTATAAATTCTTCAAACCATTCAACATGATATAAATTCGGATTAAATAATTTTATTTTCTTAAATATGATTTCGATTAATTTCAATGTATTTAAATTAATTAAGGGATAATCTAGTTGATGTAGCGATTGCATTAATTTATATTTTTTTAATCTAAAGCTTTTCAATTTAGAATCTTAAATTGTCATCATTTCATAGTTGCACTCTTTTAAATAGGTTTCTAAATTATGATGTCTGAAATATTTTGATAATTAGCTTATATCAAACATTGATCATGCCTCAAATTTAACTACTAGATTCTATTTTTGCTATAGACTAAAGTTACTGCTATTAAAGTGTGTTAAACCTCCATTTATTATTATTATTATTATTATTAATATTAACACACGAATACTTCTAGCATTAACTAACCCCTATTTTCTCATAAATTCTGGTATTTTTCATTAATTTTTTTTATCCTTAATAAACTGATTTATTTATTTTTTTTAATTATTTAATATGGTTTCATTATACCCTTATAAAAAAGCATTTTTGGGACTTTTTGGAACTCTTAATACTTATTTAAATAGCTGTTTTATAATAATTCCCTTTAATACTTGTCTTTTTTAAATTAAATAGGGTATTAAACTATACGTAAAGTGTAGTTAAATGTTAATTCAAAATAATATTCGTCTTGAACTTAAATCCATTCTTTTGGTAATTGTAAATAGTTTGTAAACCTTATATCCTGAACTTTTTTTAATGTCTTGAATGTATTATTATATTTTGATCAGAAGATCTTGTATTAAATTACTAAGAAGGCTAAATCATTACCATAAGTATCTTAGACGTTATTTGAGAGTCTATCATATATATTTTAAATAATTAAGGCTATATTGGGGATCCTTATGAAGTCAGGTTTTATAAAAATCTTTCCTAAGGATGATATAGAGTTTTATTGCTTGATTCTACTATTTATAGCACATAAAAATTCAACTTCTACATCACTTAGAATTTTTTTCTCGGATAATAATTTATATAGCATATTGTATCAATCGTTTTGTATGTATTACANATCATATAGAACTCACATATATCAGGCCCACATGAACATGGGTTGTAGAAGGTTCCTCTCATACTCTGTCAGGAAGACCAAATGTTAGAGCTGTACCCCTATAACCAAACCCATCTACAAAGACTGACCAACTTTAGTAGCCAAGACAGGACTACGTTCTCTCTACTGGACCTAGTCAGATTATATCTGAGATAATAGAGGAAGAACCTTAGAAATTAATCGTGCAAAAGCCGGAAGGCAAAATACACTACCACTTCTAAAGGTGATGGTCCTTAATTTGATTCGCCTAAGGGGAGAAAGGAAGAGAAATGATTTTGGGGTTTCATTTAAACAAATAAATAAATAAAATTATTATTATTAATATTATTATTCCTTAACAAATTCGATAGAATACAAACTAATAAAATACTCTTTATAATCACTCAATTTTATTGTTGTTGTTCTTCGAATCAAAATTTAGCTGTTAAATTATGTGATAAATTTCTTACTTTCAGCTTTATTTAAAATTTTAGATGTTATAATATAATGTGTCAATAGGCAAGTCTTTTTGTTTGATGATCTTAACAATACTTCTAGCATTAACTAACCCCTATTTTCTCATAAATTCTGGTATTTTTCATTAATTTTTTTTATCCTTAATAAACTGATTTATTTATTTTTTTTAATTATTTAATATGGTTTCATTATACCCTTATAAAAAAGCATTTTTGGGACTTTTTGGAACTCTTAATACTTATTTAAATAGCTGTTTTATAATAATTCCCTTTAATACTTGTCTTTTTTAAATTAAATAGGGTATTAAACTATACGTAAAGTGTAGTTAAATGTTAATTCAAAATAATATTCGTCTTGAACTTAAATCCATTCTTTTGGTAATTGTAAATAGTTTGTAAACCTTATATCCTGAACTTTTTTTAATGTCTTGAATGTATTATTATATTTTGATCAGAAGATCTTGTATTAAATTACTAAGAAGGCTAAATCATTACCATAAGTATCTTAGACGTTATTTGAGAGTCTATCATATATATTTTAAATAATTAAGGCTATATTGGGGATCCTTATGAAGTCAGGTTTTATAAAAATCTTTCCTAAGGATGATATAGAGTTTTATTGCTTGATTCTACTATTTATAGCACATAAAAATTCAACTTCTACATCACTTAGAATTTTTTTCTCGGATAATAATTTATATAGCATATTGTATCAATCGTTTTGTATGTATTACAAAAATCAATTAATAATATTATTTATTATCATTATTATTTTTTTCAATTCAAACAAGATTAGGCTGTTTATTTTATACTCCTTATAAAACTCAATTTACTCTTACAAAATTCCATTTTAAAAGATAATTTGATAATAAGTCATAAAAGCTCAATTCCATAAATTAAATAGTAGTCTCAGAATAACTAGAGCATGAAACTATCTCTCTTGGAAATATTAGTGTGTACTTTATTCAATAACATTAATCTTGCCCATCTAATTTCTTCTTTCATCTAATGTCTTATCAATCCATAAATCACTTTCAATATTCCAGTAACAACGTAATACAATCTTTAAAGATTGCTTTGTCAAATGGAATTTATCATTATAGTTTTGGTATGGATTTTTAATTCATTTCGCTTAAATGAGGTATTATGGTTAGAATTAGTTTAAATTTAATAAATAAACCGATTATAGTAAATAATTATTATGCACATCTTGTCAAACCATATATTTTAATCCTCATCTTAAAAGCCATTAATATGCCTCATTCTTTTTTATTTTTTGTTCATTATTGCAGTTTTTTTAAAAATTTAAAAATTCCTTTTTTTCAGACTAAATAAGGTTATCTAACTACTCATTAGTTCTGTTTTAAAAGATTAACAATTAAGTTTTTTCATTTTTATTCTGATATTTTTTTTTAATAAATCTGCTTTCGTTATGTAAACTAGAAGGTAAGGAAATCATGAGTGTGTAAAATTTTGTTGAGGTTATTGCTACTGATTTGTATATTCTTAAGTATTATTATTAAGCAGCAATATGATCTTGTAATTTAGTTTTATAAATCATGGTCAGTGATATTCTTCCATAATATTGTAATATTATATTAAGTTACACTATTTCTAATAAATGATCAGTTTTAAAAAAGATTTATTTAAAAAGAATTATTCTTTAAAAGTATTTCGATCCTTTAGAAGTTCTTTTAAGCTCAGGAAAAGGGTTTTTATATAATTAATCACCAAAAAGCATCATTATTTATTTTGTATTCATTTAGCTCAATTTTAATAATATCAGTTATTTGATCATCTTTTATTTCTTTTAAATCTTTAGGCGTTATCAAAATACACATTAATTATAATAAAGTTTGCAGCCAAATTAACTGCTAGTATTATTAAGATATCAAAGGAGTCTTCACAACAAGGTAAGCGAGAAATTTCTTTTGAATTGAAGTCTTATGTATACCTATAATTATTCCACCTTAATAGGTAGTGCCGGTTCCTTTATAATATTATTCATAATTATTTTAATCATTTATTGAGGCATTTCTTACTTCTTATAAATAGATAAAGTGAACGTTTGTCAGTCTTTATTTATTATCTTTCTTTTAAGTGGCGAAAAGCATCCATATTTCTTTTAGATATGCAAGATTAGTTATTTCTATCCTTCATACATGTAAATTTTCTGTTTTTTTAATGATATAAGATGATGAATTTTACATATTTTTGAATTATAAAGTACAAGTTGTTTTATTATGTTTTTCTCCTTCTAGCTTTTGTAACAGAATTAGAATAGTCTTTAATGATTAAGTGTTGAAAAAGTTTAAGCAATATCATATCTGAGTTTTTTTCATCAATACCTAAAATTTAGGAAATAGCTGTAAATATGAATTACCTAAATTCTTTAGTTTCATTCTTATTATAGTTTGATTTTGATTTCTTTTCATCTCTTCTTTATTTATGATTTCTTTATGACTTAACAATTTTCACCAAAGGTGTTGAATGGTAACTTTCAGCATATTTGCAATTTCTGCAAGCAAACGTCGTTTAATATTGTTTAGGCGAGTTAACCATTGAATTTTATGAGCTGAATAGTGCAGATTTGTCAAATATTATACTTATACTATGTTATTTAATTTAGATGTTATATCATCCATTAATAATGATTTTAATTATATAAGCAATTATTTTTATAGCGTATCAAAATAAATTTTATTAAAAACAATGCTGTCTTCAGAAGGAGTAAAGTGGACATGTAAAATTCATAACAAACCTGTCGTTCAAGTTTGTATATAAAAGTGCAACAATGATTAGAAAGCCAGTTGCCTGACATGTACAAATTCTGACCTTCAACACTTCAGATGTTAATATGTTTCATTAGAAGATATTCCAAAGTAGGTGGAAAGCCATCAAAAATTATTTTAAGAAATATAGAATTCTATAATATAGTTAGAAGATGAATTTAAAAATAGAATACAGATTATGAAAGAAGTTTTAGATGGCTATTAAATTTAAGAAACATTCAGGTGCATTATTGAATTAGAGCACGTAAATCTTTTGGCAAACGTCTTAAGAAAACTGCCTAAAATTAAGGAAAGAGTGAATGAAATTTCAAATATAATAAAGGATATATTACAATCGTTGTCTTCTCAAAAATTAGAACCATTAAAGAAATGGAAACAAGAGTGCTTAGAAACAACAATGTAACAAAGTGAACAAACCACAAGATTAATCTAAAATCTGAGAAATCAAAACAATTAAGGAAATATGGAAACTATTAATCGCTTAGATACAAATTAAAATACTAATAGAAGTCATAGTATATAGGAATTACTAAATCAAGGAAAAGTAAATCTAGGATTTTTAAAGTGTGAGCTTGCAATAACATGTTTTGACTAAGTTTTAAAAGTAGAGCCTAACAATATTGAAGCTAAAGTAGGTTTAAGTAAATAAAGATATTAAATTAGTGAATACTCTATGTGAAATGGATTACTTAAATTCTTCTTTCTCCATTTCATAAAAAATCCTTGAATAAGATCCTTAAAATTTTGAAGCAGCATTGTAATAAGGTTGAAATAAATAATATGTCATAGGAGTAATTCTTTACAATTAAAAAAAATATGGAGAATCAATTAGCCATATAACATAAAAATTAAATAGATTTTCCAATCATAATAAATACAAAGAAGTATTAAAATTGCTTTGTAAGCTTTTTATTAACCATAGATAATAATTACATAGAGAATAATTAACTATAGCATGCAAAAACTGAATTAGATAAATTAAGATTAACGTATGGGGACAATTTAAGTTATAATTAAGGAATGGGTAATAAAAACATAAAATATTTAATAGCAAAATGCTGTATAATTGAAAATTAATTAAACGAAGCTCAATACTATTTGAATCAAGCAAATTAAATAAGGAAAGATGATTTAGAAAATGATTTAATTTAATGTACCTTCTTAAAATATTTTAAGTGCAAATATTTGAAAAATAGTGTTAATATTCAAAGTGTCTGGATTAAATAAGATAAAAATTACGAGGATTTAATAAAATTAAAGATTAGAGAAAATTAATTAAATTGTAAAGTATTATTACGCTCTATTTTAGTATTTCAATTCTATGAGGTATAAAATTTTTAGGAAGCTATATTCTGGTGTTAATTATATTAGGAAAATTATCAAGATGATATTGATATTTAGTATATTTTTGGAAAATGTTTATTGGAAAATAAATAGTATAGTATGGCTATTCATTTTTTTGATAAAGTACTTCGATAAAGTTAACATCATTGTAAAGCACAAAATGCAAAAAGTACCATAATCTAAAAAAATTAGACCAGGCTTAAGAAAAAAAAAACTTGCTAAATCAATCCTCTGTTTAAAGTGTTCGAAATAGATAGTCGAGTGTAATATAATCACATGATTTTTAAAGCTCATGTCGCTAAAACTTCTAATAAGATTACTTAAATTTGTTATTGCACAAAGCTGGTAATGTAAAATTCAACTAAACTAGGCACCATTTTGGTTGATAATCTTTATCCGTGTACAGTGATTTTTTTAGATGAATGTATTAATAATTTTCCATTTGATGAGGAGCTAAAAGTGTTAAAAGCCAAATATTATCTCAAAACCACTGTGGCAATTCATAAGTAGTTAGCATTTGAACTTCTTGATAGTATAGTAAAGAAAAATCCCCATAATTTAGAAGCATAACATCTTTTGAAATCAATTAATTTTTTAAGTATAATTAGAAACTAAAACTATTAATGATCTTATAAGAATGAAAAAAATATTTTATATTTACATTATTTTGAAGGAATTTGTTATAATTAAATCAATCAAAATTTGATTTAGTTTTATCATAAAGTCATTAGGAAATTAAGTTTAAACCTAGCAAAATTTCCATTTTTTCTAAAATTTGGCTATTATTTTGATAAATAAGTTAGTGCGATATAATTTAAATACAATTAAACCAACAAAACTTTAATATAGGTATTATTGGAATAAAGATAAATTCTTAATTATTCCCTTCATTTTAACAAACCATAAAAACTACCTAATGGAGTTAAAAAAAATTACTTTTCCAGAATTTCATCATTATACTACAGGACAATTTAAGTTTCTTTAAAAAAAATGGATAAATTGACTAAATTTTTTAACAAATGAAAGCGATCGAATTGATTCCATTAAATAAAAAAATTTCTGAGAAAAGAATAACAAATAATAGAATCATTTGATCTACCAAATTATTTTTAATAATTTAAGACATTGTTACTCTTAGAAACATCCTTTATTAAATGAAACTTATAATGAGAAATAACCAACGAATAAATATTTTTTATTTTTCTCCATTGAGAATACAATTAATTAAGAGCAGAATAAGAACTGTTTTTTATTTAAATTATGTTTCTAATTTCTTTAAGAATTTAGTCAATAGCTTTATCATAAAATGTATTAAAATAATAATGTATCAAATAATGCATATTATTTGATTATAAATCTATTCTTCTGATCATATAGGGTTATTCCACACTCTTTCAATAGGATTTTTCTAAGGAGAGTAGGTGGTAGGAATAATTAGAAAATTCCATTCAACGCCTTATCAAGTATTTTACTCTTATCAACAGGGGCTATTAAAAAAAATAATTATCAAAAATTATTAGTTTTCATACTGTTGTTTGAAGCTCTTATTAAATTTAAAGTAGTTCGATGTATATCCATTAGTTAATATTTCCATTAGCAACCTAATAAGCCTAAAAATTCTTTGTATCAATAGCTAACAATATTTTAATGCTTATTTTTTCTGGTCAGCACAAGGCACGCTTATACTTATTTCTTAATTATCAATATTTTGAAGTTTTTGTTTAGCTTCCTAATGAAATTCTTTCACAAAACAACATAAGCTTTATTAACATGCAAAATTGTTAGATTTGATGCATAATTAAACTTTATATTCATAAGTTTATTTATTTTTAACTATTGGTGTTCTTGAATTTATTATTGTTATGTTTTTTTCAACGATTTTAGTCTAAAGTGCTCTATTCTTTTCTATCCATCTTTTTCTGGTAGGCTTTGATTTAACTGAATATTTATTTTTATTTAAAAATTTGGCTTCTTTTTCTTCCTTTCTTCTCTAAATTTAAAGACATTAATTACACTTAATTATTATTTTCCAATAAATCAACTTTGGTTAAGCGTTATAATTCTATCAGCATCAGAATAATGATTAGAAAATTTAAACATTCAATATCTGAAATTCATTTGTCCACTTTTTATTTGACAGTATAAGTATATTGAACTAAATTATATTCTATTTCTAACATACTTTTTCTAATTCTTTAAAGAGCTTGATTTTAGACAGTTTTTAAATAAATTACCTAATTTTCATTTAATCTTTTTCAATCCCTAAATATTTCTCTAATGCCAGATTGAGCAAATATTCACATTTTATCACTGCCGAGGCATCATCAGACATGTAATATGTCTCGAAATCAAGTCTGCATTCATCCAATCCTCACCGACTAAATAGTTAACTTCTTAAAATGTAATCGCTTAAAAGGATAATAAATGAAGATGAAGGGTTCATCAAAGCACTTGAATATTAAAGCCTAAGATGTAGACTATATCACCACCTTTCTTATTATATTTTAGTATTTTGTTCCAATCTGATTCGCATCTATTTAGTGATTTTAGATTATAAATTTATATTAAAAAAATCAAAAATTTGATTGTATTTAAAAATATAAATCCTATTAATACTAATTCAAGGAATTGGAATTAATTCCATATTGTTGTATTCCCTGTTATAATGACTTTTTAAGAGGTTGATTATTAACCACTCATTGAAAATGATATTATTATTCATTTTTATTCTTCTGTATTTTCTGTCTGCTGAAGTTACTTTTATGCTGTAAACCTCATCAAAAAAATATCTATGGTTTATTCAAATTAGATTGATCTTCTCGCTTAATAAATATTTTTTTCTAAATTTTTTAAAGACTTGAAATTACATTTTTGCAGGTCTAGAAACTTAGGTAGACTATTTATATTGTTATTTATTTTTTAAGTTTTTTTCAACAAATCTACTGCTAAATTTTTAAGAGTTTACGAATCAATGAATCCATAGGTTACATTCTATATAATTAGTTAATGGTAAGTTCTGATGATTTGTTTCTTTTTCTTTTATTTAATTATTATTTGTTGGAAAAGGAAAGGTATTCCCGATCTGTTTATCTGCCGTTCTATTTTATGATTATTGTTTGAGAGAAAAGGGTATTCAATGATGTATTCTAAGTTTGTATTCGAAAATTTTCTCTTTTAACTTTAGCATTAAAAAATAATAATCACAATCATGATAAATTGAAGCTAAAATTTTATTCAGAGCATCGATTTGTATTGTAGTTATTGATATTATACTTGGGTTTTTAGCATCAATGAATCAATTGCCCTATAAGTTAAGATTTCAATATTGTATGAAATTGACATAATTTTAGGAATTTTCATTTCAAATTTTTTTACTTGGAGTTAGTAGTAGTGAATCTGATTCTATTTTAATTTAGAACTATATTTAGATACCTTTAAATAGGCTAGAATTTAAAGAGATCTCGTTTATTGGTTGTGAAAGATGGTAGGATGTACTTAGTTACCCTAACTCATAAAATCTATTTGAATTAAAAAATATATTATTTTAGATTAATTTAATTAATACATGAATTTTAACTAATTCTTTCAAATATTATATATTTATATTTGAAATTGAAATTGCCTTTTTTTCCAAATTTAATGCTAAATCATAGTAGAATAAAAATAAAAATAATCTAATTTATTGATTTCAAGTTAAGTTTTAAACATTAATCCATTTATATATTACATGTCAATTTATTTGAAAAATACTCTGTATAATAATTTTATTTTATACAATTTCTTTCTTCAGAAGATTGTAGTTTATTCTATATTAATAAAGAAATTTAATCAAACTAAGAGTTACGCCATACTAAAAGAAGTTAGAAACTATTTACATTTTTTGATTAATTTTGCAAGAAACATATTTTGGTTTGAATATATTAAAATATATTCCTCTCAATATGATTTTTAGTGCCATTTAAACAAAAAAACTTTACAGCATAAAGAAATAAATAAAAAAATAAACGTATTTTAAGTTTAGTATCATAAAGAAATTTAGTTTACTATTCAAACAAAAATTAACCTGAATTTTAAATTTTTTTTATCTTTTGGCTATCCATTGTTTAAATAAAGTTGAATATTTTAATATTTTATTTTTATATTTATTAGAAAGTATTAAAAATAAATTTAAGAATATTGTATTTTATTTAAAAGCCATTCATCAGCTACAGTGTTTTTTCAAGTTAAAAACAATAGACGGGAATCATTTAACTCTTATTGTTGATTATGAATGAAAAATAGATAACTAAATTAATATCTCTTTATTATTTATTGAAATATCAACAATTTACGATCTATTTAAGTAAACATTCACCATTAAGCACTAGAAATCTAATTTTATGTGATGTTAAATTACTTATAAAAATTACTTTGAAAATAAATAATATAATGTAAATTTAAATCTATAACATAACAACTTATCTATATAGCAATAATATTTATCTGAAGAACTTTAATTAATTTTAATTTGAAATCAATGCATTCAGAAACCAATAATTCGGAAACAGACATTTTAATACTAAATAAGAACGATGAATCTTTAACTTATGGATGTCGAAAATAAGATAAAAAGCTAAATCTTCAATTAAAAAAGAAACCAATTCATAAAAAATAAAAGGCCAAACAATTTACTTTGGAGGAGGATTAATTACTTCTTTTGCAAGTGATTAGGATTGGGAAGAGGTTTGAAGCCATAGCAAGAAATTTTCCGAAAAGATCTAAACATGAATTAAAAAATAGATACTATACTCACTTAAGAGACAGAGAAAATGAAATCTTCGATCCTCAGTAATTATTTATAATCATTATTTAGAAGCCTCTTTTATGTTTCCCATGAAGCTCCGAAGAAAAATAAGAATTCCTAAAGTAATTATCACGAATTAAGTGTTTAATTACAGAATGTTGGCATAGAAGAAGAATACAAAGCAATTTTAGAAAAATTCATCGGCCAAGTAAGCGATCTGTTCTCATTTATCAAATCTTTTCCAATATGATTTTTAAATTGATTTATTTAATATCTTAGAGTTTTATTTATGATGTAATAACAACCTCACTCTTTTAGTGTGATATCCAAATACAATTTAACAGTTTTATGGTTCTTAACTTCATGTTTGTTAAGTCTTCATGGTCATATTAATATATTACCTGAACAAATAAACCGTATGATTATTAATTATTGAAATTTAATTAAAATACAGTATTAATATAATAAAATGACAAAAACTATTTAACTTAATATTATAAGCTTTTTTCACCAAATTTTGCAATACCAGTGCCTAAGTATGTCTGAAATATGGAAATAAAGAAAACAAATTTAATAAAATCTTCTTTTCTATAAATAAATAAACCTTAATTTAATTTTCAAAGATTTTTCTATTAAAAGCCTTTGCTTACTATGATGTATGTATTTAAAGGATTATTTGTTCTTAATTAGAAATCAAGTCTCATAAATCAAGAAAAATGGTTATAATTTAATTAGATGTAATTTTACCTCACTATTTTTTTTTTTTAATTTCTTTATAATATTTGGAATAGGTTAGATTCAATGACTCCCTTTTTTAAATTATTATCATAGCATTTTGATTAAAGAACACACACATGATAAAAATTTTTATTTTATTTATCGTTAATTGTACTATAGTAATTACAATTTTTCTTTAATCTTCTCCTTTAATTATCATTTTAAAAAGCTTCTAACCTAAGTCTGATGTTGTCTTAATTTAAAAATCATATTTAGCGTTAATTAATATAGAAATAATTTCATAGGTTAACCCACAATTTTATACAGTTTTACAGTAGAAGAATATTTTATATAACCTAATTAGACTGAGAAGGGTGCTACAATATATAGCATTTTAGATCTTTATATTCTTAATTATCAAATTAATAGATGAGCATCAATATATTATTTTTTGGTTGGAACTGACTAACTAACAAACAAACATGCTTTGATGAAATTATCAACCAATTAATATTTACTATATATTCTTGAGATTATAAATATATATACATATAATATACTTTATGAATTAGGAAGGGTAGGTTTAGTAAGTTTAAGAATCTTTAATACTAAAAAAACCACAGAGAATCATCAATAGATACAAACATAATTAATTGCTTTATAATTATTTTGTGATAAGGGATTTCAAATCAGCTTAAGAATTAATTGAAAAACTAACACAAGAACATGGAGATATTCATGAATATGCAAACTAGATATAAGGATATATTTTTAAGATGACTGGATAACTTTCCAAATCGACTGAGACATTCAAGAAGTTTTTATCATTTAATGAATAAGATCAAGAAGTTCTAAAAACTATTGCAAAAAACTTATAATTAGGTATTAATATCTGTAATATGCAGATGGTAGATTCAAGATTAGTTTAGATGTTGCTTAGAAGGCTTTGAATTTGAAAAAGAATGATTGGGAAGTATTTTATACTATTGGAAATTGCTATTATGCCTAAAAAGATTTTGATAAAGCACTTATAAATTATAAAAGGGCATTTGAACTCTCAATTAATGAAACAACTTATAATCGATTAGGAAAGTTTTACTTGTCCTTAGAGAAGTATGATGAAGCTTTAGCAGTTTATAAGACTGCTCTAAATTCATAACCACAAAATAATGAACTTAAGGCATTGCTTGGTGTATTGCTTTTGAGGATGGGTTAAACTCAAGAAGCTAAGAAATATTTAGAAAGTGTTACTGCAACCGATACAAAGTGTATAAATCCATATATAATTTAGCATTGCTGGGTCTCGGGTCAATAATGTAGGATCAAGAAAGCTATGACGAGGCTCTTGTATATTACAGAAAGCTAATAGCAATACATCCGACATCAGCATAAGTTTGGAATAATATTGCTATGTGTTATTATGGGAAATAGGAAATTCTTCCAGCAATTATAAGTTTGAAAAGGGCAATTTATTATGATCCATTTGAGTCTACAATCCACTTTAATATGGGTTTAGTACATCTATATGAAAAATAATATATGTCTGCATTTCATTACTTTTAAACTGCAATTACTTTAAATCCAGATGATTCCTAATCATATATGTATTTGGGAATAGCCTTAAATAAATTGAATGATTTCCAGAACGCATGCAGATCATTTGAGAGAGCCTTGGAGCTCGATAAAGAAAAGTATAATACAGTATTGATTATTGATTAGAGACTATTTAATCTATTTGAACTATTGCATAATTTTATTACAGAGAGGAGATGAATCATCATAATATGCTTAACAAATTTTTCGATATTTTTGTGATTAATACAAAGAGCAAGAATAACATTATGATAATCGTTGCAAAAAGGAAGTTGTTTAAGAGCTCAAGTAACAAATATATAAATATCTAAAGTCATGATAAATTATTATATTATAAATAATCAATTCTTATTTAATTTTAACACTCTCATTTTCCCATTCTCAAACCCTAATAAAAATACCAACTGTTGATTCTAAAATTCCCTTTAAAATATTAATTTGCCTGTTAATATTTAATCATCAAATTGTATTCCTTATAAAGCTATCTTATTATTCAAATCTTAAAACTTAACTTTTGTTTCATTATTTTCTAAAACGGCAAGTATAAACCCTTCTTCTTCCAAACCATATTAATAGAAAACATGGAAAATACAATGGTACATTTGTGAAAGGCTGTAGACTAATTTATAATTATTCTCAACAACATTATCATCATAAGTATATACATAAAATCCTCTATTAGTACTAACACAAAAAGTATCTTATTCCTAAAAGTTGTGTAAAATAGTTGCTTATTCTATACAATCTCTTACATTTTATAGTTATAAAGTCTACTTTTTGACTCCATCTATTAAACTAAAAACATCAATTTTATTTTATTGCATCTAAGTATATGCTGATTAGTCTCACTCATCAATAAATCACCCTCATTTGGAAATGAATATTGATATCTCAAGACTTTCCTAATTTTAGCATCATTGAAATGCCAAATTATCACATAAAAGCAATTTTATTTACATCCACCTGACGCTATTAGAAAATTATAGCATAGAATTACTAATATTTTATAAAGCGTCATACCTTATTTAAGGCATATGAATTGTTTATTCATAAAATTCATACTCTTACTCGAAATAGACATAATTGAATTATCACCAAATAGAACCACAAATTCATCTTTCTTATCTGCTACACATACATATTTTAAGTTTAAAAAAGGCAAGGAGCAATTGGTTTAAATTCTATATAACATTTGCTATATTTCCATAATTTAATTTCATTAGGATGCACAGTAATCAAGTTTTCAGCATTCAACAGTAAGATTTATAAGATTTTAGGAGTTGATGTTGGATCATCTTCATTTGTTGCTAAATCAACTTCAACCAGGACAATATTATGGGTAGCTGAATTTGGCCTAATACTCATTTTTACTATGTGACAACATTCGTTTTGTAAACCGCTTTAAAGCACCAGCCAGTTTATTCATGTTTCTTTCCCATAGACCACCTGTCAATCTCAATGCCTTTATTTCTTCTTATTATTATGTTTATAAGAATTAATTTTGTTGTAATTTTTACCTCTCTCTTTCATCAACTAAAAAGAATTAATCATCTTTAACCAAAAATTCTTAATGATGTTATTTAAATTAATCTAAATTTTGATGTCTGACAAGTTTGAGTAGTCTTATCATTTTATCAAATGCCTCCTTTCTTGAGGTGGAACTCAACTTAATCTTATTTTTATATTCTGTTGTATCTTCTATAGATCTACACTCCTTTTCAACTTTTTTCAATTACTTGATTATATATTTCAACCTCTTTTCCTTTGTTCACTCTTCAATACCGAAATTTCATGAGTTGTAGTTTGCTACACTCGGTGCCTACGCTTAATCTTTTCTCTAATGTGATTAATGTACCAATCTAAACTATCAGTTTTATGATTTGGATGAACAAAATGTGCACATTCTTAGCAGCATAATTTTTATAAAATTTTGCATTCATTTTCATGACATACAACGTCTAGTTTGCATTCCCTATTATTTTCATGTGAAAATGGTCTTGGTCTTATGTAATTGATAGACTTTGACTAACCATCATTCTAATCAACTTCATCTTATTATAATAATCCAGCATTTTAATTCTTAATATAATCTTGTTAATCTATTTGTTTTATTTCGCAGATGTGTAATTATGCTCTTCCTAACAAATTAATTTAATGATTTTATATTAATGTTATAAATTTGCTGTAAATAAAATATTTATATAAATTATAATTCAATTCCAATTAGTGATCATATCTTCTATAATTTCTTTAACTCTTCATCACTATCCAGTTCAATTATTTTGTTTTTTTCTGTATATGACAACAATTATTCTATCAACACTTTTATCTAAAATAGAATCTCAATTTTATCCGATTTTTCAAGAGGCTTATTTGATTTCTCTTGACAAATACTGAGTATCATGAGTAAACTATTGCTAGTTTATTTTGATTCTTCGAAAATACTCTTTAACTCAACCAAATATTTTGAACGCTCCTAATACACTAATTCAAGCATTTTCTCAATTATTTCAGCCTCGCATTATTCTGTTGGATTCAATACTGAAGTTCTACAAAAGTTGTTTAATTGAGTGAAACTAGTAACACTATAAAGTTCAACAAGTGGTTTTTAAATATATTAAAAATATTTCCTTAGTACTGTATCAGTGGTATCAAATTTAAGGTTCCCATTTCTTAATTTCATCAAATTTATAATTTATGGGAATCCTGTTTTATCCTTTATCATTTTTGTAATCACTTATTTTAAGACAATTACAATATTGACTTTGAGATTTCTATTTTGTTATCTTCTTTCTGTCATTTGTTATGATGTCTCTAATAGTTAATTAAATAGAGTTTTCAATCGATTGATTTAAGGAGAATTCTAAATTTTTGATGTTTGAGTCAACAAATTTCTTATTTGCATTTAATTTACTTCTATTCCTTTCATTACTAGAACCGATAATGTGGAATCAATTAAGTCTTATTCAGGTATCTCTAAATATTGCTTATAATATTGCAATTTCAGTTCTAGAAGCCCTTGTTCTGCTAATGATACATTGTTATAACCCAATTCTTCAGCCACCTTCTTTACTTAAACAATTGACAATATGGTTCTTTCTAGATTTTAGTCTATCCTCAATTTCATCTGATCTCCTGTCAAACATAAACAATTAATGAAACAAGGCAAGGGAATCTGCTCTTGATTACAAACAGCAATTAAAATGAATATTATTCTCTCGTTGTGCTATAACAAATATATTAATGTGGGAGGTTGATTGATTTAATAGAGTTTCGTGGAAATGGGATGCTAAATTTATTGATCGAGCAAATATTTGAGATGCTCCACATTGACTCTGGTTTTAATTCTTTTCACAACTTCGTATATGATATCTTATAAGGTGTACAAGTCGTCAGTATGACTATCAGTAATATGACTAAGTTCATCAAGATGTGCTTATGAAAATTCAATAGTATACTCATTATTAATTATTTAGATGAAATTCACAAATTTGGGAAAAGACTTGTCATATTTGATGATAGCCAATAATTTACCTTTTATTTTTTATTCAATTATCATTTGCTCTTTCACAAACTAGTCTATTTGTTTGAGTATCAATCCAAATTTAATAATGTTCTTTCTGTCAGGAATATTGTCCTCAATCTATTTGACTGATAAAAATTCATTGATGATGGGATCCTGCATTATATCATTCATTTGTTTAAAGATGTGCTTGTATGTTGAATACATTTAATAATTAAAAATTGATTTTGGGTCAGTGATGCCTAAATATTTTGGTCTTATTTTCTTGTTTTTATTTATATTCAATTAATATAATATTATTTGAAACATATCTCATTATTTTTATCAAATATAAAATAATCATTTCTTTTTAGGTTGTGTTTTTTTTAATTTCTTGATTTCCTCGTCTTCCAACTTTAATTTCTACTGTTCATTCAACGATTTATCAAATGCCATATATTTAAATACTTTTCCAGAATGACTAAAAGAAGTGCCATTGAATGTAATTTCAACACCAACATCATGGATTCCTGTAGGTAGCTCCAATTCAGGAATTTATACCACTAATTTGCTTTTATTTTTGAATATAGCCTTTTTATAAATGAGTATTTTGTACCTTTTAATTAACAGCCATGTTGCCGTTGAAAATGAATTAAACTAAAAGAGACTCAGTATTGGCTAGATTTTCTCCGTAGACACTCAAATATTGACCAGCCTTCTTGAAAAAGTAATTGATTTCTTATTCTTCAGCCTCCAACTGTTTTTAAACTTCATCTTTCTTCTTTTATAAGTCGGCTCCTTGTAAATCCTTGAAATGATCGACCTCTTATTCTTCTTAATGAACTAATTATTTCTTCTATTCTTCTGGTAATTTCTCATCAACGGTGAAAGGACCAAGACGTAAGACTTCTGGATCAATATAATAGAATGTTCCAATAGGTATCCATTCAATACCAGAGAGTGTTAATAAAGCAGTGACTCCATTGGCTTTAACAGCATTAAGTAATTCTGGAGTAGGTTGTTATCCACCTAAGAGCCATGATAACGGAGGAGCAACGAAGGAATAAAACCTATCTTGCTTATCCCACATTATTTCAATTAGTCTTTCTCCAAATAGAGTTTTAAAGATCACTCTTTTATTGGTTGTATCAAAAAAGCCATCTCCTATTATTTTAACAGCGGCTCCTCCTTCAGACATAACATTATCTGGTTGCAATTCTTTTATTTAAATATCATAAAATCTAAAGACCATAGGGTTACCAGTAAATTATTATCCATTTATACTTACATCAACATTAAAATTCAGACTGTCTGTTTGTAATTAACTTACATTAGGGATAGTACACGAGATCTTTCCTTTTTCATAAAAGCCTTCAACACACATCCAGTTTTCCTTATCTAATTCAGGATCATTGATGCTGAGATCCAATGGATTCAATGGTTTGTTAGTACTTTATTTCATAGCAGATTTATCCTCCTTCTTCTTATTTCTTGGTTGAAATCCAACATTTAGATGTTTCATATAAGAGGCAGTCAAATCATCTATATTGATATTGATAATGAGTGTGGTTCCACCTTGGATTGATGCACATTTAGGATAGAGTGAAGAAATAACAATTTTGGATGAATACACTAGGAACTTCTACTCACATTCAACATAGACATTACCATCAAGAGTGACTTCGACTACACATTCAACTGGATATTTATCAAGATGTTCTTCAAAATTAGGAGTTGTGCATCTGAAACTGTCAGTCAACGAATCATATTCACATCCAACCTCAGTATATTAATCTCCTAATTTGAATCTTGCACTTTACCTGCCAGTATCACAGAAGCCTGTACCTATCAAACTAATAATGGTGCCTCCAGTAGAAGGTCCATGATTAGGTTTCATAGAGATGGTTCTTAAAGAAGCAAAGAAGGCAGCAGCTTATCCATTTGCATACATATTGGTGAATTTGCGATCTTCTAATACTATTTTTCTTGGTAAATCTACTAATTTATCATTTTGATGACCAAGATTACCTCCACCCCAACTCCAAAGCCCTCCTTTTTGATCAATTGCATATGTAGTGTAATATCCACACATAACTTTACTAAATCCAGGCAATTAAATTCCACTAATATCTTGCATCAATCTTTTTGGATAATAACTACTCTTCTTATCTTTATCTCCATTCCCCAATTGTCCTCTCTGATTAAATCCCCAAGTATATAATTCCCCTGTAGATGTAACAGCTGCAGAATGTCCATATCCTCCTGAAACTGAAATTACTTAAAAGGATGTTTCTTAAGGCAGGAATTTACCTACTCTTAACTCACTCTAATTCATTGGCTACTCAAGCAGGAAGTCTATTCTTGATGGCAATTGCTCAGAAACCTTTCTTCCTGTTCCCAATTAACCAAATCTAGCCTCTCCCCAACCGTACAATACTCCTTATTAATCTACAGCCAATGAATGATAGGCTCCACATGCAATCAATTAAATTCTGTTCTTATAAAAGTAACTTAAAAACATAGGAGATGCTGCTGTTTCAACGTCCTTTCTGATTCCTAATTACCCTTCGAACCCTCTTCCCCATGCAAATAAATCACCATTGCTTAATGCTAAAGTATGATACTCGCCGCATGCAATTGTATCAACCTTTGAAATTCTTATAATCTTTTTCGGTATTGTTAACTCTATTATTCCACCATGTCCCAATGCTCCATATTCTCCATAACCATAACTATAAATATCTCCCTAATCACTCAAGAAAACTGTATGCTTTTTCCCAGTTACTATTGTTTTGATTGATCCTTTGAAATCAAATGATTATAAATTATGTGAATCTTGCGAAAATGTTTAATCATATTCGTCATGCTCAGGTGAATGCAATGTTGATATTATCCTACATATAATAATATACTTACCCTTGATTATCTATTCCTTCTTCTATTACAAATAATTTCCGACAACCACCGCATAGACTGCTAATTAGTTTTCCCTTAAACAGCTTCAAGTTCTCTAAACCTCCCTGGACATCATCTGTTGTTAAAAACACTTCTCCAAAAGTTGGAAGTTGCATTAAATAAATTAATTAAATGTTAAAAGGAAGATCAGCTTGCATCAATCCAATGGCTATTTCAAATGAGTACTCAATTCGCATCTAAACAATTTAACATGCTTAAGACAAGCATATCTCAAAGAAATTCAACTGGCACATAAACTATTACCATTTGTTAATGAATGAAAATCTAATAAATCATATTAGCAGAAAAATAATGTTGAACGATCTTGGCTTAACTCTAATCAGATAATAGTATATTTATCAAGTTTATTCCTAAGTTTAAATCAAAAGTCAAGCCATTAATAAAGCTAAATAGAGAGACTCTGAATATTTGACAGAATAAGAATTAACCATTTACACAGTACTCTACTATACTACTTAATAATTACAAAGGGTTAGAAAGTCTATGCCATTCTTTTTCAATTAAATCTAAATTAATTAAAGAGAGCAGATGAATGAGAAATTTTACAAAAATAAACTTTTTGCATTTCCCAAATAATAATAAAATTGATTAAATAAATATTGCTTGATCTCCAATAAATCAAATATTTTCAATCTTATTTAAGCAATTTTAAATTATACTTTAAGTATATTGTTTTATGCACAACAAATTTATACAATAATAATATTTATAATATCTTTATAGACTTGGTTAATTGTATTCTTTCTATTAAAATACAGTTTGGATATAATATATTTTTAAAGAAAGATTAGATTAAATTAAGCTAATACTATTCAACAAAATAAATTTTAGTTTGGATAAATCTATGATTAGGAAGATGAATAATTATGGCATTCTTTCTCTAACTTAACCATCTGAATAATTTACAAATTTATAATTAAAAAAGAATCAAAAAAATCATTCATAAAAACATAGTTATGATTTATAAATTTAGCCAGAATAGGAAATTAATTCATTATTTTCATTTTAATAGAATCACACTTATAAATTATCATAGATTCGATTTATTCAATTATATTTTTACTTAAATTAAAAAGACTTATAAAAATTTTGTTTCATACCAAAATAATAAGTATTTAATAAATCGAATATAATTGAATTTCAAATTGGTGACAATTTATAGGTAGATAGATAAAAAATTAATAAAATCGGAGAGAATCTTAGTGAAATTTGGAGAAAAATGGAATAACTTGATTAAATGATATCTATATGAGAAAGAGTTTATTTTTATAACAGTAAAGTAATTAAATAAAATTTATTCATAAATAATAACAATGTCTCGCTACATCAATTTAGTAAAAATTTGCATCATTTTTGAAAGTAAGATAAGACTGTTCCATGCAAGCCCCTTGAGGAGTTTAATATCAAAATATACAGAGAAAAACTTAATGATTTATATGGGAAATCACCTCTAGCATCTTAACATACCTAACCTTCTTCTCCTAAAAAGAATAATAAAATTGTGTATTGAATTTAGTGAGTAATAGAAATCCGAGTTTTGACTTGTTACAAACTAAATTAAAGGAATTTTCAAATAAAAAAAGTGCTTCACCATTAAAATCCAAAGTTGATCACGGTTCTCCAAATAGAGCTTCCGGCATTCAATAGTAGTAATCTATTAAGAAAATAATAGAATTTCTAAGATAGGGACCTTTAATTTTACATTGCCATAAAAACAAATGAGACTTGCATCTGTTAATAACAATTAATAGTTCAATGGACCAATAAGTGAGGATAGAAAAATATATCCAGTCCGATTCGAAACTGAGGTCCAAGAAAAATCCTCTTTTGCATAGAAGCCGTAAGGATTTTTATAGATTTCAAGGATTACCAGTATGATACCTCTACACGAAATTATGAACATGAGAAACAAATTAGAAAATGCCCAGTTAAATGTTAATTAAATTAGTTCTGCTTATACAAGTGAAATGGTTAAATTGGCCTCTGTTATCAACTCCTAATTGAAAAAGAAATAAAAATGATTTGTATTTAACTTATTATAATAATATATTATTTTATAAATAGAGCGTGCTTATTAATTTTGATTCATCATGAAATTATAATATCAATTATTTATGGCTAATTTATTATTAAGGATTTCATCTATTAAATATGTTGAAAATGAATTATATTATAATTTAGAGTATGAAAGCGACTTTTTAAATTATGAAATACAATTAAATATATGTATCTTGTATGAGAATTTAATAGGCATTATTTATTAATAATAAATCATTAAACTACTTTAATTTACTTATTTTCAATTAAGTGATTGATTTTATAAACTGCGAGTAGGCCTAAAACTCCAAAAGTTTAAAGTAAAATTAAGGATAAGAAAGTGTTGTTATCAAAATTGCAAGATATAAAAATTAAAGCTAGGACTGCAAATGATAAAGAATAAATAAAATACATCAGGTCCACTAAATAAATATACTAATATAACAATAAGTTATTACTTTAGGAAATCTCAAAGTCAAAACTGAAATAACAGTTGAGGTCATCGATGAATCACAAAATCCTGTTGTTATAGAGAATATTAAGATTAATATTTCATATTTCAAGAAGTAAGAAGTCCAAGCTACAAAGCATCCAAATTAGAATACATAGAGTATATAAATTAGAGCACTATAATATAAATATAAATTACTTTATCTTATCTTTTGATTCTCCAAGCATTCCTATACCAAATGAACCAAACAATTCTCCAACACCAACATATAAATATCCTTATAAAACTAAGGCTGCTTAATTTGCTAATTACTTAGTATCTGGCTAAGCAAAAAAAGGAAAGAAATAGATATACAAAAATGACTAAATGCTGGCAATAAAGCATAATAAGAAGAGAACCCATGAGAACCCATCCTTGTATAGTTTATCTAATGTAATGTAAAGTTTTGAAAAGTAAGATCGATTTTGATATTCATCTATAGAAATAAAATTTGAGCAAAATTGATTGCCTAAAGAAGATTCTAATAGCTCAATTAAGCTTCTCTCTTCAATAGAGAAGCACTATAAGGTCAGGATTGACTTTGTGTTGGAATTTTACAAGAGTTGGGATGTAAATAGATGTAGTTCATTTTGCTATTTTTCTGATTGAGTTGAAATTTTATCACTTAATTCAGGATTATTAAATGTGTTGTTTGCATCATCATTATAATCTGAACTCGATGATTTTAGTAATAATTCTCGGATGTCTTTCTAATTAGAATCTATTTTTGATTGTTTTTGCGATTTCTAATTAAAAAATTGAATTAATGTTTTCTAAAAGCTATAGTATCTTCCATCAGATTTCTCTGGTATAGTAAGATATATTAAACTTGTCGAGAATTGCATTATTATTATGATTCCAAAAACTTTAGATAAGGTATTTTTTGCACTCATATTATCATAGGTTATAAAAAGCTCCCCTATTAAACTTCCAAGTAGCCATTAAAGAGAATGTCTATTTAAATAGAACCATCGATTACATAAAAAAAAATGAACCATAATATATAACTTTTTCTCTAGTTTTTGCTAAATTAGATAGGTAGAATAACATAACAAATAAAAGTAAAGATTACATTAAACCAGCAATTATCGAAACTACAAATGCACAACAATATATGAACAATATGTTGCAACCTGAATTGCTTGAGTCTTTACAAAGACTTGCATACAAAGCTGGGGTCAAAAATATTATCGGTCCAAGTGACGCAATTAGGAAAATAAACTTGAATTTCATTCTGCCAATAATATCAGGTATGAATGGAAGACTCAATGGTCCGACCATTTCAAATAGAAACCATCTATGTTATCTTTAAATATTCAATTACTGAAAATTAGCCAAATTTAAGGAACGATAGTTTAAGATTGAAATGCTATCTGAAAATGAATATATGTATGTGCAAGTTAGAAAAAACTTACCACAAATATTAAACGATCCAAAAAGCAAATAAATAAGGCAGACATAAATAACTAACCAAAGAGTATTAGATGACGACTATTCTCTAACCTTCAAATTTTTCTTATAATTTAAAAATTCTGATTTATTCATAATTTAATTAACAATAAATAATTGTATTAACAATTATTTTTCTTAATACTATTCTTATGATTTTTGTGGACTTTAGTTATTTATATTAAAATTTTTTGATAAACCCCTTTTATTTTGGTTATATATAATAATATGACACCAATTAATAAAAGACGAATTAATAATAAATAGATAATGATAATATGTAATTTAATTTAATTTTGAATTTGTTTTTAAGTTTAATATAAGAATTATGATTCAAAACGTAATTAAAGTATAGATTAAATTTCAAAGATACAATCACTTTTACTTTTATTTTTAATGTGTATCTGATTCAATTATCTCATCTTCAAATAATCCATTTCGCATAGAGATTTATTAAGTTGAACTATCAAACATTTCTTAACTAAAGGCCAAGCTAAAAGAAGGATAGTACGATTTTTATAGGGAAGTGATAAATCTATTATCATCATTTTAATGATAACTATTTTCTAGTTCTTGTTTTAGAATTTTAGCTGAAAATGGATAAGGTTAATTTGCATGATCTATAGTTGATTCTACTTCAAATTCATCAATATCATTTTGATGACTTTTTGTAGTTGCGAACGATCCTCCGATTTATTTCCCAAGTTATTATTAAGAAAGCAATTGGATAGCCTCCTCAGATGATAAACGTTTGTTTGGATTCACTTCTAAAAGACCAAATAACACTTGGTTAAGGGAATTGCTATAAAAATTATGATAACCTTTGCTAAAATAGCATTTTTTATTCAATTATAGCAAATCTTTGGTTTTGTCAGATTCAAACAGTGGTTGTCTATTCATTCTAAAAAGGTTTAAATTAATATTACAATCTATAGAGAATGACACCAATGCCAAACATGTCTACTTTAGAAGTAAATCTAAATTTCTAACCTTGTTTGCTCTCATCATATTAGAATATCTCAGGAGCTATATACCCTGGTGTTCCACAAACAGCAAATGAAACTGGTTGAATATTCGAAATTGCCAATCCAAAATCTATTAGTTTTAGGGAACTAATGACATTGGGCTTACAAAAAACAATATTTTCTAATTTGATGTCTCTATGGATATAATTTTCAGAATGAAATGAATTGATACCATTTAAAAGTTACTAGTGGGTTAATATTGAAACTTACCAGCAATATAATCCTTATTGAAATATCTGGAATGAGATCAGTTTATAATTTTAAAAATTTATGCAAAGTTTCACCTTCTAAATATTCAAAAACAAGATAGTATGTTTATTCACCTTCGAAAATATCAATCAACTTAACGATATTTCTATGATTCTGGATAGATCGCAAAATATTTATTTCATTGAATAATCTATTTAGTCTATCAGGTGTATTTTTCTTTGTTATATATTCTTTGCTTATGCATTTAGCGGCATATTTTTTTTTGGATTAAGTATCTGTTATCAAAAGAACTTTACATGAGGCTCCTGAACCTATTTATTCATTGGATGAATAGAAACTAGAAATGCTATGAAAAAATATTCGATTATTTAGAATGGCTTTTATTTGTAACAAATCCGAAGGTTACCCATAAAACCATTTGCAAGAATTTTAATATTTGAGGCCTAAAGCCTATAATACCCCTTGATCATTGACTTTCCAGCCTATTTTATTCAGAAAATTTATTTCCAACTCATACTTTGCTGGCCGATCCTATTAAACCATTATTATTAAAACTGTACATCTAATCCAATAAATAATTTATCTTCCTAGATCTACAACTTGTATGTCTAATTAAACAGAAAGTGTTTTCGAATGACTTAGCAGCTGTAAATCATCTTAAATTAATTAAAGTATATTAGAAACTATAAAACAATTCTAAATTATAATAAGTGCTCTATTTCTCAAATCATTTTTGTGCTTATATTGAACATCTATTTCCATATTATATTATTCTCAAAAGAGCATATTAAGATCTATACAATATGTTAACGATATCTAACTTATAATATAAAGAAATAATATCTAATTCATGATCTGTTAAATATATCTCTACGATTTTTGTTTAGATTCTTATTAATTCTATTTTAGTGATTGAAAGATGACTCAGATGTAGTGGTAGATACTGTGAAAGAACAAGACAATTTAAATGCAAATACTTAGTATTTATTGGATGATGGTTTATCAACATTCTTTATGATTTAGTTTTTAGGAATACTTTGAATTCTGATTGTTAATAGTTAAATATTGTATCTAATATTAACATTTAATAAATAATACATAATAAAAATAATAATTAGAGTACAATGGAAGGTTACTTATAGAAGTGGGTTAATCCATTTTAACGATGGTAAAAACGATACTTTATACTTAATGATCATATACTTACTTACTGCGATCAACCTGGAGGCAGATCAAAAGGGCAAATCCATCTGAAGGTGGCAGGAATCGATGAAAGTAAGGATGATGCTTTAAGAATAATCATAAATACAGGAACAGGTTAGATTTTGTTGAAGGCAGCTAGTGTCGATGAGAAAAATAAGTGGTTGATTGCTTTAAAGAAAAATCAGGAGTATTGTTAAAGACATTAAGTGTTTAATTATGGTTAAAGAATTTAAGAACTTTTAACAGATATATGGAGCAATTTTGCATTATTTGATGAATAACTGACCTATCTTTAAGAGAAAGTCACTTTGAGCATGTATAAAGAAATCAGTAACATTATTAATCTAGGACAATACCTAAAAAATGGAATCACCTTATGTTGTACATTAATAGAAGAAGAAAAAATAAAATTATATGGGGAATCAGATACAATATACGAGAGTTTCGATTTTGAGAATGAAATTCCATTAAATACCTAAACATCCAATTACTCAAATAGGTTAGAAGAATAAAAATAAAATTAATTAGAAAACTTCAACACCAATCAGTTTTTGGAAACTATTAAACTATTGAATCCGATCAAATATAATAATATTAAATTCAACAGAGTCTATTCTAGAATCAATATAACTAATGAAGCTACTAGGAAATGTTTACCATACAGATAAGATCCAGATGAAAAGTTTGCATTCTGGCCGTTTTTAAAGGAGTGCATAGGGAAAGACCTGACAAGAATTCCAATGCCATGTATACTTATGAAAGTCTAATTTAGTATTATTTCATCAGCCTCTATCTGCTTTGTAGTTTTTTGCTGCTTCTTTTGAATATTATGAAACATTAAAACAGGCAGCAAGGACAGAAGATCCATACAAAAGAATGGCTTATCTGATGGTATTTTCCTTGGTTAGATGTATCCTTGGAATAGATTGTCAAAAGAAATTCTTCAATCCTGTTCTGGGGGAAACCTATGAATACTTCACTCCAGAATACAAAGTGATAAGTGAATAAGTGTGTCATCATCCTCCAATCACGGCTGTCCATTGTGAAAGTGACGATTTCATATTATCAATCACAATGGAAGCTACAGTTGGTTTCTCTGGAACCAGTATCAAGGCTAAATTACCTGGTTTAGTTCATTTCAGAAATAAAAAAACAAATGAACATATGACTTATTCATTCCCTAGTATTGCTGTTAAGAATTTGCTATTTGGCAAAATGTATTTTGAATAAGTAGGCGAAGCTATTTATACTAATCACACAACAGGAGATGTAGGCATTTTAACATTGAAAGAAAGAACTAGTGAAAAAGTAAATAACTTATTAATATTCATAGGATGCTCATTAGGTAAAAGCAGTAATTAAGGATAAAAATGGGAATGTTAGATGTTAATTAAGTGGGTATTTCCATAAAGAAATTTATGCCAATAATGAATTAATTTGGAAAAGAAATTATGCTGATCCTGAAAGTAAATGGTATTACTTTTATTCTCATCATATTTTGCAATTAAATCATTTAAATGAAGACATTTTAAGAGTATGAATCTATTATTATTATATAAGAATATACCACAGACGGACAGTAGAATGAGATCAGATATGAGAGCTTTGGAATGTGGATTCAAGGATCTGGGTTAAGAAGAAAAAGTCAGAATTGAAGAAAAGCAAAGAGAAAGAAGGAAAATAATGGAAGAAAAGAAACAATAACATATTCCCAGATTCTTTAAGGAAGAATTTGATCCGATATCTAAGAGAAACTAATGGGTTTATTTATACAATTATGAAAAAGAGAAACATTTAATAGATTTAGATTTATTTTGATTTGATTAATGTTCTTAATATTAAACAGGTATTTATTTTTATTAATTGAAAATACTCTTTTTAATAATAATTTTATTAATCAGAAACTATTGATTTTGATATTTGTTCTTACATACTTCATTTATATTATAATCTAAAGGAAGGGTTAATACAAAGACTTTAAGAATATCTATATACACTAAGATATTCTTATTGTTTCCAGTGTTCTAAGTTTCTTCAAAAGATCTATGTTTTTATCTTTTTTTCTGTTATGTTCTAGTGGTTCTTTTAATTGCTTACAAACTGAAAGTGATCAGAATTTTCTGTTAAGGACAAAGCCATTTATGATCCTCTAGAAATTTATTCGCGTTCACTCTATTCTCTGGATCATCTTTGTCTAAAAAGTGTTCTTATTATGGTATATGTAATAAATTTCTTATTCATAAAGAGAATCGATTATAATCATGCATTTTAATAAACTCGATTACCTAGGTAGGTATTAATAAAGCAATAATATGATTATTAGTATACTTAACAAATATAATTAATTAATGCTATTTACAATTGACTACTCGAATATAGAACAAAGCAAAAGGATTGCAATTACTAACACTGCTCAATTCCCTATTTTGGTAAGAATCTTAGACCATAATGTCTATAACTTTATTCCAACTTTCTCATTACTAAAAATAGAGGAATGTAAATATTTTCAGATACTGCATAAATAAAATTACAAGGATTTTAGGGATATAAAAATTGAAGCAATAGAGTTTGATGAACGCAAACTTGATTCTTTCGTAATTTGATTATATTCTAATTGTAAGTCTGTTCCACCGTTTTGGAACGAAAAAGTGCAAGGTTCCCTGTAGACATAATCTATCTCTCTGCCTGCTCCTTCTGCTGTACATAGATCTAATTCCTTCACCTCATTTGAAAGGTTACCATCAATAAATTAGACCTTTCAAGATTAGAAAATACTATAAATTAATAATGAAAATTCAATCAAACTCGACAATCAAGTTCTTAAATAGAGTACTAATAATCATGAAAGTGATTATTAATCAAATAAACAAAAAGAACATTCTTAATAGTCTTTATAAATTCTCAATTCAATCAAGATTGGAGAAGATAATAAAAATCATTAAACTTCAAATCAAAATATTTTTAGAAACTCTACAAATAGTTTTGAATCATATCACCAAATCTAAACTAATCCTGCTTAACAACCATTATTTCCTATACAAAATGATTTGAACTAGTTTTTGGATCAAATAGATTCATTCAATAGTCCCCAATACAATCTAACTCCATCTTAATTATAATCTTAAACACATTCTTAAAAATAAATTAGTGATAATGCATAACAAGACTTGAGTTTAAGTGAGACTACTTCAATTTAGAGGTTTGTGTAACGAAAATTATCATTCTTGTAATAAAGTAAATAGTAATTTAATGAAAAACCTAAATTAAGAGTATCCTAAACCTTGATTGCTAATCCAAAGTCAGCAGTTGAAAGCCAGAAATGCTTTGACAAAAATAAAGAGATTGAATCCTAAATCTAAAAATAAATTGTAAATTATTATAATTACACACTTAGGGAGAATTGAAAGTTAGCAAAGAAGCCCTATAAGTTGAGCTATAATAATTGAAATTTAAAGCTATGTTCCATTCCAAAAACAAGCCATCCACTTATCATTATAATATATACATATGGCATATGCTTTTGACTAGTGTTTTATTTCTTATTATAGGAAGTGTTATGAAAAAAATGATTTAAATGTTTTGATATAAAAATTCTTAATAATTACGGTTTATATTCGCTTGATAAATACAGAAAAAGTTGGTTTTTATAGTATCTATCTAGTTTTAAGTATTCAATTAATATCTTATTCTTCAATTAATCAATATTAACAAGTCCTTAATATATTTTAATAAACATATTTTCTCTTTAACTAAAATTATATATTAAATTTCAAAATATTAATAACTATTGATTAATATTATTAAATTTAGAATATCATAATAAACATCCTCCATATGATAGAAAATAATACAGGTAAATACTTTTAATATAAATAGTTATCAATCAATCCTCAAAGTAAAGATATATAAAAGATGAATTTCTAATAAATAAGGATTTATTTATTGATAATTTTAATGTTAAAACTCTAAACAGTTAAATTTTGAAATAATTATATATATTAATATCAAAATATTAGATATTGATCATCAAAATTAGTCAATTTTAATATTTCTTTTATTATTTCTCCTTAATATTTTAGATGGCCTGTCACTTTTTAAGTAAAATTGTGATTCTTCACATTTGGATACATACTCTCAACTGAATTTAGTCCTAATATAACATCAATTTAATATTTACCACAAGGTTTGATTGCTTTATTATACACAGGAAGTGCATATTGTAATACATTATCTTATTCACCATAAACATTATGAAAGGTCCCAGAAATACATCTGTAATCCAATTTTGATAATAGATTCTTATCTGCAACTCCTCCCATCATTAATACGTTGTGTATTATTTAATATTTTTCTTTCTTTTGTAATTTAATTAATTATTTTAAACAATAGTATACTATTACCGTTCCCAGAGAAAAACCAATTAGATTTATCGATTTAGTCCCTAAATAATTTTATTCAAGAAAATAAGCTAAATATTTTCCAACTATCTTTGCTTCTTTATAGGCTTCGTTAAATTACATTAAAGTTTTAGAAGCCAAACCCACAATCCCAAATATTGCAAATCCCAATAATGAGGAAGCAAAAAGGGAAACCAATCCACCATATTTTAAAATAGATTTATAGCATGAAGCACTCCACCCAAGAACTAATGTTTCAAGATAAGAATCTTAATTAAATGGCCAAAGATTAGCTACTTTCTGGTCACTTTATGTTATGAATCCATTTACAAATATAGTGATCACATTAGATCTCAGCTTACCTCCACTTAGAGATTATAAATAGAACATTTCTGGTTTCGCATATCGTTTTAAATCTTATGGTTTCAATTATTCGATATTACTGATAAATTTAGTAAACTTATCAGAAAGTATATCATCAATTTTGTCTTATCGATCATTGTTTTAATATAAAGAAGAAAAATAGTAAGCCTAATTTTTTGATCTAAATTTAGATAAAGCTTCTCGATTCTGACCAAAAAGTTCAATTTAAATTTTCTCTTTCTTATTTTTAATATTAAGAACTACTATATTTGTTGATTTTTCATTTAACTATTAAACTATTTAGTAATGAATTTTTCCCAGAACCTTATCAGCCAGCTTTAAGATTTAAGAATTAGTAAATTCCCATCTGCCATCATTGATTTCTTAACAAAATTTTAATAAAAAAGCATGGCTTGATGGTTAATATTTTTCAATATACATTGACTTATTGTTATATTTAAAACCTGATAATAAAATGAAGAGTTCAATAATTAATTCCATTGTTTGTTTTACTGAAAAATTTTCAAAAAAGTACTTTTAAATCCTTTACTCTTTTTAATTAAATATCTAGTTAATGTCATCTTAATTTAATTAAAGATACTATATACTAGATAACTCTAAAATGAATTTTTAAAAACCTAATTGAACATCTTAAAATTTTGATTTATTCATTTAATATGCAAATTCTATAAGTTGTATGATAACAGTTTTATTCAACATCTAAAACTTTTAATTAATTAAATAATTTTCAACATAATATTTAACTATAGGTTTGTAGTATTGTTTTTGTGTAATTGCTTTTTATATTTCAATTGTTTAATATATCAATTTTTTCTTCAATTTTTCTTCAAATTTAATCAAAACCCAATTCATACATTTGGGTTAAAATTGATAGATGCTTTAAACAAATTTCATTTAACTTTATTAATATTCTTCATTTAATGAAATAATATTTTTCTTTTTTGACAAAGTTATATCAAATTTTTGATATTTTTATTTTAAAGGTTAAAGAAGTTACAAATACAATGAGTTTTATTTTTCCTTTGCTATTTTTCTTACTTTTTTTGCAATAACAATTTCAATTTTTTATTTATACAAAAGATAATTATGTTTTGACTTATGGTTAAATTGCTTCTCTATTTAATTACATGTATCAATGTACACAGAACCAAATTTATAGGCAAATGTAGACTAATTATTAAAAGAATTTTGATCTTGTACTTCAAGCACATTGATTTTTTAAAGAACATATTAGGCTAAGAAGTTTATTTCATCTTCATTATTTACTATAGCTGATTCCTAATATATGAATATTTTTTACTATATCTTTTCCAAAAAGAGCTTCTTATAATTGAATCATTTCTAATAGAAATTGCTTAAAATAATATTTATTGCTATAAAAAATTATCATGCACCTTAATATTAGTTTTAAATAAGAAAGTGTAAGTATTGCATAATTCAAAATTTATTTTTTTGTGTTCATTTGTGTAATAATTAGTTTTAAGATATAATAAAATTTTCTTTTTTTTGTAACCAAAATTTACATGTTTCTAATTGGTAGTCTATTGAAAATTATTAGTAACTTGCTTTATTTATTCTCCATTTCCAAATTCCATTTAGTTTATTTTTCTTCAAATTGTAAATGATATTTAGCTGAAACGCAGAATAATATCTAGATTAAGAAGGTAGTAATCTCTCAATGCTAAAGAGTTCATAAACGTCATATTTTTTGATTATTCTTGTTGAGATCCTTCTAATTGTGATGAAAGTCTTGCTCTTATTAAGAATAAATATTTATTTTATGTTATAATTTATATAATAAGGCAAAATAATTTTAAAGATGTTTTTTCAGTATATAAATTATAATACTGATTATTTTTTCAGCTAATCAAACAACACTTTTAATTTTCATTATCGTATTTATTAAAGTTATGCTCTTTCCAACAATCTACTAATATTATTTAATGTATTTTTTTTTCTTTCATAATTTCATCAATGAAAGTAACCTAATGCATTTTATATCCCTTCAAAATGGGATGACCTTTTTTATCAATTCTTACTCCTTCACTCAATTTCTTAGAACTCAACCTTGTTCTTGATACTTAAGGCACTTCCATTTTTCAATAATTTTAAATTAAACATATTTAAGATTATTTCAATGTAAGTCACTTCGTATCCTACAGAATGTTTTGAAGTTTAAGTTCACTGTTTTAAATTGAAGTTCTCATTTAGGAATCTGATTCTTGGCTCTTTGGTTTTAATTATTTTTGTCTAATTTAGTTAATCACAAATTGATTCAACCTTAGAAATGAAATAAGATTTAAAATAGACAATTATATAAAAACATAATATTTATAACTATATTTCTGTTGATACTTTGATGTATTATATCCATGCTTGATTTGATACGTTTAAAGTTATTTGGGTTACTATTTTTTTAATTTTTAATTTGTTATTAAGTTTATATAATATAATTAACTGAAGGATTGTGAATATATTGACAATCAAATAAGAATTAGGCCTGTCTTGCTGTTTAGGAACACTGAGTTGTAATTAAATATCTTAATTTTATGAAAAAAAAAATATTTCAGCACTTTAATATTCTGAATAAATTACAAAAAAGAATATATAATCAATGTAAATGATATATTTATAAACTTAGTATTAAATTAAATAAAGATTATTAGTAGTATTCTGCAGCTTATGATTTAATGATGTCTGTTTACCTTATTCTTATATAATTTGAATTGATTGTACTTGATCTCAAAAGTTTATAATATAATTTAATAATTATATATAAATATATATAATTGTTCAATGCTTAAGGCTGAAAAAGGTTGGGAGATTGATGAATCTCAATACCTTGATAATTTAATAAGTGGAAATCTTGAAAAGACTTAGGAGAAAAGAAAATTCGTTATTACTAGCCATAGAGTTAGAACTTTGTCATAACCAAAAATAGTCCCTTCAAGTATTTAGTCATGTAGAAAGCATTTGATATCAAGATCGTAAATTCAAACTGCAAAATAGAACTTGTAATTTAATTTTGTAATTTTGGATTAAATACTTCAAAGAAAAAGATCAAATCATCTTTCTCATTTATCATAATTATCCTTCTCTCCCACTAAACAAAGTCTTTAGTGTTAATCATAAAATTCATTTAGAAAAAATAATTCAAAGTGTAATATAGTAAATATGAGCAATTTGCTGATGAATTCTCCGAAAACAATATAGAGATCTCAAATATAATTAAGTCAAGTACTTGGTAGAGTTTATAAATGATAATTATAATATTTTCATATGAGAAAATGACTAAATAAGAGAAATATTTAATGATTGAATTGAACACATAGGAAAATATAAGGATTTTAATTTTATATTTATTTTATATGAAAACTTCAATTCCTGTATTATCAAAGAAGCCAATAAATCTTATGAAACTGAATTGTTAGAAGATAATGAGCCAAATAAATCAAGAATACGTACCTACACAAACCAATTTTCATAGTCCAATCAAACCTAAAAAGAAGAAAAACTAACATTTCACATTTGCGTTATCTACAATTGAACAATATTAAACAATTAACTACAATGATGAACCGAAACTACCGGAAATAAGGAGATAGAGAAACGATTCTTTTAATTAATCATTTAAGTTACATGTAGACATAAAGAAGTCTGAAGATGGTTAAATTCTTTCACTGGAGAAATGGTAAGGTCCAAAAAAGAGAAGCTAATCACCAGCCAGAAGATCCACAAAAATATTACCTCCAGTGAATGTTAATTATAAATAAAGAAATAGTCAAAGTCTAATGGTTTTGAGAAGCCAATAATTGGAGGAAATGAAAAAATTGTAACGACTCATAAAAGATGTTTTGACCAAACAAGACCATTAAATGAATCATCATTTCGATTCATTATAGCAAGAACTCTCGGAATGAATGGATGGTATTTTAATTGCTTTCTCTTTTTAACAAAAATTAAATTGTATTTAATAATAAAGTATTATTTTTCGCAAGTTCTTAATTTAAAATTAATATGAAAATGCCATTTCCATTAAATGCTCGACTCGCTAAGCCATCTGAAGAGGATGAAATTGGAAGTGACAATTTTCTTATCAAATGAGAATTCAGACTGATCGAATTGTATATGGAATTATTTGGATCATCAATCTATATTAAAGAAGGTATTATAGATAAACGTTTAGGTGTGGTCAAATATATTTAATTAAAACCAAAAATAATAATTTTTTCTCTGTTGGTTGAGTATATATATATTTTTATACATGTTTTGCTATCATTAAATATTAAATGTAAGATAGTGAAGCTAATAAATAATCCTAAAATCAAGAGAAGGCTAAACTATATAAGTGGAGATGGGTTGTCTTGATTTTATTCACCTTGGCTGTGTTTATGAATAGCATACCAGGCGAAATCTATGTTCCTGCTTCAAGTGAGACTTAGCTAATTTATTCTGAAAGTGAAACCATGATTACTTTGGCTTAAACTAGTTATGTAATAATGCATCCAATTTTATCGATCCCTTGTTCTTAGTGTAATTAATACAAACATAAAATATTAGTCATTGTGAAGTATGGATGGGCAAAGGCAACAAACATAGGTGTGGCATTGACAATAGGAGGCAGTTTAATCAAATTGCTTGTTAATCAAACGGGGTAATTATTTTATAGAATCATATAGATTTTTTATTATCGTGATTGGTTAGGCATTAATTGGAGCTGGAAAGCCGTTTATTTTGAATGCTCAGGCTTCAATGGCATAAAGCTGGTTTTATCCAGAATCACGAACATCAATTATTATAGCTTTAAATGTTCTTAATTTAATATCTAATGTCGTAACATTAATGATACCAGGAAAATGGATTTTTAGAACCTATGATTTTGAGGATACTCCTGAATCCATAGAAGAGGGAAAGGAATTGGTTAATAAATTAAATTTGGTTTGTTTGTATATGGTGCTGACATTGATTCCTTGCTTTTTCTTCTTAAGAAGTGCAGCCCCCACAGCACCATCTGCACTAGTATAGAAAGAGGAGAAACAAGGCAACATTAAGAAAACTATTATTAAGATATTGTCCAATCACAATTTTCAGTGTTGCTTACTGGCATATTCTGTTTACTTGGGATTAGTCAAATGCTTAGTCTTGATCCTACCTTACCTCATCAGACCTGCTGGCTATGGTAAAGGGGAAGTATCCATAGCTGGATCAATAGCCATGGCTTCTGCGGCAATTAGTTAATCTACATTGGCTGCCTTCATATAGAAATTTAAAAATGTCAAAACCTAACTCATCAAAGTCCTGATGGCAATATCAACAGGTTCCTTAGGATTATTCTACTTTTCTTTAGTAAATGGCAATTTGATTTTCATATACTTTGCTATTGGACTTGTGGGATTCTTTATCATGCCAATTGCACCTGTTTTGATGGATATAAGTTGTGATGTCATTTTCCCCATCAGTCCAAGTTTCGCTATTGGGATAATGTACATAGGATCTTAATTATTGTTGGTTATCTTCACTCAAGGGGAGGCTGTTTTGGTTGGTGGTGCGAATAGTACTATGGCTAGAGTAACAATCACTTTGATTTTGGACATGGGTTTGTAATTGCTTGGTTTATTTTTGTTCTCATTCATCAGAATTAGCAGAGGGGCAGTCACTTAATCCACTGTAAATATTGTATATCAATAATAGCATGCTGTAGCTCCTACTGATACCTAGGAATCTTTGGTTCAGGGAAGATCTTTATTTGAGAAGGGATAGGCATTCTCTTCATCCTATGCTGGAAGTTCCTTTTTCAATGTTCAATCAGCTATTGCCTTTATTGGAACTACTCCAACAGCACCATATACTGATCTTTAGAAAGGCTCAAAATTCGATGCATTCACATCAGAGATAGCGTAATGGTAAAACAACGATGCTCAACAACAAGAATAGGGTCAATAGTAATGAATTTAAATAACAAAGTTTTCACAATTATTTTCTTTATGGTTTTTTCAATAAGTTTTTAATTACAATATTAAGTATAATCTTCTAGAATTAGAATTACGATCAAAATATCATTGTCGTCATTCCATAGATAGATTAATTATTAATTTTTGTATATTAAAATAAATATTATAGAATAGACTTAATCAATATTCACATTAAAATATATATTGAAATGTGTTATTATTTTTTTAAGTGAAAACAGTTCTATTTCAAATGGATTAATCTTCCAAGTTAAAATAAGGAACATTGATTTAATTAAGACATGTGACTACGAAATAATATTTAAAAGGAACCATTCATTTTGTAGTAATGAGAAGCTTTTTAAGAAATAAAGAGCTTGAAGATTACTATTTGGGAACCACTCCGAAAGAAGATGACTTCTATACTTACTTTATTATTGAAAAATACCTACCAACTGATAATAATTTAGAACTAGGGAATATTGTATCAATAAAAAACTATGGATTACAATAATATGTGAATCTAAATCCATAAAAATAATCAGAAGTTACCAAACAGTGTTATGCCTGTGTATGTTAAGATAAACACTATTTTGTTATCCAGCCTTAGAATAACATATTCACTAGTAATAGCAACTCTATTGACACTTCCATAGCTTAAAAGTACGTTAGATTTACATCAATTGATAATGGATATAGTTTGCATTCTCATATAGTTTCTTATAAATCCTAAAATTTATCACAATATAATGAAGTCTCAGGAATTAAAAATTGTGATAACAATACTTTATGGGAAATCCTTCCTGTTCAGGAGAATTCAATCAAGAATTTCATTCATAAAGTTCAAACTTATGAATAAATTAAAATATACAATGGAGACGTCATAATACTTAGGAATCTTTTGACAGGTTGGACCCTACATTCTCATACAACATGCTATAAATCAACAAAATTATAAGAAGTTTCTCTCTTCAGTTATCCAAGAGATAGTACTATATTTAAATTAAATAATAGACAATGATTTTTGGATTATTACTAAGGCCAACCTGAAAGAAAGAGATGATGGAATATTTAGAAAAAATGATGAAATTGTGCTTCGACATAATTAAACTCAAAAGTTTCTTTCATGTTCCAATATGTAATCATACAGCCAATCAGGATATTAAGTTCATGGGTCTGAGTGCAGCGCAAATATCGGATTTTCATTTGAATGTATAAAATACCATTATTTAATATAGAATTCGATAATCAACCTCTACAAGTCAATCACCCATTCTTAATCAAACATAGTACGAAAAACCTTTACTTATCCTAATCGAATTTTCAGACAGAAAGCAAAATAGGAATTTAAAAAGAGGCTGTCTTTGTGTAAAATGTCACTGACTTATGTTTATGGGTAGTAGAATTAAGAAAACAATGAGGTTTAGTTTCAATTTCTGAAATAAAAGGATTTTATAATTTTATTGTTTATGTAATGATTATTCATTTATTTCTTCTCAATTTTTTCCAGTTAGCTATGCTAATAATTTTAACAATTCCAAAAATAGTATGATTATGTCGATATACAAAATGAGGGCCCCGATTATGTAGTCATCCTTTTGTAATGAGTGTCTCTATAAATACTCTATATAATTAATACCTTTGAACCAACGATTAATTGAGTGTCAACAATAATGTAAATGGAGTACACAAATATCGCAAAAATTGAATATATGATTGACAACAAGCGGCTTGGAAATATGAGAGTGAAAATAAAAAGCAATAATAAACATATAGCTAAAGACCAAAGGAGCCCTGTGCAGATTGTAAAATCCTCTTTTGTTGTGCATGCATACAGTGTTAATCCCATGGTCATTAGGACTGTCATAGATAAGGCAATAACTATTAACTCGACTAATGTAATTATTCATCTAATACTTCCATTTGAATTTTGAGTGGCAACAGTGCAGCAAATGAAGGAGACAACATATGCTTCACACAAGGTGAAAAGACTCAATAAAATATAGTTTTTTGGTGCTCTTCTTGCATTAGCCTTGCAACAAAGGAGAAAACACATCAAGACTATAGCAGATATGGCAGCGAAGACAAAAAGAAATATTTCTTGTACAACAAATTTCGTAACAGCTTCTTGTGTTATACACCATACAGTTAGCAATGCTGTAAATAGCAATTGTAAGGATAAGATAGAATACACCTAAATTCATAAGTCTAAAAACGTACTTTTCTAATGAATCCTAATCTACTGGTCAAAGAAGAATCTACTTCATCTACTCCTTTGATGTGTACGCTACTATCGACTATTGGTTGTTTCTCTTCGTCCCTTGCTTACATTGAATTAAAGAGTTTAATAATAAATATTGAGTATTAAAGTCTAATTCAATACATATAATATGATTATTAATTTCTATCAAAAATCTCTATGATTGGTGCCCAAGTTTCTCTTAACCTCCTTATTGTGATTTTGCTTCATTTTCATCAACATCTAGCCCTCCAAATCTAAATGAGTATCATTTAAAATTATTATATATATATATGTCAATTATTTATGTTGTAGCTATTTTGATACTTAATTGGGATATTGAATTTTAAATGAATTTGATGTTTAAATGATAACAAAATTACTGTAATTTCGATTAACTTATTCTTTAATCTTGTTTGATAGATGGAATAATCATAGAAAAAAGAATTAATGTAATTAATATTTGCTCGAATTTCATAATTATTAATAATCAAATCAAATGAATGATGGAGACAATAGCAAGATGTTTTCCAAAAAATTAAATCCAGGAACAGTTATTGCAGGCAAATATAAATTGTTGGAGAAAATTGGTGCAGGATCTTTTGGAATGGTCTTTAAAACTTAAAACCTTAAAAATGGGGAATTGATTGCAACTAAGTTTGAGAAAAGGGATGAAAGTCAAAAAGGTGTAAGTTTGCTAATTAGAGAAATCAAAGTATTATAAGATGTTAAAGGTTTGAAAGGTATGATTTAATAAAATTTAAAGGTTTTCCATAATTAAAATTCTATGGTCGAGACGACCATTACAACTTCTTTATGGAATCTTATTTAGGAATGAATCTAGAATAACTAATGAGAAAATGCAATGGAAAGTTTAGCTAAAATACTGTATTGAAGATTGGTCTATAATTGTTAGAACGGGTTTAAGGTATTGAAATTTAAAAATAGTAGCTTTTCACGAAAAAAACCTAATTCACAGAGATATCAAACCAGAAAATTTTACGATTGGTCGGCAAGATGGAACTCAAATTTTCGTTATTGATTTCGGATTATCAAAGTATTATCGAGACAGTAATGGGAAGCATATTCCCTTTACGAGTAACAAAGGATTGATTGGCACAGCTAGATATGCAAGTGTGAATGCATTGATAGGTTATATATACAATAGATATAGCTATTAGGAAATGAGTAATCCAGAAGAGATGACATTGAATCATTAGCTTATGTACTCATTTATTTCTATTTGGGGGAGTTGCCTTGGTAAAATATTTAAGTAGCTAACAAAGAAGATAAATATAAGAAAATACTGTAAATGAAATAAAACAATTCTTTGGATAAATTAAATGACTTATTACCTAAAGTATCTATCAATAATTTATTAAGTCTCTAGTAAAGTTGCTGAAAATATCAAAGTCATACGAATTTCAACATACTCCAGATTATGCTGGTTTGAAGAAACTCTTTTAAGATGATTTAAGTATAGATTCTAAATTTGATTGGGAGAAAATACAAGGTCTATTTTCAGAGAAGAACAATTTGAGTGTCTCAATTGATGTCTAATCAAATACAAATTAATTTGATGATTTAATTGATATATATCCTGGTTTGTAAAATTCGATGTGCAAAGTGACACAATAAGAAACTAAATTTATAAATGGTAGATTGGATAATAGTCGGAGAAACATCATATATTTGGAAGTTCCCAAAAGAAACTCAACAATTCTTGAAGGAGTTTCTAGTCCAGGGGGAACTATAGTTTCTTTTAACACCTCTAAAATGAATCATTATGAGGGGTCAAATAGAAATCTCGCCTCTTATAAATAATTTATTGATGTCCAAGTCTAATCTTTAGAAAATGATTATGATGATGATTATACACCAAATCAAGATGATTCACCTTGTCTATATGTTAGAAACTTTGTAGTAGGCTCTAAATACAAGGATCATCATTGAATTTTGTTTATTGATTTCCCAATATTTTTATTTATTCATTATTTATTAATCAAGATGGATAAGGATCTATTCATATAGAAGTATGGAGAAAACAATTCAATCAAATAGATATTTTTGAGGAAAGCCTATCACAATTTTTTCATGCTCAGATCTAGTGTAAGGAAGGACTTAAAAAAGGTGAATAAGAGTGTAGATCCATCTAAATATTTATCCACAAAAATCAAAACAGATTAAAGTAAAAGTTCATTTGTTGAGGTGTCAAACTTCACAAACAAAGATAACATGTACAGATATTATAACTAAAGTTAGATCATAGATGACTGAGTTTCATTATAATAATCTAAGAAGTAAATGGTTGATGGATGAGAAATAGAATGAAGCATTCATATAAATATTGTAGAAAAAGCGGAAGCAATTAGAATTGGAAGAGAAATAAAGAGAACTGGAAGTCTCTAAAATTTAATAAGCAATTTTATTAAGAGAGAATTTGGAAACTGATAGAAAGAGACAGTTTTATAAGGAAGCTGAATTGTTCAGAAATCAGTAAAGTGAAAGAAGACATTTAGAATAAGAAAAACTAAAATCTAAAGAATAAGAATACTTATTTTTGGCAAAAAGAATGGCAGAAAATGAAGAACTTGCGAAGTTAGAACAGTAAATTGTGCGCAGACAGAAATGTAAAATGCAATTTTAAATGCTGGAATAACAAAGGAGAACAAATTCATTTCTACTATCTTGATTTTGATTAAAGTCTATTTTTGATATTTATGTTGCTCTACTAATATATACAACTTATTAATCTAAGATTTCAATAGTTTGATTATTTTTGATATATCAAACATACCTATACATTTAAGTTTGTAGTTAGATATTGTAAATTGAGTTCTATCATTTTGGAAACGCACTGAATATTCTTCTGGTTGGAAGGAAAGGTTTCATAGGAATTAGCTTCTCTCCTGAATCAAAAGCCAATGAGTTCTTTTTGGGTGTTAATGCATTGTCTTTTGGACTATGAGGCACTAGTTAAATCAAGTTCAGCTTATTCGGTTATGATGAAAATGGCCTCCAAACTTTCTCTTTGACTGATGGAGGACGAGGAAATGGCTCTGTATCGAATGGTGTAGCACTAATTAAACGAGAATGACTGTAAGTTGGCAGCCATGCACTTTGAATTCTCTCCAAACCTTATTTTTGTGATTTAGGTAAGAGAAAATCGCTTTTCTAAAAATATTACCCAACTCCTTTGCCTGGTTAAAATGAATAAGGATGTTTAGCTAGACCATCAGTCTATCCAAATAATAGTAAATTGCATTATTTACAATTTTTTTTTTGTCTTGTTTAATTTCTGCTATTTTTTATTTCTTAAGTGAAATCATTTCTTGTTTTTTGAATAGCTTCCTCTCTTCAGCTTATTTTTATAGGATTTCAAATAATTCATTTTATTTTTCCTGCATAAATATATGATAAATATTTTAATAATGTTTTTAATTAAAATTTATTTATTTATTTTTGTCGGTTTTTAGTCTTTATTTTAATATCTATTAATTTCATGTCGTTTAGCTATTTTCAACAGTTGATAATTAGATTGGCTTAGTTTATTACTATGCTAATTAGTTATCTCAAAAACGATGAGACGATAATTACTTTATTTTTCAAATGTTAATTTGGATTGTATACTAAATTTCATTAATTTATATAAATGAAACATATCAAAAAAGTTGATTTAATCAAAAACTCAAGCAAAAATAAGAAATTTCATGACATTTATGAAATAAACAAGAATGATGTATGATGATCTCATCAATGTAGAAACTTGGTTAAGGGTCTTATGGAATGGTTTTTAAGGCAATTCATCGAGCTACTGGGTTAGCAAGAGCTGTGAAGATCATCCACAAAGCAAGTGTAAAATAAAAAGAGAGACTCACCAATGAACTGAGAACAGTTGAATTATTAGTAATTATTCAAAATTAGATTTACCAAGGATCATCCACATGTGATTAGAGTCTTTGAAACATATGAGGATAATGACTATATTTATGTAATAATGGAGTATAAAAATAACAATTAAATTTAGAATTTGTAAAGGTGGTGATATTTTTGACAAGGTCTTAGAATACGGAAATTTTGATGAATAAGGAGCATTAATAATATTCATATAAATTATTAGATCAGTGGTCTACTATTAATCATTAAATATTGTGCATAGAGACTTAAAACCCGAAAACTTTCTATTCCAAACGAATAATGATCTAAATACACTTTATATAATTGATTTTGGTTTGGCTCGAATATTCGAACCTGGAATCTTGCATTAGTGGACAAAGGCTGGAACTGTATAAATAACTTACATATAATTTCAAGGCATATTATGTGGCCCCAGAAGTTTTAGAGGGTACATATGATAATAGGTGTGATTTATGGTCAATTGGTGTTATATTATATGTCTTATTATGTGGATATCCTCCATTTTATGGTGAGACAGAATAGGAGATCTTGTATTCTATCTAAAAGGGAAAGTTTGATTTTGATGGTCCAGAATGGAAGAATGTATCACTTTAAGGAAAGGAATTGATTAGCTAATTGTTAAAACCCTATAAATAGCGATTAAATTTGCAATAGATATTATAACATGATTGGCTCTAAAAATATGTGCAAAAGGGTGAAGTCACACTAACATAAGCACACATTGAAAGATGGCTAGCATATCACTAAATTAAATAAATTGGTTTACTCTATCTGGCTACATAATTGGAATAGAGTGAGATAGTCAATATCAAAAATGGATTTTTATTTATGAATAAATCTCAATCTGGAGTATTAACAAAAGCTGAGATTGAATAATTAATCAAATATAAATATTAAGATCTGGAATACTATTGTAAAATATTTAATCATAATATTAGAATTCATAGCAATTTGCTTAGAGCCAAGTTTATATAAAATAGAAAAATATTTAATATTAATGTTTACATTTCTATCATCGAATGGTCGAATAACTAAAGACAGTTTAAAAGCTATTGATATTAATCTTGAATGTAATTTAGATTATAAGCAATTCATCAATCTATTTTGATTATCATATTTAATTTGTAATTTTTATTTGCATAAAATAAATTATTTTTTTCTATGATTTCTTAATTTACTAAACCAAAAAGAAAAATGGAGCATCCTGATTATGCACCATATCCATTAAGGAGACCAGGCCCAGGTTAGGATGACAGAAAGAGCGATATCCCATTAGATTATAATTTAAAGGAATTTAATTTTGCAAGCAAAACTTTAACCAAAAAAATTGTTTGGAATGATTTAAGGGCAATAGCATTAAGTGATTCGTTGGATAAAGGAGCCATATTTGTGGAAACTAATGAAGGATCGGTGGTTGTGAAAGGGTACCCCAATATTGCTTAAGGATACTTTTTTTCATAATTAGCAATTGTGTTAGGAATCCCAGTTCCAAATAAGAGAATTGTTAGATGGGACTCAAGTGAATTCAAAGTTCTAACTAAGGAATTATAAAGAGCAACGTTTATGATAAAATAATTGCATTAAAAAATAACAAATAGACTTGAGAATCCTTATTTAGAGATCTAAGAGTATTTGCCTGGAATAACACTATCTTATATGGGAAAGGCAAGGGCTGGAAAAATATTCAACTTCTATGATCCACAAAGCAGACATCGATTAATCAAAGTTGGATTTCTTATGGGTTTAGATATTTTCATAAATAATCCAAGTAGATTCCCTTTAGAGATCTGGAAAAATAGTGGAAATTCAGAACATATGATTGCCAGAACAGAACCTAAATACACTGACACAACAAAGGATTTGCATGATATTGATAATCTATCTTTTGATTATGAATATATTTATGGGTTGGATAGTTATTCTTTTGAGAGACCACCCAGTTACTATACAAATGTTGAAGAGTTTTTAAATAAAGTATTTTTAGAAATGAAATCAATCATGCAAGCCTAATTGGATCCTCTTTATGAGACAAAAGATTAGAAGTATTTAAATAAATTTATTGTTTTTTCTATTTAGAATTGAATGTTTAAATGAATTCAAATAACTTGTTTACGATCATACACTATACGAAATTAAGGAGATGTCTTTGCTCTAAGTCCTTCTCGGCATAGTGTTGACTATTGATAACATAGTTGACATGGGACCTGTACGTTTGAGAACTCTCTGGGAATCAGTGACAGTTGAAACCGACTGGAATAATGCCTGGATGAAGAATCTATAAGGAATCAATATGGATTTTCTGGAATCTATGATTTCTATCTTTTAAAAGTTTTGTACAATCTATGAGGATGTTGTTAAATATAGTAAAGACATTACTCTAAATCAATATTCATTTGACGAATAAAAATATCTTGAAATTATAATGATGAATCCAAAAATAAAGGAAAGAATTGAAAAAGAGAGAGAAAATGATCTAATGAACTCTTAAAAACTAGATTAATCAGAGGTTGTAGATGAAGATGAAGGTGAAGTCTTAGAGCGTAATTTAAATGACGCAGAATTGGACAGAAAAATTGAGGAGATGTTTATGATTGATCCTAAAGACATTCCTAAGGGAGAGAACAAAAATCAAAAATAAAAGAAGCCATTAACTCCATAAGAATAACAACAATAAGAACTAGAAAAGAAAAAATATGGAGGTATTTTGGCCAAAAAATTATATGAAAATGAATGATTTCTTTATGAATAAATATTATGCTCAATCTGAAAAGTCAACCTGCGATTCTAATCTATTTCTGATCCAGTCTTCCCATTCATTGAATGGTTTACCTGATGCCTTACATTCTTAATAGTAATTTGTAGTATCGATATAGACTATGTCATCAAAATAATCTGAATTCAATTTTACACATTAGCATAACTATAAATATTTATTAATCTTACTAAATCAAAGAACTCTCTATACGGATCTCTCTTGTTTGTAGGTTTTCCCCCTCCAATTCCTGTTTAGATCATACTTTGCCTAAGTCCTCTATCAATTTGAGTTGTAATCTTAATTTAATCCTATTTCATATTTAAGAAGTAAGCTTCATTTGCCTAATAAATTTCTTTGTACATTTAATGAGGAGCACTAATTAACTTTGATTAATTTTGTTATTATTGTACTCCTTGTTAGTTTTATTATTATTAAGATTATTAAGGTTATTATGATTATTGAGTTTACTAAGTTGTTTAAGTTTATTACAGTTGCGAAGCTTGCTAATTAGGTGCTTCTTAAGTCTACTAACTTCCACCATTTGCTCCTATAGATAAAAGAGGTAATTTGAATTGTTTTTTTGCTTAAGGAGCTTTCACTTTTTATTCATAAAAATAGGTTTCATAATCATCATCTACAATAGAGCCAATATCAATTTCATTTCTAATTGTAATTGGTTATGGTTCCTATTATAATACTTTCAATTAAGCATCCTCTTATTTTTGAAGGTCAATTTTAGGAACTTAAGGCTGTGGCAATTAGATTCTAGGGGATGTTAAATTGATTTAACTTTATTTAAATTTATCTTGCAATTTAGCTGCTCTTAATTCTTAAGATTCTTAAACTGCTTTTGAAATTACATTCCTTGGAGTAACATTGGCTTAACCTCTTGGGGTCACCAATTATCTAGGAGTGGCTAATTTCTAAAGCTTTTCTTCTAATTTTTGTATATCATATTATTGATTTTGATTTTGATTTTAAACAAATTCAGTGGGAATAACAGTATTTTTCTTTGAATGCATAGCTGATTATTCTAAATTTTCAGGTGCCTCCTTTATCTCTTCAATATCGTTGAACTGAGATGGATGGGGTTATCTATAGGATAATTCAGGCAAATCACATTTAAGATTGCTATTGATTGCATTACTAACCATTGAATTGTTGTTATTAAAGGAAGCAGTCTGTTAATTTTATTACTAGAATGTTGATGTTGAAATTGAGTTTCTTTATACCATTGAACCATGAATATCACTCTCAAATTTATATCCAGAAGCATTTTATAAATCATATATTTATTTGTTAAGTTAACCAATCTTCAGGTCAGCAATCTAAGATTTCTATTCATAGTCCATAATAATTTGATTTAACTTAGATATTTCTTATTCTGAAGCCTTAATTTTGGAGTCGTTCTTCATCTTTTCCATTCTTAGCACTGCTAATTCATTCAAGGCATCCTCTAATTCTGTCATTTGCTTGTCGTATAGACTTTTATAATAATCAATTTTTTCTTTTTGCTTAATATTCTCAGTCTTTTAAATGGATATCTATTACTTTAGGTCTTCAATAATTTTATTATCATTCTATTCTACATTTTTAAACTAATTAGATTAGTGCACTTACTTTCTATTCACTTAAACGATGTTTTTAGTTTTAAGTCAAAATTGCTAATTCATTTGCAAAATCTTGCACACTCTATTCTAATTTCTAAATTTCCGAGAGTTGTTCTTTAACTTTTTATGCTTCTTCTTTATACATTTTCTTAGAGAATATAAGGATTTGTTACTTGATATTCCTTTGAGTTTTTGGATTCAAAGTTAATTTTCTCTTACAATTGATTGATTTATTCTTCATGTTAAGCCATATCCTCTTCCCTTTCAAAATTACTTTATTATGCTTTATCTAAAATAAACATGCACAACTCAATTAGGTTTTTTATGGTTTACTCATTTTTTGTTATCTACTCAAGGGAAACAAAAAATTCCGCTAATCATAATCTTAGTTCTATACATTAGTAATCATCACTTTAACCACAAATTCTAGCTCTTTTTTCTACATAAGGTTCATTATATTCAATCAACAAATTTTGGAGAGTCTCAATAACAAATTGGTCATTCAAATTCTCTGCGTCAGTCATATGTGTATATAGAATATATAAATATTTATAATAATTGTATAAGAAACATTTATTCAAAGAATTGAATAACAGTTACACAGTTCAATTTGTGAACTGATTTTAAATAGTAATGAAGATTGATTTCATAGTGGTTTTATCTTAATTGAATAGACAATAGATGTCATTTTATTTTATATACTTGCTCAACTTATTATTAAATTTCCAATGAACACTAATAATATATTTTTAGATTGTAAATCGCTGTAGTTTGTGTTATTTTGAAATTATTCTCAAAATCTATAAGTATATACAGTGTAATGTTCCCAAAATTTATTGGAATAAGTTATTAGTTGGTTAAATTAATTTTATCAATAAAATTTAGTAAAGATTATAAATAATTGAAAAGATCTCTAATTATTCGAATAATTGAATTAAAATTATTATGATTGCAAATGATGACGATATCTATGACATATTCACAAAAATAAAAATATTTTATTTAACTTAAAAAATGAATCAAGTTTCATTAAGTTTTATCGAGAAAAACTATAGGGTTGTAGAATAAATAAATCACAAAGTGTTTTTAGTGTGTTCCAAATCTAATAATTAAAAGTTTGTAAAGAAAATTTATAACTTTTCCCATGAACTTTATAATGTAAATATATAAATGGATTAAGATTTTAACAATTATTAAGAGAGAAAAGTTTCATAATTGCATAAAACAACATATAATTGAATACCATTAGGATAAATAGCAAATTATTGTATTGGAAGAGTATAATTAACAAGGGAATTTGTATGATTTCATTAAAAACAACCAGAACTTTACATGCAACTAGATTATAAATTGCTTACTTGATATTATAAAAGGATTATAATAATTATCCTAACATTAATATATGCATAGAGACATTAAACCTTAAAATATTGTATTTGATGGAACAAAGTTTAAACTTATAGATTTCGAAACCTGCAAATATTATGGCTAAGATTCCTACAAATATCAGTCTCGAATAGGGTAAACGAAATAATTGATTTAGAACTTTAACTTGTATGGCTCCTGAAGCTTAACTTGACTTTGCTTATTCATCCAAATGCGATGTTTGGAGCGTTGGATGCGTGCTTTATTATATATTATATAAATCTTTTCCTTTATAAAATTATGATTCATTATCACTTCTAATATTTTATTAGAACAATCATTAATTAGAATTTCCATCTTAAGTAATAAATAAGGAATTATATGATTTGATGTAACAAATGCTTAAAACCAGGGAAATTGATAGAATTAGTCTTAATGCTCTATTTTTTTTGTTGAAGATGATTAAAAGCAGTATGACATTCAATATCAGTAATCTTGAAGAAAATCTTGCCTCTTTGATTTAGAGGATATAGTTTATCTTTTACTCTGAAAAAAGTTATGACATTTGCAAAAAAATATACACTTGTTTTAAGACACTTCTTATTTACTAGGTAAATACAGAAACCTAGAATGATTAAAAAAGAGAAAAGTTGAAACGAGCTACTTTAGAAATTATAAGAGAATTCGAAAACGAACAAATTTATTTAGATTTGATTAGATAGATTTAATAATAAATCTAGGACTGAATATATTATAATTAAACCAATATTTTTCTTATTAACAGAAATTAATCATATTTTAATATTTAAAAATTTGCGATTAACCCGTTTTTTTAAATTAATGAGATTATAATAAAGAGTAGGAAATTCGTTTATGTTAAACATTTGATTTGAATAAACAAATTATTTACTTCCAAAGTAGAATAGTTTAAAAGAATTTATATTTATATATAGATTATAAAAAAATCAAGGATTATTTAATTTTTATATTTTCTTGTGTTTTATAATTACTAATCCATCTAGGTCTGTAGAATTAAATTCTAAGAATTCAAAATTCTTGTTTTCATTATTGGCTTCATTTTGACTTGTCGATTTGTCACATTTATTCAGATCTCTTGTTAATGTCTCAATGACAGAATCAATTAATAGGATATCCCTTTCTTCTTTTGGTACTCTACCTAATCTCTATCTGTTTTCCTCTTATTTTAACAAGTTGTAAAATCGATTTTTTATTGTATTTTCTGTTCTCCTAAATTTAAAAACTTAAGCTGATATATCCGCCCATCGTTTACCCCTTTTCTTTACTTCCTAAAATAATTTTAATTCTTCTTCCTTATACCATGGTACACTTTTATTTTATTTTAAATTTTCATACTTTAGTATTTTGGGGTCAAGCTTATTTACCCATCTGTCTCGACATTATTTTCCTAATCGCACATATGGAGTTTAGCAGATTTTCATTAATTCTATTGCGATTTCACACCATTTATTAGGATGTAATTATTACAATTACACAAGCACTTAATCTTCTTAAGGAGTCCAGTTAACTTTTTTGCGTTTCTCATTTAGCCACCGATTCCTGCATGCTTTCCAATTATGAAATTTGAATATTCTAGAGATTTAATCCCATTACAATGTTGACTATATTTATAAGAAACTTTATATTACCAAATCTAAAGGCCTTGTTCGAGTTTATAAACAAGTTCCAAAGACTATTATTTTTAAATATTAATCCTGAGCCTCAGTCCAAATTCCTTTATTTTAAATTAATTCAGCTTCCACTCTGTTCAAAATGGTCTCAATTTATTATTAGTCCGGAATGCCATATATAAAAGGAAAGGAATTCGATATTAATGCTTAAGCATATATCATGTCAATGTTTTGGAATAGATCATAAATAGCTTTTCTATCAATAGACGTTTTTTTAATCATCTTAATATTTATTTAATGCAAAGGATTCTTTGTGTGATTATATATATAATGAAAGTATTAATTAAATTTGAGTCGACCTTTTAAATGGAACACAAAGTAAAGAATGGTATTTGTAAAGAGAAGTTACTGTTATGGAAATACAAAATTAATAGAAAATAAATAGTGTTTCTTATTATAAATTACGAATTATTTAGATCAAACTTTTTTATAAATCTTGAGATTCTTAATTTTAATTTATTTGTATATTTTAGTAAGAACACATTGTTTATTAAACTTCTAAAAAGTTTTTAAGAAAGTGAAATGTTACAACCTATTGCCATTATTATTTTAATGAGTGGATATATGAATTACATCAGAAGTAGCAATTATAATTAAATAGTATAACAAATAATCATTTTTTCTTTTTAATTTTTCTATCATTTAATGAACCCAACAACATCCACATATTTTCATCATTAGAGTAGCCAACTACCGGATAGTCAGAGTGCTACTCCTCCTTAATTTAAGGCAATTAAACTTATATGAGATATTAATTATACAAATTTATGGAAGTGATTATTTGTGAGAATTTGGAGGTGGGAATAAAACATCAAGAGTTAGTTTAAATGCATCATCAAGCATTCTAGGAATATACATTTTTAACAATGGACTTGATTCTTCTATACATGGGTTTGTATTGACTTCTATTAACCAGACTTCTTAATCAGCATCTAAGATAAAATCAAATCCAAATATTTCAAAACAGTATTTTCTATCTTCAAAGTTTATTTTATTCTTTACTGAATTAAAAACCATCCAAATTCTTTCCTTCATTTTATTAATTAACTAGATAATATATCTAAAAATACATCTTAAACGTTGCAATTAATCTTTTGTGATTGCAAATAATCCTAATAGTTTTTAAAAGATAACTGATTTCCATCTTCAAATTACCCATAGTTTTGAGAATACTTTTAGATAGCATTATTTGTTAAATGGACAAATGTATTTTCAATATTGTATGTGAAATCTTCAGAGGATGTTCGTATATACCCTTCTTAAAAGAAGTAAGCATCTAATTCATGAGTTATCAAACCCCAAACTCTGATATCAAACTTTCTCTTATTAATTAATGCAGGTCTTTCAATATACTTTTGAATAACAAAGGAATGAGATTTAATTATACATTGTCCGGATGACTATTACTTGATTTATTAATTCGGTTCTTTTTTTGTGATTTAGGCACTCTGAACCTATTTTGGAGTATCGTCTTCTCCTGATGATTCTTCTTTTTAATTTAATGCCTTCTCCTTTAAACCTTCTTGAAAGTCAGATACCAATTTGACTAAAGTCTCTAGATTGTCAAAAATTTAGATTCCTCTTCCTCTATTTAAAAATGTCGGCTTCAATAGCCACATATAGGTAGATTCCTCTGATAAGAAAGTATTGTTTAATTAGATTTTAGTGAATTGAGACATCAGTTCTCCTCGATAGGCACAACAAAAATTTCCTCTCAATCTCCTTTTAACATCTAACATTTATTTAGATGAAGGTTTTTTTGGAGCAAATTACTCATAGGTTTTCAGGAACTATGTTATATTGTAATCGCAATTTTCATCACTAAAATCAATCACAAATGTTAATGGAGTATAATCAAAAACATTCAATTTATGTTTCTATCGTTATTATTAAGTATTACTTCACAATATTGAGACAAATTTTTAATCAGATAAGATTTGTTAGATATTTCTTTGTGATGTTCAAAATGATTGACAAGTTACTTATAATTTTAACTTACTATTAGTCTTTCATATCTGTAACCTCTTTCACTTTGTTGCCATTTAAAATTTACAAGCATTGAACTTGAGTCATTTGTCTCTTTCCATTACAATCTTTTTGACATAATTCGTTTCACTAATGCTTCATTGTTACCCCAGCCAATATAATACTATTTTATTAAAAACAATTACTTTTAAAAATAAATCTTAAGAAGCAGGCTTAAATTGACTTCTTTTTTTTGTAAAGCTAATAGATTTAAGATTTAGTTTTCTTGATAAAATAGGGAGCTGCTCAGAATTCTGAGACAATTTTTCCTTGGTTCTGCTTTTCTTATGCTGTTATTAATATTTAGTAAATTAAGGCTTTATTTGAGGACTTTGTGATTTGCACTTAGTTTCTGTTTTGTTTCTTGATCTTCTGCTCTCTAAATTAATTGTTGATTCCCCAGACAAATTCATTATTAATATATTATTGAAATACATATTAAAATTATAATTCATTTTTATTAAAGTTGGTTATTATATTCTGATGAAAGAGGAGAACAAATAAAGAAAGCATTTATTATGTAAAAATATATTTTCAATTGATATCACTCTGTTATCTTTAACTTCTCCAAACCTTCAAGTTTTTAGATGTTTTTAATGATAATTTCTCTAATGATAATTAAATAGATAATAATACTTTTTCAAACTTTCGTTTTTTTAAATGGATTTAATTGTTTTACTAAAACCATCATGTTATCTTCCCAGTAGTTTATTTTGTAATCCGATACTTTGATTATACAAGGAATCTACATTAAATTCATACATAGAATTCAAAGAATCATCTATTGTTTATGAAGATTTTTGGGATAATTTATCTTTAATATTTAAATAGGTTTGTTTATTGACTTTTTGAACATTTTTATGGGAATGATGGTTTGGAACAATCCCTGCAGATATGAGCAAAGATTTCCTTATTTTAGATTAGATTTATTTATCATGAAATGGATCTTCTACTTAATAATCAGTAATATATTTGATGAGTTCTAAGTCATTATTTATGTATTGGTTATTTAAATACTTTTATTTAACAAACGGAACGATAGATTTTACATTTCTAAGATTATGCAAAGATTAAGATTATTTATGCACTACATTTTTGTATTGAGAATTAAAAAATATCTTCTTCTTGGCCTTTTCATTTGAAATACAATTCTTGGTTTATAGATCTTCAATGTACTATTAAGCTTTTTAATCAATTTGGAACTTGATAGTGGAGGTTTGAGGAGGGGGCTCATATTTATTTTTGGTTTCATTTTCATATGATGCAGTTTTAAGAATTTGGTATGGGTTTTAGTGTTGAATAAGTTTGATTTAATATCCATTAACTTAATTTTTAATAATTACTGGAGTTGATCGTTTTTCCATAAATCTTCTTTCTATTAATTTAATGTACTCATCACTTATATCGTACATTTATTTGATGACTCCCACATTTTTTAGTTCCCTACTTCTTTTAATAATATCTTCTTCTTCTTTCATTTTAATTTTGTGCTCTATTAAATTCCTCAAAACAGCAAATCGTGATTGAATTCTAAATTATTTATTTACTTCCTCAGTTTTGTCTTTCAGTAATTTTAAGAATCCAGTTTATTGGTTATTTTGGTTGAATTAATTCTTGCAATTTTCTACTCTGAATAGTCTAATTTTTTTAGGAGAAGTAGGTCTCTATCTGTCCAACAACTCTGATTGATTTTTACGAGCCAAGAACTCACAAGCTGTTATTTCCCCTTCAATGAATTTCTCAAAATTATCTCTTACTGAAGGACTATCGTACAAATTATTTCCACAATACAAAGGAGCTTCTTTTAGAAATACTGGATCTAAATGTTTATTTTTCTTCTTTTAACGAACAAGTCCTTCCCCTAAAAAATTACCAAACATATTATTCCAATTTTTCAGTCTTTTATCTTGTTGTTTAAGTTCCTCAGGCTCAGTCTTCAAATCGCTAAACTATAATTTATCAGATTTATACACAAACAGTAGTTTCAGTTGGCTCTCTTCTTTTTTATGCTAATCTTTTCATTAATTTATATGCTATTTAATCAAAGAATCTGGAAAAAATTAATTCATCCAATCCCCACGATATTATTATTTCCAGCCACCTTTATTTGATGTTAGACCATTAATAATATATGAGCTTGAATTGCAACATAAACTGAAATAAGAATATTATAAATTAGCCAATAATTATCAACAAAGCCAATGGAGAAACATTATAACAAAACTTTAGAACTGCTCTTTAGTACGTAAATTTAACAATCATTCACTATTGATGTCTATAGTAGATTTTACATGAAAAACACAACAAACTTAATTAAGATGCTACAATAAAAAATGAGAATTATTTCTTAAAATTCTTCAAATTCATTTGGTTAACTTCATTTCTGATAAATAACCCTTTCAGATATGTAAGTGAAACACTTTAATAATTTTTATTTCAAGTAGATGAGATTTTGTCAATGAATTTTCGAAAATTAGAAAGTGGCCAATGATATTCAATTGCTTGGGCATCTTCTTATTAAGCTATGTAAAATGACCATCGATTTAAATTTATCTTTAACTTTATTGATCTTGCAGAAGGTGTACATCAATTTTGTAAAGTAAGCAACCAATATCAGATAGAAATACGTTAAAAATATGAAAATGGGTTTTCAAAATTTTCAATAAATTAGAGCGTTCTCATAATGACGTCGCAATTAGAATCAAGGTATTTGAACTAAGATTTTAAAAAATATTTGACTATATTAATTAATTTAATTATGAAAGAAGATATAAAACTACTTTCAGTAGACTGCAATGAATTCATTTGTTCGATTTGCTATCAGGTTTTCACTAAGCCAATCAAAACATCTTGTGGGTATTGATCTAATTCGAAGTTAGGCATAACTTTTGTATTAAATGTATCACGAAATGGGTACAAAAAAAGAAACAATGTCCTTGCTGTAGAAAATGGTGTTCTAATGCCACTGTTTAAGAAAAAGATGAAATTCTGGATGAGAAGATAAGTTAATTAAATGTAGTATGCTTAAAATGCAATAAATGGACTGGACTTATGAAGGACTTAAAAACTCATCGCTTCGATCAATGCACAACGTATTAGTCAGAAAATCATTCAATTCAATACTAGGTTGTTGAGGACGACCCAAATGATAACTTATCTCATATTAAGAAAGAACTTCTTTCAATAAAAAACTAATAGAATTTTAAATAGCTAATGGAATTGGAAGATGAGGATTTTTTATTTGAAAAAATTCCAATTCAATAAAAAACTAAGATAATTAGAAAGACAAGAAGCCATAAAAATTAGGATTAAGATGTTTAATTCTTACAAGACGATGATATAATTAAGCTAAAACAATCGGAAATTTATATCAGAAAATAAATAAAAAAAAGGTTTCGAATCTAAAATAGCTTATTAAATGATTTAATCGAAAAGAAATATAAAATAGAAACATACCTCTTCTTTGTAACACTTTTTTATAACCGAAATGAGTGTTTATTTTAAAAGTTGAGAAATTAAAATGATGATAAATTAAGTGTATATTGTATTTAAAAGTGATCTCATTTAATTTAAAAATTCTCTAAGTTAGATCTGCTAAGTTTTATAATTTTATTTTGAATATTAGTGAAAATTCGAATTATATTCCTTAAGTTACATTAGTTGTCTTTTGAAATTTGAACATAACAGATTAAACTTATGTTGACAGATATAATTCTTAATAAAATAGAAAAATGCTTGGAAATTAATTTATTGAGAATAGGGATAAGAGCATAGCAACTGATGAAATTAAAAATAATAGGATTACTTATTTTTATATATAGACAATGTTCTATGGATAAGAAATAAAGTTAACAAAATATTCCAAAGATCATTAAATTATTATAAAATTCTTTAAATATGACTTTTATTAAATCATATAAATATTAATTTGTTCGTTAACTAATGTAATATGGAAATCACACTCCTTCTCCTTAAAGATCTAATAATGGATTACAAGGATAATAGGGGAGATCATAAAATCAAAAAAAAGGGTATAAAGCATCATAGAAAAAAATGAATATAATTTCTATTAAAAACCAACGAACAAACAAGATGGCTCAATAAATTTCATCATAGAGAAGTCCTGTTAATATTTCAACCAAAACTACTAAGTAGACAATTGAAACTAAGAGAAGCGTATCACCAGAAGAATTTAAATATAAGAGTAGAAGTATTAAATTATTAAAAAGTAGAAAGCCCTCAATAAACAAAGTAACAATCATCAAAAGACATAAATAATATAAAATAAAAAAATGGTTCGCCTTTAAAGAAATATATAAAATCAAAGCAGATGTCCTTGTAAATGAAGGAGAATGAATTAAAATAGAAATTAAGGGATTATGAATAAAAGAAGTAATTTGAAAAACTTTAAATAGGTAATGCAATCTAGATAAATTGAAGAAAAAAACAAAGAAAATTTTTGAAAAATCGAAAAAATAAAAAAAATAATGCATGAAAGATAAACCTTCGTAAAAAAAAGAAAAAGTAATAGAGATAAAAAAAAAGTTTGAAGAAATTTCTAAACGATTTGAGAAGTTTTAGAATGCTTAGATTGAATAATTCTAACAATAAATTGCTTAAAAATAATAGTAAAATTTAGAAAGAGAGGAAGATGTCGAAAATATTTATGAATAGTATCTAAATTAAGCTGCTTAGACTATTTAAGTTAATTGGAGAGACTTTCTGAAGAGATAAAAATAAAAAAGGAATTCTCTTCCATCTTAAAGGTAAAGTATAGATTGGGAAGCAAATGCAATAATGTCCTAATAAACATTAAATAGTGATGAAGGTTTATTGTTTTGTCAGGGAGGAGAAAAGCAGGTTCATATATCCAACATTAGAAGTTCCGTAGTATCTGAAGAGTCTTTATCGATAATGAATCAACTCAACCAAGAACTAGATAACTGGAATATTTATATTCAGAGTATTGTTAAAAATCAAGATTTGTCTTAAATCAATAGATAAATGCAGCAATCAATCATAAATATTGTTTAAAATCATTTGAAAAAGTCTGAAAGTTTATCTGAGAAGAGAAGTGAAAATGAAATACATTAAGAAAGAAGCTTTAATTCTTATCGAAAAAAATTAAGTGATGAATTATCAAAATCCTCGATTTTATAACTCCAATAATAGGCTTTGAGAGAAGAAGGGAAGTTATTAGGATTCCGAGAAGAGGCAATCTACCTTAGGTATGAGGCTGAAAAAAAATCGGTGAATTCTGATAATAAGTAATCTCTTGATGAATGGCTCAATAATGAATTGGAAGATCTTTAAAATACCAGAAAAGCAATAGAGATATGCCATAAAAGAGAAATATCAGCTTTAAAAAAAATTTAGAGGGATATTTTAATAGCGTCAGAAGAGTTAGATAAAGATTCTTCAGAAAATTAATAGATCTAGTTAATATCTAAGCAAATTGATGATTAATTTAATTAAGCTACTCAATAAAAATATGAAAACATATTTTAGGAAGATATTTAAAAGACAATTAATTTGATGACTGGAGAAATCTTTAATGATCTATTAGATGAGTTAATAGATGAAGTGTAAAATAATAAAGAGAATTTTTATATATTTTTTTCAGATCTTGTTCTTAATAAGGATGTTATTTAAATTGCCCCTACTTCAGTAAAAGAAATCTAGTTCTATCTCGAAGCCCTTTTAAAGTTTGTACTCGAGAATTATTCTACAGATTTATTAAAACACTTGAATTTACCTTTCGGATTTACCCCTTTGAAAAGAATGAAATTGATTCATGGATATGATGACGATGAAAATAATGAAGAAATTGATTAAAATATAGCATTTCCATTAAGCGATCACATATTTATAGAGTTTGAAAATTAGCGACTTCAAGAATTAGATTTGAATGATTAGATCGCCTTTGCTATTCATGAATTGGAGCATATACATAACAAAGCTATTTTTGATGCTTGCAATGAAGCACTTAATTTCGAAAGACCATATTTTTTAAGTATTCATATTCCTTAAATAAGATTCTGGGATTGTTTATCCTTGGTAGAAAATTAACCAAAGGATTATTACACAAAATCAATTGGAATAAATCTTAGAGCAATCAAAGAAAAAAGTAATCGATTGGAGCAGTTTTCTTTGTGGATTCTTACCTTTATAAGAAAATGAAAAAGTAAAAGAGGAAAAGTAATAAATTATTGAAGAGAAAAAACTATCAATGAAATTACAATAATTAAATTTATTTGAGAATCTTACAGGATCTGATTATAATTCATCTTTCGATAATTTGGGTTTGATTAGGGATGAATAATTATATAAATTACTTATTTAAGATGTATAACTTTAATTTATTTAGATAAAAGAGTCAGAAAATAAATGGTACCTTGTTGAAGATGAAAGAGTTGACTATTTAATGGAATTAAGTGACTAAATATTTGAGTAGCTCATAGAAGAATTTTAGAAGGAATTTTGAATTTTTGATTTTATTTTTTTTCATGGATATTTATTTATAACAAAGCGATTTAAAGGAAGATTAATTTACTTCGAATAAATAAATCAATAAAATCAAAATAATTAAATAGAGAAATGAAGGATTTTAGTATTCATTAAATAATTATTATGAATTTTAATAAATTAAATTTGGAACAATATAGATAACTTATCTGTACTTTATTCTGATGTAGAGAGAATATCTTAGATTACTTCAAATAAATTTGCTAGAGATTAAATATGAATATTATGAAGAAATCATAGATTATTTCAGGACAATAAAAAAATCAGGAGAAATGAGTGAGAGAGCATTTAACTTAACAAGATTCATAATTTTAAAATTGTCATCAAATTATAATGCGTATTTCATTCGAAGAAAATGTTTGAAATAATTGAACTTAGATTTAACTTAAGAAATAGAGTTTATAAATGAAGTTAAAATTTCTAATTAGAAAATTTATTAATTTTGGTAAAAAACCATTTCATGTTATTAAGGGAGCATAGAAGATCAACTATAGAATGGTTGCAAAGGAGAAATTGAGTTTCTTTGTAATATTTTAGAGTAAGATAATAAGAAATATCATGCATGGTCATATAGAATTTTAGTTGTATGAAAAATTTAATTTATATTCTGAAGAGATAAAGGATGATGAAGATATCGGTAATAATTCTGCTTGGAATTACAGGTATTTTCTATTAAATAAAATACCATTCGATTTTAAAACAGAGTTAGATACATTAAAAATGCTATTAAACTAAAGATGATAAATGAAGCCTCATGGAATTACTTGAGAGGATGGTTTAAAATGTTTAATTCAAAAATGATAAAGAAATCCTCATTAGAAATTCATCCCATATAATTTAAAAGGTTATAATTTGATTGAATTTCTCCATGAAATAAGATTGAATAACAGATTTGCTATGTGCCTAAGGATTCAATGTTTATTGTAAGATGGAAAGTATTAAGATGCAGTATCTATACGTGAAACTCTTCAAAATCTCGACTTAATTAGAATAAAATATTGATAATATTTAATCTTCAATATCATCTATAATATCATCCCCTATTATTTCCTTGAATTCATCTTCCTATTTACCATTTTAAGATAAGGACCTTTGAGATTAGACCTAAGGTCATGACTATGTGACTATCTCAATTTCCATGAGTGATTTGATATAATTTATAAACTAATTGAACGTTAATGATATGAATAAAATTTTAATAAATTTGCGTTTAATTATAATATAATAACGCAATTTTTAATAAATCTAAAAATCTACTTATTAATTCACATTAATTTTAATCTATTTTCAGAGGGTAGCTTCATATCTGCCATTTTTATAAGAAGCCCCCATCTAAATCTTCTGTAAATAAGATGTACTATTTAGGTTTTTCATTTATTATTAAAGTTTTTCAAACTTTGTCCCATAATTTTTTATTCCATAGCATAATTATCTTCTTGATACAGTTACTCCTTATGTAAATTATAAATAATTATGTTCTGATACAACAATTCCTAACTAGAGATATAAATAAATATATCAAGAAATAAAAAAAATTCATTTGGTGTGGTGGATATTAATGAAACATATTCTGTAAATCTCTAGAGAATATGGTATCATATTATTATTTCTAATTTACAATTCAGATAAAGTAAACAAAGGTTCCTAATTTGATAATAAATATTTTGTATAGCGCTTATTTAAAAATTAAATTATCTAATTTATGTTATCCACAGCCGCAGGTTTCCAGTCTATGTTAAAAGAAGTATGATGAGTTGATTGATAATTCTAAGGGAGCTCGTCATTATTAAGGATTAGAGGAGGCCATCCTTAAAAACATACAAGCATGCAAGGAAATATCAAATATGACAAAAACATCATTAGGTCCTAATGGAATGAAAAAGATGGTTGTCAATCATATTGATAAAATATTTGTTACAAGTGATGCAGCAACAATTCTTAAGGAGATGGAAATCCAGCATCCTGCTGCTAAGATGGTTCTTATGGCTGCAAAAATGTAAGAAACAGAATAAGGTGATGCAACCAATTTTGTGATCACATTGGCTGGTGAATTATTATAATAAGCTGAAAGTTTGATTAAATTGGGATTACATCCAAGGTAACATTAAATATCATTTATAAGCTAAATTGTGGTTGGATATGAAACTGCCCTCAAAAGTGCATTAGATTTATTAGATCAATAAAAAGTTTGGGAAATCTCAGATGTAGCTGATGAAACATAAGTACTTTAAGCAATTAGAACATCCTTAAGCAGTAAATTATCAGAGTAATATTTACTGTAATATTCAAAGTTATTCGAATTTAATTGCTGGCTTAGTAGCTAAAGCCTGTATAAGATGTTTGCCCAAAGAAAAAACCAGTTTTGATTCTGAATATGTCAGAGTTACAAAAATCTTAGGGGGTTCAGTATTAGACAGTCATGTCCTCTCTGGACTTATTGTAACTAGAAATGTGGAAGGGTAAATTAACAGACTAGAAAATCCAAAGATTTGTGTTTTTAATGCTCCATTAGATCCATAATCTCAGGAGACTAAAGGAACAGTGTTGATTAAAAATGCAACAGAATTAATGAATTATACTAAAAGTGAAGAGGAATTAGCTGAGAAGATTGTTAAGAGCATTGCTGATGCAGGTGTCAATCTTATTGTTGCAGGAGGTAGCATTTCAGAATTGGTATTGCATTTTGTTGAGAAATATAAAATGATGATTGTGAAGGTCTAATCTAAATTTGAATTAAAGAGATTGTGCAAAGCCATAGGAGCTAGTGCATTATCTAGATTATCAGCACCTATGCCAGATGAGTTAGGAACATGTGATAGAGTACATGTACAAGAAATTGGTAGTCAAAAAGTGACTATCTTTGAAAAACAAAGTGACACTTGTAAATTAGCAACCATTGTATTGAGAGGAGCTACTCAAAATTTGTTGGATGATATTGAAAGAGCTATTGACGATGGTGTTAGTTGTTATAGATCATTAATTAAAGATGCAAGATTTGTATATGGTGGTGGTGCAACAGAAATAGTAATATACATTAATATCTATCTAGAAATTAGCATAATTATTAGAATAAGAAGCTAATAAGATTAAATCAATTGATTAATATGCCTATAGACAATATGCTTAAGCCTTTGAGATCATCCCAAGAATTTTGATTGAAAATGCTGGTCTTGCTTAAAATGAAATGATGGCTTAAATGCATAAATTAAATTCTGAGAAACCTCATTCACTCAACATTTCGGTATAATTGACAACCATTTCTATTATAGACAGCTACATTGTCACCATCCTAAGATTTGAAAGTGTTTGATCATCTTAAAACAAAATGGTGGGCTATCAAATTGGCAACTGATGCTGCTGTTACTATTTTGAGAGTAGATTAAGTATATAACATATATTAAAATTAGATTATCATAGCTAAACCTGCAGGAGGACCTAAAATGCCAGATAGAGGTCATTGGGATGATTAAGATTGAGTATGAAGATAATCATATAATTATAACATAAATGTATTTGAGATATAAAATATTATTAAATGAAAGTTTTGGTGGCTGTCAAAAGAGTTGTGGATTCAGGAATTAAAGTTAGAGTCAAACCAGATGGCATAGATCTTCAGGGAGTTAAGATGACAATCAATCCCTTCTGTGAAATAGCAGTGGAGGAGGCAGTCAGATTGAAAGAAAAAAAGTTGATCGCTGAAATTGTTGCAGTCACCATAGGACCAAAACAAGGAGCAGAAAGTTTAAGACATGCTCTTGCTTTGGGGGCTGATAAAGCAATTCATGTCACAACTGAAGCGAGAATTGATTAAGCTGTGTAGCCATTAGATGTTGCCAATATCTTAGCCAAATTGGTCGAGAGAGACAAGTAAATCACTTTGAAATCATAGTTATAATCTCGTCTTAATGGGCAAGTAATCAATTGATGACGATTTTAATTAAACAGGATAAATGTTGGCTGGATTATTGGATTGGCCTTAAGCGACATTTGCATCCAATATATAAATTACAGACGGAGTAGCTCAGGTTATCAGAGAAATCGATGGAGGACTTTAGACTGTAAAATTCAAATTGCCTGGAGTAATCACTTGTGATTTAAGACTCAATCAACCAAGATTTGCTAGTGTTCCAAATATTATGAAAGTAAAGATGTATCTGAATGTAGGCAAAATCTAAGCCATTAGAAACTATTCCACTTGATAAATTAGGCAAATTACATAATTCCATTTAAATCACTAAAACTGAGGCTCCTGCAATTAGAAAAGGAGGAGCTATTGTAGAAAATGTAGATGTGCTCTTACAGAAATTAAGAAATGAAGCCAAGTTGTTTTGATATTGTATAAATAGAAAATATTGCATAACAAAATATGAGGATTGTCAATAACTTTGAGAATTCAAGGAATATTAAATATTCATTTCTTTTAACACTTTTATCGCTGTTTGGTTTATTTTAGATTAATAAGAAAATATATATTTTAAAATAATAATTAAAAGAATTATAAAACATGAGAGATGAAAGCTCAAACGATGTAAATATAAAAATATGGTAATTGCTGTTTCTGTAACAAATATCGTAGTCATATCAGATTATATATCTTTCCTATCTCATTTGGAACTTTGATCCTTTATATTTGATGTCATAGTATTGGCTGCTTGATATATTTATGTTAACAGCTTTGGGACTATTGAAAATAAAGTACATTTGAATTAATGTAGATACAAAGCTATAGTACATAATCTAATAATGGATACATTGATCGGAAGTGTGCTCAAACTATTACTTTTAATTAATGTCAAATATTATCAGCGATTCCAAATCTAATATTTTAGTTATGCAATCATGGCTTACTATTTCATTCGAGTGCTTGTTCAGAATATTCGGAAAATATCTAACAATCAATAAATAACATAATACTCTTTCGTAAGCATTTATATAAATAAGAGATCGCTTAAGGAATCAAATTGCTCTTTGTTCTATAAATAATGCTGATGACGATGAAGCAAACCAAGACAATCAATTGGAATTGGTACAGTGTATTCAGTATCTCTTGGGGATTGTTGATTCTATCCTTCATTGTGTATTTCGTGTTCTTACTCTCTATTGGAGAAACCATCGTGGACTTCATTCGGAATAGAACAACCAAAACCCAATGTACATATACATCGTAATAACAGTGATAGGAGGCTTGTGGTTATCACTTTACATGAATTCGTTCTCAATATTTCCAATGTGGTTTCTATTAGAAGTTAGTTGGCATGAAGAAACCAACTATTCGAATACAGTATCCACTTTATTCTTAGTCTTAATCATTTACAACGGTCTCATACTTTTAGGATTAATATTATTCTTTTCCTAGATTAAGTAATAATCTCAAGTATTTAGAGATTGTATATTCTTGAAATGAGATAAAACTCATCCAATGAAGCAACTCAGAAAGTTCAGAAGCAGTTCATAAAAGTCAACATTCCCTACAAAATCATTCAAATATCCTCTACTTATTTTGACATCATCAATTATTAGAAGAACATCATCACTGTCACTCACAGCAATCAGTCTGTGATTCACAATAAAACTAAGTTGAAGGCATTTGAATTTGTGGGAAAGACTGAATAATTATAATCTCCTGCTGCTGAAAGAGAATTAGAACTAATCAAACACAGTGAAGAGAAATGTCAAATCTGTTATGATGTAGAACCTAATATCGTATTATTGCCATGTCAACATGGAGGGATATGTTAAGAGTGCATTTAAAAGTGGTTAGAAAAATAGAATAATTGTTACATTTGCAGAGAAGTATTGTATTCTTTCATTTTAAGAAAATTGAAAAATACTTAAGAATTGCAAAAAGCCATGAGGAAGGGAAATTTACCATACGGGATATAGCAATTTGCGATTGACAATATAGAAATATTAATAAATCTCTTTTAATTAAATGCTTTATTATGATATCAGTTCAGGTTATATCACCACAAACTCCCAATACTTTTATAAATTAATTTGTAAAGTCAAATAATATGAAATATATCTCATTGTTTAACATTCATCACAAATGAATTATGAGCATCAACTTCCTCATCTTCAAATACTTCAAACACATTTTCATTAGTATAGGAATGGTGCATATGAGCAACTTCGATTTATTTATATGAGAAATTGCTCGGACTCATATTATCTATGTCTTATTGATCAATCTCCTGTTTTGACACAGAGTACATCTCGTCTTTTTCATTACTATCGCTTAATTAATTATGAAAACTTACTGATTTACATAGGTTTAGTAAAGATCCTAGTGTATTTAGAAATATTGTTATATAAATTTACAGAAGTTTTCTATTGATTTCTTTTACTTAATTGCTTCCACTGCTCTGTAAATAAGATTTTGAATTCCGATATTTCTATTGATCAATTCGAAGAGCCAGAATAAATGCTATTTCTGAATCGAATTGAAATCAGATTGAACCTTACGAAACTATTTAGTAAGAAATTTAATTATCTCTGATTATTTAATCTAAATAAGTTTAGATGATCAATAAATACATCAGATACATCTCCACAATACACTACTATATATTCAAGTTGTTGATTTAAAATGATCTATTCTATTTCGATGCTGCAAAAAGAGGGGCAATTTTATCTAAAATAGGCGAATTGAGAATTGATATTAAGCAATAAAGGCAATTAAGATATATCGATTTGTGCAGGCAATTGAAAAACAAAGTTCCTCGTATTTTTTTAATGGTTCAATAATATTTTGTTGATATCAGGATTGAAGCTTTTTAATAAGTCTTTGTGTTGAGATGCTTCTGCATTTAAGCTTGGATTAACAAAAATTACATCAGTTTTCAAGTTATTCAAAGTAAAAATATCTGCATTAATTAGATCTACATTCACACCTGAATGGTGACAATTCTTCTTTGCCAATTCAATCAACTTGCTCTCTATTTCGACCCCTATGACGTAATGACATTCTTTCGCCAGTTAAACTGTATTACCTCCCACTCCACAACCTAAATCAGTGATAATAACAAATTCCTTAAGTCTTTTTGCTATGTATCTAGCCACATGATCAGGAGTGTATTCTATTTAAGAGAGTTACTCCTATAGTGCTGATTTTGGAGAATCTAATCCTAGAGTAGAACCAGACAAATCATTAATATTAAATCTCTTTTCTGTAATTTTAGCTATTATTTCTTCTTTACTAGCCTTATTTCTTAAGAAAAATAATTTATTTTTTGGATAGTCAGAGATCTTCAAAACTGACTCCACCACTTTCAAATTTGATTCTTGCATTACTTATCTTCCTTATTCAATAATATGATGATCGTAGGATAAATGCTGCATGCTCATTTTGTCATTTGATTACGCTTAAGAGCTTCTACTTTGTTATTTCTTTCTACTTATCGTAAAACAGAAGAAACATGTCTCTTCCTCATCATTTTCATCTACTTCCTTTAGCTACATTTATACTTATTATATAATTTTAATATTATATAGTGATTAATTTATTCAATCGAATATTTAATCTGCTTCAAATATTATCTAAAAGAGTTGAATAACCATATTAATATACGATTTTCTGATTTCAAAGTAGACATACTTATTTTCTTATTGATTTTGTAATGTTTAGCATAACAATACATTTGATTTAGTAATGTAATTTTTATTTATAATATTTATGTTTAAATTTGTAGAATACAAAAACTTTGAGTAATTTCATTAGTTCTTGAATTCTCATCCTTAAGTCACATATCAAGAAATTATTAAACATCCTCTATAAGAATTTCAATTTGAAAATGAATTTGTTAATCCTATTATTGTCAAGCAATCTGTCAAGTTGCCCTTTCAAGAATATATAAACATTATGCATTGTTCAAATAGATTCGTATATCTAGCCAGTCAAAAAAGAGTCCAAGTCTTTGATATTAGAACTGAAATTAAATTGATTTCGAAACTAGAAATATAAAATTCCCTTGTAATCTAAGAAACTGAGGATTGCTTGTTCATCGGACAACTAGAATAAATAATATTAATTGAAATCTCAAAGGATTTTTCAATTATTGGTACCTATAAATTAGGATAAGTGTAAATTCCTTTTTCATTTCTAAGAGTTATTAATGAATCCTAAAAACAGTTAGATTGGTATGAAATTGTGATTGCTGATCTCAAGGGCAACTCTTCCAAAATCAAATGCAACATTTTTAAGCTCTTTAATAAGAGGAACGTATAATTTTCAACCTAAGAGTTAACATCAAATGGATCAATTATTGATTAAAAACAAAAAAAGTTGTATGATTCAGAATTCAGCATCCTTTATGAGTTATTAGTTTTACAAGGAAGCAATGAAAACTATGCATTTCTATTATATCAAATGCACAATCGTATTTCAATTATTAGAGTAAGCAAAATTAATAAAGAAACACCAGTTTAATTGTATAATTTATAGAATGATCATATCGATTCTGGTTGGGCCTGTCTATCAACTTGCTTAGATAATAATAGTTAAATTAGATATTCAATTTGTTGTAGCTATGGGAATGTCATACATTTATTTATGTATGAAATTTTTGGAGGCTCAATTACAGTTGATGAAATTGGAGTCAAACAATTAGAAAATGAAAGATAAATAAATGGACTGGAATGCTGTGATTCTGATATATTTGTAGTTTTATTTGATGATGGCTTTGCACTAGTTCATACAACAGAATTCAAGAAATGTGAAAACAAATTGAACTATTTCAATCAATCATTGAAAATCAAAAAATTCAACGGTCATTTCATGCTAGGCTTGACTGAAGACTCTTTTGAATTCATGACTCTATAAGATTGTAGAACTTTATTATAGAATCAAGCAGATCAGTTGGAGTTTAGAAAAGCTATGTAAAATGCAGTTAGAATTATGAATGGTGATTTATTGATGATTAAGATTGCTCCTTCTGATTAATTATCAGAATTACTCTAAAAATTAGCCTTTACTGAATGCTTATTTTTGGGCAAATCAAAAAATTTAACAGTCTAATCCTTATCTGAGATTATTAAGTTTTTAATCAAAACTAAACAAGAGCATTATTTATTTACTATTATCAGTGATGTCACATCTGATTTGGGATACAAAGATGTCTTTGCTAATACAATAGAATGCTTACTTAGACAGCATTAGATACCTTATATACCTGATTAATAACTATATGAATTATGTAAAATGTATTAAAATTAAAAAAATGTTGAGATGATACATCATTTAGTTTGTTCAACTGATTTTAAAAGAATATCAAGTGCTATATTAATTACTTGTTGTGAATAAATGAAAATGTATAATGAGATGATCTATGTTTGTCAAAAGTCTCAAGATTTTGTAACTCCCCTTGTAAAATTGTTTGGAGGAGATTAATTATAGGAGGAATGCCAAAAATATATATTGAGCATTTTGGAGGGTAAATCATTTGAAGGAAAGAATCTAACCGACGAATAGTTTACTATTGCTTTACGTAGTTTAATTTAGTTTCTATTTGTGAGTGAAAACCTATTTAAATTTATTAATAAAGATCCAAAGGGAGCTATAGATATAATATATTAATTTTATATTGGTAAAGCTTAAACTTGCATTGAAAACAGTGGAGCAGAGATTATATTAAAATTGTAAGTTGATGAGACTGAAGGCTCTCTATTTGATATTGACTAAAATAATTTGCGATGTTCAACCCATAGAATAATGTATCTATCACTTAGAAAATTAGAGTTTCTAAAATCAGATATTTGGATCTCATACTTAACTGCAAAATTATTAATATAAAAGTTTCCTTTTTCATCTCAAGTAGCGTATGACACAATTTATACGCTTTGTAGAAACTACGAATTTCTTTTATAACTTAACAATGACATACTATTAGTTAATCAATTTATCATCCGTGTAATGATGTCGAAAAAACTTACAGAACAATAATTGTCAGATCTAGAGTTTTCAGCCTCAATTGTTAAAAAGTTCTCTTTGGCTTTAGTGTTCATATATTCTCAATAATAACAATATAATAAGGCTTTTGAAGCTTTTAAGATGGTAAATCCTTAAATTAGAGAACTAATTTTTCCATGGATTTAGTAATTGGTTGAATTAAGGCCAATGATTTTAAATTCATAAAATGATGAATTTATATTAGAAATTTTGAAATACCTAATTACAATAGATGAATAATAAACGTATAAATTAATTGAAAAATGTTTTCATCAGAAACACTTTTAGATTTTGAGTTGTTTTTAAAAAGATTTTGAAGATTAAAAATACTTTGCTAATTTCATATCCTACTTATTTTAATCTTAAAAAGTGTTTTTAATTAATGACTAAACCAAAATACTTTATCTCAAAAGATTATGTGAAACTTAGCCTAAATAAGTGTTATCGGCTATTAAAAGCATGAATTTTCCATTGGACGAAGCATTAAAATTGACAAAGGAATTTAAAATCAATTAGGCAGCTGCTTATATTCATTAAATGAGTGGAGCTATAAAATAAGCATTGGATATATATATCAATTCTTTTTTAAAGAAAATCAAAAATTCTATAGTTCTGCTAATGAAAAAGTAGACTCTGGATAATAATATCACTGATAAATTAAAATATAAATTAGAAACCATTATTTAAATAATTTTAGAAGATTTAAAATAAAATTAATATAATAATGATGATGATTAGAAATTATGGATGTATTTTGTCGATCTATATATAAATCAAAATAAAATAAGAACATTCATTATGCCAAATATTCCTTAAAGCGTAAAAGATTTATTGAGTCTTTATTTAAGTGAATATTTAGCAAGAATCAGTGATAGAGTTCAAGTCTCATAAATATTTGATCAATTAAATCTAAACTATCCATAATTACCAGTATCTGTATTTAGATAGACTATTTATAGAGTGGTGAGTAAGTTTCATGATGATTTAAGAACATTAAAAGAAACTTCATTAATCTAGAGTAATGAGAAATACCAGATTATATAATAATTAAAAGAAATTAATGTAATAATTTATTAAGTTTTAGTAAAGTGCATGGATATGCAATCATATTTGTTAAAGATGTTAAAATCATATAGTTGATTCTGAACTTGCTATTGCTTTTACATGTTCTCATGTTTTCCACGATTATTGTGTCTTAAAAGGCATATATAAAATACCATATTGTGATACATGCTAAACAGAAACTTCATATAAGAGTAATAATGTGAAATATATAGTCTAAAAGGAGAGAGTTTTGAAATAATATGCAGTCACATAATAAATTTCTGAGCCTAAGTTCCTTTAGTAGATGTCTGTGAATAAAATTACTGTTATATCAAATCAACAATAATAGATGTAAACGAGAAAGGATAAAAAACAATTGATTAAGAGATTTGATTATGAATTATAGTAAAAGTATGATTATTCTTGGGCTTGAAAACAATAAGAAATGATATTTATACATTTTTATTTTTTAATTAAATATAGTCTTAGATTAACTCACATATCAAATTCTTTATTGAAGACAATCTGCAAAACCAACTTAAACTAAATTAAATTTATTATCAACTTAGTGGCATTATTAGCTCGTCAGATATTAATTAAGAATATTATTTAGATGCTAAATTAATAATATTATACAATTAAAAATTTAATTAATGATATTAGATTAAGAAAATCTTATTATCTTGGCATTTATTGTAGTTTCACTATTTTTTGTCAAAGGCCCCAGCATTTCCTATTATTGGTTTATCATTAATGGAATATGGATTCATATTTATCTTGATGGATTGGTCGGTTTATGTTAAATGAATAAATGGTATTGAGTATTAGTATTTTGAGGCTCTTTGCTTAGTACAGTTAATTAGATGCTAGATATCCAGAGAAGGAGCTAACAGTGATAGTTGTGACAGGTATAGAATTAGTATTTATGGGGCCAATGTGCATATGGATTGCAATTAGATAAAGATCTAAGGCAAATCCTATATTGACAGCAATATTAATTACTTTTGTTTCAGCTGTCTAAATCATGGGAACTGTGATGTTTATAGTCAATGCATGGCTTAGAAACTTTGTAGATGTATGCCATGGAAGTTGTTTTTCATTTACATAATCCAATATATTTTATTTTTGGTTTGTGTTTGTAATAGTAAACCAAATTTGGATTGTCGTTCCACTTTAATAGATTTTCTTATAGTACAAGGAATTAAAAAATATTCAAGGAGATAAAAACAACAAAAAAGTAAAATGAATTTTAATATAAAATAAATATCTAATATGATATTAATTCTAATATTTTATACGGAATTCTTAGATTCGATTGAAGATTATTATTCTTAATATAGATTTAAGATTTTTGTATTGATTATTATAGAGTGTTAGCAAAAATAGTATTAAATAATTTGTGATTGTCAGATTGGTATGAGTTTCTAAATATAAGTTATGAGGACAAAAGTCAATGAAATTCATTTTCAAAAAGCTATTCTTTAATATATCTGAATGTTTTGATTGCTTTTATTTTCAATGGATTGTATGGTCTTAAAAGAATTATTAAATGAAGGCAGATTTTAAATGCAAATTTACACCTTTGATTAATTTGATAATAATTGAACTCTCAAAATGGTGTGTTCTAATATTATTTCATTTGATTTAGTTTAACTTATCGGATCAATAAGTGGCTAAGGCCATTACTCGAATCAAAATTGACAGGGATTCAAATAATAATATTTATAAGTGCTATATATTTACAAAATCATTCAATGTTATTGTCTATTTTTGATTGCAGGTTAAGGAATGCAACAGAATTTAAGATTTATCAATGATTTACACAATTATCTTATTTCCTAATTCAAATTTTCTTGTAATAACTCTCGTAAAAATTGTGCTATGTCTTCATTTTCTTCAAGTTTTGCATCTAGCATTAATCTTAATACTCTGCACTAAAACAATAAATTTATTTAATACTAGTTCTGACTCATTATTTCTAAGTTTCTTAAGTATATTTAACATATCTAATTCCTTTGCAGGCGTTCTCTTTCTCTTTTCATATATGAAATTAAATTTACCTTAAATTATTCATTTAAAGCTTTCCTTCTCAAATCATGTCGGAATTGTTCTCTTTTTTTATTGGTTTCTCGTATTACTACTGTCTACTCTTGTTCAACCTAAACTTCATACATCAACTGATAATAAGTACCTCCATTTACTATTAATTAAATAACTCTTATTAATAATGAACAATATTGAAATATTACAGAAACTTTTAATTGAAGAAATCATAAATAAACAATACAGTCAAGAAGAGTTTGAGTAGTATGTGCAAGCCTAAGCACCAGAGAAAGGTAATATAGATATTCTGATCATAGATGATCTATCATCGTGGAATTATGAGGATTTAAAGAAATGCATAGACAATTTTTAATCTCTAAAGAAGAATTAAAAATAACCTTAAAATTAAGAAAAGGAAATATATGGATTCTAAAACATTGATGAAAAATTATACTCAGTAATTGTGTCGAATTAACATAAAATCTATATTGTATAAATTCCTAAACTATTTAGGATAATATCTCTTTGGATCCCTACGAAAAAGTTATTAGATGTTAATAAGAAAAGTATCTCATAGAAAATGATGTTGAGTTATAATTTTAAATTTCACAGTAAACAAAAATGATAATTTAGTCCCCAGGAAGTAAGAGATTCAGGATTATGGTCTTTTATCACATAAAAAAGTATTGTAGTATTCTAAATTCAAACATTTCCGATGTAATGGAAAGTCTAAAGAACACTATAAGAATTTGCAGAATTGAGGAATATAATTTGTCAATACTTTCCTGAAAAAATTGTATATGACATTAATCGATTTATTAGATTCCTAGATTTCCTTACGGAGGACTCACTAAATTAGAGGAAATGCTACCTATGATGGAGGATATTATTCTTTCAATAAAAGTAATTTTTATTAAAATTTAGAATTTACTTTCAATTTATAACAAAATACCAATAATAAGAACAATATAGCCTTGTTTGTGGTTTGTTAATGAAGTCAATGATCAATTATTATAAAAGAAGCTTAAAGATGAATTATAAAAAGAAAAGAGATATAATTTACAACAAAAATAGACTAAGACGGGGGAAATTAAGGTCTCTCTAACTTTTGATGGTTATTAGAAATTCTTAGATCAATCATCTTATCCAAAAAATGCTATCAATCTCCTCAACTAAGTAATATGTAATATGAATGAATTCTTTGCCTACCAGAAAAAATCATAAGAATTTTTAGGAAATGCTGCTTAATGTTTGTTTGAACTCACTAATACTTTACCAAAATATCCTGATTAGAGTGGGCTTATTAATTACATTAATTTGGTTAATGATCATTTTAATTAAATAATCTATGAGATAGATGATTCTTGTGCTTTACTTGATAATCATTTAAAATTAACATTTGCAAAGTTATTGGGAAGTCATAAATCATACATAAGATTATGTTAAAATGTTAATGAAATTAGAAATAAATTTGTCTAAGATTACAATAATTTAAATAAGAAAAAAGATGATCTAATTAAAAATAATGAGTTGAAAATAGTAGTATAAAAAATAATTTAATAAAACAAATTTGATTAATCTGAATTTGATAAATTATCAGCAGATTCTGATTATTTAAAAAGTTTTCTATATGTTCCAGAAACTTAATAAAATTAACAACTTTAAGATCAATTAGTGTATATGATACAATAATTTTCTAAGGCTATGGATGAGTAATTTAGAGCTGACTTACTTAAAGTAAATGCAAATTTAGGTGGATTTCTATATGCTAAGCAAAAACTATGCCAAAAATATGTAAGTGTATTTTTAAATCAATTAGACTGAGTAATGGAAAGAATTAGTTAATAAATATGAGTCGGTAAAAAGCAAATAAGGTTGAATATAAATGTTTTTAAGAAATATAAAATAAAATCTATTATGAAATCTAATGTCATTTATTAAATATCATTAATACTTATAATTTTGAAAACCAAAATATTATTTAATGATCCCTTTTATATTTCCTTTTGTTATTGAAAAATACTCTCTTTTTCAGATCCATAAACTTATTTAAAGGATTTAAATTTTAGAAATTATTTTAGGAAATCTTGCCAAATATTATTTAAATGAATTTCCAAAAGTAAAATAGATATTTCTGTGGCTACTGTTTTACAAAGCTAGTCTTCTTGGATTATAAATTAATAAGATTGCTATTTAGAATAATGTCATTATAAAGGGTGAAATTCTACACAGTTCTTATAATATATGACAATTATTCATGAAGTAACCCAGTTCATTTTTTAAAAACAATATGGTTTAATAAATGAATGAGTGAAAGAAAAATTCTAAGTTCTAGCGTTTTATAAAAAGATTATTTTAACAATTATATTAGAATTAAAATTGCAAGCATTTCTGCATTTTAATAAATATAATGGATTAAATATTGATATCTGGAGTAGCTGGGGGATCTGCTGGAATTTTTACAGACTTTCTTTTCTTTCCTGTAGAAACTATTAGAACAAGAATTCAAGCATCAAACATCAAAATTGATTATTATAAATCAGCAGCCAGGATTAATAAATATAGAGGAGTATTATTTTTTTAATAGTTAAAGCTGCTTGCCCAATTGACAGTCTCTTTTCCATCCGCTTTTTTATTTTTCTCGACTTATGATACAGCAAAAAAAAACGGATGTTCACATATAGTTGCAGCTGGTTTAGGTGAGTTTGCTGTCGACTTTTTTCGAAACCCATTTGAAGTAGTGAAAAATTAGATGTAAGTTGGATTAGATCCAAATATTAGAAATACTATAAGATCTATATATTAAATTTAAGGATTTCGAGGTTTTTATGCTGGGTTTCCTACTTTCATTATGAGAGAAATTCCTTTTAGCGCAATATAATTTCCGTTGTATGAAAAAATGAAAACTCATTTTGGTAATGATGGTGTTGTGGATCATGCTCTAAATGGGGCTGTTGCAGGGGGAACCGCGGCATTTTTAACTACACCTTGTGATGTCGTGAAAGCTAAATTAATGACTCAGAGAAACTAATTCTATGATTCAATTAGTGAATGCATAAAGATCATTTATGAAACAGAAGGAATTTTAGGGTTTTTCAGAGCAGTTCATATCAGAACTATGCAGATATCAACTTCTGGAATTGTTTTTTTCAGCGCTTATGAAAGATGCAAATTTCATATTTTAGCATATAATGATAAATCATGATTCAGATTTCCTATGTTGGTTTTCTAGATAATCAACTGGTATCTCCCTTAACTTTTATATTTTTCTTTATTAGTATATAATTAACTCAGAATTATAAAATAGCATAAATGAAGAAATGTCTTAAAATAGCTATTTTAATTTCTCAATTAATTATATACATTGTGATATAATAAATTTTTTTTTTGAAGAGTCTGAAATTTATTATATGAAAATATGATTATTTTTCTATTCAGTCCAAATTATGAGCTTGTAACAAATGCTCAATATAAAATTTGAAGTCTTTTTTGAAACAGATCAATTAAAATGCTGGGATTTTCAGAAATAATTTAATGAAAATCCAACTCTTAGACAATCTGATATATGTTATTCAATAGTTTCTATGGCAGTTTTGGAGGGTTTAAGAAGGGAAGTTAGTTACATTGTCTTAATAAAATATGTAGTATAACAAAGTTATAATTATTCATATTAATAAAATGCAATAGAATCCTTTATAGTTATTTTTAAGTATTCTGGCTGCTAGGGAGGAAGTTATATTTATGATAAGAATAATTGGACATTAGATGCATGAAGATTGTCGTAATAGATTAGGCACTTTGAAGGAGTTATCAGAGGAAATTTATCGAGGAGAATAGAAAAGAGAAAACCTTGAGAATTTTCTGTATTAACATTTAGGGGAAGGTTATCGCAAGCTCTTTCTTCCAAAAATTATACAAAAATACACGAAGATAACTCAATACTATTTAGTAAAGACATAAGTAAATTATAATATTTTTATATTAGATATACTTTCCTAAATAAGGATAATAATTGTGTTAAGATATTGTCAATTAGCCAAATCTTAGGGCTACAATTCAACAATTAATGCACGAACCTCTAGTGGGAATTTTGAAATTTATAATCAAAAACCAGCAATAAAAATTAAAACATGAACTTTCACATTTGCTAAATTATGAATAGTATATACCAATCTTAAATCAAGAGAAGACCGATGTAATAGAAATGAGAAATTTTACAGTGAGCCATTGATCCTAGGGGTTTTTGGATTAAGATATCTAAATGATCTTCATCGAAAGTATTGCTATACAGTCAGCAGACATAGTAAAAGAAACGTTTATGATGTGTTAGCTATTGATGATAACACAAGGGTCTTGTATCTGCAAGGAGGAGGTAATGTTAATATTCATCGCTTATAGGATTTATTAGTTTAGTGAGTAGTATTACAAAGTTAAAGGATAAATCAGTTGATAACACTTAATCAGTGTACGTTCCAGTTGAAAGTACTGTAGAAATTATAACTCAAAGATACGAAAAACTGATTAAAGAACTTATGGATTAAAATTCCCATGTATAAAAGTCAGTAAATAGATATTATGAATAATACAAACGATATAAATTGAAACCATTGCCAATTAAGAGTTACTCTACACCAAAATCTAAGGTGCAAGAGATCAAATCATAGCGCTCTAATTAATAGAAGACATTTGAGTCTGGTCCTATGCTTAGTGATATGGGTAGATATTCAGAACCAATTAGTAGAAATCCCCTCTTATAAGATTTTAACAACTCAGTTAAATTAAAATATGAAAAATGCAGAACTTAAAAACAGAGTGATATTATTATGAGTGGTTTTGTTTCTCCTAAACAGACCCTTGTTAGAAAACATAGAAGTGTCAAAAACTATGATGTTGCCTTCTTAAAACCAACTTCTCAGCAGCCCTTTGCTGACTTTCCTCTCAGAATCATTTCTAATAAGAATAGGAAATAAAATTGATGATCACATTATACATAAATATATTTATCTCATTTTTATCAATATTTAATTCATCCTTAAGTAGTATCTTACTGGATTATCTAATACCTATTAAATATTACCACCTCCAAATTCTATTATATTTTTGTTTCTGTAAAAAATATCTGAATATATTTTGAATAATTTATAGAAAGTTTATTTATAATTTCACAAATAAATGAATAAATTTATTAACATGGAAAGATGTTAAATACTAGGGTGATTAATATTTAAATAATATCTTTAGGATGTCTCAATAAAATTATACAGTAATAATGAAAAAGTCTTGATCATAATGAAAATGAATTCTTAGGGATCGTCCAAAATTATATGAAATAAGATATAACTATGCCTTTGCTTATTAAGATACCTTTCCTTAGCCTCTGTAGAAAATAATATAATTAAAATACTCCAATAGTAACCTAAATAAATATAATTTAAATTGAATATTTTAAAATTACCCATAGGCTGATATTTAAAACTCTTAAATAATATTTAAGGAATCATTTTATTTGTTATGAATAATTGATCTTAATAAGCAATTAATTATTCGACTATCACTAATTCAATATAAAACATAAATTAAGTATGTTCATCCTTTCTATTTCTCAAATAGTTGTTCATTTCTTAGATCAAAATTAATGTCTTCTTCTCATTCGATATTTCTGTGATGTCATATAACAAACAAAGTTATTTATTTGACATAAATCAATAAAGTTAAATATTTCTGGCATTTTGTGTTTTATGAAGCTATAAGGATATGGATTTAGGAATTCTAAAGTCACTCATTCTAATATTATTATCCATAATTAAATAATTACTAATAATCTCAAAAAAGGAATGAATTAAACTCACACAAGGTAGAGTCTGCAAAAGATAAAAATTTCCTTCACTTCTGATAACAAAAGGCATTTGAATTTCTTGATTCAAGAAAAAACATATTCAAAAACCCTAAAACCTGTTGCTAATTAGATGAAGGCCTTTTCTTTTAAAAATTTAGATTTAGCCACATCATCAAAGTAATCCAAAATTTCACTGTATATATAGTTCTGAGTCTCCCATGAACGAGTCCTTTCAAGATAATAAGAGTTGCTGCTGTTTGGATTGTGGAGCAGTTAGTAGGAAAGCAAAACATTTATAAAAAAAGTTTATAAACTTCACAACCAAAATGTCAGTACTAAGAAAACAACGATTATAACGGAGATTCATAAATGCAGTTTTCTGTATCATATATCTTTTGGGGAAGTGGAAAAAAATTAGATAATAAGAGAGAGCAAAAAGATTATTTAGATTTAAAACTAAAGTTTTTGAAAATTAATCTTTTTTTCCTGGACAATAGCATCACTACTCTAATCAAATTATATATAGCAATACTTAAATTCCTTATGATGACAAAGTAAATCAGAATCATTAAGTTCAATCAATTCAAGCTTAAATGATAGATTAGAAGCACAAATAGAGATAATCAGTAAGACTCTACTTACAATAAAAATTGAATAACAACAAAATAGAATCCTCTGGCACACTACCAACCATTGCCTATAGCAAATATCATAATTCCCATTCAAGCAAATTTCTTTAGCCAATGAGGATTCTTAAAACTTTAGAAGATGAATAAAAATCCCCTAAAAAAGAGTATAATTTACTTAATTATAACTCTTCTCTGATTAATTCTCCTTACCTCTGTCAATTTAGTGGATAGAAAACATAAGACTAATGCTTTTCTTAAGTAAAATCCCCTCGATCTGTTATTAAGAGTATATCATCAGAAACTTTCTTTCCTTATAGATAGAATATACACAAATCTAGAAAAACCCTTGTTAAGAAATTTAAAATTATAGATTGATTACATGTTTATATTAATTTGAATATATATATCTATCCATAATTTATAATTACTTTCAAGTCTTGCACAAGACTTTATTAATTTTATCCATTAGATCCATGCATTCTTTCTTTAACTATTCGAAATTCATATCTTTGGATTTGGTTTCAATAAACATCTAGAAAGTATTGGCTTAAGATTCTAATTAAGACACTTTTTTTTCTAAATCAGCCAAAGTATTGTATTATTCATGCATTGTGTATTTCTTTTCTTTGACATCAAATTCATGTTTCATATTTTGACTCTAGAAATATGAAGTTTAAATTTACTTATGCAGTAAAATCATCTTTAAGTTTGAGTAAGTCTTTCTTTTGATTTTCCAGTTTAAGTTTTTTATCCTGAGCTTTAACCTTATATTCATCAATTTTATTAAATTTAGTATCGATTTCATCCTACATCTACTTACATTTCTGTTTGTATTATTGTAATTCAATAGGTAATTGTTCTTCAGCTCTTTCAATTTTTTTTAAATCTTGGACTGTCTATTCATAGACTCCTTAGAGTTTTTTGAGTGTCATTTCAGAATCTTTGACTTAATTATCTTTGTAATCCACTTCAGCAGATAGACCAGCATAATCTGTTAATGAGGGTATAGTCTTAATATCTTATACAATTCTTGAAGATTACCCTAGTAATTCTACAATAGCCTATTCTACAGCATTCACTTTTTCTAATTCCTATTATCTTGTTTTATCAAAATTATTGATGTAATCAGTCATTTCTTGATCTCTTTAATATAGTATTTCATATTTCTATTTGTCTTATTCTTATGACTTCTTGTCTTCCAATTCAGTTTGTAATTCTCTCAATCGTTTTTCATAATTCTCTATATTTCTTCTAATTTCTCTGACTCTTTTCTCCGAGTTTTAGATAAAAGCATTATCATCTTTAATTTTATTTAACAATCTATCTCTGGCTTCTGGGAATGTTAGATTGGCTTCATTCAATTGGACTTCTAAGTCATTTTTTTTAGAGTCCATTTCATTGATTTACTCTTTTAACATCTGACCCTTTAATTTCTAAGCATCCATTCTCAATCTATTATCTGCATTCTGCATTCTGGCATTTAATTCTTCTAATTCTCCTTTTTGATTGTTAATTTCTTATTAAAGGGATTTGTTTTCATTAATCAAACTCATATATTCATTTCTTTGTTCTGGATCCAATTCTTATAATTTCATATCAGCCAAAGATTGGAGTTCATTTAATCTATTTTCAATTTAATTAATTGAATCTTCCTAACCTCTTCTTTCAATGAAGATGTCATCTAATTGAGATCTTTGCCTCTCATTTTAAATCTAAAATAAATCTATAAGTAAACTTTGATTCTTTCGTATATATTTTTGATATCTTCTGGTCTGGTATTGGCTCTCCATTTATCGAATGCTAAATTATAATCAGCCAATTAGCCTTCTAGATCTCTGACTTCCTTTGTTAATTCTTCATGTCTATGACTTTAAGAGAAATAATACCTTCTTTCGAATTAAACATAAAGTGTATTGGCTTTTTAAATTTCCTCCTATTATTTTTTGAATCTTTCAATCTCATTAAATATTTCCTTCTGCTTCTCTCTCAATTGATTTAGATAATATGATTTATCTTAGATTTATCTGCCAGGCCCAGCAGTCGTAGGTTTGACTCCAATAATTCCATGTTATGTAACAGGTCTCTCCACGAATTTTAAATTGGTTGTATTTGCTACTGATTAGAAATTTGGATCATTCTATTGAAATAGTGAATGAAATGTACTCTCATAGCTGTAGTCATTCGAGTTGGCACTCGCATGGCTGCTGTTCCCATTCTCTGTTGTGGTTACATAATTAATTAATTAAATAATTATGTAGAGATCATATTAAGAATAGGTTAACTAGAAGGATTATTAGCATAAACTTTATTTCAAAAATGGTTATCCTTAGAATTAATCGTTCAAGCGAGATCCAAAGCAATTACTTAGAGGTTTAGTATGAAAATTAGATTTATTTAGATTCTTAAAACATGCATACTTCACTTTCTAGATTGGTTGAAGTAAGGCTTTAATTTATGGCTCTTCGTAGTGATAATATTGTCTGCTAGTTTCAAAGCTAAACAACAACTATTTATTTGCATAATATAATTGGCTGGTAATTTATTTATGTCTTCTTACAAACTTTATCAGTAAATTTGTAAAGCATTAAAATAAGTTAATGAACATTACGATTAAACTGTATATGTGATTGGTTGGGATCCCAAATGCCACATTAGCAAGTGTCCCAAACGTGATGTGACAGTTGGTAACTTGGTGTTCCTCAAAAGACATTAGCCAAGTCCAATGAGTATTTTAATTCTGAACTCTCAAGAAGAGAAGTTTATGGTGTAAACATCAGAAAAGGAAGGGATGACTCATATGACTCAGAAGCAATCGATTAAATTAACATCCACCTCTGATCAACAGAAAAACCAAACATTAATTTATTATAAGAGAATATTGACTGGCAAAATAGAATTCGATTATTTGGACACCAATGATAACACCTTCAGAGGTTTCATTAAACTACAAAAGGATCCCAAAGGTGAATATCTAGACTATAGGAATATCGTCAATTAAAGTAGTATGATAATCAATACAGATTGGGTAGTTGGTATAGTGATAAGTCATGATGATGAGGATGTCATTAAAATGTGGCAGAATTGTTTTAAAAAGTCTACTACTCATTTTGATAGGTACTTGATGAAATTTTCATTGATATTTTCTCTTCTGTACTTCATCCAACTTGCATTCTGTATTACAATCATTGTGAGATTTCAAAACTAACCGGATGATCTCAATATTTACAATACAATTTGTCGAATATTTCAGAGCATAACATTTGTTCACCCTTGTTTTATTACTGGATTATGCGAAGTGACTTTTCAATTCTTCAATAACATCTTTGAGAAGAACAAAAATATCATTGTATCTCATTCATCTGAACTATTGACTTTAACTAAGGTTGACCATTGCATTTATGATAAAACTGGCACACTGACAAACACTAATACTGTCCTCTGTGGAGTCATATGTGGAGTCTATTTCTATAATCTAATCAATGAAGATGGAATTAGGACTTCTACAAAGAAATATAGAAAATTAATGACCACTCAACATATTCACAACAACATGCAAGAGATCTTGGAAGAACAAGAGGATTAAGAAGAGAACAATATTGGAATTGGTTCATTGTAAAAGAGTGAAAGATTCATTTAAAATCCAGGAAGTCATTAGTCAGTTAAAAGTAGACTTCAATCCTAGCATGATGAAGCAATTAGCTTTAATTAGGATGATGCAGTTTTCAATGAAGAAGAACCTGAAAGCCGGAACATGGTCTTCAATTTCAATCCTCATTTTATTAGACAAAATGAATTCATCAAACCCAAAAAGGCCTAGAGTGTAGATGAGGAATTGTCTCCTCCAGAGAAAGTTATTTTAAATAAAAATAATAGAAGAACTTTAAACAACACTAGTAGATTATATACTAAACCAAGGAGAGAACTAAGGATTGTTGAACGAGTACTTGAATAAACTTAAGATCCTGCTAATGGATCAATGTTATCTCCATCTCCAATTACATCTTCAAAGGATTTTAGAAAAGAGAATAAACTTGGGGAATCACAAATAAATGAGGATGAATTGTAATAGAAGTAGCCTTCAGAAAGTGACAGTGATGACAATGAAGAATAGGAGGAAAGAAAAGATTTATAAGAGATTATCAAATCTGGTTAAAAGTAAGCAGACAACTTTATGAGATCCTTAATTTTATGTTAGGATGTCAAAACTAAATACTCTAAACCATAAAATAAGCCTAGCAGAGATAAAAATGTATCCACTATAGGTATGTCTGGACTCATGAATGAACATCCAAGTATGAACCCCTAAAATTTCCTGAATGAAAACACTGAGGAATACCAAGAATCCATTATCAAATTTGCTAAATAATACTAATTTGAGTTCAATTGTGCAGGGTTGTTAAATAAGAAAATTTGCTATGAAATCAGTGCTAAGGGATTAAGTGAAAGATACTTAGTTTCTAAGAAGGTTAGTGACAATGAAACATTTGCTATTTTTATGAAGCCAATCTAATAGAGGATTAGAAATTAAGCAAATCAATTTGAGAGGTAGGGAACTGAAAGGGGATCCAAAAAAGGAGCTTTACTCAAATTATATGTTAAGAGTGAGAATCTAGCTTTGCTTGATAAGTGTAAGTTATCATAAAAGAAGAGAGTGAACTTAGAAAAGCAAATGACTCATCAAGCTTAATCAGGCTATAGGTTTATTGTCTATGCAGGTAAGGACATTCCAGAAGATGCAGTGAAGAATAAGAATAAATATTAAGAAACAAGTTTTGATACTATGGAAATGACTCATCATGATAAAGAATTGATTAAAGATTTAGATTATTATGGTTTGATTTGTCTAAAGGAAGATTAAAATCCTGGAGCTTATGCTTAAGTTAAGACATTTAAAAATTTAGGAATTTCTTAATGGATATTGAGTGGAGATAAGAAAATGCAAACCTTATCTGCAGCCAATCATGTTGGAATTGTGAATAATAATAATACTCTTTTGAGGATTGATGAAGTAGATGAGGAGAAATTAAAATTATAAATTAAATCCTAATTGCTGTTTATAAGAAAGTAATTATTGAAGGAAGATGAGAGTTAGTAAAATGAATCTTCGAAAACTTTTGCTACTTAAAAATCAATTTCAGAAATGAAGAGAAGTGGTCTTTAAAAGAAAGCTACATTTGATGAGAATATGATCATGAAATCAAAGAAGGGAGAAGAACCTTTACAGAAGGTTTTCTTATTGGTAAATGGGAAATCTATCAAGACCATATTTAGCGATGATTATACCAAAAGCCATTTCTTATTTATTGCTCTAATTTTGAAGACTGTCATTGCATATGATTGCTCATCAGCAGATAAAGAGTTAATAACAAAAGCTGTCACTAAAATCTTTGAACCAAGCAGTACACTTTTAACAATATCAGACTCAGTTGATGATTTCAATATGAATTCTCATGCAAATGCTACTATCCAATTTTCAAAAGAGAAAAGGTCTTTAAAAATAGCATATCAAAACATTTAAGTCAATGATTTATAACACATAAAGCAATTAGTACTCTATTTTGCTAAAATATTACCTATGCATTTGAGTCAATTGACAGTGATGTGTACAAAGATAAGTCTATATTAATTGATAATTCTGACTCTTTTTGTTTGTGTTAGAAAAACTCTCTATATTGAAGAAGATGTTGTGTACTTGTTAGCTGTGTAGATACATATCATAATTAATGGGTTGTTGCCTGCCTTCGAAGATAGATCCAGTCATGAGCAAATTGAATTGATGCTTCCATAGAATTAGCCACAGACATATAAGTGTTTCAAATCAAATTTCAGGTGGTTATAAGAATTATTTTATGAAGCCTTGATTTCAGCAGGAATCACAGGACTCTTAAATACTTACATATTTGCAGAATTCATGATGTTTTTCACTTCAGATTCTAATAATTTAGCTCATTTGATGTTCTTATTCTAATTATTCAGTGTTTTTGCTTTTGGAACCTCTTAAATGATTCATCTCAATGTTCCATTTGGGAAAATAATTTGGAACTTAATTATTACTTTGGGGTTATTAACTATATCATTTGCAATAGTTGTATAGGCAGATTTGAGAGTTTAGATAATTAGAAACATTTTCAAATGGCAATTCATAATTGGTATAATAACTGGAATTATCATAATAATTACGATTGATTAGATCGTAAAGTAGACAAGAGAGATGATGTTTACTCCAAGAATAATTTTAAATTTTGTGAAATTTGTAGAAACCGCATTAAAAAATTATGGAGGGAAGGTTGTTTCAGAGTAATTAAAACAGTTCCCAATAACTAATCATATCAAAATAAATCGATAGTTTTTCAGAAAGATCAAAAAGGTATTTGAGAATGTTTCGATTGACCCTTTTATTCGTTCTCTGTTTGAGAGTGAGAAAACCCAATCTTTCAATGGAGAGTATTCAAAATTTTCATTGGTCTTTAAGAATCATAATTACGAAAAGCAGTTTAGACAATTTAAAGTTCAATTGTATTACTAATAAAGAAGAGAAGTAGTTTTGGTATTGTTCATAGTACTCAGAGTGAGCAGTGTAATAGCATGGGCTCCATTCCTAACTCAAGAAGATACTGTATTGAATATTTTATGGGCGATAGTAATGATGATGTGGATCTTGATTTTACTAATAACTAAAGTCATAGAGAAGAAGTAGGCTGATTAGACAGCATTTTAAATAAAGTGTGGTACTATCGAGGCTTACTTTTTTATTCCAGTAGTGCTAATACTAGATCATTTTTTGAGTGTGACACTTCCAGAAGATAAGAGTTAATATTATTTTAGTACCTTTGGACAATTGCTTTATTAGCAATTTTTAGCATGGGACATATTCCCTCCTCCCCTTTATTATCCGATTACTTTGACCTTGATCTTCTTTGTCAATTATACAATTAGAGTTGGCCAATTTTATACCATCTAAGTTAATTCTGGTTCTGAAACTCCTACCTTCACAGTAGAATTTATAACTTTGTATGTTCTGCTGTTCTTCTTGAATTTACTATCGAATTACACTCATTATAATGTATAATTATTTAATTAAATTTTAGTTTTAACGATTCCAAAGATTAGTCTTTTTATTTGATTAGGCATTATAAACCTAGTAGGAGTAAACAAATTAAATTTTGAAATCCCTATTGCCAGCATTTATATATGAAAAAATTGAATAAGCAGAGGAAACCTAAATTGAAGAG